CATGTACTTTGTATTTTCTGTTGGACGGCGTGGCAGAATAGGATTTTTGGGACGTGAATGGATTTTGATTCATATTGAACGGCACGTTGATGGGTGATGAAGAAGTAGAAGCAGTGTTAGAACGATGTAGATTTTCAAAAGCAGATGAAATAAACCAATACACTTGTCAAATATATTATGATGTTACTTGGAAAGCATATGTTGGTGAAGAAGAAGCGGAAGTGATAACTTGGGTCAAGACGTGAATCATGAAGCAGATGAATCGAACTAATACTCTGTCAAATCCATCATAATGCCATCTGAAGGATATGTTAAAGCCACCTTTTCCTCCAAATCGGTCAGATCGCACCATATCATCCGAGTTGTTGGATCAAATCCCCAGGCAATGCTTCTCATCCATTTCCCGTAGAGCTTCCCCCTATTATCGACCAAATCCCGAGTAAGCAGCTTCGCGACTATCTCTCTTGACTTGAGAGATTCCAGTCTTCTGGCATTGCATAAGCCTTGATTATTGCGCGAACTAAAGATGCGACTTGGAGTAGTTAAAGGGACGCTACGTGACACGGCAGTATAGTGTCAAGTATATTTCCCGAGATCTAAAAGCGGGATTTGGTATTTTTCTATGGCCCTGATTCATGCCGCTGGCGATTAATCTCCTGGTCGACCTTATGGCGGAGGGCCCCATTGGATGAAGAAGTTGAAGTTGGGTACTAGTTGTAGATTTTCAGAAGAAGAAAAGGCAGATGAAATAGTCTAATGAGCTTGTCATATATACAATGTCATTTAGGAACACATGTTGATAGAAGATGAAGTAGAAGTGGTGACTTATGTTGTAAGATGTAGATTTTCGTCAAAAAAGGCAGATGAAATGAAGTAATGCACGTCAAATATATTATAGAGAAAAGTCATCCAGCACTCCAGCACTCCAGCGATTACCTTACTGCTACTGCTGGTTTTAGATGTGATTGACAGTTGTGTATTTCGATATTAAACTAGCTGTCGTATTGCGCTACAGCTCGGGTTTTAGATATTGAAATTGGGGTGCTGGATAATTTCTCCCACATGATAATGCTAATTAAAGCAACAAGCTCATAAAAAAGGCAAAAGCAGTACTCGCATAGAAAGATGTAAAGTTCATCCATGTCAGTGAATACTAGTAAATCCGTGAAATATATAATAACGCCGCTCATTCAAGGAAAAACTGCCGTAAATGGTCAGATGTTATAATTCTATCCATTCAAAATCTGGCATCAATGACCATAAAACCATGCCATCTCCTCTAACCATACCACCCACCGTCTATAATTCATAACTCATTCATACTCCATACCTCGTATCCAAAATCGTCACTTCACCATCTACCGCGTCCTCCTCTTCTGCAACGCCGCAATCTCCGCCCTAAACTCGCTCATAGCCTCCGCAAGGTCCTCATCCGGCTCCTTTGCAATACCCAAAATAGGCTCCTTTCCAGACAGACTCTCGCTGCTGATGGACCGCTTCAGGCGGGCACTAGCCTTGCCCTGGCGGGCCTCAAGCTTCTTGTCCAGCACCGCTTTTCCAGGCGACGCAAAAAAGGCCATGGCGGCAAGAGTCCAGGCAAAAGCGTAAAAGTATACATTGGCCCACGCGCGGAGGGAGTCGCCGAAGCCGAGAATGAGAAAAGGCAGCGTCGTAAAGGAAAAAGTGAGCTGGGTGACGAGGTAGGTGGCAAAATCGTAGTACTTCTTCTTAGGAGTCGGACCGCCGGTGATGGGATCGAGGAAGAAGGGTCGGACGTGGCGGCGGAAATCTATTTTAGGTCAGCAAACCGGTATTCAGCAGAATACATACTCCTTGTTAAAGGAAAAAGGTGTGTATGATGGAGATTCCTACTCTTGGCGGATGTTTGAATCAGGCTAGCCAGCATAAAGCTAAGATAGTAGCCCGGGTAGAAGCCATGCCAGAAAGCGCTCGTCACAAAGGTCGTCATGCTCGCTCGGAATCCAGGCTTCTTGCCCCGGGGCGTAACCCGCAAGTAGATGTAGTTGCGCAGCCACTTGTTGGTATTCATGTTCCACCCAGCCAGATACGCGCGCGGATTCTGCGCAAACTCAACACCCCAAGGATCGATGTTCTGGAGCCTGTTCCACGAAACCTTGCCAGTGACGGGGTCGACGCCGTTGTAGCCCAGACCGGTCAGAATGCACGCGCCCTCGGTCAGCGCCCATACGCCGTAAAACTTGAAACGCGTCACCATACTGGCCATGTGAATGTACCAGATGCGCTGCAAAAACGATTTCTCGGTAAAGGCCTCGGTGGGGACGAGTGTAGGGCTGAATCTGCCCGAGAGCGCAACAAACAGTCCGACCCACACCAGTCCAGTCACAGCCTTGATGGTGGCTGGAGTGCCGCTGCGCGGAATCTTGCGCTTCTTACGCACAGGAGGCTTCTTCGCTGGGTCGACCTGGGAGGGGACGTCGAACATGCTCGTATCGATCCAACGGTGGTACTCGGCGTAGTCGAAGGCTGGGCCTCCAAACAGCGCGGGAAAAAAGAGCACATAGGCCGCATAATCGACCAGCGGGGGCAGCTCTTTCAAGGCCCGACTCTGCTGGGACTCGGTCAGTTGGTCGGCGGGAAGCTGGCCGTCCGCCACGTTCCAGCAAAAGGCCGAAAGCTTCATCACAAGAACCATCTGGGCCCCCGTAATGTCCACCACGGACGGGTCGTTGTTTATCTGGCGGTAGATGTGGCTGACGGACATGTGGCCCATGACGAAGACGAAGCCGATCCACGGCATGTACGGGCTGGCGCGGAGGTATTTGGCAATGGCGTAGGTGCCGCCAGCGCTGATGAGGAGCGTGACGATGCCATCCCACAAATCGAACAGGCCGACGAGGTAGAAGAGCGATACACTTAATAATCTCGGCAACAAAGTTTTGCCATTGAGTCAGCTGTGAAGATACAACAAGGGATTCAAAAAGCTTCTCTTGTGGCGGCGCAATTTACAGGATGATGAAGATATTCTTCCAAAGTGGCTTCGAGTCCGGCAGGCGCTTGAGGATTCCGGCCAGCGGATACGAGAGCAGGAACGAAAACGTCAACTTGACTGTTGCAGATAGACGAAGGCACGGTTAGAAGAAAGAAAAAGTAAAAAAAAGAGGGCTGTAAATCCAGAAAGCACTCGGTGTATCGCTCGGTTCGACTCACGTTCGTCAGGAGAAGCCGCAAGCTTCGTCGCCAGCGCCTCGAAAGCTACACTTCCGCGTCAGCTTGAGATAATAATAAAAAAAAGCAAATAGGCTCGGCTCGTATTGCGCCATCAGGACAGATTAAATAACTCACGCCGGTGAAGAAATAGCAGCATCGTGAAGGGGGCGGAAGACGTCCGAATCTGGTGGTAAAGAAAAGAAAGAAGTGAAGTTGAGAAAAAAAAGATGGAGTTGTTGGGGACAAGCAAGAAAAACCCCACTCTAGCTCTGTTAGAGGGGCCGCTAGTCCAGAGCACAGCAGCGGGACCTCGAATTGCTCCAAAACACCACCAAATAAGACAGAAGAGCAAGGAGAATCAAGAAAGAAGAATCAAATCAAACAAACGAGAAGGAAAAAGCGCAGTATTTATATACCCAAATGTCCCTTTTTGACTTTTTCCTTCAAGGTGCTTGGAAACGTTTATCCTTTCGCCTCGAAAGCTTCACCGGAAGCATACTAACATTGGGAAAAGGTATACAATCCGTCTGGTTGAAAAAGAGAAGAAAAAAACAAAAAAGTTCTCATCAAAGGGGGCGCCAGTAGCATTTTAAGAGGCGCTGGTAAATAAAACAAGAAAAATCAACAAGGAACCACATGCACAGTACCCCAAAAAAAACACGGGACTCAATCATTGGCCCTGGAAAATCGATTTTACATAGAATAGAGCATGGAAAGTGTTGGATAAATCGCCTGTTTAGAGCTTGGCCACGTGTGACGACATCATTCATCCTATTTTCAGCTTCCCCCTGCTAGACTGACGAGTATTTTTAGTATGCGCGAGGCAGCAAAAGGGTACATCCATGTAGGATTGCATCACGAGCAGGCATCCGATCTGCTGATCGGCGGCCCCTCTCTAGGCTTAGACTCTCCAAGGCCAGGCTTGAATCTTGAAACAACGTCACTTGCTTCACTACACGCCAAGATAATCACAACAGTCACAATCATCACAATCACGATGTTCACAACCACAAAAAACAGGCAGGCAGGGAGATAGGTAGCTAATAATCATTGGATTAATGCCAAATTAGAAACAGTCAAAAGAGTCTACTAGTAGCTACTACAAAGGCTCATAGGCCCACAGAAAACCATTCCCCCAAATGTACTTTTCCTGTTGTCATAGACGAGACAGACCCAATCCCAAAAAATGAAAGCCCAAAACAAAATAAAAAAAAAACCAACGGGGCGACGTCTTGACGTTGTGCATGCAGCCAGGCTTGTTGAGAATCCGTAGAATCATGTCCCCAGATCAAGCCAAGGCAAGGCACAGCACATTTGCCCGTATACTCCGTATACTCCGTATAGCACCCATATCGACGAGCCATGCATTAGTAGAAATAATACAGCGAAGAAGAAGGAAATATAAGCACAAGGAAAAGAGGAGCAGAAAGAAAGAAAAGCGAAAAGGGCAAAGATACAAAGCCGGACGCCCAGCCATGCCAAGATTCCAAAAGTATATCCCATACTATAATCTCACAGGCAGAAAAAAAGATACAAGAGACAAAAGATTAGAAGAATCAAGTAAAGCACCAGTAAAACACCAGCGCCAGACCCGTGAAAGACCCCATCCCGGGACCCCGGATGTAAGACGCATATGACTGCGGTTGAGGCAGTATGTAATTGTAGCAGTGTAGTTGTAACAGTTGTAGTTGTAATTGTAGTGATGATAAAACGACAAGAGGAGAATAGGAATATCAAAGAGCAGCATCGACAAGAGCCCGCTGGCAAATACAGACATTGGAGCGTTTCGGTACCCAGGCAGGTGGTAGTGCTTAGCCAAAGTAGTAATCATTGGGATCATAAGTCCACGCACCACCCTGAGGCGCATATCCAGCAGAGGGCGGCTGCTGCTGCTGTGGTTGTTGTTGTTGTTGTGGTTGCTGTTGCGGTTGCTGAGGCTCCTGTCCGGCTTGCTCCGGCGGTGACGGATGCTGCTGGCTGTGCAATGGCTGCTGTATCTCTGCGACGGAAAAGTGGCGCTGGTAGTCTTCGCGCTGATAGTCCTCGCGCTGGTAGTCCTCGTGGTGATGAGCCTGCGACTGCAGTTGGTGCTGCGGGTGGTGGTGATGGGGCAGATGGTGATGGTGCGGTTGCTGCGACTCGTACTGGTAGTGGTGGTGCTGTAGCTGTGCCTGCTGATGAGCATCATGGTGACGGTGATGCGGGTCAGAGAGATGCGACAGCGCCTGATGAGGATGCGCCGCTTGTTGCTGCGCCGCGAAGAAGTCGTAGTCGAGTCCGCCAGGATACGCAGCAGCATGTATGGGCTGCTGGCTAGGCATGCTCGCAACGGCCATGGACTGGCTCATGACGACGCCGTGAGGGCTGAGATCCTGAACGGGAGGCTGCAGGGGGTAGAAGTTGGCCATTGGAATGGGGATGAGACCACGGTCCTCGTGGGCAAAGATGGCGGTCTCGTCCAGCGGGTTGCGGAAGTTCTGGTTCATGAGCAGCTCCGGGCGTGGGCGGATGTCGGCAAAGCGAACGTCGGTAGACGGCGTGTTCATGCCTCCATTAAGGGCATCATCCAGGCTGTAGTAGCTGACCAGGTGATGCGGCACGCCCTGGTAGTGGATGCTGATCGTCTTCTTGATCAAGCCATTCTCCTTGAAGGGGTACGAGTCGATCAGCGAGCCAACCAGCGATCGCTCCGGGTCGGACCCTTGAGCCGAGCCCATGGAGTTGCTGACGGCCGCAAAGGCCGCGCTGTGGTGCTGGCTTTGGCTGTTGCTGCGTTCGGGCCTGTTGATGCCGCCATTGCTGTGCTTCTTCTTCTTGAGAGCCCGTTTCTTCTCTCCGGGGGGGAACGGCTTTTCCAGCTCGCGGTAGATGAGGAAGTTGCCGAGGATGCGGCTGGGGCTCCAGGAGACGCCGTCGGTCCACCGCTTGATGCCAGAGGCATGCTCTTCGTAGATGAAGACGTTTCCGCTGGCAATGAGGTCCTGGCGTTCGCGGTCGTGGGGGCGACGAGGAACGTGAGGAATGCGCCCTTGCAAACAAGCCTCAAACAGGATGATTCCATCCAATGTGGTGGCTATATGGCCCCTGAAGGTAGGCGCGAGAGGTGCTATGGCTCCCGACATGGCGAAATCGTCCATGTAAGCCGGAACCTTGTTTTGGGGGTGTATTGGGTTTTGGGTTTTCTGGTGATTTTTTTTTTTTTTTGGCTTTTGGCTTTTGGCTTTGTGTTTCGATTGCTCGAAAGTGTTTGTGTATAGAGAGCAAACAGGGCGAAGGCGATTGGCGTTGATCTTGAAGTTGTTATCAGGCAAGACCAAAGCAAGAGTGGGTGGGAAGTGTGTATTATTAGGGGGGGCAGAGAGAGCGGGAACAGAGAGCGGGAAGGGCGTCGAGAGAGAGAGAGAGTCAGTGAAGGTGACCTGCAGAGGCCAAGAAGCTAGCCGGGAGTGTCGACAAGAGCGAGGCAAGCAAGCAAGCAGAGCAGAGCAGAGCAAAGCAAAGCGAGTCAAGTCGAGTCGAGCCGATGAAGCAACTCCCTGCGGGCGAGTAGCTTGTGAATTGCAGGTGCAGGAGAACTCCAGAAGCAGGACGGTTGAAGGGGGGAAAGGCCGAGATGTTATAGTCGAGCAAAGAGGGGCCGGGCATGTGAGAAAGCAGCACCGGAGCCTGTAACGACTGGAGGCGCTGTAGAGATAGAGGCAGCGGGAGTAGTACAAGCGGTGGCAGCAGAAGGCGTTGGTGCTAAGCCGGAATATGGGCCTGGCCCAAGATCAATGGCTTGGGGGTGCTTGGGTGCTTGGGTGCTTGGGTGCTTGGGTGGATGCTGCAGCGTGCTCCACCGCTGCGACTCCCGGTAGCAGGCAGGTATCCTGGGGCGGCGCTGGGGATGGCAGGCAGGTACAGGCGCCGAGGTGGTGTACAGGCCGGGGCCCGCGGGGGGTGTATGGCAAGCCAGGTACCGGGGCCGGCGGCGGATACCTGGCGGCATTAGCGAGGGGACTCGCAACGGTACTGCTGGGTGCGCCTAGTCAGACGGCCGTTTGCTTAGCACCAGCGACGCCGGGACGAGCAGCAGGAAATGAGACGAGGATGAGGGAAAGGCTTGCGCGGGCTGGGCGCCGGGGCTTCTCTGCTGTGGCGGCAGTAAGTGTCCGGCAGGCAGTGGGGATGCGATGCTGGAAAGGCGGACGTCGAGATACGCGAGCGCAGTCACGATGGGAATACTAGTGGAAACAAGATGGAGGCACGTATAAAAGCGCCTTTAAGAGTCACTGTGGAAAAAGCCGAGAGGAAAGAAGACGAGACCCGCCACGTACAGCACCACAATATAATTAAAAAAAAAAAAGAGAGAAAAAAAAGAAAAAAAAGGGGAGCAGCCAAGGGAATTGCATTCGACAATGAAGCGTCCAAGAGTCTCTAGCCAAATGCGGCGACGCACGATGGATGAGATGGTTGGAGGACGGCACGACTTGGCACGTTTTGCTGCGTCAGTGCAGTAAATACGTGCATACTTGGCCGCGAGCAGCTGCACGGCACCCTCTCCGCACAGGGCACAGATGCTGGCAGCTCCACCGAGATAGTGCTGCTGTATACAATTGAGTCGGGTAGGAATTTGATGATTTGATGATTTGATGCCTGTAAGCAGGGTCAAGCAGAGCAACAGCTAAAGCATCAATTCAATGACATGTACCCTCGAGCTACCCTCGATCAAGAGCCTCTGCGCGCGCTACCGCCCTCTATCTTAGTTCTCGCTGTCCGCTAGAGCAGCAGCACTCCATAGCTTTCAGTGGGTGTGGTGTGCGAGGTGCGTGTGGTGTCCGCTAGCGCTGCAGACAGGGGGGTTGCTCTTGGTGTCCAGCGCTGTGGCCCATGTCCCGCAACTGCCGACATGCCAGGGTCAAGGGGGGTCCTTTTTCCCAGCAATCTGGCTATTAGCCGGGCTGTGGTGGTTCGTGCTCCTCTCGTCTTCGTCTTGCTCCTCGCCGCGCCTCTTGCTCTGTGGCCCTTGGGCACCTGTTGCCTTGGTTTTTTGTATCTTCACGATGGCGTTTGTACTGCAGAGAGGTTATATGAGTCATCGAATTCGGCCGAGAGAATGGATCAATGTCCCGTTCCGATTTGGAGAAATAAAAATAGATCAAATGAGTATAAAGGAAATGCAATTATATCAAATCGCCTTGCTATACTACTAGTAGCCTGTGGCCAGCTAGCACCAAAGCGGTAGCACCAAGTACCGCTCGTAGTAGCTTTCAGGCAATACAAGCAGCACTTGTCCCAGGCCTCTTCTATTTATTGTTTCGATATACATCGTCTACTTCTTCGCCATTATTCCTTGTTTTATCATTGTGTTTCCTTTTATCTGTTTCTTGTTCCAAAATCTCCTTGCTTGTAGAGATGCGCACCTTGCAACCAGTTACAGGAATAGGCAACGAGCGACAGGGCACAGCTGCGCACGTCCCTCCCTCCCTCCAAGCAAGTGCCGTTCTGGTACGTCCCTCTCGCACATCGTACCTGTATCAGACTGGAGTCCTGCTGTAAGAGATCTGCTCGCCATCGTGCACACACACTCGCTCACACTCACCTGCAACGAGCCACTTTTTTTTAATTGAATCCTCAAATATAAAAAAGAAGAGGGTGGTGACCAGGGCATGCAGACAACTGAGCCGCTTGTATGTATGTACTTTGTATCTCCTCGCTGGCCGTCAGTGTCGTCCAAGACATTTGACTGGCCGTCTCTCTCTTGTCTCCTCTTGTCTCCTCTTGTCTCCTCCTCTTGTCTCTGCTACTGCTGCTACTGCTAGTCCGGCGGGCGGCCGGTGGGCCAGCAAGAACCAGCGAGAGCCACAGAGGACCACAGGAAAAGGAGGGGGTGGAACCGTCTAGTTGGATGTTGGTGCTAACGGCAGAGCAGTGCTACGCTGCTTTCGGCCTAGCCAGGCGGTGCTAAGGCTGCTAAGGCTGCTAAGGCTGCGGCTTGCGAGCCTTGGATGCGAGTTGATGCTGCCGCGCTGCTACTGCTGCTGCTACTGCTGCTACTGCTGCTGCTACTGCTGCTCTAGCACTCTCTCACAACGCTGCTGCTGCTACTGCGGCACTACCAGCACAGTTGGTGGCTGGCTGGCTGGCTGGCTGGCTGGCTTGGCAAGGCATGGCGCGCTGTTTTTTTGCTTCCGGCTTCGAAAGCCATAGCCGCAAGTGATTCGCCGCGTCCGGGTCTCCGAGGCCGTGTCAAATCTCGATGTCAATGGAGCTCGAGCGAACGAAGGGAGGGAGGGAGAGGAGGGAGAATAGAAGCAGAAGAAGACTAGAGAAGGGGAAAGGACGGAATCTTTGCTTTTTCTTGTTTCTTTTTTTTTTTTCGTCTTTGCTTTTTTTTTTTTTTACAATAATACTGGTAGTTAGGACCAACGCAAGCGGCCGACTCAGCCGTGCGTCTTGTCTAAATCGATAAGAGGTGTGTAGACCAACAACACAGACTTGACGGGTTAGACACGTAGAACCATACAGTAGACAGACATGCAGATAGAGCAGACATGGCATATGCCCAATTGCTTCCTGGTTACAGCAAACGAGGCTAAAGCTGCCCTTGTTTTCGTTTCTTCGCTCACCAAGCTCCGCAGATCGATGTGAAACACGCCCACTCCGATCTCGACTTGCACACACTGGGTAAGTAGCCCCGGCATAAACCGTCCGCTTCCACGGAGTTAATCCACTCTCTCTCTCTTCAACTCTTGCATGAATTCCATTGCTTTCCATCATATCCATTTTCCTTTACAGTCCTCGCTTCAACCTTTCCGACCCTTTACCTGCCGCTAATAGCGCTGTACCCTTGCTCCAGTACAAACCGTGGTGGAGCGGCCCTAAAAAAAAAAGGTGAGGCACCGAACTTGCTGCTTCCCGCAACCAGCCGGTTCCGCGGAGGGGGCTTGCGGCCGTTTCTAAGAGAGAGCAGTTCAGAGGGGAAATCCGCTCATTTGCAGGCTATTGGGGTTGATGGCAGTGGTGAACTGGCGGTGATGAAGGAGCTGGGATGGCGGAGAAAGGGAAATTGGCATGGCATCGCTTGCATATGATATGATATGCCTGGGGATGGCTTGCATAAGGGAAAACATGGCTTGCAGGCTAGTATGGGGTGCATATCGTGGTATGATGCGGCTGTTGATCTACACGGCTACATAACGTAGGTTTCCTGTACCGCATGAACTGGCATTTGAATTCCATTTCTCTTTTGACGACTTAATGTTGCGTAAGTTACCGATAGGACTTACATGTACAGTAGTAATCGTGTAAGTGATGATGAATTCCATCGCCTCCCATTGGCTCCTCTGACTCCTCTGGACCCTCCAGACCCTCCAAGCCCTATGGGGTTGTCACATCTTCGACCTTCTCGCCTCGCCCATCTGATAGCGCTGCCTGACAGGCAAACCTAAAGGAAATAAGAGAAAAAAAAGAGAGGGTTCCGAACGGCTTCCGAGGATACTTGATACGTAAGCACTTCAAGCCCTCTCGAGTATGCGGCTTATTGGCTCCGTATCACACCTTGGGCTTTAGTGTCAACGACAACCCGATTTTCTTTTCAACAGATGGAGACAGTCGGGTCGGATAGATTAAACAAAAAAAAAGAGAGTGAGAGAGACAGACAAGTAAAAAGGCACAAAAGTGATACGTTCCTTATTCTACCGCACTGATGGGCAGGTTTATGCTTTTCTTGCCCTTGAAGCCACCACTACTCAAAATGGAGACCCTGACAATGGAGTTCCCCCCCATGTTTTTTTTTTGCTCGTGCTGCCAAGACTGTATGTGTAGTTTTTTTTTTTTACAGGGCTTTCTTCAAGGTTTGTGACGATGGCCAGGAACGTGCATGGCATTGCTGCCAAAGTTCAAGTCCCCTGGTAGAAATGTGCCAGGGTTTTATTGATACCAGGAATCTGGAAATAGCGGCAAGTTTCTATTCTAAGGCAGCCCGGGGGTGTGCCTTGATTACTTAATTGATTACTTAAGTGCAGCGTTCGTTCTACAGGCCAGAGGAAGCAGATTGAAATCTAAATTAATTAAATTAATCTATTGCTGCACGAGAGCCGCAGGGGGGGGGACCCTCGCTGATGCGACGTTGGTTTTGTAGGTACTCCTGTACTTTTGGCTGTGTCGCAAAAATGCTGCAGAGAGATGCAGAAAAAAGACGGCATGCAAGATGGCGGGGACGTACCAGGTACCTGCGCATTCGCGGGCGCCGCACGCAAACAGGCCCGTACTTCGTATTGCCAGGGCTGTCAAATCGTACAGGGCAGGGCAAGCGCGTTTATGATGAATGATCTTGGATTTGATGCCCCTCTTCGACCCCTCTTTTCTTCTCTATTTTGCTTCTTCAACCCTGTCCCTGTCTGTCGGCCTCTAGATAGGATGCCTTTTCAAGAGATCTCGCCGGTGTCATTGTCGTTTGGATCCTCCGCCGTCGTCATTGTGGGCTAAATCAACCTGCGCCCAGCTTGGCAAAGGGGAGACTCAGAGGCCGAGACGCCGTTGCGTGGGATTTTTTTTCTTCTCTCGTTTTTTGACAAATCGCTTGCACAGCGCCGGCAGTCTTCGTCTGCAACGAGAGCGACATTCCTCAAGTTTGGCGATCCGGCGCCCAAGTTCCCCGCCGCCGCCGGCCTTTCGCCACCATGCTCCAACCTCCAACCGCCGCTCCTCTCGATGAGCCCCATGGCGCTAGCTGTTGGAATAGGGCTGGAATAAGCCTCTAGCGCGAACAGGTACACGGAACTGCTGGAGCACCTGCATCTCTGCGCGTTGGAGAGGAGGCGCGCGACGGAACCCGCTTTGCTGTGGTGCAATCGGAGGTCCGTCGATCGGGGCACGGCTTGCTTCGCCCCAGCGGTTATCGTCATGATAGCACAAGTCTCGAGTCTCATGACGAGCGCCTCTTCTCATCTTGTCGACATGCCGCAATATGTCCGCGATTCATCTCTGTTCCAATTCAACTCGCTTCTGCCGCACTTGTCCAGAGATTGTGCCACCCTCCTCTTGCGTGTGGGTGGAAACAAGCAGTCCGGCTGTCTCATTAGAATTTCAGGCACGTCCAAAGCTTGATCCCCCCCTCCCTTGCTCGTTGTCTGTCTAACGTGCCCGTGCCTGGGTGCAAAGTCAGTTTTGCCTGTGTGCCTTTGCATGCTCAGCCACTCCAACACCACAGCAGGAGGGAGCAAAATAGAGTCGAAAGTTACATTTACCCCAAGACCCTGCTGCGCGTGTCATTTGACTTTGAAGCAGCGCTCCCGTACCTGCATCAAGGGTGCGTATCAATGTGCGTATCAATCGCCGGTCAACAAGCCGAGACAAGAGCCCCAGGGTGCCATCTCACTTATCGCAAGTCGCTTGCATTTGCACTCTGCATCACATGCTGCTCTTGGCCGCGTGGCTAAGTATGATGCTGCTCGCTTAGCCCTCCCTTGCATTGCATCTACGCAGGTACTGCTGTAATCGCGCAGAAACCCACCCGTGGGCTCCGTTCTGAAGAGGGGATCCAGAATGTGGCCTGCAGGGCGGGCGCCGCACCGCAAAGGCCTTCAGCCGGCCAGCGGCACTTGGGACCGATTTTGACAAAAGGCAAAAAAGCAGCAGCCCCTCCATCATCCATCACTCAAACCCATACCATTCCATCACAGCACAGCTCGATTTCGGGGGTGGTGGAGCGCCCAGATCGCTCGCCGCGCTAGCGCAAAAGGCGGATCGCCAGGGTTTGGCGCTCTTTGCTTGCTGCAAGGTCCATTGGCTTGATTCGGGGGCGTGCGCGATGGCGATGGAGATGGCGATGGAGATGGCGCTGGCGAAGAGAGAGGGAGATGGAGGGTGTGCAGGAGGCAAGACTCGGCTGGGAGCATTCCCTATGCATCGCCATCAGCTCTACGAGCCCGTCCACGGCCAGGTACCCCGACGTACACGCAGTTAAGCATGCGGCGCGTTTTGATTGCCGTCTCTATCGCGGCTGACTCGGCGCAACATTGTCTGCAAGCGGTGGCTTGGAGGACGAAAAGCCCCAGAAACGCCCCTGCTGCTGACGCACGGGCCAGCAGCCAATCGGAGAGTCTGCATGAGGCCAAAGCGACCAATCAGAATTCAAGCCTCTGGACTCCTGAGGCACCCACCGCCTTAGCTAAGATGGCGTTTTCAACTCCGTAGCAGCCTCTCTGCCACCATCTCGCCCTCCTCACTTCCTGACGGCTCGTTATCCTACACATCACTTTTTTCCGTTGACGGTACGCTATACGGTCCGCCATACGGTACGCTATACGGGGTACCATTTGCGGCTAATTCCTTCTTTTGCTAGTTGTCTCTTTTCGCTGTCCTTCGCTCCCCTGTTCCATCGGCGCCCTCCGGTTTCATGTTGTCTTCAGCTGCTCCTTTGAGCCAGCCAGTACCGCAACTCAATTCTGGTTCGGAGCTCGAGCCGTATCGCTCGCTGCCTGCCCCTCATGTTCGTCCCCTGCGAGCAGCTACGTCAGAATCGAATCTGGAGCTGAGCTGATTGCTTGGTAAGTGAGGGGACTTGACACTCATTTTGCTCTTAATATCTTCCAATGATCTTGTCGCATCGCCTCTCCAGATCAACTAGCTCCCAGATCGTTTTCTCATCTAATATCATAGGCATCATATCAGCATCACATCACACACGCTACGCTACCACCACTCATCCTCACACCTCTCTCGCCATGAATTACAAATCATCCACCAGCAAGGTGTCGAATTTGACAGAAGCCATGGTGATAGTCATTGATAGTCATCAAACGAAATTAGTCCCCTCTCTAAAAGTTGGGCGACACATGCAGTGCAATCTCTCAACAAGGAAAGAAACGAGACAAGAGTCTGTCCGTCGAGCAAACACCATGGCGGCTTGGACGGCCGTCTGGCTGGTGAGAATGGCCGCGGGTGCCAGAAGCTGCAAGCGACGACATGCTGCCACCCCTCACACACTCAAGACACCCCTCCCTCCAGGGCCCCAGAATAAATCGAGTGCCCCTTGGTCAATTCCCCCTCCCAGCCGAAAGCCCCGATGCCAAGCGACGAATGGGAGCCCTGCGCTGCTGCTAATCGAACCACTCTAAGTAGGCGTAGCGGTGATGACTTAAGCATGTTAGCACGTTGTCTCGATGCTTTCCCCTCCCCTCCATCTTGCAGTGCTGACGTTACAGATCATATTCTGCCATATATCGATCTTACCAACGACAGCGTTCCTTAATGGGCCATTACCTCCGTCACAGAGAGGGGACTCTTCGGGAATTACTGCCATCAGCCCTCTCATCTCTCCTCTCCTCTCGCCGCCATCTGCTGTCTCCTCCTGCCGCCATCCAAGTCTGACTCAACCGCCGAGGTCTTGTCATACACTACAACACTAGCTGCCGTAGTTTTCCTCGGGCTCTCCAAGCGAGGTGCTGGGGTTTTTTCTGATGTGTCTGATATGTCTGATGTATCTGATGTATATATTTTTTTGAATGAATGCTGCTTTGAGCAAGCTGCGTCTTGGCTGAGAGACCGTCTCTCGGAAGGTGTGGTTGGCGCATCCAACTTCTAGTGCTATCACTGCTGTTACTACTGCCTGCTACTGCCTGCTACTGCTACCACCACTAATACTAGCAGTAGAAATCGCTGCAAGTGCTTCAGGCTTGATTTTTGATTGGTCCTGGTACGCCGTTTGAAACCAACTCCTTCGCCTGGAAAATGGGCTGTTCAATAGCTGCCAAGCTGCAAAACCAGCTGCAAAACCAGCTGCCATGCTAACCGCTTGTGTCCAAAATCCTCAAGTCAGCTGTGCCGTGCCTAACCAACAGTTTTTACGAACCACACTTCATATTTTTTTTACCAAAAGATAACAGAAACTGAGAAACTCGATTTCTGATATACCAACAAAAAAAAATGTCGTCACGTATGTGATTGTTCTGCAGCTTTGCATTAGCAGTTTGCTAGAATAGGTATTACACATATTTTCCCATTTATTACCGCACCGGCAAAGTAGTATTGCTACCACCTAGAAGCTCCGTTTAAAGTTGCGCGCGCTCCTCACAAACACTCACGCGCACATATACAGATCCTGCGCATGTAACAGCAGCAGCAGCAGCAGTAAACAACAGCCGACTGCGATAGATAATACATGGATAAATGCGGTATTTGCTCGAGAACCACCTTTTCAAGGCCGGGATCCCCCCCCCCCCCATTCTGCTCAGCCGTTGAGCCTTGCACCAGTTGCCGCGGTGGAGACAAAGGCCTCCATAATTCCAAACCAAAACATCCTTGCCCTTTTTTGCCCCATCCCTCATCGTCGTATCATGTTATCCAGATCAACCATGGATGGGAGGAACCTCTTTTTTTTCCTAAGCAATAGCCTATCAGCGGCTCATCTCCACAAGGTTTTTTGCTTTTTGCCTTTTCACCCCACTCATGCAGGCCGCACGCTATCTGCAAGCAACCATGTTGTGCGGTTCCTTGTCCTTGACGACATGTGGTTTTCTTCGGTCCAGGGATCTCTCTCTCTCTCTCTTTGCCCATCTATTCAGAAAAAAAATCTCGTGTATACCCCTGGTAATCTTCGATGTTTTCCCTCTTTTCGGTGCGTCAAGAGCAAATCCCGCATGGAAATATACATGGGCACCCTTTCAAATCGCTCAATACAACCCTCAGGCTCAGGCTCAGGCTCCCATATATAGCCAGGGCTGGTCACTTGACTTGTACACAGGTCCGGGAACTTGCATAGGCACAGGAACCGTCCCCGCAAACATGGACATGTCGTCGTCGGCGCTAGCAGTCAGAGTTGTCTTGTCAACTGGCTGTGACTCAGGTACCGGGATGATCACTCCGCACTCCCAGTTGCGACAGGTGAGTTTGAAGCCTCCGGTGGACTTGTCTTTGGACATGCGGCCCCTAGATGGAAATCAACCCCTTCAAGCGGCCGTCAAGTAACGACGGCGGCAGCGGGGATACAGTCAGCCTCTAAAAAAATATCCATTTCATCATTTCGAACCGGCTTTAAAGTCAGGACAGAGCAAGTCGCAAACCGTTCAAAACGGGGGGCGTGTGTGTGTGTGGACGGATGGATTGATGGTGGGTGGGAAAAGATTTCTTAGACTCAACTCACCAGGCGCTCTCTGAAAGATTAGCACTGCCCACATAAGCCCAGCCTGGAGCCTGCCGTACCGCTTGCGCTTGGCCACTATCTCCGGCCCGGCGACGCACGAATATCATCTTGCTGTGCATGAGCACTTGGTCACGGGATATCACATCTCGCACGAGCTCTCTGGGGAAATTGGGCGACCGCCACCACTTTGCCTGCACGCATATCGTGCCTCCCGCCTATACATGTACGTGTCATTTTTTTGGGTTGTAGCCATTGGTGATTGGTGAAAAAAAGGGAGAGATGTGATTGGACATGACATCGGGATTGGTTGGCCGAGCCGTGTAAATGACTCGGGGGTCACAACTCACATTGCGCCCACCTCTGCTTTGCGACACTGTACGGTCGGTAGGGAAGTAGATGCGGAATCGTTCTCGCAGGAGCTGCTCCGGAGATGTCGTCGTCGTCGTCGTCGTCGTCGTAGTCGGCTTTTTGGCAGACCTGGAGCTAGTGGTGGCCGGTTTCTGGTACTCGTTTGTGCCGTCATCACCTAAAAAAACGGTGGTAACAAAGTGAGTGAGTGAACCGATGAGTGAGCCGTTTTCCCCACTCCAGAGGGGAGTAAGCAGGCAAAAGAGAGATTGAAACAAGGAAAAAAACGTTGGTTTTTAGTTACCTCGACAGGCGTTGTAGATGGCCCGTACCATCTGCTGGTTCAATGCTCCCAACGACGCACACTAGAAAACGAGTCGTTAGCTCTCAGTTCCAGCGTCGATCAACAAGCAGCGGGCAACGTGCCACAAGGTCGACATCGACAGGGTCGGGAGAAGCTAGGCCGAGGTCAGCTACGCTAGCTGCGAGGCCGACGTATCCTAAGCAGCAATTGAGTGTCAGCGATGAGATGAGCGTCTCTATCTCCCCGGGTTCGGGTTGCAGGCATAGCCTCGCTCGAACTCGGGCCAGTTCTGAATTGGAATGGAGATTATGACATGCCTGTACGCTCTGAGTTCTTTGCCGAATGACTCCCGGGTCTAAAAGATGAGAAGCAATCGACTCAGTCAGTTTTCAGTCTATTTTCCAAAGGCGGAGAGGGGTCCAGTTCGACAGCTATTGCCCAAAAGAGAAAGACGTAGCGGAGCGAACATACATTGTATGAACAAAGGCGATATCCGCCGTCCTGGAGAAATCGTAGTTTGCCAGACTGGCCACCATTTTCTCGCCTACGCCCGTTGCCTGCAAGAAATAGACTAGTTCCGTGTAGAACCTGGTCGGCGCATGGTTACGGGCGGCGCTGGCATGGGTTGAGGCGGGATGGTCCAGCCTTGGGAGATCGATTAGAAATACCATCTAAAAGTAGCAATAAACGTGTTAGAGATACGGAGATTGCAACCCCTTGCTATTCATTCTTGTTCAGTTCGTGGGGGGAAGGGAAATAATACAGGCGCAGAAAAAGGCCCAAAGGGGAATGATGTTGAAAGAAACCGAAAAGTGTAAATCGCCATCCCCCTGTCTTCTTAGACACGGGCAGGGGAAAATCAAAAGATAGTCGTGCTACTCACATTCTCCATGACCCCTGTCTCTCCCCAGTCGTAGGGCATGAGGTTGCCCGTTGGAATGACGACGCGGAGACGGCTCGGATACTTGAGCAGCTGCAGCTTGGAGTGCATGGCGCCGACACCGTGCATAGGAGGGAAGCAGAACTTGATGTTGGCGGGGACGTTGCCTTGCATGAGGGTTTTCTGTTTTGGGGAAAAGATTTGTCAATTATTTCTCTTTTGCTCTGTGTGCAGTAGCTCTGTGTGTAGTACATCTCTAGACTGAAGAGATGACACAGAGATTGAGAAGATACGGGGAAACGGTATGAATTTCAGTACCTGAGCTTCATCCCTCGCAAACGCCATGAGCAAAATCTTGGTCCTCCTGTAATCCAGCTTTGAAAGCATCCACTCCTCGTCCCATTGGAAAGATGAGAGCACGGCGAGCTCGAGCTTGTCCTTTTGAAAGACCTCTTCGATGGTGATTTCGTCGCCCCGTCGAGCAGTGCCGCGGGCCCAGGTTCGTTTGACGGTGGGATTTGGGTATGGTACGTTGCTACTGTTGCTGCTGCTATGTCCAGCTTTAGTAGTTGCGGCTGTAGATGATGCTGATGCCGATGCCCCAAGTGTCTTGATATTGCCTCCGGCGGGAGCTCTTGTAGCCTGTTTCTTCGGAGGAGGCACCTCTACGACGTCGTCGTCATCGTCGGTAGCAGGTCGCTGGCGCTTTGCAAGGCGGTTCAAGCGCTCCTGTTCCATGGCTCTTCGGTCGAGCATAACAGAACCAAACTGGGACTGGGACTGCTGCTGCGACGAAGGCTGTGACCGCTGGGATCGCATCGGTGTCGGTGTCGTTTGCTGCGTCGGCTGTGTCGTCTGCTGTGTTTGATCCTCAGAGCTTGCGCTTGCGGTGGAGGATCCGTCGTCATCGATGTCGTCGTCGGAAATATCAATCGCTTGTTGCATGAGGGATGCGTGATTCTGCAAAGCTAGGGCGAGGGCGAGGTTGAGAGCTTCCTCTTCGGCCTCGTCGTGTTCAATGATGCCTTCGATGATGTCGCGGACGGCGGGGTCGTCTGGTCCGGGTATGGCCAGAAACTGTTGCAATCAAGTGGCTCTCGAGACAATAAACAGGGAGGATTGCAGTTTTTGAAGTTGTGACGTGTAGTTGATCGATTATGTGGCGGAATGGTTGGTCAGAAAGTTGGGGGCCGCAATGCGTGAATCGGGCCATTGAACGTGACGTTTCGTGAATCGGCTCGGCGCGCTGTCACGTGGGCGCAGAGGTGAATCCCGCCGTGGCAGAATGCAGCATTAAAATCGTCAGTCGAAGCATTTTTCGATTTATTGGTCAGTGTTTCAGTTGCTTCTGTGTCTGTCAATGACGCATGGATTAGTTGTGTGGCTTTTTGCGAAGAATGGACGCTGCGATGCGGACGGAGGCTGCGGTCTTTATGTTTGACTTACACGGATCTATGGGCGGGCATCAGATCTATATATAGCTTGCTGTCAGCTCAGCTCGATGACGATCGGACTAGCCAAAATAAACCATGTTGGCCATTTCTATTTATAAAGTCAAAGGATTTCTAAGTCGTGGATGTCATGGAATGAAACATTAATGAAAGTGAATGTGTACTATGGCAGGTCTTTGTGCTGTTCATCCCTTGATACAGAGTTTCCGATCATGGCGGCACTAAGACGACACGCGCATCGAGCAATGACGTCCATGAAGATGAAACATGATTCTCATTTAAATGGCAGTTTTCACGCTTTTATTTACATTATTCACTTTCTCTACAACCCATGGTGGATTAATAAGTCGGAAAATTAATACTCAGCAGTGCTGGTTACAATCATGGCGTCCTCTCCTAATGATCAACCCCGTCAGCAGCACATTGTCATTGTTGGGGGTGGCGCAGCAGGCATGGTACATATGAAATAATCATGAATAATCATGAATCTCCCCTCATCTTCTCTTCTCTCCGATCTAACGCTTAATCCAAACAGTCCTGTGCTGCGACGTTGGCAAATCACCCCGAGAAATTCAAAGTCACGCTCCTCGAAAAGAACAGCGTCGTAGGAGGCCAAGCGACGTCCATCCCGCTCGACGAGGGCAAATTCGGCGCATCATGGATGAATAACGGCGTTCAGGGAGGATCTCAGGTACTCTCCCCTTCTCTTTCTCTATACACACACACATACATATCATGTGTCATGAAACTCACCATTGCCAGATCTTCAAACACACCTTCAACTTCTTCAACGCCCACTCCTCCCCCGCCCGTCCCCTCAACCTCCAAGTCTCCTTCGGCAAAGGCCCCTCCGGCTTCTGGACAAACTGCTTCCCCAGCAAGCTCGTCGCCGCGCACGCCTCCGACATCAAACGCTTCGGCCTCTTCCTCAAGGTCATCAAATGGACCATGCCCGTCTTCGGCCTGTTCCCCATCTCCGTCATGCTGCGCCTCTTCTTTTTCAGCAAGGATTTTGGCGACAAGATGGTGTACCCGCTCATTGCGTTGTTTCTCGGCACGGGCAACCAGACGGCGAATGTGCCCGCGGCGATTGTTGAGAGGCTGTTTAACGATCCGAATATGAAGCTGTGGGACTATGACAAGGAGACGTTGTTGCCGAATCAGCCGACCATGTACTCTTTTGACTGCCTACACGACTTTTATGGCAAATGGAAGGATAGTCTTGTTGCAAAGGGCGTTGATATCAGGACAGACACCGAGGTTCATCGCGTGCTCTCCCGGTCCAGCCAAGGCGTCGACTTGGCCATCAAGAACAACAACGCCGACGACATCACAAACGAACACTTTGACCACCTCGTCATGTGTGTCCTCGCAGATGACGCCCTCAAGATTCTCGCGGACACAGCAACCGGCCGCGAGAAGCGTGTCCTCGGCAGCGCAGCCTTTTACGACGACCTCACCGTTACGCACTCCGACTCAGCCTACTTCAACCGGCAATACGAAACAAGCTTCAAATCCGAGCTCTGCGCAGAGCCAAAGTCCGAAGAGCAGTGCCACCAGATTGCCACCGCCAAGGGGGAATCAGTCTCTTCATCGTCGTCGTCGTCGCCTTCAGACAGTTCCGAGCAGTTCAACCCCATGTACTACACTTACACGTATCAGCATGACCCGCGATTGATAGAAATGTCTTTCAACTGCAGCAACTACCAGCACCAGTTCAAGAAAGAAGCTTCTTCTGAGTCTGAAGCGCAACCCGAGCCGGTCTACCAGACAATCTTCCTCGACAAGCGGAAGAGCGACCTCTGGACGGTCGACGGCATTGACGAGAACAAAATCATCAAGCGGAACTGGTGGCATCAGCTGGGCCACCGTTGGCAGCATTACTTGCAAGTCGTGCCGTGCATGATGTTTCTGCAAGGACGTAACAATACATTTTTCGCTGGATCGTGGACACTGGTGGTATGTTGTCTATTCCCCTTGTCCATTTTTCTTCCAAACTACCCCTTTCTTCACACACTTCACAGAAACAAAACGACTCTTTAGTCTACTCAATACTCACCCCTAAACAGAACATGCACGAAGTCGCCTGCATCAGCGGCATCGCAGCCGCCTATCGCCTCGGCGCAGACTACACCAAATTCGATGACTTTGCCCAAGACTTCTTTGCAAAGTACCTACTGCTTTCTCACGGTAAATTCTTTTCGCGAGAGGAAAAGAAAAGGAAGAAAGGGAAAACAGTTTAAAATTGAAAAGAAACAGAGGGAAAAGAGAGAGGTCGCTATAATCGCTAGTAAATAAAATCACCGCTCATGGATACCCTTCTTTAGACAACAAAAAAAAAGAAGTAGTGGGAAAACAGAGCTTTTCCCGGTGATGATATTAAAAGAATGACTTGTCCGCTCCAATCCCAACTCAAATCCACCGTGTCGAGCAAAATGAAAATGAGAGAATCATCCTCACTCAAATCCTGCCATGCAACATGAAAATGAAAGAACCATTCCCACTCAGACCCATCCTGCCATGCATCATGGAAATGAGAGGCCCAGAAACTCAAATAAAAAAAAAAAAAGCTGATAACGTCATGCAAAACGAAGAGCAAGTCTAAGTATACAAGCGGTCATCAATTCCGAAACGAGAGACAGGAAAGAAAAGAAATATAAAGAGAAAAGAGACGGAGACTCAAAATCAAGCAAAACAAAAGTAGCTGATACTTTCAAAAGTAAATGGCAAAACCCGCCATGTACATTTCGCGTCCCATTCCAGTGAAACCGTCCGTCAAGATAAAAGGAAAAATCCCACGTGAACCATGAGAATATAGACTCCGAAACCGGGTGAGAAAGAGTGAGGCAAGAGAATGTGAGAGAAAACTCCAGAGTCGCTGCCATGCCAAAACATTGGTCATTTGGCAGCATCAGCAAAGCCTTGATCAATCTTCCGCCCGGCATCTACCATGACTCCTCGGGTATCGCCGAAAACCATAACATACTAAGTCCCAAAGCAAATCTTTCGTCCTGATGCCAAAAAGTTACATGATTCTCTGTAACATTCCAGAGTCAAATACCACCAAGTGTCCCGTTAAAACCAATAGCTGATGTGCAGATCCGTCTCTCTGGTAGCGCCCCCAATGCCTCGTGGATGATGGATGTCTCTCTTGGCCGTTGAACAAACAAGCACCGCCAAAAACAGCGCTATGCGTTGAGTATTTGGTTGGTTGTGATGATCAAGGCTCAAGTGAGGCCATATAGCTAGCTGTCTGTAGAACATTCGCAGCTCCAGGCGGAGAAAAGAGAAAGAGGGATAAGAAAATGAAAAGCTCAATAGTAAACAAATAACAAAGAGGTAAAGGCAAAAAGAAAAAAAAGGAAATAGAAGAAAGAAAAAAAATATACACAAGTGTATGTTCAAGTGTATGTTCCCAAGGGCCTGTAACCGTTCCCATATTCCCGCTCTAGGATGATGCGAAAAAACATAGCAAAAGAAAAAAAGATGACATATTGTATCCCGCTTCCCAGTTGAGCCACAAAGCCACATTTCAAAAAAATTGAAAATGGAGCAACATTGCTGAAAGATATATGTAATGTAAAAAGAACAAGGTAAAGATGTAGCCGGAAACTAGTGGGTGAAGAGCCTGCGTTCCGTAGGCGGGCGGTCAACTGCCAAATCCAGCTTCAAGATTCGTCGAAGATCATTTTCCATGGCTTGGATGCTGCCTGCGCTTTCGTACCCAGGACCATCCGTCTGGCTGTTGGAATAGGCTGGGGCATGGCGAGGAGGCAGCGAGTTGTTGGCGACAGACGACGGAGCCGTTGGCGCAGCCGACTGGGGAGTAAAGAGAAATCGCTTGAGAGCTTCAGTCGGGTCTTGACTAGGGGCGTTGCTAACTGGAGTGGGCAGAGGGTTCCCGAAAGCAGGAGGCGGGTGGGAGGCATGGTTGCGCGCAGATTGGATCCGATCCTGGTAGGGAGTCGAGAATGGCGGGCCCAACGGCTGGCCTCCGGGGCCATCCAGCTCGTAGATTTCATTGCCGTTGTACGTCTGTCGATTATACATGCGACGATTGTGCGCAAGGTCAGACGCTGATGGCGTGAGGGGAGCATCCAAACGGCGTGGGGGAGACATGGCGCCAACCAGGGGCGGTGCGGCAACGGGCGTTCCGTCGAGTTCCTGGCGGGCCTTTTCCTCTCGATGAGCCCGGAACATGAAATCGAGCGGCGATTCTCGGTATTGAGAGGCAGAAACCGGCCTCTGTGGCGTAGGCAGCTCCGAGTCCGTAGCCGGGGGAGAGGGCTGGGAGATGAAGCCCCTTGGCTGGCGGACCGCTGGCGAGTCGCTGGCTGACTTGAGAAAGCTAGGGATTGGGAGATCCGCAGGGGCGGGCGAAGCGTGGAAAGTAGCGCCGGCAAAGGCCGTGCTGGAGATTGACTTTGGCGGAGATGTGCGAGAGGGAGACTGGTTGTGGTTGTTGCTGAGATGGTAGTTGGGCGACGAGGCGTCGTTTTTGCCCTTGGGCTTGTTGTTGCGATTGTTGCGCGGCTTGGAGCTGGACTGGTTGTTCTGGCGCTCGGCCGGCGCAGGGGACGCGGAGAAGATCTTCTTGGGAGTCTGCGGTGCCCTGTGGTGGTGGTGCTGTGATGAGGCTGCGTAGGATGCGGCATCGTTCTCTGACGCATAGGCCTTGAGGGGCGCTGGCTTGCCGCCTCGGGGGTGACGGCGACGGCCTGGCGTGGCCTTGATCGGTGATGGCTGGGCCTCCATTGGGGTTGTGGGAGGAGAGGAGAGTTGGAAGGATGGCGGGTAAGGATGCAGAAGAACTGAAGGTGGAAGATGGACCGGTGCTGGCGGCAGCTGAAGAGGAGGTCGTCGGTGCTGAGTGGTCTGAGGAGCGACAATCACGTGTGTCTTAGGCGATTTCCGAATGCGGCGGCTGAAAGGCGGCCGGTGAGAGGGGACAAGCGAGCCTTATAAGTTCAGGAACTGGGACAGCGCTGGGCACCGGCTGGGCATCTCGGTTGGTCGGATGGACCGCAGTGGAATTAGCTGGAGGCAACAAAGACGGGCGCTGGAGCGTTCAGCTGCTGCAAGGTTGAGGGTTGAGAATCGCAGATGATGCCTGACCTGGCCGGGCCCCGCATGCATTTGCAGCCAGCTGAAAAAACAGCAGACAGGACGGGCGGATACGGGTAGCTGCAGGTAGCGCGACTGCAGCTCGTGGTTGGAATAGCGGCGTCAGAGTGGTACTGCTACCGGTAAGTACTTGCTGCTAGCCGCTGGGTGTTGTTTCGCCATGCGCAGGGAGAGTCGCTGGACGAGAAAGACGTCTTACCTTGATCTTGGGGGCTGAGGGCAATATGAATACACGTATATTTATTCTTGGATATAGAAACAAAGTGTAAGTTTAAATAGTCCTCCTGCTCTGAATAAATACTGCTGCCAAAGCATAATATTGGCTTTGTTTTGCGTCAAACTGCATCGCCGTGCTCAAAGCAAACAATCGCCTCGTTCCACCGGCAACCAACAGAGGCGCTCTGCTTTGGGCTTTCAGCCTGTCGTCATCGGGCCGGAGCAATCGGGCGGAGAAAGCGCTGCCTAAGCCCAATTTGTGCCCGCAAGGTACCTGAGATGGTGCGATTAGCCCAGGGCCGCTGCCAGCGGTACATGCGCGCAACCTCTGGAGCCGCGCTCAGCAGTAACTGCCGCCAAATTCACAGCCCGGAGATACAGCGTAGGCCCCGCTGCTCACAATCGTGCCCCTCGCTACGGCCGATTGCGATTACAGTTGCAGTTACATGCTCCAGCTTCGATACAGCGCCTTGTGCTTTGCCTCTGAGCTGCTGTTAATTGTTTGACGTAGCTGCATTCAATTTAGTTCAGCATCTCGATTTGTAGCTCTCGCTTTGTCGTAACTAGAAGTAAACTTTTTTCTAAACCCAGAGTTTGTACTGGGAACTGCACGCCGCAGATTTGTCAGGTTCACAGCACTTCAACGGCGTTGATGAGGTAAGGCCCCAGTAAAGTACCAGCAAATGCTTAGTAGGATTTAGGCTGCGACTCCATACCTCAAATCGTACAGTCCCTTGATGGCTAACCAGCTGCACAACAGCCATCCATCACTCTCTCACGCACAGTAAATCTTCGACCTGTACTTCTTGCTCCACCTCGTTTTCCACAGCCATCTTGAGCATCACAAACTCGCGCAGCCGTCACCTCTCAAGCTTTACCCACAAATCACGAGCTCTCAAACATGGCCGACGTCGAGATGAGCGACGCTCCAGTGGCCAAGAAGGCCGACGGCGTCGTCGCCAAGGGAAGCGATAAGAAGAAGTTTGAGGTCAAGAAGGTCTGTATTCATTCGAGCTCAATAGAGCGGAGAACCGAAAAAGACTGACAGAAACAGTGGAACGCCGTTGCCCTCTGGGCCTGGGATATCGTCGTCGACAACTGCGCTATCTGCCGTAATCACATCATGGACCTCTGTACGCTTCCACCCCTCCCCCGCTGCCCTTTGGTCGAAACAAGTTGACTTACGCCCACCAGGTATCGAGTGCCAGGCAAACCAAGCATCAGCCACCAGCGAAGAGTGTACCGTTGCCTGGGGTATCTGCAACGTAAGGCGCCCCGCTCCGTCTCTATAATCCTTTTATCGACGTCCACAAGACTAATCTTTATCTAGCATGCTTTCCACTTCCACTGCATTTCACGATGGCTCAAGGCCAGATCGGTCTGTCCCCTAGACAACAGAGACTGGGAGTTCCAAAAGTACGGCCGGTAGACGAAGCGAGACGGAAGCACAGACACGCGAGACGAACGAAAAACACACACTATATCGTACAGGGACAAAGAAGGAATGCGGTATATCATTTTGGGAGAATTTAAGCTACATGCTGTTTTAGAGGATATCATAACGCCGGGGTCTTGCTCAGGGTGGCAGCCATCGTCTGGCCCATCATGTCCCGCCGGTGTTGAATGCAGATCCGATAGGTAGCCACTTGACCGGATTCTTGTTATAGAACGGCCAGGGAGGAACGATAATGAGAAACGTCAATAGCGTGCCGCCCAATCCAACATAGAGGCACTTGACAATGTCTTGCAAAAGGTATCCGACGTTGAAAGCGATGAGCTTATGAGATGTAAGCATTTGACGAAATCAGTTCGGAGCTGCGGGGAGGTGATTCATACGCCTGTGAGAGAGAGCAGGAGGGTTGCGTAGCCCTCGGCACGTCGCTGGCCTTCGAAATCCTAGAGTTGAAATCGCCCGTTAGTTGATCTTCAGCCTCGTAGATGGATCTGGTCGCCCTCACTATCTGGCCTTCCACCACGTCCCGCACTTTGTCCAGCAATTCCTCTGCCATGTTGAGTCGTCGCTCTGTTTTGTTGTTTCTTTGAGTATATTGTGTTGTTTCTTTGAATTGTTTATTCCTAGTATCGGAATTTACCGTGGTTTGAGAAATGGTCGAGAGCAAGTAGAAGTGGTTTGGCCTGGCACGAGCATGCAGCATTACACTGGCTGTAGTAGACACGTCTTTGGAGCGATGTGTGGCGCAAATGCCTGATGCGGGTGCAGGTGGGTCTAGGCTGGGGAAACGTGGCGGTGCGGAGAGGTAGCTGCTAACCTGGAGTGCTGCGAATAGGAGCTCTGGCAAGGATTTGATGCGGTATATGGATTTTTCGTATATACGCGTAGACATATGGTATGCGTTGGTGTTTTTTATTAGTATAGTGGTTTATTTCTACTAGTTTGGTGCGTTGGTACATTATCTGGTGGTTTCAAGTCAACAAAGCTCCAAGAAGATTTGTATGATTCATGAAGCTTTACCAGTATATCCACTCAATGTTAGCCACCAGAACTTTTACGGCCGAAAAGTCAATACGATAAAGCCAATTGCGCGAAACGAAATACTACTAGTAATTCCTAACACTTTATTTACAACAACCACAGGCCATTTTCATATCATATCCTATGCGGCTACGGCGTGCAAAACAGGGGTGCCGAGTGCCGTGATCGCGCCAGGAATAGAAGGCGGAGATCTTGCCGGCATTGGCTACAACTCAAGAGTCTGGTGGCGAATCAAAGCCTCCGAAACCACCTGAAGCACCGGCCCTGACGTATTTCATATGCTTTGCATATACGCGCAAGTAAAAATGGCTCTTGATGGAGGCCTATTCTACTTCTTGTTCCGATATTCCAGTGATGTTGTGATGAGAAATCTTCTCATAGACAGTCCCTCATCGTGACGCTGCTCCTGACCGCTTGCCGCAGAGGCTTGTCTTAGTCTAACTTTCACATGCTAGGCAAACGCGGCAGCTCGAATATCTACAGCTGATTGCTGTACCACCCGCCCTGCAGATATGGCCATCTTTGACGTATATTCTGTATCTTCTTGTGTAACTTGCAATTTTCTAGTGTCATGCCCAATGATTCAGATCCTTCCATTACCTTCATGTTGTCATTGCATCTCTCACCTCTCTGGGGGCCGGGCGGCCAGAACGTGCCGTACTCGCTGGCCAGACTGCGAGCTAAGCGACGCCCGCTGAGCATGGGCGCGGTATTGAGTACCTTGAGGTCGAAGCGATGAGTAAGAAGATACCGCCATCGGGATTAAATTTCAGAGGATTAGTCGCCTTTTCCTAGCAGACTGCAGGTACTAGTCCTAGCTTTTAGCGGCTCGCCTAGTACCCAAGTACCCAACACCTCGAGCTCCGACCTCGTAGCCCAAAATTTCTCGTAGCAGGTTTCTTGCCCCCAAAGCTTGATCCCAGCGTCGGTCAGGCCAAACCAGTTTAGTGACCACCAGCTGATTTTCGTGGCGGCGGGTACCGCCAGAGGGAAAATTTCATCGTGCAGGCCATGCGCTGGAGCCCCCAATCGCCGCTGGCTTTTTGTTTTCTTTCAAACAACCACCACCTCTGGTTTCTTCTTCTTTCTTCCCTTTTCTTTTTATCCACGGTCGACGAGAGTCCTTTTTTTAAATGACTTTCTCCCTAATTTACTGAATACTCAGCCCTTGGCATATATTCGGGCTTGTCCAAGCGACCCTTTTTTCTTTTCGCTAAAGTGATAGCGTTATAAACCCCGTCGCTTTTCTCCTTGCGGCGCACACATCAGCCCTTTCTGCCGTTCGCCGCAAACGAAAAGAGATAGAAGCATCTCCTTTTCTGACCTCGACTCACACCAGCCCGCCAACAACGACCCAATTTCTCGACAACGAAAAGACTCGTCTCGTCATTTCATTATTTTAATCGATAGTCGATAGGCTTCTGATAGCCGTCACCACTCTCAGCATCCAATACCTCCTTCTGCGCCATCGCAGACTTGTCGCCGAATACCTTCAAGTTGGCTCAACTCGCCTTCCCGGTCGTCATCTTCCCTTCGCTCCTCGGGCCCGGCTGCTGGGTCTATAGCGGAGTCAACAAGGAACCTCCATAACTTGGCTTCATTGACAGGAGCTCATCGCTACGCCCGTTAAACCGTCCACTACTCGCACCTCTTCTTCTCTTAGTAGCTCCAGCTGCTACCAGAAGCGACCCCCGGGTCTTCGTTTTGTTCCAAACCAACTACTCGGCGCGCTGCTGCCGCGCCGAGAGGGCACTTGACAGCCTGTCCCAGGCCTAGAGAGTCGCAAAAACCCATTGCCAAAGCATGTTCCAGAACCCTTAAGTTGCCAGCAGGCTTCGTCCGAGTTGTTGCGCGGTGATTTCCTCCGATCCGATTTCCAGACAGACCGCAAAACCCGCAAGATCTTCGATCCCAACTACGTTACCCACCATGTCTGACCACGACGAGACCTTCCCCGACACGGGGTACGACACCCCGGTTCCCGAGCTCGACGACCACCGACACCGTTCATCTGCCCAGAGAGTTGAGCGCCCACGCCGAGGAACCTTTGATAGCTTGTACGGCGCTCGCCATCTCGACCCTGAGATGGCGGTCCGCGTCCGCGACTTTGAGGAAGCCATCGTCGACGAAGACGGCGACAATGCCCAGCCCATGCCACGCCACGCCCGCCGTCCAACAATCGAGTCGTCGACAGATGGTAGATCCATCTCGCCCCCCAACTCGGTCAAGGCCTTTGCCGAAGCTCGGCGCAGAGAGCGCGAGATGTCCTTTTCCGAGGCCAAAGACGACGGCGAGGAGCCCCTCGGCCGAACAATGTCCATTACAAGCCATCGGAGCAGGAGGTCGTATAACCAGGACGCGGACGCCAGAAGCTTCCTGACCAACAAGACCGTTGAAGAGGACGTCTGCTACCCTCTCCAGGAGAAGCACCCCAAGCAGCACAGCGGCCGAATCGATTTTGAGTATCTCGAAGATCTCATCAGGGATCAGCAGGAAGAGCGGGAAGAGCGAGCTGCCAGAGCAGAGCTGCCCACCGAGAGCTTCAAGGACCTGCGACGGACCTCTACCCTGACAAAGCCCGCGCAGCTCGTCACGGTCGATGGCGACATTCTCGAGGCGCCCTCTGACGACTCGGTGGCCAACGAGAAGACCTCTTATGAGGGTCCTGCTCCTCCCAAGGCTCAGCCTGTTGACAACACTCGCTTCAGCTTTTTTTCTACTGCATGGGAATCCACGATTCATGCCCCCGAGATGGGCGATCTTGTGCTTCCGGGAGAGGATCTCCGGGGACTCTTTGAACTGCCCGAAGACGAAGACGGCGGTGTCTGGTGGCTCAATGTCAACAACCCCACAAAGGCAGAGGTGTACGGCATGGGCAAGGCGTTTGGCCTCCATCCCCTGACCATTGAAGATATCGTGACCCAGGAGGCTCGCGAAAAGATTGAGCTCTTCCCGTCGTACTACTTTGCTTGCTTCCGGTCGTTTAACGTAGTGGACGAGCCTGATGGGAAAGAGTACGAGCCTTTCAACATCTATGTCATTGTGTTCCGAGAGGGCACGCTCAGCTTCAGCTTTACGCCCAATTCTCATGCCACCGATGTGCGCAAGAGAATCACGTCTCTCAAGGACTATGTCTCTCTTAGCAGCGACTGGATCTGCTATGCCTTGATGTAAGTTTCACTTATATAAAGCAATGGTATTGATGTGTGATCTAACATATGCTTCCAGTGACAACATTGTCGATAGCTTTGCGCCCGTCATCAATCAAATTGAGCTTGAGGCCGATGCCATTGAAGACGAAGTCTTTGTCATGCGGTTTGACGACTCAAACACCTTCTTGCGGTCCATTGGACGGGTGCGGAAGAACTGCATGGCGCTCCTGCGGCTGCTGGGCGGCAAGGCAGACGTCCTCAGGGGCTTCACCAAGCGCTGCAACGAAAACTTCCAGGTGACACCGCACATGGACATTGGCATGTACCTCGGCGACATCCAGGATCACGTCGTGACCATGGCGACAAACCTGGGCCACTTTGAGAAGATTCTGTCTCGCGCCCACAGCAATTACCTGGCCACGCTGTCCATCAACAACATCTCGCAGGGCACGGACATGAACCGCGTGCTGAGTAAAATCACCATGCTGGGATCGATTCTTGTGCCGCTCAATCTGGTTTGTGGTCTGTTTGGCATGAACGTGCGTTTGCCGTTTGAGGACGTTGCCAATCTGGGGCCCTTTTTTGGAATTGTCGGCTTCATGATTGTCATGTGTGCCATGATGGTGTCTGTGGCGAGGTGGAAGCGGTGGATATAATAAAATCTGGAGAGAAGGATGATGAGCTTTTTTGGGTTTATAGTATATAGAGGGTTTGTCTTTTCGTTGTATTGATTTTATTGTGTACTAGTTTTGGAACGTTTCTTGTGTATTTGGGTACATTTGGCATCATAGACTCGGGAAGCATTCTTGAGGCGTGGAGTCATGTTTATAGCCTTGCTGGCAAGTAATCAATAGTCTGCATTGTACATGTATAGGTATCTGAGCAATGTGCATCATCACTTTAAATAGTCTGCGTTGACATGATTGTTGCATCTGACAATTTTGATGTGGTACATAATAGATGAGCATATCTGTATAAAAACCAAAAAAAATCAAGAATCTTTAAAAAATCTCAGGTGTCTCTCTCTCCGTCTAGATCCGTCTTGAAGACCAAGGCCATCTGATTGTGGAGACGACGTTCTCTCCTCTCATTCGCCAATATCAACGTTGATAACGCACTGCCATTGGTCAGAAAAAGCCCATGGAAAAATATTATCAACCACCGCTCGATATCATCATCTTTGCAGCAAAAACAACCTCTAAAATATATCTAAGACTCTCTCTCTTTACTACGAAGACTTTCTTACATCAGTATACCTACGCAATTGAGAATCTTGATATAGTGCATACGAAGCAGACTCGAATACTTTTCGCCCAAGATGAACGCCGCCCAGACTGGAATCGAGAACCTCGACCTCGAGAAGCTCAACGACAAGGATAAGACGGAGTTGCGGCAGTTTCTTGCGAATGAGCAGCAGCGATCGCAGATTCAGGCTCGTATGTGCTGCCAAATTTTTACCTCAACTCTCTATATCAATACCTGCTTGTTCTACAAGACGTGGTAGGGAAGAAAAGAAGGGAGATACAACGAGAGGAAGAATAAAGCTAATCTTTGTTTTCTTTCGTATTGTAGAAACACACAACCTGACGCAGATTTGCTGGAAAAAGTGCGTCACTGGAAATATCAAGGGATCGAAGCTGGATAAGGGCGAGGAAGGGTGCTTGGCCAATTGCGTGGACCGATTTTTGGATATCAACTTTTTGACGATGAAGCACCTCAACAATATGCGGTCATAAGGTCCCGTTGTTTTCTCTTTGTTTTTCTCTTTTGGAATTTGAGGGGTTAATGTGGGTGTGCGTTGTGCGTTGTGCAGTGTATGATATGGCGAGGCATATGGCAGGTATGATAGACTATGGATGGGACACGGGACTGTTCTTCTCTCTGATAAAGACCGACAAATGAATATACAAACGGGCTTCAAGCCATATAGAAAAGGCATTGAAGTCTAAAGAAAAAGACAATTGATTCGCAAAAGGCATTACGGTTTCAGCACAGCATTCATCTACGTGGTAGTGGATAGTCATGTCACGTCAATCAGAGCAAATGATTGTCTTCAGCTCTCATCTTCAATTATTTCTTGATTCCCTTTCATAATCGGTACGTGGACGGACCGGCTCTTGTCTTTTGGTTTTGCATAGTTTGTATCATGATTGTGTTCCGATCCGTAAAATGACAAAAAAGCTCAACTCCTCCCAAAAAAAGTGTTGTGTTCCTCAATGCCCATGGTATATGTGCATGCATGTGAGACGTAAGACCAATTTCCGCGCCCAAGAGAAAAGAAAGAAATGATAGAAGCCAATAAATCCCTTTTTTATTTTGATACTAAAAATATCCAGCTTAGACCAGAGAGAGCTTGTTGGCGGCAATGTCGAGGGCATCGACATCGGGGGTCAGGCGGGCGTAGGCCTTCTTGGAGCCGTCAGGGCTAGAGAGAGTTAGTACATATAAATATTTCTTGTGTTGTGAGAAAACATACCGGATCAGGGTGTTGATCTTGACGGTGTCAATGTCGTAGAGCTTCTTGAGGGCCAGCTTGATCTGGGCCTTGTTGGCCTTGACGTCGACAATGAAGACGAGGGTGTTGTTCTCCTCCATCTTCTTCATGGCGCTCTCGGTGTTGAGAGGGTGGATGATGATCTTGTGCTCATCGAGACGGGGCAGGTGGTTGATGGCCTTGCGGGGGTAGCGAGGAGCGCGGGACAGGACCAGAGTCTTGGGGCGGTGGAAAGAGGTAGTCTGGCGGACCTTGCGGGTCTTGGAGGAGTGAGTCTGCGGTGTGTTAGATCTGAGCTTGAAGCGGTTGCAATTGTTCAAGTTGAAGTACTTACACCCTTGAGGGCGGCCTTGGCAGCGGCGTTGGCCTGCTTGGAGCCCTTGGCGGCAGCTACATAATCATACGCATCAGCAATCGCTCTTATTCAGAACTCGCAAAATCTGCTGCTGCATGATGCTGCGCGGGAGATGTCAAGAGAGCATGTTGTTTTGTGTCGTATCGTATCGAGAGTCGCTTCGCAGAAAAATTGACGGTAATCGATTTGCTTCGGCTCCTTCGAAAACGACGACAACAAAACTCGTCTCTTGTATTTCAAGTCGTACCTTTCTTGTTAGCGGGAGCCATTGTATTGGTCGAGTTTGCACTGAGAATGGTGGTGCTGTTGAGGATTTGTCGACTTATCGGAATGAAGAGGGAAGAGGAAAAAAGAAAAGTCTCCGGCTTAGAAGTTAATTCTGTCAGTGTGGGCGAAATTGCAGAAAAATTTAGGGCTCCAGCAAGCGTGGGCTATGATTGGCCGATGCAGCGCTTCAGTCATGTGATTCTTTCCACGAGCAGTAATTGAGAGGTTTTGAAAATGCGCTAGCCTCTTTGGGAAGGGTATTTATAAGTAAAATGTGCGATCAATATGGCCATTCCATGATTTGGCCAGACGGACCTTTATCTGCGCCGAGGTCGGGAGATTCAGCTACGACACCTCATACGAACGACGACAGCTCTGAGGGCGACTACACGATGCAGCATCAACGCTGACAAAGAGACTGCGGCGGCCACTTGACAGCGGTCTCTCATCACCAGCATAGGCAGCCATCAACGGAGTTTAGAGCAGATACCGGCGTCAGGAGCCAAAGCTCTTTTCTCATTAGGGCCCTTCAGTCTCATATCGAACGGGACTCTTTATCACTTGGCAACAACTTCGTTTGGATCACCTCGGACGCAACACAAGATGGCCCCCAAAAAGAAGACGCTGTCTAGCCTCACCCAAGGGCGCCCGCCGCTTGCGAAGCCATCTCGGACCATGACTCGAAAGGCAAGCAGGACACTGATCAACAAGCATCACCACCTGGAAAAGACGCGAGCAAGGGCCATCAGAAGCGGCGACAAGGAAACAGAAGCAAAGGTGGCCGCCGAAATCGAGAGCCTAGGAGGATTAGATCACTATCAAAAGGCCAGTCTGCAGGGCCAGAGTATCGACAGAGGGGGAGACACATCAAAGGTTCTCATGGAATGGCTCCCGCTGGACGAGCTAAAGAAGCAGACTCAGCCTCTTCAGATGCTCGAAGTTGGAGCGCTCAGCACTCGAAATGCGTGTTCGACCAGCAAGATCTTCAACGTCCAGCACATTGACCTCAACAGCCAGGAGCCAGGCATCCTTCAGCAAGATTTCATGGAGAGGCCATTGCCTGAGAATAAAGAAGAGAAGTTCGACATCATCTCGCTGAGCTTGGTGCTCAACTTTGTGCCCGATGCTCACGGCCGCGGTGCCATGCTTCTACGAACGCTCTCGTTTCTCAAGGACGTCGACAGTACGACTACTACCGAACCCCTCTTTCCCTGTCTCTTCGTCGTCTTGCCACGAAGCTGCGTCGACAATTCACGATACTTTACGGACGAGCGGCTTGATGAGCTGATGACTTTGCTCAATTACACGCGAGTGAGAAGCAAGAAGACACAAAAGCTAGCTTACAGCCTGTGGAGGAGAACAGGGGCAGCTGCAAAGGCCGGGCTAACCTTTTCAAAGCACGAGGTCAACCCTGGGAAGACGAGGAACAACTTTGTCATGACACTCAAAGAGCAACAGACGGATTGATCTCGATTGACGAGGGGGAATCTTTGTCATGACACTCAAAGAGCAACAGTTTTGATTAATATCGATTGGCGAGAAAGCTTCGTCACAACACTCAAAGGGCAACAGACGTGATTGATCTCGATTGGCGAGAGACAACCTTTGACACTCAAAGAGCAACAGGCGTGATGGATCTCGATTGGAGGGAGAGTCAACTTTCGATTACGCAACACTCCCTCTACTTTGCACCAGAATGCAGCGACGAAAGGACAAGCTTCATGCACTAGGGCCCAACAAAGTTTGGATGTGGAGTGTCATGTCATTTTCTTGACAGAGTACTTCTTTTGGTTGCTCTTGGAGATTTGGAGACAGCCACTCGCTGACCGCCTAGGAATCCTCCCTACCGACCCCTCCACACACCTCGAGTAGCATGTCTATAGACTACTTTGTACATTTGGTGCAGCACCTCGCGTCGAGATGGCGGTCAACTAGTCTCCCCGCATGCAAACGCATGATCGATTTCACAGCGATCCAGCCAAATAGCTCTTGTTTTAGTTGCTCGGGAACGGAAATTATCGACACATCAACACAGCTGGAAAAGCTGCTGTCAATCTAAAATATGTCATGTTGAACAGCTGACTACCGGACTCTCCCCGCCATCGACTGATTCGCGGGGGTTTTGGACGGCACCCCCTAATCGAAGACTTGAGCAACGGATCTTCAAGCCGAGGTTTTCGCAGCAATGGCAGCTGCAGCCTGTGCAATGGAGGCCGGGGTGAACTCGGAGACTGCAAACTCGGACAGCGGATGATGGGAAGGCAGAGGTGCGTTGCCCGGTCTGACGGCTGGGATGCTATGCATGCCTGACTGACGAGCGGCGTCGACCTCGCTGAGGTTGTCGCTCAGGAAGATCCAACGTGCGGGGCTGATGTCCGGATGATGAGACAGGATAGTGGTGTAGCTAGCCACGTCGGTCTTGGGCCCCGCATTGACGGTGTCGAACCAGTCAGAAATCACGACGCTCATGTCGGGGGGCTGGGCAGTCGTGTGAGCGAAGAGCAGCTTCTGGGCCGGCACCGATCCGGACGAGTATATCATGATTTTCTTGCCGGCCGCATGGGCGTTGGTGATGAAGGGTGGCACGTCAGGGAAGAGTGGAGCCTTGAGGACTCCCGATTCATAGCCCTTTGTCCAGAGATGGCCTTGGAGGGCCTTTAGGTACGGCGCCTTGACGTCTCGGGCGACCAGGTCCCGGACGTGAGCCTCGAAGGCGCTGCGGTCATTGCGATAGTCGTCGGGGAACGCATTGCGGTAGCCAGCAAAGCTCGGCTCGTCCCACTGCTCCGCTAAGAAGTCGGGCAGGACATTGAGTGCGTAGGGGAACTGCGCAAAGGGCCCATCAAAAGTCAGCCACTTTTTTTCTGCTGCGTTGGACGGGACGAAGAGAGGGAGACGAAGAAGGAGAGGAGTTGAAGAAGCGGGCAGCACTATCTAATTGGTACAGGATATGCGCGCATAACGTGGTAGAGCAAGCAAGCTACGGAGTCGTGTTGGGGTAAAGCAAGGGTGTCTAGTCTTGCACATCGCAGCTCGATTGGCTGATGGGCAGGGATAGTCGGACGGCGATTAAAGCGACAAGCGAGTCCGAACGAAGCCAGCCGCGGCGAGCGAGCGAGCGAATGAGAGGGAAGAGGGAAGAAGCAAGCAAGCAAGCAAGCAAGCAGACAAATAGACGGGCTGGGCTCACCAAGACATCCTTGACAAAGGAGATGGGACAGACGGTGCCCTCTGCATGGCGCGTAGAGGTTGCGCGATAAGCATCAGCTGGGAGACGAGCAACGAAGAGTTGAGAGGGATGGCAGGCAAGTGACCACTCGTGATTCGAATACGCGCACCTTTTTCGGCCGCGTCCACGGTGATCAGCCCGGGGTAAGTGGGGGAGGGGGCGCCGTACCAATGTCGAGCAGAAGAACGTCGAATCGACCAAAGTCGGGCTGTTCAGCCATTTTTGTTTCGCGTCTGTCTCGGTTGTTTCTCCTCTTTGTTGTCTAAAGCTAGCTATACTGCTAGTACTACCTAGTGGTCGTATATGAATATCGTTAGTATGTAAGGGAAAATGAAAACTAGGTAGGGCGCTTTGCTTCTCTCAGAGTCGCAGGCGGTGAGGGGAGAGGAGGCTGTGGAATGTTCTATTTTACATAAAAAGAAGTGAAAAACAATAAGCGAGGGCGGTAAGGCTGGGTCCAGTGTAGTTGCAATAGAGCCTGCTGGGGATAAGCTGTAGAGCTGAAAAGGACAAGGACAAGGTCCCAGCAGAAGGGAAAATTTTGAGAAATGGAGCCCTTTCTTCCCCTCTCTGATCTTCCTACGCAATAGGGTCTACGTGGTTAGATTACAGCGTTTTTGCACTTCTTTACTGCTACCCTAGAGCTGGACGCTAGTGCCTGGATTTGCTCCATCAAGCAGCGTGCCGCTTCTGCTACAGTACAATATATGGCTTCGCATAGCATCCACTGGCATCCACCGCGCTTCGCAGAATAAAAAGGGCCAGCGATTATTATTCGGGGTAGCCCGCATCAAAGCTGCATTAGAGGCGCATTGCTGTGCGTCAGCGTGCAGGGCGGGCGACGCCCTTGTTGATAGTTTTTGATACGGGGCTAGTGGCCTCTTTGGAAGGCGGTCAGGGGTTTGGAAGAATGAGAGAGGGAAAATTCTCTTCAGGCTGATGCTTGCGCTCGGAAGTTTTGCTCTCAGGCCTGGCTGAACAAAGAAGGAAGAAAGAAGCGTGGGGAATGAGGGAGAAGCCGATGATGAAGAGGCATTACGTAGTTATGTCTGGGTATTTTTGTTTAGTTATGTAAATGCCTATGATGTAGATGCTCCTGGGTATGGATCGGAATATACGGGGCTATTACGGAGTGCTGGGCACGGTATGGAGTTTTTGAGGGCAGTGACTTGAGGTTTTTTGACGAGTGGGAGAGCATCCCGATGATCACACCACCTTTTTTGAGCTCTTGCGTATTCGCTTTTGGCGAACGGAGAATTTCAAGGGAAGAGGGCGATGGCGATGGGGACACTGCAGATGGGCGTCTATCCAAAGGGGGAGCACAGCAGAAGCGCCTTGTATCTATTTCATGTTTCGTTTGGATGGATGGTATAGATAGAGCTTCATTCTTAGCGGGACCCATCAACCCGCATTTTGTCTATCTGGTTGCGTGTTTTTACTGCAGATAGACTGATAGATAACCGTCTATCAAACAAGACGCAATCCACAAAGGGTCTGGTGTTCTATTTCGAGTAGCTTTATGACCATCATTTCCCGCATCAATCTGAGTGATGGACGGTTTGATGGAGACGAAAGAAAGGGTGGTTTTATCACTTTAGTGCAGTGCGTGTGTTAGATACGACTTGCTTGTAGTGGTATCTGATCGCCACCGCCGGGGCGATTGCGGCATTGACACATCTTGTGATGTGAAAAGGGTCTTTCTCTCTCTCTGTTTGGGCCATCATTTGACACATTGGATTTCTTTCGTTCAGGACACGTTGCTGGTTGTTATTTTTGTTTCATTTGTGCCTTGTTTCGTATAATTGCGGTGGGTAACGTAATGGGTTGGCATTAAATGAGCTCATCCATGCACTCGGTACCTTGACAAGTACATCTGGTATACTTGGTACTGTGGCTCTTTCGGTGTACCTGGACGGCCATGTTTCCGGCGCATGAGAGTGCAGCTCCATAGGAAAAGACCCCGAGTCCGTACTCCGAAATGCACGTTTCTATTATCAGAAATTGGGTCTGATTTGATGTTGGTGGAATAACAAGATTTAAGTGGTCTCTAAGTGATGTATCTCATATTGTAGCAACCGCCGCGAATCAATCAGTCCATCAGTCAATCTGCCAAACAAGAAAAGGGGGCAGCAGCAGCACCTTTAGCAGTGCTGATGGTTGCATTCCTTCATGCAACCCGAGGCAACCAATTGAGCAGGCAGTCTTATTTACTTTTAGCCGTAAACGCCCCTAGAAGAAAATAAAGCGCCGCCGCGGGATTGCATGCAATGGCACGATACTGTACACAAGTGTCAACTTGGGTTGGCAGCCTATTGTTGGGGGTCTCTCTTGTCTGTTGTCTCTTGCTAAAGAAACGTCATCGCAACGCTGCATTCCAGCCGGTCCCTTGATTTTCTTCCTTTTCTGTCTCGGTACCTTTTCTCTTTCTCTTCGTCCTATCTTTTTGCCACAGTGTAGACTACGGCATGCAGGGTTCAATCCAATTGCGTACAATGTCTAAAACTTTAACTCCTTCTGCCCTTTCGAAACCGTCGACAAACAAAAACAGCTGTCGTCTCCCTTATCTCGGTTGAGGATCCAGACCACCATCGCCGGGGAAAAGTGGCTCGATCGTCTCCTGGGCATGGCACCCGGATGAAACGCTTTCGGGCTCAAGCAAAGGGGGGAGACGAGAAGCACAGTATGGACACACCCAGTATGGGATAGGCACGTTGTAAAAGTACCTACATGAACTCAATTGCAGTGTTTCAGTGCTTCTGAGGTCCGACAGTGCACCAGATCCGGCGCAGTGGTTGGACGGGGGCGTCTGTGCGAGTGAGACAGCAGCAACTTACACGGAGTACATGCACGCCTCACCCGTATCTTCACCATCCCATCCACTGTCCACCTGGTGTTACCGTATCGTGCATTGTAGACTACGGAATGTACATGCAGTCAGTGCAGCATCTCACATTTACACCAATGCACAGTTTGTACCTTTATAGGTACCTCTACACCTTATGCCGAGAACGAGAGAATCGTGAAGCTGCCCCCCCCCAACGTGCGTGTCTCAGCGTCCAATCAGGATCGGCATTGGGCCATACCTGCAAATGTACGTGTACACATGAAACAGCCGTGAGAAGGTCCAGGGTCTCTGGACAATCCATGCAGAATGCGGTAGGTACCTGTGGACGCTACCTAGGTATGGATGAAGTTGTAGCTGTAGCTGTAGCGACCTGCTGTGAAGAGCGTAGAGCGCATCGTATCTGCTTGTCTGCCGCTTATCATGTCCCAGCCGAGATGGGATCGCCCACGGTGTACTTGTAGTCGGTACCGCAGCAAGGTACAAAGTTCTGGATACGCGGATTTGGCACTGAGGGTGAGAAACGAAGCAACGGGGACCCTCTTGCAAATCTCGTCATTTTCCGGCTCGTCAATCAAAACGACGCAATTCCCCTAGCAGAAAGTCTAATGAGCCCGGCCTGACCCTTGCGCGGTACGAGCACGGGCGCGCAGTTGTGTATGGCGACCCAAGTACTCCGTATAAAGAGCGAGATGTTCAGTGGAAAATAGTGAGAGTCGAGATAAATTGGGACGGGGGCTATGCTATGCTCTGCCTCTCTCCCAAAAGTGGTGCACAGTAGAGGCATCAATGCAGCGACCAGTAGGCCTATACGGTGTCGATGGTGTGTGTATCGGTACGCAGACAAGATTTTACTGATTGGCCATTGGGGAATCTGATTCGTTTCTGCTGGTCGTGTGCTCCGGACCCTGATTCTGTGTTTCGACGCAGCGCGGGGGCTAAGGCAGAAACAGAGGAGCAGCGCATCGCACGATTGGTGCCACGCAGCAACCGCTGTCAAGATTATGATTATTGTTTTTATTATCATTATTTAATTTCATCTTCTTTCAAAAGATTATCATTTTGAATTTCATCATGTCGGCCTTTTTCCTTTGTTGCGACGTGGACGGATGGCGATCGCAGCAACGTGTGCAGCAGCGTGGACAGCAAACAGAGCACATGCAGCGATACTCGCAAAACGTGCTGTCCACGCAGCATCCACCACGTACCGGCACCAGCGCACGCACCATGCCGTGGCCGTGCGTCTTCCGCCGAAGCGAACTGCTGCTCTGCTGCTGCTGCCACCCAATCGTTCAGGCCATCTGGGCTCAGTCAGTGCCTCCGGATTGCGGACGCTGTGAGTAACAGTCTGGGGCCTGGGTCTGGATCTGGAACAGCCAAAAGCCAAGCATTGAGCGCTCCCGGACGCTAAAACGAGACCAAGTGCGCTAAGAACTGTGCTGTGCGACCTGGACTGCACAGTGACTTCTTCAACGGACCGGCACGGTGCTGTCACGCAGACCCTCGTCATGTCGTCGTCGTGTGGGGACGCCACCTGGCGTGACTGCTTTTGCGGGAGAGTTGAGCGCTGCTAGAGAGATTCCGCGCAGTAATTGGCGGACCTGGCTTGTCAGCGCTGTTAGCGTCGCAGGTCGCCATTCCGGCTAAATGCTAACAGTTGCGACTTTTGTTGAATTGAATTGGCTTTTGAGCGATTCTCGTCATCCCTATCCGAGTTCGCAACATTATTGACGAAGCAACGATGCACGAGTAAGTGCAAATAGCTGCTTATTGTTCAATATTGTACTATAGTATACTACTAGCACGCGAGCGCCATTTACAATTGTATCCATCTTACCCCATACATCGGCTCGCATTGCATCAGCTGGCACGAGGAAGAGGGAGTCAGAGCAAGAGTGACAAAGAATAGGCGGGCTGCGTGGTGCCACTCGAGGTACTCCGGAGAGTCGTCGCCACGAATACCGCAGAGACACATGTAGATTACATGCATTGCCTAAGGTACAAAACATACAGCACATGCAGGCTTCTTCTACATGCACCAACAATGTGCTGCTACCTGTCGCCAGTGTCTCTCCTGCGTGGCCTGACACATCAACACTTACACAATCCTTCGTCCGTCCTCAACCGCTACAGTACGGCGTACTCCGGCCGTTGCCAGGTAGACTCTCTGCCAGGTGTACAGGTACCCGCATGACCTGCTTGGGCCCCTATTCATGCCCAGCGCAACACCCCGTGCAGCCCGTACCCGGTACTCCCCTCGGCGAGCCAGCCAGCGCCGCGCTTGTGCCAGAAGCGTCTGCAGGGTGTGCGGGAACCTGCGGGATGCCTAAAGCGCTGCCTGCACTGCCTGCACTGTGCTCCGCAAAACGGGCGGCCACGCGTGACTCTTTATGCTCTCTCTACTAGTAGTTCTGCTGCGAACGAACCGTGGCCGCTTGTCGTTCAGTTTCTTTTGTTGGGGCAGGCTGGCGTGCACGGTGCCCAAGGCCGTGCTCGGTATGCGCCACGGTGTGCGAGGGCGGGCGTGGAGGGCGAGGTGTCTGTACTTGGACGACAGTGCATGCGCTGCGCAGGGGCCCCAAACACCGTGTACAAAAGCCCAAGCCCAACGGCGTCGTGGCAACGTGCGTGCGCTTGGGCAGAGGCACTGGCATGTTGAAGCTGGACTGTTCTGGCACTGCAGCACTGCGAGGTGTGAGTGTCTGATCTGGGGGATCTAGCGCTGGATGTCGGTACCAGCTACTGCGTGTTCGTAACCACCTGCTGCGCTCAACTCGGCGCCGTGCTGCCCTCTCCGCGGGTATCCAGTACCTTTGCTCGCCGTGTCTGTACCTACAGCTCGTAGCGTGCGACTACCAGGCATAGCACAGCCGCTAGCGGGCCACGGTGGTGTTGCTGGCCTGTAGTGCCCTGTGCTAGTCGCTGGATGGGACGCTGGCTAGTGGACGCAGTGGTGGCGCCCCACCACCCCCAGTGCCGCCGCTGGCAGGTTCTCGTGCCTTCACGGCGCCCCACCCCCCTGTGCACTTCCACTCTCTTCCACGGCCATTTACTCATCCCGGATTCCCTTTTCATCCGGCCTCTGGCGTCTGCTCGCCTTCATCCTCCTGCATCCACCGACTTCCTACTTCTACTTCATCGTCTCCCTCCTCCTTCCCGCTCCCCCATCCTCAACCCCCCCCTCAGCCAAAGGCCTTCTTTCTCCTCGAAGCTTGCGTCTCGTCATCTTGAATCGATTCTCGACCCTCGACTCCTGTCGCGTTCAGTTCTCGCAATTGCCCAGTGAATCCCCAGCGCCAGATTCGCCACCTCGACGATAAGCCCTCGCAAGCCTGCCGCCATCCGAACCTCATCGGCGCCGACGCAACCGATTCCCAACAGTCGACGAGAGAAAGAAGGGTCCTCCTTTGCCTTGCCAGATCCCCTGCAGCGGTGCGCCTCAGCCTGTTCGACAGCTTCGTCTTCGGTCTGCCATAGACATCTCCGCCAGCGTGTTACTTTAGTTGTCACTGCTTCGCCGCAACCTCGTCCCATCTATAGAGCCTCGGCTTAGTGCACTCCGCCGTCTTCGTCACACTGTCCCGGTCTCGGCCGCCTCGATAAGCTATCCATCAGCAACTCGATCGAGTCACCGGGCGATAGTCACAAGTCTCTTCTTCTACAGCGGCTTTTCCTTTCACCCCAAAGTTATTCGGCTCAACCTCGCTCGCGACTGGACATCTCCATCTTTTCGCCTTGATTGAGTCACCCCCTTTCCAGCGAGAGCTACGCTCCGCTCACGGCCGCCACCTTGGTTGGTCCGCCACGTTGCTTCACTCTCCCTGATACTTCTCTTTCTCTACTCAACACCTCAACCTCATCTTCAATACTCAACTCGCCTATCTTGTTGACCTCTTGACGGATCCGACCCTCGCCGTCTTCCTCAAGCCTCACCACCACTCTACACCAATACAAAAAAACAATAATCTACACCAGTCATTCATTATACATTTCAGCCTCTAACGCGACCTCGATGTCATTATAACGAACAAAACAATTTCTTCCACCTTTCTCTCTATACGCAAGCCGCCTTTCGGCATCTTGGCCACGGTTTCGTTAATCCGCGTCTCCTTTGTTTCTACTTTTTCTGAAATCTCTCAACAAATGATCATCTTATAAACTCATACTATCCGCCAAGCAACACTATCAACCAACAAACAACTTTACGTGGCTGCAACCTGTCGTCTTTATTTTTCCTTTGTCCCTCACGGCTTGTACATTCCGGTCATCTGTTCTTCGATTCTTCAACTGCCGGTTTTGCGCAGTTTTTGTTCGCGTCTTTTATCTCTCTTCCCGTTTTTGCTTCAACGCAACCTTACGTATAGAAACGTCGAACGGTTCATACCATCAGGGTGCGCGATTGATCAACGGCTAGAGACGAAAGGCATATATCACTTTTACATATTTTGAACACCAAACTCCGCCTGTATAAATTATCTTTTCTTATTTTTATCCTCATCTGGTTTTCATCTCTTCATTTTCTGTTCTAGCTTTTTCTGGCTTTTCAACTTCATCAGCTCTACCTTTTTTTTATACTTTTTTATACTTTTACACACACTCCACTTTCGCAAGCATGGAATGCATGAGGAACAAGTTCACTGGTGGCCTCCTCCTTGATGGAGGTCGCTACCAGACCATTTCACCACTCAACCACGGCTCATTCGGCATGGTCTTTATGGCTCAGGACCTCGTTTCCAACCAGGTCGTCGCCATCAAGTGTCTCACCAAGAGGTCAGCGCCTTGTGAGGTCAATCCCGAGTTTGCAGTCGACGAACGATCTGAGGAATTTGCTCTGCATAACGGCCTCGGGTCGCACCCCAACATCGTCAACTTGCTTGATACCTTTGAGACCGAGGCTCACGTCTACTTGGTCATGGAGTTTTGCGGCCAGGGTGACCTTTACGAGGCCATTCGCAACGGCCACGGACCTTTGGAGACCGAGCACGTTCGCCAGTTCATGCTTGAGCTGGTTGACGCGGTTGCCTACATCCACTCCAAGGGTGTCTATCATCGCGATATCAAGCCAGAAAACATCTTCCTCACTCAAGATGGCGCGATGAAACTCGGCGACTTTGGCCTTGCCACTACCGACAAGTGGTCTTTCGAGACTACCGTCGGCAGTGACAGATACATGGCTCCTGAGCAATTCGACTCTGCCGGTGCTGGATACTCACCTGCCGAGGCTGATGTCTGGGCCATTGGCATTTGTCTCCTCAACATTCTGTTCTCTCGCAACCCCTTCACCACCCCCACAGAGTCTGATCCTCTGTTCCTCGACTTCTCTCGTGACAAGCAGAGTCTCTTTGATGTCTTCCCCAGCATGTCGCAGGACACGTATGAGGTCATTGTGCAGTGCATGAACTTGGACCCCAAGAAGCGTTCTCTCGAAGGCGCCCGCGATGCCCTCCTTCGCGCTGTGAGCTTTACGACGGAGGATGAGACTCTTGATGACTTTTGCGGTGCCGAGAACCCTACCGTGGCATCTGCTCATCGTGAGCCTCTCCGCACCCCGTCCATCCAAACCCCACAGATCGATGGAGGCGCATTCCCTTGGACCAAGGCGCTCAACGAGACTCCTGCTGCCCATCGTCGCCAACTTAGTGTCATTCCCGATGATGAGAGCTACAGCGAGGATCTCTTCTCCAAGTCTGGAGAGACGACCGACTGGTACTCTACTGGAGTCCAGACCCCGTCTTCTTCCATGCTGGATTCGCGCATCATTGAAGCTCGCCTGCGGGCCTTCAACATCTCTCGCCCGCCCATGCCCAGGCCTCTCGCCAAGGTTTCTCCCGCTGCTGGATCTCTGCCCATTGCCATGGGCAAGCCGTTTCCCTCCATGGCCTCCGTCTTTGGCGGCCGCCAGAAGGACACGGTTTCCAAGAGCTGGAGTGACATGTGGGACGAGGATGAAGAGGAAGAGGAAGAGGAGCAAGAGCAGGAGCAGCAGAGGGTTAGCGCTCTCAAGGAACTCAACTCGCGCACCTGGAGCCACGAGAGCACCAACGAGCGCTCTGTGCAAAAGACTGAGCCCATCCCTGTGGCTCACGTCATCAAAGGGGATGTGGACGATGATTTGGTTGCGGATGGTTTCTTTTTTCACGAGGCCTCTCCTCCCACCAAGCACGCCTTTACTATCACGCCGCGCTATTCGCCCCCGTCGAAGCGTGGCAACCCTGACAAGTGGGCTGCGCTTGGTGAGCGTCGCAGAGGCCAAAACATTCAGGCGGAGCCCGAAAAGTCTCCCGGTTGGAAGCAGCGTCGTCAATTTGGGTTTGGATACAGTAACAACGGATACAATAACAACAAATATTATGAAGCGGGCGTTTGGGATCATCATTTTTCTACTTCTCACAATAACAATATTTTACACAATCAACACAACAACAACAATGGCAGCCATCATGGCAAGGGGTGGAGCAAGGATCGTCTCAAGGAGAATTCGTGGAGCAAGGCGAAAGATTGGAACTGGCGCAAGGATAGGCGCACCGATCTCGGAGACGTTGAGTGGGTTGGTGGTTGGTAAGAAAACAAAAAGGGAGGCTTTTTGTTTGGGGATACTCAACCGCCAATCGTGGTTATAGCCATATCCTTTTTCATGTTTTGTCTTTACTGGCTAGAAAGACGGAAAAGAAGTTTGTTTGCTCTCTTTTTGGAAGCACTCTTTGGGCCAAAAAAACCACGAGAGCCTGAATATCTTTTTGTTGATTCGCTGTCTCTGCATCGAGCCCCCCTTTTCAGTGTTGAGGGTTCTGCATTGTAGACGGGAATTATTTTGAAAGAGTTTTTGGATCTTGTGATGGTTTTTACTGTTACTTTTTTGGTTTATAGAGCAGCTTTGGGAGAGAGCACTGGGCTTTTTGTGCCGGGAGGGATGGACGATAAGGATTGGCTTTGACTCGCTTTCTGCGTATTAGTTATTTAACATTATAATATACCAGAGGTTACCCACTCAATTATATGTGTCTGCAATGTGATGTCTTGATGAATTGACTTGATAACACAAAAGCTTATAGTATATCAGAGGTTACCCACTAAATTGTTATTGTGTCATCCATTTGTAGTGCTTTTTTTTTTTTTTGCATTGATTTTACATAGTGTTGTTATCGTTACTTGATATCTTTCACATCTCTACCTGTTTATATGTTCTAGACGGGTGTATAAGCCGCACAACCTTATGCGGCTTCAAATTTCAATGTTGAGAGATGACCAACTACTCCAAGGTTTCTTCCTATGCACTTTGAAGTAGTCGAGGGAAAAAGATATGATGTGCCTTTCCCATTTGTCTTCCTGCCAGATCGTATCGGGGTTTCTTATAATTTCGGGTCTACCAGCAGTTGATATCAAGCTGTTTGACGCTCTAGCTATCAAGTGCCTATATGAAAACCATCCGTATACTTTGTTACCTGGTTCTATGCAATTTTAGCTGATACCCCTGGTGACTGTAATATTACTAGGCCCCAGCTGTGTGTTGTTCAGGCGAAGAGCTGTTTCTACACTACATATTAGATATACTAGCTTAGGTCATATGGATCAAATATAGCAGAAAGGAGACAAACTAGAAGCTGAACACCTGCTTAATTTCATCCTTAGCTGTTCCGTTGGCAACGTTGTCGACGAAACCGCTGGGATCCATGTGCCAGCTAAATGCGGAGGACTAGCCTGCGGGAGATTTTGGAGGGGCGAGTGTCCGTGGACCTGGTTTATCGACATGTCCCTGCGAAATGGTCACAACTGTTGTTTTGTTTTTTGCCAGCGTCTGAACCGTCTGCGTCTGTAGTAGGCGGTACTTCTATATTTCCGTGTTACAGTGCCATACTTGTCAACATCACGAACAGCGAGAGGCCAGCTGTCAATGGCATCGACAGATGAGACAGGTGAGGATGCATTGGCTGCTTCTTCTGACATTTGTTGCACCAACGACTGCTCCTCTCTGATGAGAATATGCAGCTCCTTTTTATCACTGAGAGGCATGCCGCCTTCGCGGCCTGTACTGCGCAGCTCAAGTTGACGCTGGCGCTTCCAGTTTTGCTTGAGCCGTGAAGCACTTGTAACTGGAAGTTGAGAGACAAATATTGGGGGTGGCGCTGGGTCGGTAGGGGTGACGCTCGGCTGCCGAGCTTCTGTACTGAATCCTGTACTGCGGGTTGAAACTGTGGCCCATGGATTTGGATTAGGAATTGGGTTAGATTGTCTGCTTGGTGAGTGTTTATTTCTCAATGGAGTCAGAATATTTACAATCTAAGGTAATTAAATATGAAACTCTTACGAAGAAGTGGGTGCCGGCGATGCAGTGGTTGATGTTGTATGCCTTTTAAAAGATGCAACCCAGGCATGGTCCATGGCCTTGTCTGATGAAAGGCGCTCTCCAGGGCGAGGTCCCATAAGTGAACGAATGAATAATATTGCGTCCGAGCTGGCATTTCGCTTGTCGAGCTCTGCAAAAGGAAACGAATCGACGTTTACTAGATAGTAAGTATACGCGCCTGGGGTGGCAAAGACGGGCATGAGGGTGAGCATGCGGTAGACCATTGTGCCAAGCGCCCACATGTCGGCGGCCATGTAGTTGATGGGATTACCCGGCTCGTGCCAGATGAGCTCAGGCGCCATGTACTGAATTGTGCCCCTGACGGTTGATTGTGCCTTTGACCCTTCAACGCGCTTGCTTATACCAAAGTCGCTGATCTTGACCCACCATTTACCTTTTGGTGGTTGGGACTTGACGAGCACGTTCTTGAAATAAAAGGGTAAGTTTGCTGCATTCTTAGAGATTGAATCATAGGGGCCTCACACCGGGCTTAATATCTCGATGAGCAAATCCTTCGCGATGCATATACGATAAGCCTTCAAGTATCTGGAATGATACCTGTTGAGCATCTGCTTCTGGCATGGGGCCATTACTCGACATGTAGTTGTCCAAGTCGCCAAATGGAACGTGTTCCATGGCAATGTAAAGACTAGATTCTGTGTCATACCACCCAAGCAATTTGACAAAGCATTTGGAGTACTGAGAGCATGCAGCTTAGTATAGGGGTGCATCCGCAGCATATGGTTTTTGAGCTTACACGTCTTTGTGAGAATTTTGCAATGGCCTCCAGCTCAGCCATGTAGCTGTTCTTCTTATTCTTGAAGCGTAAACGAGGAATGATTTTGACGGCGCGTCTTTCGTAGCCTCGCTTGCCGCTCACGCACTGCTGCAGCCAGACGTCGCCGTAGCTGCCACGACCGAGGTGGCTCGTTTGTTCCCAGTGCTCCAAGCGTAATGTTGATCGGGCGCCATTTTCGTCGTCTGACTCGTCGTAGCTGTGGATTGTGAGCTTGTTTTTGAATGAAGTGATGAGGCGCGTGTCATGAACGAGGTCGGGCAGCCGTGACATTGTGCGGGGGTTGTCCCTTTGGCAATCGGAGATGGAAGTGGCAAAAGAGTACATGTGATCAATTACAACAGAGGCTGATGTTACAGAACTTGAGTTTCAATCTCGATATTTCTGACACGCTCGAGTGACTGCAAAGAGGAGTTGGCCATGGACCTGGATTTCTTTGCAGGCATAAGGCTCCAGGGCCAGGCGGGGGCGGCATGCAATATAATAGGATAATAACCATCTGCAATACTGATTGGCTAAATGGCTTGCCGATTCTTTCTAACACTGAGCACACATTATTGGACAGTTGTTGAAGACGGCTAACCTATTAAACTTCATTTGCTTACGGACTCTATTGACATTGCTTGAAGAGAGCTTGTAGAAGTAACACAGCTATCGAACAATAATAATAAATAGCATAGTTGAATTGGAACGCTTCTTCACAAACTCAGGTTTATACCATACAAGCATTTGACAAGACAATAAGCAAGTTTTGTACAGTCCATTTCACAGACTATTGCAGTCTAAGTTGATTTAGTTACCTTACATTGCAATAGGTACGATTTAAAGCCGCCACCCGCTTGAGTAGCTGTGTGCAGTGCCTGAGGAGAACCCCGCCATCACCCATGTCTCTTTAGCGCACACCCTTTCAACAGCCGCATAGCAGCAACAATAACGATGTTTCTGAGACGAGCAAAAAAGAACAAAACTCAACACAAAATTTTGCAAAAAAAAACATACAACAGCCGGTGTTCGCTGATGGTCACCCACTCAACTACTAATCTGCCGGTTAGTGGCTTATCTATGGGGGAGCAGACGGGACCCCGAGTTCTCCACTACCTATGGTCGTATGTGCTAGAATCTCTGTTGAATCTGCTTATAGCAGAGGATACACAAGTCGATTTACATTACAGCATTGCTGGGATACATGTAGTCCTGATGTAAAGCAGGTTTAAGGAAAAGAGTGCTTAGTCTTTTACTTTAAACAATACAATATGTGGACGGTGTTGACATTCCACTGGGCTTTTGCTTCAATATGCGTCCATATACAGTGGGTGGCCAAATGTCAGCGAAGCCGAGAAGGGTGCTGCATGGGAATATAGAAGTGAATCAAGCTCCTTTTGTCAGTGCTACGTTAGGAACCTCCATGGATGCAGCGTTCTTATTGGCTTATAGGTTGCCCAAATGCTATTGGACTGCACCCGTGAGGGGAAGTTCAAATCACCGTCAGGCTGCCGGGCCGAAATTACTGCCTACTTCTCCTGCATGGACAAAATGCTCTTCGCTCTTCGCAGTACACCGGGTTTGAGCTCACGATAGGCGACAAATGATACTATTCAAAATGGCGGAATTGCGCCAATTCTCGGAAAATACTGTTGGTGACAACGCCAGTATATTTCAGGGAAACATAGCCAACATGACCAATAACTTCGAAGCCAGTAAGGCTCCCGGCTATCTCCACAACGTTAACCATACTGACCAATTACGGAGATCATGCTGCTGCCGATGAATCATTTCTTCAAAAATTCAGCAAAACAAATCCTATTGATAACAAAAATCGAATATTGGAGTCCAAGGGTGGCCTCCTGGATGACTCGTATCGCTGGATCCTGGAACACGAGCAGTTTAGGAAGTGGCGTGACACTGAAAATAGCGGCGTCTTATGGATCAAAGGCGATCCCGGAAAGGGCAAGACGATGTTGCTCTGCGGGATCATAAAAGAGCTTGAAAATGATCCAAAAATACAAGAGAGACTGGCCTACTTCTTCTGCCAAGCTACCGATGATAAGATCAATACCTCCACGGCTATCATCAGAGGCTTGAGCTACTTATACCTTCGTCAATATCCCAAGCTTCTTTCGCGCATTCGCCAAGAAAACAAGGACGAACCGGATGACTTTCTGGAAGGAGATAACGAACGATTTGCCTTGTGCAGGATCTTCAAAAGTGTTGTCAAAGATCCCTGCATTACACATCCTATTTGCATTATTGACGCCCTCGACGAGTGCCAGCACGAAGAGTCTCTACAAGCTCTTTTCAGTCTCATTGTGGACACAAGCAGTCGTGTTAAGTGGCTACTATCTAGCCGAAACGAAAAATGGATAGAACGGGGTCTCCGTGCGGTCAAAGAGCACCAGAGGCTGACGCTGGAGCTCAGAGGAAACTCAGAACACGTTTCTAGTGCGGTCAAAACATATATTAGCCATTGCATCCAGGATATCCATGCGTTGAAGGATGATGCAGAATTGCGGCATAAAACAGCAGAGGTACTCCACACAAAGGCAAATGGCACCTTTTTATGGGTAACGCTCGTTGTCAAAGAGTTGCACAATACGAGTCATCCTCACGTCGAAGCTGTGTTGCAAAGCATGCCCGAGGGTTTAAAAGAGCTTTACGACGAAATTTTGAGGCGTGCTAAGAAGCGCTGGAAAGCCGATGAACGCGCTTGTCTGGCTATTCTGGCGACAGTCACAGCTGCTAAACGGCCCCTTTCAATGGAAGAACTGCATATGTTTATCAGCCCAACGTTGATGCAGCTTGAGGGTAAATACAACATTCATAGCGTCAAGGGCTTCGTGGAAGCCTGTGGGTCCTTCATATCCAATACAAACGATGTCATTTATTTTATTCATCAATCTGTCAAGGACTACATGGTTCGGAAAACGAACAGGGCAGTTTTCCCCTCGGGTATTGCCGACCAGCATTTTGCAATGTTTGAAACCTCGATCGTCGAAATGAACAAAACGCTCAAGCGGCATGAATATCCCGTAGAATCGTCAAACGGATATATTCGTGAGATTCTTCCACCTGATTTTAAAATCTCCACACCACTAGAATATTGTTGTGCATTTTGGGTCGAACATTTAGTTGAAGGCTGCGAATCTCAACACACTCGACTTCGAGAGTGCTTAAAGAATAATGCAAACTTTTCGGTTTTTATTAATGAGAAATATTTATATTGGCTGGAGGCAATGATTAGGCTAAAATCGACAATTCAAGCAGTGGAAGCTCTTCAGAAGCTCCATGCTCTGATTATAAATTGTTGCGCGGGCGAGAGTGGAGCAGCTCAAGGATGCGAGTCACATACACCAACTCAAAGCAGCATGAATCGATTGTTTAGTTGGATAGCAGGAGTCACGGGGCTTGCGTTCAGGTCTGATAGTTCGGTAAATGGCCTCGACAAGGTGAATTCCTTCGGATTAGTCAAGCTAATATACGGGTTAGGGAAAACAAGAGGCGAGTCAAATACTTGAACTTACGAGTGATCTCTGTCGAGCCGTTTCTCAGAATAGGACCATAATCGATAGAGTTCCTACGCAACTATATGTCTCGGCCCTTGTCTTTAGCCCGGTGGAGAGCAGACTGAGGAAGACATTTGAAGCAGCAGAACTTCCGGAATGGATGGCTATCAAGCCTGTAATGGGACAAGAATGGGGTCACTGCCTACAGACTATCGAGGGCCCATTTCGGACTATATTCGTAACGTTTTCACCAGACAATAGTAAGCTGGTGTCGACCGATTTCCTCAGCATTGCCACGGTTTGGGACTTGACAACGGGAGCGCTTTTGCAACAATTACATGGCAGTATGTATGCGCCCTGCGCAGCTTTTTCATCAGATGGGAATACATTGGCGCTTCGTCACTCCGAAGGCGTTGAAATATGGGATCTTGTAGGCGGATCTCGCTCCAAGAAGATCAATCATACTGGCATTACGTCGATGACTTTTATTGCCGAAGGTACATATTTGTCCATGCTGGGCCCCAAGCTTTTCACAACTCACGACATAGCCAGAAGCGTGGACCTACACACCTACGTCGGTCAGCCGGGAGAAAAGTTTCACGACGTAGTTCTTTCATCTAGTTTTGTACAACTAGCATTTAGTGATATAAAAGACCGTGTGGAAGCCTGGTCTCTGGCCGTCTGGACGCTAGTGCCGTATTTCACAAACAAAACGTTCGGGGCACGGCTGGTTGTGACTCTTGAGGGAGAAAATTCAACGCTCCTCAAGGTCATGGATCTTGCCGCCGGAAAATACACGCAAACGATGTTGAAATGTAGGAAAATCGGTGAAAAATCACTCTTTCTGATATCTGATGGTATGCGATTGGTTGTACGACATTCCTATGGAGTGATCCGTGTCTGGGATCTTGCCACTGGACTCTGGCAAACAATTGACCTTCCAGATAAAAGGTTGAGAACAATGGCCATTTCACCTTGTCGCACGCGGCTAGCCTGGGCAAACAAGCAAGATATCTGCGTGTGGGACGTTGCCAGCAACGAATATCGGTGGGCATCCACTAGTGATGCAGGTCGTACGAACGCAATGGCCTTTTCGCCTGATGATTCGCGACTGGCGCTAGTAACGGTCGATGGAACATTCAAGGTCTGGGAATTGACCACTAGCAAGCCTCTGCAGAGCCTTGATTCTCGCCCCGACGCAATCATGGAAATGGTGTATTCCCCTAATGGCAAATGGCTGGCTTCGCTCACCTACAATGATATCAAGCTTTGGAATCCGACTACAAGCGAGTGTGTACGGACACTGAGAACTTCATCGAACTTCACAGCCCTTGAATTTTCACTGGACAGCTTGTGGCTAGCAGCTGGCGATGACAGGGGCACCATACACGTTTATAACGCGGCAACAGGCGCATGTCATCAGACACTGACATCAGTGGAATATGACGATGGTGATATAGGCCCCAAAAGCAAGCATAGCGCACAAATGTCCATCGATTCAGTGACATTTTCCTCCAATAGCAGTACGCTAGCATCAGTTGGACCAGGTTCACGCACTAGAGACGGAGACCAAGGTTTCGGTTACATTCTCAAGATTTGGGACTTGGCAACAGGAGAATGTCTCCGGGCTGTAACTCTAAGCAGTCGGGCGATGTCCTATATTGGTATCGGAACATTGATTTTCTCTCCAGACAACACGCAATTGGGGTCTATACTGAGAAATGGTATTGTCATTGTTTGGGATGCATCAACAGGCGAGCATCTCCAAACCCTCGGGGGTCACGAGAAGCCCTACTCCCATTTGCATTTTGCTCGATCAGGAGACAGGAAAAATACTACGACAGATGAATTTGCGGAGTCTTTAGCTAAGCTTTCTGATTATTTCTCTCGCACGCAAGGAGTAGAATATAGCAACAAAGCGCCTGAGCTCACCATAAGCAAAGATAATGCGTGGATTCAGTGGAAAAAGGAGCCTAAGATCGGCCTTCCGCCGGAGTATCGCCCAAAAACATTCGCAGCACATGAAGACTATTGCGCCATAGCAACTTATGCACACCAAGTGCTATGTTTTCGATTTTCTTTTTGATAGGTAGCCAAAATGCACAAGGTAGGGGACAACAATCCGTCTTTGGTACAGAAGATTTGTTATTAGAATGCTTAGACAGGATTGTAGGTTACAATGGCTAGTAGTACATAAATAGTGGCCATAGAAATACGGACAATTTCTATGGAAACGGAAGACTGGAAATGCTGAGACTTGAGATGCTTAAAAGCGGAGATTAATATTGAAAATGAGATTCATTGGTAGTCTCTTGCAGTAGACAAGGGATTGTAGCGCAGGGTATTAGATTAAAGTACAAACTGGAGGACGCCCATCCTTCAATGCCAGGCTGCTGGCTCTTTATGCTTAAAATCATGCTCTTTAACTGGATTCAAGTTTGGGGAAGTACATGTATACGGTTGTGAATTAACTGCATGCTGCGAATGAGCCTATGCAAAGTCACTTGCGGAGCTTAATATTGGGTTGGAAATGGACAATGCGCCGCAAAAGGCAAAAAAAGAATATTTTAAAGAAGCATCTGGGCTTGCTCCAGGCCGTGTGGTGGCAAATGTGATGAGATGATGATGGTTGGCTTATCGGGCGGCTTCGCTTCGTATATTTTCAGATAGCACGTCCAACCACCACAGCCACACAAATCGGCTTACCAAAGTTTGTTGCGTATCAAGACTTAGCAGATAATTAACCGTAGTATGAAATAGAACAAAAAAGCAAATAATCATATTTCAATACCTTCATGCTAGTAGCCATCCGATCTATGCTACATGTAGTATAACACCTGCTCTTCAGTTACTGGAACCCTACCATCATCGTATGTGGTCGCATGCAACCGCTACACCTGAGTAGAAACACCTTGCAAAGCCTTCCTGCAGATTTGGGGGCTTTAATCTCTCCAATGAGAATGGATTTTCTCTACACGTTGTAGAATGACCCTGGTGCTTCAGCCTGGCAGCTATGTCATCAGGCTCCCGGGTTGCTATCAAATGCCTGCTTCATCATTCATGCCTGGACGTGGGGGCTACCGCAGGGCGATTAATAGTATTTTCTCATTGGCAAAGGTCCCTTGTACGCAATTGGGCAGCATTGATGTGCGGCCAATGGGCATCTCCGATCTGTCTCCTAAATAGGTTGCATCAGGCTGCGGCTAGAGACGATGTCACTGCCGATGCAAGTTGATACCCCGGACCTTGAAACCACTGGTCAACTGACGGGAAACTGAGTCTAGGCCTCTCCGAAGGATGATTTGTTGTTTCCATGATTGGTTTACCATACGATGGCCGAATAGTGAATGGGAGCTGCCGTGGGTGACGATGCGAGCAATGCAAGCTGAAAGCTGAAGCTGAATTCTGAACATGATGTAAGCTCTGCTTACGCGTAGAAAATGTGATAAGAATAGGCATCTTAATGGATAGTTGTCTGCGTAAACTGGCCCGGCTTTCATCTAGCCCGGGCATAAGACGCCGAAAGTAACAATAACTGACTCATGCCACGGATCAGGAGTTGCGTTTCTCAGCTATCTTTCACTCGTTCGTCTCTCGCGGCCCCCAATTTCTCCAGAGCAGGGGGGAGAGTAAACAAGCGCACACGCTATACCCGGCTGCCCATAGTCATGGCTGTGTTAAAAAAAAAAAAGAGAAACACTATCGAGGATTATATCATGAGCCTAATATTTGCTCCGTGATACGGGCTTTGTAGTAGCAATAGTACCTTTTTTGACTGGCCCAATCTCACCTGCATGCAATATTGAGACATGGGCTTCCACCAGTGTTGCTGAATGAAGTAATACGAGGTGAGTTTTCACGCAGACACTCTCTTTTAGGTAGAGATTGGTCGAGGCTATGGCGGCAGCTGTTCCCTGTAAAAGCGACTGAAGCTGAAGGTAGGCCCCCGCCAAAAAGAAAAAGAGAGAAAGTACATGTAAATAAATGAGAGGCTTTAATATCATAACAGCAGAAAATACTTGAACCAGCTCCTGGCCGTCAAGAAACAAATTTGTGATACACATCTTTCCATACTTGACCTAGCATCATGATACTGCCAGTGAATACTAAGGAAATGGTTTCCAGCGAGAAGGCGGCCAGCGGTGCCAACTCGGCAGAAGTCATTGACGCCACTTCCGCTGATGAAGCTCAAGATGTTGTCTTTGATACCGTCAACGCCAAGTACACTGAAGCTGATTACAAACACGTTCTCCGAAAGGCTGATCGCTTTCTGCTGCCGTTCATGTGGCTCTGTTGCGGCACCCAATCAGCTGACAAGGCGTCCATCTCTACGCAAGCGACCTTTGGCCTACTAAAGGACACCAATCTTTTTGGCCAGCAATTTTCGTGTAAGTAATTCCCACATAAACTTCACCTTGGAATACATATGATGCTATAAAGTATATGTTTACAAAAACTGACAACTTCGCTTTAAAGGGCTGACCACCGCCTTCTTTCTTTCCTATCTCGTCGGCGAAGCTCCCTTAAACTATATCATGCAACGCTTTGGAGTGAACAAGCCGTTGTTTATCGCCTTGTTCTTCTGGGGAATATTCGTCCTCTGCATGGCCTTTGCTCAGAATTTTGCCCAGCTCGTAGCATTGCGGTGTCTGCAGGCTTTGCTCGAGTGTACCATTGCCCCTGCTCTAGTCCTCCTCACAGGCTCTTTCTACGTCAGTCGGGAACATCCCATGAGATCCATGATATGGAGCACTTCAAATAGCGGCTTGGATGCCATAACGCAGCTCATCATGTACGGCATTGGCAGTGCTGCTCAGAAACACGCAAGCAGCTTTGGCGCATGGCGATGGATCAGTGTTTTCTTGGGGTCATGGACGATAGTTGCCTCGTTTTTGGCCTTGATGTTTCTGGGAACGCCCAGTGAAGTTCGATGGCTTTCGGAGAAAGAGAAACGCATTGTAGCGGCCAGAGTCGCCAGCAGCCAGACTGGGTCTGATAGAGGTCAGAAGAATGAATGGCGTTGGGACCAGGTTCGAGATGCGTTTCGGGATCCACAACTCTACTTCTTCTTCTTTGCATACATTGCGAACTCTCTACCCAATAGCGGGACGGCGGCATTCGGCAATCTCGTCTTTGTCTCATTTGGCTTTACCAACTTGGAGACCATAGTCAAGTGCATCATCCCGCTTGACCTCGTGAGCATAGCGTGGTACTTGATCATCGGATTCCTGACATTAAGATGGCCCCATACTAGATGTAGGTATATAGCGCCTTAGCTAAATTCTCATTCTATGCTAACTATAAGTGATATAGTTCTCTTCATGATTGTCTCAACTATCCCAGGCTTTGTTGGCATGCTGGCCTTGGGCCTCTTACCTAAGGAAGGCATGCTGTGGACTCGATGGGGTCTTTACATGATGACCGCAACCAGCCGCCTGACTGGATTGCTGCTGTGGACATTGCTGCCGTCTAACGTAGCTGGGCGAACCAAGAAGTCTGTCATTGGCAGTGTCATGTTTATTGCGTACTGTGTAGGAGGTGCTATCGGTGTCCAGACTTTCCGAGCTGAGTGGGCGCCCAGATACATCCCCGCAATCATTTTATGCGGAACCATGTACGGGGTAGTGTGCGCTTTGTTCATCGCATGGCGGCTTTACTGTGAGTTTCTAGCTAGAATTTGCTTTTGTCAAAGAGATTCCAGACTAATATTGCAACCAGACATCATGGAGAACAAGCGGCGGGCTAAGATAGTTAAAGGGATGGGGATGACGTTGGAAGAATCCGCACAGCAAGGCAAAATCAACGGCGAGTCCGATATGACGGATCGGCAGAACATCCATTTTAGATATAGCGTGTAAGAGAGATTCTGAGTTTGAGTGTCGGAAAGTCTCAGAGACGGCTTGCGATGCGGGAAAGAGTAGATGGTGAGAGAGTGGGTTGAACAATTAGGATGAACTTGACGGGATCACACAATTTCCTCTACCAAAAAATTTGGCCTAAATGCTACTGCAAACTAGTATAAAACACCTGCTGCTACTCAAGTAAGATGTAAACCTAGAAACCCTGAATCAGTTTGTTCTGTCAGCGATCTGCTTCACTGTAAGATTGACGAGAGTTGGTCATCCGCCGAGCAGCTACTATATGAGATTAGAAAACTTTGTACTCTTGGTAATCGGAAAAAAGGTATCGCTAGTATATTGTTGAAATCATTTTACCTTCAGTTTCTACTTCACACCCAATGTAAAAAGCGTACAACTAGTTAACTTCGTATAGCCTTACCAACGTGCGTCAGGTCATACCCGACTTCCAGAAATAACCACTGAAATAACTGTTTACACTGTTCTATATACTGTTTCTACGTCTTTTTTTGGTAGATCAAAGCTTATTTCAGCTCGACCTACATACACGTGCTGTTATAGAGGTGGCTTATTGGATGCTTTATCCTTTGGCAAAGTCTCACTTGCAGCATCGCTCTCAGCTGAGCCTCCCACCAATGCGACCCAAAGCTGCCTTACGTGCTAGCTGGATGGCTTTATATACTCTAGGAATGGATGGTTGTACAACTTGATTCGAGATGTGTACTATTAAGTCGTGTCGATTATTTTATCACTTTATCATAAGCCATGGGCCAACCAACGTCTCACCAGCGTTCTATTAATAATAACAATTTTGGAAACCACACTGTCATCAGCCAGGGCGACATTCATTATCATCTGACACACGGTTCTCTATCATCCGAAGCTGATCGAAAGACTCATGTTATTCCATATCCCCGCAACGAAGATGTGATCCAACGCCAAGACTTGGTGAAGCGACTGAACCTACTTCTCCCACGGGAACCAAAGTTCCACAGTGCTGCTCTTTGGGGATTAGGAGGATCAGGGTAAGTTCTCATTTAAGCAAAATGATACATGGACGTTGTTAACTAAGTGAAATAGAAAAACCCAGATCGCCCTCGACTACGCGTACCGGCGATGCGAAGACGAAAAATGCAGCGTATTCTGGGTGCATGCCGATAGCAAAGCGACATTTATACACGATTATAAGACAATTGCGAGCAAACTTGGCATTGACCAAACTGCCGCTGCCGATGGAAATGCTCTGCTTAGATCTGTGCGTAACGGTATCGAGGCATGCCTATCGTGGGTACTTATCCTTGATAACGCTGATAATCTCGAGTTATTTGGCGTTGGGCTGTCCGCCGATGAAGCTTCGAACAATCTATATGAATACATCCCAAACGGGCCTACGGGGGTAGTGCTGTGGACAAGTCGCGATGCTCATATTGCAGGCACGCTGGTCGGTGCGCAAAGGGGCATTGAGGTTACATCTATGGAGTCCGGCGAAGCTCTCAAGCTTCTTCAAGTAACGAGAGATCAGAAAGAGAGTATCGAAGAACCTGAAGATGTTGAAACACTACTCAGGGAACTGGAATGGTTTCCGCTCGCCATCTCTCAAGCTGGCGCATATATGAAAGGAATGCAGATTACTGCTTCCAAGTATCTGATTTTGCTTCGAGAAAGCAAACGCCGGTGGGATATCCTCAAAGTCACTGAGTTTGATCGACATCGGAGGCCCGAAATGCCGAACAGTGTACTCGACACGTGGACCGTCTCAATGGAACGAATCCAAAGTGAGAACATAATGGCATACCAAGTTCTCCATATCATCGCTTATCTAGACAACCAAAACCTACCACGAGAGTTGCTCATCAAAATCAGCCAATGCAGCAACGAGGATACGACTAGACAGCTAGAAGAGATGGAAGTGCTGTCTGCAATCAGGCGACTGCAAGAATTCTCATTCCTCAAGATGCGCCATATAGAGGATGGCGATCCAAGCTATGAGATGCATAAGCTTGTACAAGAAGCAGCAAGATACAGGACAACTATGCGAAGCCTTCAAGGAGCATCTGAACAGGGAACTTTGATGCAGGCAGAAGCAAGCGACGAAGTGTATTATATCGGAATTGCCTTGCAGGCACTTTCCGAGCTCTTCCCAGCTTCAGAACCAGAGTCGTGGGGACGATGCGAGAGGTACTTGGCTCATGCTATCGGAATGAGTGTCTGGGCAAAAATAAGCAAGAGGGAGGCTGACACCTCTGAACTGTTGAGTAAAGCGTCTGGCTATTTATATGACCGAGGGCGGTGGAGAGAGAAGGCATTTGTGGACCAGAGAGCGCTTGAACTAAGACGACAAGTTCTCGGGGAGCGACACCCATATACGCTTGATAGTATAGCTTCACTTGCAGCTGCATATCATTATCAGGGCCAGCATGAGAAAGCTAAAGATTGTTACAAAGAGGCCATAGAACTTCGACGACAGACGCTTGGAGAGAAGCATCCAGACACCCTTCGGGCCACGTCTTTACTTGGAAACGTATACCAAAGCCATGGTCAGTATAGGGAGGCCGAAGCTCTTTATAAGAAAACTCTACCACTTCAGCGAGAAGTACTTGGAGAGAAGCACTTGCATACACTTCAGAGCTTGGCTTCGATTTCAGGGGTCTATCACTACCAGGGCCGTTATGCTGAAGCCAAACCTATCAAGATAAAAACTTTGGCTCTCCAGCGGGAGGTACTTGGCGAGAAACATCCATTAACGCTTTGGAACATAGGGTCACTTGCAGCAACATGCCAGGGCTTGGGCCAGTACGAAGAAGCCAAAGACCTCTACCAGCAAACTCTAGATCTTCGTCGGGAGACACTTGGTGAGAACCACCCAGACACACTTCGGAGTATAACTCAGCTCGGAGCAATATACCAGGATCTGGGCAAATATAAACTGGCTGAAGATCTTGCGAGAGAGGCTTTGGAGCTTGAGCTAAAGATGCTGGGAGAGACACACCCTTATACGCTTCAATCCAAGCATAATCTAGCCGTTGCGTTGCGCAGTCGCGGCCATTGGAAAGACGCTCTTGCTTTAATGCAAGAGTGCGTGAATGGGAGATGTACAGTCTTGGGCTTAGATCATCCATTTACACAGGAATCTAGAAGGGTCTTGGGAGAGTGGGAATCGTCGAGTGGAGGTTTAGAGGCAATCAGACAACTGTTGGGCATAATGAAGGAGAGAGTATGGGGCAAATTGCCCGGCGGGGGGTTAAGGAGAATTGGGAAATTCTTGAGAGTAACGAAAGAGATGCTTTGGGGGTGAAAATTGTTGACATGTGAAAGCTACAACAATATATGTGCTACATTTTCAGAGCTGAAAACATTTGGCCTTATGGAAGGATTAGCGAGGAGACCAAGCTAGCGTCGAGATCCGCTTGGTCACATAATAGTAATCACTATAATATTGACAGACGGACAAAGTTGCCACTCCATTACAACAACGAAAGCCGAATTACATGCAACAATGAAGCTGGGAGGCATCTACAGGCCACAATTCGATCCAAATGCATTACCAATTTACCCCAGAAATTTAGCCATCAAGATCCTGGACCTCTGTTGTCCGAAGCTACTGAGCTACGAATTGATATATCTTTTCCCCAAGAAAATCAGCAGACATTGACGGCTAAAGTCAAGCGACGCATTTGTCCATCTGAACCTGGACTTCCCCGCAAATGCACACCGCAAACTCAGGATTTTGGGAATACAGAGCCCTGTCTAGTCCCAATGCAATACGTGAAGTATTCCACAATGACTGGGCCTGCTCTCCAATCAAGATCTCGGAGCGTTCCGAGCCGGCTAAAAGCAAGTAGACCCGAGAATTTGAAGGATAAATTCATCTCCCCGCAGCATATGATTGGATACCGAGTATTGCCAAGAGTCTTTCCCGGCAGTTGTTGTTGTGTACAGGGAGACTGTGGAGTATCAAGGGGGATAGTATTAGAAATTTATTATTAAAGCAATGAGAAGCATCGCGAGAAAAGCTTTGTTTGCCAGCCTTTTTTGTTCCCTTCAGCTTCAAGCTGATTTGGATAAAATGTTTTACAAAACACTTTTCCTCCTTTTTTCTCTTCCAGTCAGAGGCTCGCCTGCAAAATCGCCGAGCCTCAGACCATGGAGTACTTATGACCAAAAGGTCATATTCCAACCAGATAGCAGCCACGCCGTTATCTATCCAAGACTGGCTGAGCTCTCTGATGGCACTATTCTCGCAACATCGGCATATTCCGGAGACCACCCTCCGCATTTCCCTATATTTGCCAGCGAAAATGGCGGTGCGACGTGGGAATGGCGAAGCAACTTGACAGACCAAGTCAATGGTTTGGGCTTTGGGTCCCAGCCTGCTTTGGCTGAGCTTACTTTTGACCTTGGACGCTTCAAAGCTGGAACTGTGCTCGCGAGCGGGAACAGCGCTGGCGCCAATGGGACAAATATTGACTTGTACGCCAGCTTCAATAAGGGCAAGACGTGGGAGTTTATTAGCAATGTTGCCAGAGGAAGTGCTCCGAGCACGCAAAACGGAAACCCTTGCATTTGGGAGCCCTTTATTCTGTAAGTGTTTACGAAGTGTTTCTCAGCCATGCTACCTGGGATGATCTTAAGCTGATATCAAGTGTAGCCCTTTTAACAACACAGTTGGCGTATTCTATTCTGACCAAAGAGATCCTTTGCATGGACAGAAGCTTGCTCATCAAGAATCAACGGATCTCGAACATTGGGGCGATGTTATAAATGATGTCGCTTACCCGCTCTACACTGATCGTCCTGGAATGACTGTGATTGACTACATCCCGCCTCTGAAGAAGTGGATTTTCGTTCACGAGTTCCCAGGTGGCGACTCGTGGTCTGGTGCCGGATATCCCGTTTACTACAGGCTTTCCGACAGTCCTTTTGACTTTCGATATGCCTATGGCTATCCCATTGTTGTCAACGGTGTGCAGCCCAGCAGCAGTCCATATGTTGTGTGGACACCAGAGGGCGGTATCAACGGCACGATCATCGTGTCAGATGCCGATCATCAAAGCGTGTTTACCAATCGAGCAAACGGCCAGCCGGATCAGTGGGAGGAACACAACACTCCTCAGCCAAAAGCCTACAGCCGTGCCCTCCATATTTTCAAGAAGTACCCCAATCACTTGATGATCCTCGGTGCAGGCAATTATCAGGGCGTGGACCCTCCTGGAACGAATAGGCCACTGTATGCAAGCGTTGTGGACGTGACGAGTGTGTTGAAGAGCCGTCCAGGAGATGGAGATGCCTAGGTAGCTTTTGTACATGTAAAGAAGTAGTAATTAGCTTTATATATCGAGAGTTTGGCAAGTATTACAAGTTCTACTGATAACTTTCAAAATAAAACAAGAAAAGTAACGTAGCCATAATTTTGATCATAGATCAAGCACGAATTTCGTATCTGCGGCATATTGATGGCAGTGGGACATCATCTCTTCTACATGTCTCTTAACAAACAGACTGTCGACACCCAAAGCCTGCAAGAATGGAATGCTCGTATTGGTACTGGCATGGCATTTGGTGTCAAGATGTTCCTCAAAACTGCTGCTGGTCTTGACTATGTACAAGTACCTTGGAGGACACACTCAAGGCCCGGGAGGTCAAATTAGAGGGCATTGACGCCATGTTTGACGTGGTGACTAATCCATTCTCTTTTTTAAACGGGCAACTGTGGAACAAGGGCTTTGAGCTCGTTGTGTTGGCTGGACTCATCTGGTAGGCACCACTGATTCTTGCAGTTTCTTCGTGTCCAATCCCTGTATAAAAGAGACATGCTGCTTATATCTGGATCTACATTTGGGCCATCCCGCTCATAGCAGTCTTTGCTCCAGCGACTTTGCCAATTCGACAAACCGAGACTCTGTCGCGTTCAATATACAGCATGTATTTGCCGTCGGTGGACTTTTATTCACCCACCATTCTTACAAGATATTGGACTAGTCCGCTGAACCATGGTTCCCCAAGGGGCCATCAATTGCCCTGGCCAGACTCATGTCCTCTGTCGGCTCATAGACGTGAGCGATACAAGCGGCGCTGAGCCGCTGCCTAAACATCTGGCCGATATGAGACTGAGGTTTTGGGTCGGTCGCGCTGAGGACGATGAGACGGCTCCCGTCTACAGTGCTTTCATGTTGGCACAAGACCAGGCGCCATCTTCCGAGAAGTTGGCAACTGTTTCGCAGAGCGTATCTGAGAGCACGCCATCATTGTAATGCGGTGCCAGCAGCTGGATAGAAAATAGACGTAAAAACTAAAGGTCATCTTGAAAGCGACATTTCGCTTGTATTTTCTTTTCTGTGGTATATCTCGCCGGAATAGTAGCTCAACTATCCGACACTATTTGAGGGAGTGGAAATTTCGACTAGTCGGCTTCCCGTCATGATCTAGCCATTGGTAGTTAAATGATCCAGGTTGACTCTGGCTAATGGCGGGAGATAGGCTTGTAATTTTAGCTAAATTGGGAATCTCCAATAGACAAGTGAATTCCCCGCCTTGATTAGCCAAAAGAAACCCGCGATGCTAGCGCTTGCTACTCCCGAAACCTCGCTTCCATCGCCTCGTTGTATAGGTAGAAGTGTCTCGTGATGTTTGATACTAAATAGTCCAACGTTCATTAAAGCGAAGGAGATTTTCCAGCGAGCACTTCATTTGGAAGGATATGACTCAAGAAATCGAAATAAGGCGCATAAATCGCAACCAAGGCTCACACACGAGCAGTAAATACTCGTGAAATTAAATGGCGGTGTCGCGTTGTGTGATATCATTTGTGGGTTGAATGCTACCTACCAGATGCGCAGATATTGGGCATCAATACATATAGCGCCCGGCTAGATATCTTCTTCACGCTAAAGTACACCGAGTTTTTCACTGCTGGTGGTGTGTGAAAGCTACATTGTCGTATGCATCATATATTAATTACCCCATACTTTATGCTGTTGGTCAGCTCAGGCTTTGTCCGCGCAGCAGGCCTAGACTCACTTTGTCAACATGCCTGTGTCCTAGTGCGTCTCCGTCCACCTATGAGTGAAAGCATAGCTTTGTAGTAAATTACGGGTCACATTTGCCCAATCCTTTATAGCCCCGTGCCTTGGTACTTCCCACGCCTTAGAATTATGCGTATACTTACATGTACTATTTAACACACATTCACGGTGCCTCGCCCTGGTATTAAATATCTGCTGGTCGCCTTTAGAAATTTGTTTACTGTATAACTTGCGTTGTAAACATTTTTTTTATATTTATAACCCTCTCAAATTTTGTCATTATGTCTCGTAATACCCGTCAACGATGGCAGACACAGACTAATATGACTTCTCCACAAATGTCCACCACTAATGATAAAATAATCGAAGCAAAAGAGGCTGTCAACTCGCCAGATCTCTTCAAAGAATCTCCAGAGTATATTCAGGAAGCTTGGCAGAAAGTACGCCAAGCATATGAGGCTACTGCTAGCGAATCTCAAGAATGTCAGCCTTTTCCCCTTTGGGCTCTCAACCAATTTAAGCACAACCATATAGAGAAGGTGATACGCTTGGGATATCCTGAGGATATCGGACTGCTCAAATCATATGCGCCCTCTGCGCGCGAATTTTTTCAAGCCGAACCATGGAGGTTCATTCTTTTCTTCAATTCTATTGAGCAAGGAAGAGCACGAGCATTAAATGATATTATGAAAGTTCGCGAACCTTTCGCATTTAAGCAGCTATATAAGGAAGTTCGACGTAACCGGTTTTCCCGAATCCAAGCCAGAACGAATGCTAAAAGCAAAACGAATGCCCAAATTGAATTTCTGCCAGCTGATTTCATGCCAGCTGATTTCAGAGCATGCTGTTAGTGATCATTATATCATTTGTGAGCTTAAATTAAACTAATGGCAGTCATAGGCAACGAAAGCATTATTATTGAAGACGATAGTGAGACCGAGTTTATTGAATGCTCAGATGATGAGGAAGAGGATGAGATCAATGAAGAGGATAATGACAGCGAACCAGAAAATGTCGTCTTTTCCCCCGAAAATCCTGGCCTTGACCACGAAATCGGCTATATAGTTGGCCATGATGCTCATACGAGCGGTGAACAGGGCTTAGAAGAAACAGACTGCCTCAGCGGTAATTCTAGTTGCCTAAACATACCCCATTCGCACACCATCATTCAGGACAACGCGGAAGCTCCAGATGAAGCGAATACAGCCGATGTGACACCAAACCAAGTTGAACAAGAGGCAAGAAGGCGCGATACAAGCCCCGAACAACCTACACCTCCGAATCTCCACCGTGATAAAGGCAGCGCGTTGAGTATTGAAGAACAGTTCCTCCAGACTCTCCGGGACGGACCAACAATGCTCCTTAAACTTGAAGAACTGAAAGCGGTAGGAGAAGCTGCTGAGGAAAACATCAAAAATTTTAAAGACAAGATCAGCGCAAATAAAGAACAATTGCTACAGGTTCTTCAGAGCGCACCCTCGGAAAATTTTATTTCTGAAATGGCTCCATTGTATTCAGACATTGTAATACAAGATGGGAAACGCAAGATGGAAGAAGAGAACAAGATCGATACGGATAGGAAAAAGGCAAAGCTTGTGGCGCAGTTCAACGCTACATCCAATCAATTCGTGGCTCAACTCAGAACAAATGTTCAGCGCCACGAAGCCGCTTCAGAAAAAACACCGCAGTAGTACTCTCAAGGCCTCTCTATAGAAGAAGGAACGTATCGTTTACTAAGATATTGTTTTTATTTACGAGAGTATTCTTTAAGTATAGCGCGCTTTCCGTACATGAATGCACGGCCCACCTAGAGCATAGAGGTACGATCTTTATTTTCGAAATGTGCTAATCGTTTCATTGATTGTCTAATTTTCTTACCTTTGCCATAGTAATTGCTACTATGCCAAGAAAAAGTTTACTAGCTTGCTATTCTCTTTATAATCCTAGAATTGTGAACATCGAGCGACGTACTATTTCACATAGCATCTAACCTGGGTTAGTCTGGCTAATATAAAACCACAGCCAAAAGAACGGGCTTGGCAGACTCAGCAGGGAAAGATGAACTTTTTGAATTTGACTCTAGCTTGATATGTTGAAAAGATGTCGGAGGCGTAGGATAATTGGGAGATTGAGCGAGAAGCATTTGTTGGGGCGGTGTATCCGGTGTCCCCCGATACCTACCTTAGGTAAACTGTATCTAAATAAGCTGAATAAGCGGGTCCTGTAGCTAACAAAACCACTGCAGATAGGTATTGTAAATTCACGTTAAAGGTCCTAAATTAAAGTCTGTCAATGAGGCCAAAGTTGTTATAAATGGAAATGCTACGCTGTTTAACCTTGCAGTCAAGCAGAAAGTACAGCCCAATAGTTTCCAAACCCACTATAGTGAAGAAGGGAGGAAATACTTCTTAGAAGCATCTCTACGATTTCTACTAAACACCGCTGTACTACAAGTTTGTAGAAGATAGGCTGATAATATAGGCTTATAGAAACCCGATGTCTACAGGAACTAGTATCTTACTGCCTTGAGCATATACCCCTATTTGTATGCAGGTCACTCGTCGAGGGATATCGGATACACCGTGCCTATTCATTAGGTATGTCTTAAGAGGATGCTGCACTCTTAATCTATCCGTCAAGTTATCCGTCAAGTATTCAGATCTCCGCAAGCGGTAATACCTATCACAGAATAAGCTCATAAATAAAAATAGCCATGTATATGTATGCTGCATATGTAAAACTCATCTCATACATATATGTAAGCACACAGTCTATTCCCTAACGGGACTGACTTCCAAGGAGCTCATTTTCCTACTGTATACCTCTTTAGAGCAGACTTCCTGATCATTGTTATCTCGCGACGAAAGAATTATTGTCTACTCCTCCGCATCTAGATCGAAATCGTCCAGGTCAAAGACACTTTCAGGCGCATCCAGCTCTTCATTTTTGTCAACACCAACGTCTGGCGCACTGTTTCCCCCGCCATCGTCTGAATTTTCTTGCTCCCCATCGGGACTAGCTGTGCTTCTTCGAGACGGCGAGGCAGATCCTGGAGCAAATACCGGCTCAATCTCTTGAAAGGTATGTTCCGAATCGTGAAGATCGGATCGGTGGCTGTAGCATTTGAAGCAAAGTGAGAAGTTGTCGGGGCACTCTATACATTTCCATTCCAAGCCTATGATGTCCTGTATGTTGCATGATTTGTTAGGATTCGATGTGTCTGTTATCGAAGAGGTTTACTAACCATGAGGCAACTCTTGCAGGCGACATATTTCTTGTCTGCGGCCATGCTTTCATGCAGATAGTCATTCCACTCCTCCTTTTCTCCCTCATCGTTGGTCCTCACTCGTTCTTTAGGCTTCAACTCTTCTTTTAGGGCTGTGTTCCGATCTGCGAAGTTCATCAACTTCAGTGCTGACCACTCGCCTCCCGCGCCGTAAGCGCGTCCTCGAACCCATACATCTGCATTCTCTGCAATTAGCCTAGTAATAGTGTTAGCATCGCCAGATCGCGCTGCCCATAAGAGCGGCGTCCAGCCGTCGTGATCCGCGGCATTGATGTCCGTGTGCTTGTGCGCGTCCAAGAGATATTCGACGCAGTTATTCGACGACGACGATGCCGCAAAGTGAATGAGCATACGGCCAAACTTGTCCTTCACATCAACCTCGGCGCCAGCCTCCACTAGTGATTCGATACCATCAGCATGCCGTGAGATGCATGCAAGATGTACAGCGCGGCGGCCTTGTCTATCCGTCACATTCAGCTGAGCCTTGCGTCGAATAAGAAACTTCAGCATCTTGATGCCAGTCGTATGATTGGTCCTGATCATATCCGCTGCTCTTATGATGGGATAGCCAAGTTCACCACCAAGCTTGTTAATTGGTACCTTGGCTTCATCAACTAGATATTTTACCATATTTAGAAGCACCGAGATGTTGTTAATTCCCAGTGCTGTATATAGCAATGACGCGCCATACTTGGGGTCGACCGCTTCACAATCCGCACCAGAGGCGATGAGCAGTTTGACAAGGCCAATAAAGCCTTTAGTCACAGCAAGGTGAAGAATACTACCAAAGCTGGGACTAAAAATATTGACACTGGCTCCCCGATCGATGAGATATCTGACAGCGTTCGTGTTGCCTTCTCTAACAGAGATAGCCAAAGGAGTGTAGCCGTCGTTGTCTGGCCTGTCAAGAGGTACTTTTGCTTTAACAAGAAGCTGGATTATAGCCACAGGTGTCCTCTTCTTGATCTCATGCAGCCGGGTTTGACCTTTTGCGTTTACATAATCTGGATCAAACTGACCAGGTTCAGAAATGATCAGCCTCAGACACTGTTCAGTATCTTTCGAGTACTTGTTTGACTGAAGCAAGGTATCAATGGCATCCACGCCCTTGGTGTTCCTAAATTTTGCATTGGCACCAGCATTTAGGAGGAGCTCAACGCACTCAGGTGTCTGCTCTTGGCAAGCAATCAGTAGAGGTGTACATCCAATATCTAATTCGAGCTCCATGTCTTCGCCACAAACGCGTTCTAGATCAGGTTTGGGATCGTGTTCAAGAACTACTTTCATTGTTTTGGGCCAGTGTGGTGCTGCCAAGTGAAGTATAGTTCCCCAGCTACTATAGTGGTCTACCGACACACCTTTTTCAAGTAGCTTTCGAACTGTCTCTGGGCTCGTATATGCTGCCATAAGCGCGTTCACACCATCGCTCCTGGCCCAATGAACGTCAATTCGTTCATCTTGGAGCAAGTATGCTACTACTTCGTCATTGTCAGCGTAAGTTGCAGCAAACAGCGGCGATTCTGACACGCCTCCTGTGTAATTTATGTCGGCATTCTTCTCCACGAGAAACTTCACAATATCCAGATTTCCTCCATGGCAAGCGCGTGACAGAGGCGTAGTGTAGGCGCCAGCCTTCGGATCAACAAACTCGACCTCGGCGCCGTATTCAACTAGCGTTGATACAAGATCGGCGTTTCCTCCATCAATCGCGCGCATCAAAAGCATTATCTCTTCAGGGGGGTGCGCACCCAAGTCTGGCTTCTGTTCCTGCTCCAGTAACAACCGCACAATTTCTATATTGTTATTCGCAACAGCTACGTATAATGCCGTCTCATCAGCGAATGTGATGAGCGGATCAGCTCCGTGAGTAAGTAAGATCCGAGCACACTCCAGTGTGCCCAGCCTGGCCGCGATAATCAGTGGCGGCTTCACGGCTGTCCTGTGAATGTCGTCTTTTTCATTGCTGTTGAAGTCAGCCCTAGCCCTGACGAGGATATCTGCCGCCTTGTGTCTATAGTTATAGACAGCTATTTGGGTCAGTGTTTGTTCTGAGCCATCTGGACCATTTGTATCTGCTAAATCCGCACCAGCGTTCAAGACCATTTCGACAATTCGCGGATTTCCTCTATACACTGCCAATGTGAATAAGGTGTCATCAGACATGGCTCTAATGGATAAATCCGCTTTGTATCTTGAGTCCAACAAAACTTCCAATGAAGACGCGGAACTTCGCCATGCCGCTATAGTTGCTGGCGATGACTTATAAAAGCTGCCGAGCTCATTGATGTCGTAGCCAGATTGCAGCATCAATGTGAGGAGGCTCCCAAGTCCAACAGCACTAGCTCGATGAAACAGATGCTTGGGCCATTGGAATGTTTCCAACTTCGGTATCTTCTCTAGAAGAAGGTTCATTGTATCTTCATCGCATTGCCCAGCCCCTGCAAGTAGTGCTGTTTGAAGCTCTTCTTCATCTACTGAGACATGTTGTAATAGCTTGCGAACGAAGTTGTTACGACCCATTCGTGCAGCTTCCGAGATAGCAAACCAACAGTCCTTGTTAAAGGAAGACTGGCCAGTTTCGGATTTGATATTTTCATCAAGTAAGTCTTCCAAACCAAGCCTTGCAAAGATTGGCAGTGTTGAGATATAGCCTCGTTCCGGCCGAGTCAGCGGATTGGAAAGAAGCCACAAGTACGTCTCCCAGCAGCCGCGAGCCTTTTTGCTGGCAAATAATTTAAAACCAAGCTGCTTGGGCTTCAAAGCTCCACTTGCTTCGTAGTGGCGTGGCCAAAATCGAACTGCGTATCCGGCCATACTGGCTCTTGAGTGAGAAATCACGAATGCATCGAGTGGCGTTTTCAATTCATTGTCTTCCATAATTTGCGAGCAAGACTCCGTGATTGCATCCTGTACACTTTCATATTGGAGATATCGTAGGCATATTTCTGCCATGGTGCTGTTCACTGTGGCAGCTCGCTCTTCATCGTTCCCATCCACCCCGATTGCAGGGACAAGATAAAACGACGGGTGACTGAACTTGATATCGTTGCCCTTGACAATGATGATTCCGCAAAAAGACGCCGCTATCTCTTTTATGAAATCTTGTGTATTACGATCAGCGAAGCAGGGTTCCTGATCTGGGACATAAAAGACAGCAAGAGCTTCTGCTAAAGACTCTGCGGACCACGGTTCTAACGCGTATTTAACCCAATTGAAGACGTTTTTGGCTCTTTCTCGAAGCTCAGGCGATAGAGAGGATATTATGACGTGAACAATATTCTCCGCTGTCGGAGGCCATAGCTCATTGATTCTAGTCGCAATCTCAGACTTTGGCTTGCCATGAGGGTAGTTTTCAAGCCAAGTCAAAATAACATGTCCTAGGTATGGTATGGTTTCACACTTTCTCAGCAGTAGCTCGAGCTGTTGTCGAAACTCCCCGTATATCAGTCGCCGTTTCAGTAGGCCTGCTAATCCCGTTTCAAGTTCTTTGGCGACTTTATCACCCAGATTGACAGTTGCTGGGCAATCGTCCACATTGATTCGCACAGCGTCAGGAACATTCTCAATGGCCAAACCATCTCGCGTAGAGGTAGACAGAATCAGGCGATATTCTGCCTCACTGTAGTCCTGCTCTTCTAAAACACGCTGTAGAAACCATCGCCGCTGGTCCTCAGGACACTGGTCAAACCCACAAAGGAAGAAGGTGATCTGATGAGAGGTTCGAAATCTCAGTGTCGAATATACGTGATATAGATCCTCCAGTGACCAGATACATGTATCATTTAAGAAATTTAGCTCTTGAATCATGTGTTCCTGATAAAATTTGTTCCAGAAACGCCACATGATCGTGTTAATGAAGTAAAAAAGCATCGAGGATATGTCATTATATCGGGAGTCCCACTGGTCAAACTCGAAATAAATGATAGACTTTTCTGCGTTCTTATGCCCATGATCCGAATCATAATCAACGTAGAAAAGACGGGAACATTCCTTAATGTCTACCGAAGAAATTCCATTGGTATAGAGGTGCATAAGCCGTGGCCCCACGCCTGCCTTAGACAGTGCAAGGTATGGCTCCTGTTTGTAAATCCAGCTCAAGATTGGTGGAATCGGCATCAGAGGGTCGTATTTCGTATCCAAGCTCCTGGTTGGAGGAGCCTGGGAGAGGAGGTGAGCTTGAAATTGTAGCAGCTGATAATTTACCTTGATCACTAATGTTGTATTTAGAACCAGATTTGACCTTTTTGACTCTGCAGATCAATACTTACTGCAGCCGTTTCTATTGAACTTGTTGGATATACGCTGAATCCAGCGGTCGGACCAAATATCGCCACGAATGAGATCAGCATGATTAATGAAGTCGACTCGACGTCTTCCAGAGGCTTCAAACGATTGTCCAATAAAGTGAGTATATCGTGAGAAAGGAGTGACTGGATCGGGTATATCATCATGTTCATGGCCCTCTGGGATGCTGTCAACGCCTTCGGCACGCCTCTGTCTCAGACTCTCGCGCCAATTTTGAGCAAAAACGTTGATAATAGCGGCACGATCTAAGAGCTTTGTCGCTAGAAAATCTTCGTTGGTTTTGTTGACATGGAAGGCAAGGTTTCGGACTTTGCTCAAAAATGCATGCCTAATGTCAGGACCTGGCAGTAGAAGAAGGTTATGAATCTGTTCTTCAAGATCCTGTGTGGATTGAAATCTGTGGGGTGTTCCTAGGAATATCTATTTCTTTAATTCAAAGTATTCGTATGAGCATTCATGTCGACCCACTCACAATTGCTGTTGTCAATATTGCTATTTTTCCATATTTTTTACTATTGTTTATGGCTCGGCAGAGGGCCTTGTTTTGTCAATATGTGTTGAAATGAGAGAAAGGAACAGCGAATGGAAAAATCGCAAAGGGTGAGAGGAAAAAAAGGCCTCAGTACCTCTTTCACAATAGTTCCTCCAATATCATGGCAGATCCATATAATGGGGCGATCTACCTCAGTCTGGAATCCCAAATGTCAGTCATTCTTTTTGAATTGCGTATGTCAAAACCTACTTCTTCAAGACTTGCACGGTCTTTGGCGTAAGCTGTGAGGAGCCTTTCGGCATGCAGCTTGATACCATCCTCCTGAAATATGGTTGCTTCTTCACCAATCTCGTAGGAGTAATCCACCTCTCTGGTGGAAAAATCTTCGAATAGTTCACTTACTACCCACCAAGTGCCGTCTTCTTTTGTCCAGGCTATTTTATAGTCGTCGCGTATACCGTGAACAGTGACCACGCTGTAAATAATGTAAGCTTGACACTTTCGCAGTACCACAAATTCACCGTCTTACTCATAGTCACTATAAGATGAACCCGACCAGCCCCAAGGACGAACGATGTCGAGTCCTAATCGACGTTCATCTGAGGCCGATGGCGGGTCATCTCCGTTTTCCGAAAAGAGATCTTCTGTTTGCGTCTCGGGACTATCTGCTCGTCTATTTATAGCATGTTCCTCGGAATTCGACAGTGTTTCCAAGTTGGCGTCTGCCATTTTTAAACACTCGGATCAAAGAGCGACAACTGGTCAATAAGAAGTCGCAGCATGCCAGAAATAGATATTCGTGTCGATGCTAAAATGCACGACGCACTTTACGCAACCAGTTATCAGGCGACAAGCAGCTCTGACGCATCCAACCAGGATCTTTTTGCCACGTAAGAATGCCTTGAATGTAAAAGAATCAAAAGCCTCGCCTAGTAGAAGAGGAGGAGTGGCTGCTGTCCAGCAATAAAGACGCTATTTAGTCCCGCTTGGTTCTCTATAGTTGTGACACAACATAAGTCTCTCCACCCCAATATCGAAAAGGGAACTCGTGTGACACCGTAGAGGTTTCAAGTCTTCTTATTGGTGAGAATGTGTGCGCGCACAATCCTTCAAATATTTTTTTCCCCAATAGCACTGTGCGCGAATAAAACCCATGTTTACGGCTGACCCCTGTACAGAGTACTTGTAAGAGCCTCAAAAAAAGTGATCAGAATGCCAGCCGCGGAAGAAACGCAGCATTTAGACAAAAAGGAAAGATGATGTTAGCTGCTTGTAACTGGTTTATAACTGACATCAACCTATTACTTTGCTAGCGATACAAAGGGTCTAATGAGAGTACAATTCATGAAGCATTAATTCCAAACTCCCTGTCTGTTCAAGGAATAAGCGTCTGAAACGTAACCTTTCCAAGTTCATCAAGATCGACGCTTCCCAATTGTTCATCGCCATATGCCACATTCTTATTCGGACGCGTGCCTTTGTCGAGAGGGTTTGGCTGGAAGATGATGGGGTCATCTTTGGGGATCTTCTTGAAAAGGCTTTTGGCGGCTGTCTTGCGGTCCGTTTGACAAGCAAAGGCGATTCTGCAGAGGAACTTCTCCTGATCTTCTCTGGATACGAGCACGGCGACCTTTAACGATGAGGGAATACCCGCGGGTTGCGAGTGATTTTCAGAGATAGTCCACGTTGCAATACGGTTTGGGGGTCTGTTGTTGATGACTCGCATTCCGCCGCTCAGCCTAATTGCATCCGAAACTGTTGTCGCCGTGGTTTTCTCCCATTTACCACCCAAGTTGAGATTTGCAAACTGCTGGATGCCGATCGTAGCATCAACGCCCTTGGTGACCGATTCATCCTGTTTGGTTGGCATCAGGTCGTATGTGCCAAGGAACGAAATCTTCTCAACCTCGATATCGTCATTAGACTCAAACAAAAGCTCTATCGTAGCCTCAGAAATTCGACTCGAGCCCTTGGGCTGGAAGAACCATTGCATGATTATGAGGCTCGCATAGCGGTCGCTGTCGGCGGACATGGCTCCATGCACGACTTTCTCCAGGCTGCAAGTAATGTCAATAGCCCCTGTTCTTTGAAGAACTTCTGCTCGGTGGTATTGATCTACTGCGCTATTGAAGACATGAAAGCCACTGCCTTCTTCACCCCCAGTCTCATGCATTTCAATTGATATCTTCTCGTCACCATCTTCGTCCCCAGAATAGAAATCGGCATCAAGGTCGGACATTTTTTAATCTCATGGAACGCTTTCGGATCGGTGGTCAAGGTGACAAGGTGCTGCCGACCTATTTGAATTGAAAAGTCACCACTCTTTCCATCCCGTGGCATTGTATTTATTGATCCGAAGGTTGCTATCAATCCTTTCGTTCTGACAGAGCCGCAATTTCGCATAGGCACATGTATGTATACATCGTCTGAAAGATGACCCGGAATCCCTGCTAGGCTCCCGGGGGTACACCTCGCACTGTGTTTTCTTTTCGGCCATGAGGGGCGATGATTAGTATCCAATAAGAGCTAGAATAGTCGGCCCTCTATGTTATGTCCCGGTCCCCATACCTTCTTCTATTCCACTGCTTTCTTTTATTTTCTTTTGTTCTAACGAGAGCGACCAACTTTGCCCCTAGAGACATGGATTCAGACTTGGAACAAGACTTTCGCGACTTTTCTTTGGAAGATGATCCCGAATCTATCCACCTTGAGCGAGAGGAAAACTATAAAGAACGCTTCATTGAAGCAAAAGAGGACATCAAGAGGACAAAGACATTTGCGGATAGCGACGATGTTGATCAATTTTTTAAGAAATATGGCGATATTGTTGGCAAGTCCTTGAACAAGCCTGCAGGTAATCTTCTACATACCCTTGTCGACGTGGTTACGCACAATGGTATTCAGCCAGAGGACATTAAGCTTCTTATCCAACGTTTGGTGGAAGAGTTCCCAGATCTGCTCAAATATGAAAACGAGGAGAAGTACAACCCTGTTTTCATGGCCATCAAAGCGTCACATCATCAACTCGTAGACTGTATGATCACTACATGTGTTGCGCTGAAGGGAAAGGCCTTGCATGAGCAATCACTTGACGATTCGCTGAAGAAGAAGATGAAAGAAGGCAAAACGTGTCTCCACCTTGCGATGATGGCGATAGACTTTGATATAAAGACTAAGAAGCTATTGATCGAAAACGCCAGTGACGAGGCGTTGGCTGTTCAAGATGATGCTGGGAAAACACCTATGCATTACGCTGCGGACGTTAGGCGCTGTACAGATGAAGGCACAGAACTCATAAAATTGTTCATCGAACGGGACCTGAGAGCTACAAAGAAGACGTTAAGACCTCCGAAGACCTTCCTCGATCTATCCGACAATAATGGCGCATCAGTCTATTGGCAACATTATACGACTAGAATATCAAGCATCAAGTATTATGAAGGTTGGCTCACGAAAAAACGCCAATTGCTTGAGCGCAACTCACAAAACGTACCGCGAGCTTCAAAGTCTGTTGACAAACCTGTACTCGGAGAGCCCAGGCCAGAAGCTATTACAGGACCATCCAAGTTGATGGCCTCGAATAGGTTGGCTAGTGACCAAAGAGATCGATTGAGTCATGATAATCCCAAGGAGGAAGTTGATGAACGTGAAATCCAGCGCCAGAGGAAAAAAGCCGAAGAAGCCGAGAATCTTAAGAATTCCGAGCTATTTACAAAGACTATTCGTATCAGAGAGCGAGATGTTACCAGCCGTGATGCAAGCCAGACTCGGTCGACCAAACTCAATGAGCTAGATGAAAGCAAAACGCAACTGAAAGCAACTCGAGCGGCAAATGGTACTGGACAGCTAGAAGCGGTGTCTAATACATCCATAAAACGGAGGGGAACAGCGCGTGCGGACGGCGATCTGGGCCGAGAGGAAGAGAGGCCCGCAGCGAAAGCTCGGCAGAAGAAGCGTGATCCAGCCGAGACCATGGCCCTCTTAACTAGGACTTCAGATGATATTCTACAGCGCCTGAAACTACACTACATGAGAACCCGGAGCACTGAAATGGTCATTTCTTTCTTGTATGGTAACAACATGCAAGGTGAGTGCAATAAAATGGAGCTATAGGCGTCAACCAGCCCACTGATATGCACATCTCAAGATGTTCAAGTTAGTTTTGACTATGATAGTCTACCTCGAAAAATACCATGGACCGAGTTCCTCAAACGCTTCGGTGCCGATGCTTCTTCTGACCGCCTCAGGTTTGACAGTGTGCTACAGTACGTGACTTTCCCAAAAGTCCAGGTTTTTACCAAGGGCCGTCATGCCGATCGCGAGCGCGAAGCTGAGGAACAATCTGGAATACGCCAAATTGGAGCCTTTGGCCGCAAAGATATGAAGTACTTCTTTGACTGGCTATATAACAAGGGCGTACGGCACATTATTACCTTGTCTGTGGATGACTCTAGTGATTCTGGAGAGAAAGTCCACAGCGACCAAATTATTCAGGAATCTCTCGCAAGGTTTACTATAGAGCGTCTCGACTGGAGGAAGACCGACTTGGATCCCGAAACAATATTACATATTGGCAGCAAGGCTGCTGGCGCGGAAGCTTCTATTTCTGACAGCGATAAGAACATACGGCCAATTCCTCAACAGCTAAGACAACTTTCTCTAAAATGGAGTGGTAGTAATTCTGTGCTTCGAGCCTGGAGTGAGGCGGAAGGCTTGCCATTATTACCAAGGCTTCAAAGAATACATATATACAAGCCTTCTTCTGATCAGGTATAGTTATATAAAATTCTCTATTGAGGTCTTATTGCTATCTGCCGGCTAATTAAACTATAGGAGTATGACAGTCCACAATGGATCAGTACAAACGTCAAGAAGTTCCAAATCAGACTCAATGCTAATAGAAAGGCTATTCGAGATCGAGAAGTCGCCGCCTTTGCTGATCAAACCAGTGTTTCAGATGATGATGTAGCATTTGGCGACGTCAAGGTTGATGTTATCGACTCAGGCAAGGAAGTTGAGCGCACAACTAGATCTCGCGACACGTCTCACTTTGCAACATCGACCATCACCAAAGGCGTCAACTCACACCTGTGGTTGGATTCTACTACTAGATTTGCAGGCGAAATGACATATTTTTGGCAGAAAACGGTTCAAGAGTTTCTTTCTTCAAAACCTAATCCAGGCACCACAGAAAGATTGGAGAGGGACGTTATCGTTGCCCTAATTGATGACGGTGTGGATATGTTCGATCCGGCTCTTTCCGACAGGGTTCTCGAGGGTAAGAGTTTCGACTTCCACGACGGAAAGGTCAGGCCATCGTTTTCGTCGGCGGAGGGACATGGCACTGTCATGGCTAGCATGATACTACGGACTTGCCCCATGGCTAAAGTGTATCCGATTCGGCTCAAGACGTATCCAAATGCCAACGGCAAGAACAATATCGATGCCGAATACGCGGCGCAGGTATGTTTCACCTTTATACTATTTGAAGATTCAGCTAACAATGATTTTCCATCTGAAGGCTATTTTGGCCGCTCTGAACAAAAAGGCTGACATTATCTCAATGTCTTGGACACTCCCAATGTCAAGAGACAAGAGTGGTTCGAAAAATCGATGTACGTTTCAGAAGATCTTACTCTACCTCTTGGGGGTAGTTTACTTGAAGGCTCCCCATACTCAAAAGAAAAGTCATGCTAACGTTGAATGCATTTTCAGTACATGAAGCCCTGAAAAAAGCTGTTGATAGCAAAGCCCTGATGTTCTGTTCGGCGCCCGACCAAGGCAAATTCACCACGCTTGATTATCCAAGCGGTCCATGGCGCGAGGACTTCTTCCGCATTGGCGCCGCGCGGGCAGACGGCACTGTTTTCCAATGGACTCCAGAAGACGGCATCACATATGTCCTGCCCGGCGTTGAAGTTATCAGAGACCAAGTCAGCAGCAGCTCTTTCGACGTACTTTCAGCAGCAAGATTCACCAAACGTATAGAAGACTTCAAGTATGAGACTGGATCAAGCGTCGCGACAGCACTAGCGGCCGGCCTTGCTGCAATGGTCATCTATTGCATAAAGACTAGCATAATGAACATGAAGATAATGAATCAGAACAAAGATCCGATCGTGGGCAGTGCGATTGGTGATAATGATGCAAATCTTATTGCTGCCCCGGATGCTATGAAGCGAGCATTTGCACGCTTAGGCAACGTTACGTCAAACAAGTTTATCCAGGTCTGGGAGAAGTTTGATGGGATTAGCGAGACGCTTGAGACATTGAGGAGAGACGGGTCGAGCTCGGAGGAGAAGGTCAAGTGTATCAAGCGATTTGTTGAGTTCGGAAGTGAGCTTGCAAATTCTATCAGGACATAGTGATATAGAAGATTCAAAGCGTCATATGTCTAATAGCTCGCGAGGCCTGTTGCTTTAATAATCATGAGATCCCGCGCCTCAAGTTGACATTGATATGTCAGTCAAAATTCACAGTCTCAAGTCTATAAAGATAACAGCTTGATGTTTACTAAAGAGACCCGGCTGAACCTCGAACTCTCCCCTGCTATGTCTGCATGTCGCATGGGATACATTAATATTAGTAACGCATATTGGTTCTGGAAGCTGTACATTAAGAAGAGTATTTTTCCGGGGTAAAAACCCCGCGTAGCATTCAAAGTTTCTGCTAGCATGGAAGCCACGTTCTAACAACTTGGCGCCCACCCTTTGGTGGATTCTCCAGGCTAATTGGTGGCGTAACTGGATCAAAAGCCGCATCAATTGCCGCCAGCTGCGGCACATGAAATAGCGCTCATGAAAGCGGGACATTCATTGTACAATTCCAACATGGCATGGTATTGACGTAGTTTTTGATTGCCGCTTAATTGTCTACTATTGATTTGAGTTTCAAAGTCGCATTTTGAGTTGTCCGCCAATTGCCGAAACCACAATACATCGCGGGTTGGCTTCGAGTTACAGTTTGCTTGCTCTTTACCGGTCGCGAATTATACACCTCAGCTACACCACAGCACGAAATGGCTACCACGTATCATCTCCAATCGGTAGACAATGAGGTATCGGGCCGTCTTGCTCTGGTAACAGGAGCCAGGTCTGTATAGGAAAGCGTGGCAAATAGCAAAGACCGTAGACTGACATTAGTACAAGTGGTGGGATTGGCTCAGCCTGTGCAAAGTCATTGGCTTCTGAAGGATGCGATGTTGTCCTCCATTACTCTTCCAGCAAGGTAAACGCATTCATTATCTATATCCATGAGTCTTTAGAATGGTAGAATAACTCAGTTCTCAACAGGAAAAAGCAGAATCATTAGCCTCCGAACTGCGACAACGCCATCCGAATCAATTATTCGTCACTGCCCAAGCCGACCTTACAAACAGAGAATCCACGCGCAATTTTGTCGCAGCCGTGCTGGGTACGCCGGCCGTCGCCGAGAAACACAAAGCGATATCCGTACTGGTTGCAAATGCTGGCATTGGCCGTCGCATTCGACATGTCAAGGATATCGAAGAACAGGACTGGGATGACATTATGGAAGTCAATGCCCGCAGTCAATTTGTCATCACGAAGGCTGCCGTGGAAGGAATGCGTGCACAAGGCTGGGGAAGAGTGATTCTTGTGGGAAGCATTGCGAGTCGGGGAAGTGGCTTGAATGGATGTCATTACGCAGCCTCGAAGGGTGCTCTGTCGTGAGTCTCCAACTTGAATAGCCTGTGTGTGGCAAGAATGTTATTAACATGTGGCAGTTCAATGGGCTTGAACATGGCTACAGTTCTAGCTCCAGAAGGTATCACGGTCAACATTGTAAGTCCAGGTTCGTTCTAATATTGTACTCAAACCTGCTGACGAATCTAGGTTTCACCGGCTATGATTGGAGCTACAGGAATGATTCCCACTCCAAAGCAAAGGCAAGTCGTAGAAGCATTGAATATTGCTTTGCGCTGCTAACGAAGGAAAAAAAAAAACAGGACCTGGACGTCAAAGGATGACATGGAGGCAATGAAGGAGACTGATCCGGGACTTGCAATTGCCAGCAGTGTGCCTATACATAGGCTTGGAATACCAGAAGAGGTGGCTAATGTGGTAGTCATGTAAGTCTTTTCCGATCATATCGCAGGCCATAAAGCATAGCTAATTCGAAAATATAGGTTTGCAAAGACTGGATATATGACGGGACAGGATGTGTTGTTAGCTGGGGGCTTGAAATAGAGCAATCTTTCTATAGGTAGTGGTATTCAGCCGTCCGTATATGTCATCGTATGCAATGTGGTTGTTATCACTATTGTTGCAATAACACCTGTTTCTAAACGATACAAAATATAGCATTTGTCTAATCTTATGTTGTTCTTTATCGATATGTATATATGCAGTTTTTACAGGCTTGTTTCGTTTCTATTTCTTTATACCTTTGCCAACAGAGGTTTCTGCTCAGGCACTAGCGTCAGGAATTTGCCTTGTGTGATGGCGCTCTTGACATTGTCAATTACTAGAATCTCCATTTCTTTCTGTATTTTCGAGAAAAAGATCATTAGTATCAACCTTCAAGACAATGGGCCAGCAATAAATGTTAACATACCTGAGTGTCAATGGTCGCAGTGCCAATGTGAGGCAGCAAGACAGCGCTGGGGTGGCTGATCAGCTTCGGGTTGATCTTGGGCTCCTGTTCGAACACGTCAAGGCCGACGCTCCAAACCTTGCCAGACTCAAGACTCTCAGCCAGAGCCTCTTCGTCAATGATGGCACCTCTGGCTGTGTTCACAATGATTACGCCATCCTTCATTGAGCTGAGCTCCTTCTTGCCAATCAAGCCTTGGGTGGCCGGGCCCAAGGGCAGATGAACTGAGATGACATCGCTGCTCTGGAGGAGCTCTTCAAAACCAACGTATTTGGGAACTTCGTTTGAGGCAAACTGCCTGTCCAGACCGTCAACAGGCTTTCTGTTGTGGTACTGCAGCTTAAAGCCAAGAGCAGCGGCACGCTTGGCTGTCGCGGTTCCAATGCCGCCCATGCCCAGGACACCAAGAGTCAGGGTATGAGGATCGCGGCCAAGAGGGCTCTCGCCTCTCCACTTGCCCTCTCGAAGAGCGAGCTGAGGTATCCAGGCGCGGCGCAATGCGCCCAGGATGAGGAAGATGGCGGTGTTTGCGGTGGCAGCGTCGACTGCCTTGGGGGTGTTTGAGACGGAGATTTCTGAAGGGGGGAAGAGTGTGTTAGCAAATCAGATTTGAGGGATGCTGAGTGGTTCATACTCTTATCTGTGCAGGGCTGAATGTCAATCTGGTCATATCCCGCTCCATTGTGAGAGATGAACTTGATTGAAGAGGGGAGGTGAGAGACAAGCTCGGCATCGAATCTGCCGGTGATCTACATTCCTCTGTTAGAAATTTGACTGGGTTGACTTTTAGAGCAGTCATGCCTTGACGGAATCGTAGGTCCTTGAAATAGCAACGATGTTGTCGTATTTGCCATTGTCGCAGTCGCGGATGAACTCGTCACGAGTTCCAGTGGTAACTTGCTGTGAAGTTCCAGAAATGTTAGCGAAAAGCTCTATCCACGAATGACTTGATCGAGGGCTGCAGGAACGCACAACAACGTCTGCGACTTCGGAGAGCTTCTCAAACTCTGCCTTGGCATGGTGGACGATGCCGAGCATCAAGACGCCGGGCTTTTGTGAGGTGGATCCAGCCATTGTATGGAAATTGGTGATTTTGCCGAGTAGATTTCAATGCTGATCAAAAGAAAGAGTATCGAGTCTATCACAAAACTGCAAAGAACAAAAACAATGTTGAAGCAAGTGAAAAGTTAGCAAAGAGCAAAGCCGAGGGGTGACGTGACACTTTTCGTCCCAGTGACGACGGGTGGGGGTTTCTGCCATTTGCCGCAGCATTTGCCCATTAGCCGCGTCGGCCCCAGATTATCCGGCTACTGTCCCCAGCTCCACCCCCGCAAACTCGAGCCGCGGCGTTTGCTCTCAACCTTGCCCTGATATCCAGTTCATGCAATCGCTTTAATTGCCAATTCTCGCCTATAGCCGATGGAGATGCACCCAGAACAGACGCCGACCGCTGCCATGGCTCGATCAAAGGCCCGGCGGGTCTCTCGCGCGTGTCTGTCGTGTCGCACGCGCAAAACGAGATGTGACCTGTGAGCAGAGAGACAGACCCCGGAATAGCCTCGCTTACTGACGCTTATTGGGGGAGCAGCGATTCTGCGGGAGTGTCGGGCGTGCCTCCATGTCGTCGATGTGTCGAACACCAGCTCGAATGCGTCTTGACCAAGTCAAGGCGTGGCGGACGCCGCATCAAGGGTGTCCGCAATTCCATGATTCAAACACCCAGCCGCAACAGCGAAGGCCATGATCCGGCGAACACCACGCACAATGACGACGACGACGACGACGAAGACGACGACGACGATAATGAAAACTATAGCAGCCAGCACGCAAGTCATGCTCGTCCCGACCAACATCCAGGCGGCGCGGATGACATGCGGGCATGGCTGTCGTCGCAGCAGACCGGCAACTGGCCTGATGAGGGGGGTTCCACTCGTGAGATTGCAGAATCGAGAACGAGTTCGGACGGATTGGAAGGCCACATTGCCAATACCGATCTTTTGAATCCCTCGGATGCCCTCGACCTTCTCGCTCAAGTCGCCGACCTGGATCCTGATAGGCAGCGAAATGCGCTGGCGGGTCAAGCCGGCTCTAATAGTAGACTTGCAGTGGACGGTATGCCGCAAATCGTCGGTAGATCAGCCGCGACTTACTACCCTCCGCTGGACGATGGTATAATAACACCGTCAGAGGCGTCATATCTTGTCAAAAGGTAACCCAGCGCCGCAAACTCCCGTCAGCATACATACCCATTCTAATCGCTTCTTACCTAGATATCATGAAAACTTTCATCCCTTCTTTCCAGTGGCACATAGCGCCATATTCAAGGGTTCAATATCCGAATGGGCAGCCAAGGAGCCCCATCTCTTGACAGCGATTCTTACCGTTGCTTCGAAAGACGACCCGGCCTGGTTTAGAGTATACGACGCGTGCTCTCGCCACATCGAAACCTTCCTGTCGAATTTTATATATGCTGGATCGAATTCTGTTGGCTCTGTAGAGGCGCTTCTCATTCTTGCAGAATGGGCGCCACAACGCCCGCAGGAGAATTCTTCCATTGGTTGTGGTCAAGAAGACCACGGTGCTTGGATGCTTGTAGGCTTGGCCGTGAGGCTAGGATACCTGCAAAGGCTTGAACAGTCTGCGCTATTGCCGGACGAAGGAAAGCTTTCTGCGGAAATGAGTAGAAAACGGGTCGTTTGGGCAGGTATGTGAAGTGTAAGGAAAGTGTCTCTGTAGCCCTCAGACATTAACCACGATACAGCGTGTTACATGTGCGACCGACAAGTCTCAATCCGACTTGGAAAGGGCTTTTGGTCACGCGGGCCTGGTCCAGCTCTTCATTTACGGGCTGCAGATTTTCCAACGCTACAAGAGCAGGCACTTGGCCCTGACAACATGGGCCTGTTGTTTCAAGCCCATCTTGAACTTACCCAGCTGATCAGCAATGCCCACGACATTTTGTATTCGTCAACGAGTCACCGACAGCAGCTGTACATTGGCGGGGAGTATGTTAGATACATTGTAGGTCTTAAACGGCTGTATAATTCAGTTATTCATTTGCTAACGTTCTTTGTAGGATGATTTTGCTTCCATGGTACGGAAATGGAAGCTTTCATGGGCAAACCATAGCTGTGGGTTCTCCTATTTGTCTGCGTTTTGTACTTCCCTGTGGCAGCGTCAGCTAACATTCAATAGTCACGCCTCCCGTGAAAGCCTCACTGGTACTGTCTTTCGAATTTCTAAGGCTGTACATCAATGCCTTCGCCTTTCAAGCCAACCTGAATCGGGCCGCCGCTCGGAATGCGCAAGCAGGCCCTGGGAAAGCTAGTGGGCCGCTCTTTTCCAATGTCGCTGGAAAGCCAGACGCTCGATTTATATATGAGTCTATCGACGCTGCAAACTCGCTTCTCAGCATTTTGAACAGCTTTATCGACCCTGTGGCCGGCCTGAAATGCATGCCACTGAAGTACTGTCTCTACGTGATTTATGCCGCCGTCTTTCTGTTCAAGGTAAGCTGCTTTCGACAATCTATGCGCACGTCTATTACAACCGATGCTGACCAATGACTCAGGCAAGAATGGCGGGTGCTATCAGCAGTGAAGGTGGCGATCGCGGAGTTCGCCGTGCCATTCATGGTACTATTACACAACTACAAAAAACGTCGGACAACCCTCAAAGTCTTGGAAGGCGATATGCAACATCGCTCCGCCTTCTTTGGAGGAAATCTAGTACAAAGCAGCCAAACAAATCTGCTGCCGCTCGTCGTGATCCCTTGACTGAGCCACCGACGCCGACAATGGACGATGTCCGAGCGCAGGAAGGCATTCCTCTAATTCCCACTGGCAAAGCGACGATGGACATGGATCCATTGAGCGGGTTTTCATGGCGAGATCTGGATTCACTTGGACAGTTTATTGCTGGCAATTCAACAATATCCATGACAGACGGGATGCTCGCTGGTGGAGAATTTGATTGGGAACACAGCTCCGGTGGGCTGGACGATCTTGTTGTACAGCCGCAGTTTGACACGAGGTGGGCCGGGCACGATATAATTTTCTGAGCATTAATTTTGGGTCAATTCGGTGTTGTAAGGATAATGCAATAAGTCGCGGTCTCTACGAAATGAAGGAGATAGTGCTGGATATTAGGTTTTAATGGCATCTTTAGCACTCTTGTCGAGTGTGTAACAAAGTCAATATGTATACTGTTTGAGTTTTTTTTAAATCTGGGTATCTAATATTCCAATGCAAAATGCAAAGTTTGCCTAATCATGACAATAACATAAACAACAGCCTCGCTTAATAAATATACACAAACTCGTCATTCTCACGATCCGTGAGATCCAAAAACGCTTGCTCTCCTAGTCTCGCATCCCCTGCATGCTCTACGGCACCAGTTGCATTTCCATCTGCAATGACAATTTCCTCATCGTTACTCTCATCCATAGCCCGATAAGTCGCATCCATGGAGTGGTCGACAACAACCGCCTTCTTTCCGTTGCGCACACGCTTCTTTGACTGAAGCTTGTTCAGCACAATGAGGTTGGCCCATTGGATAGCCACAACGGCCACAAGCGCCACGAAAATGGCCAAACAGGCGCGCAGACCGGGCTTGTAGGCTGGCGCGTCATTGGCATTGAAGAGCAAAGGCCCGACGATGTTGCCGGCCGCGCTGGCGGCATTGTAGACGCTCATGATGGCGGATTTCTTGGTGGTGCCGGCAGTGTTGCCGACAATCCAGGTGACGATTAAGGGGTTGCCGCCAAAAAGGAAGGCCAGCAGGTAGTAGCCCACGAGAAGAGCTGCTTTAGCGGAGTCGTCGCGAGGCACGGAGTAGAGGACGGCGAGGCCAGCGACGACGGGGATCATGAAGAACATGAGGATGGCGCCCTTGACACGCGCCTTTTGGGCGAGGTAACTGGCCAGCAGGATGACAATGATTTGTAGAGCGCCAAAAGGCATGTTCAACAGGCTGGTCATGTATTTGTCTGTAACGAGACCATTCAAGATGAGTGGTCCGAAGGTGTTGGTTACGCTGGCGCCGACGTTGAGCAGCATAGCCATGGCGATCCAGAGGTATGTCTTTGGTTCCAGGACGGCCTCGAGGAGGTGTCGCCACTTGAACTCTCGGCTTCCGGTACCTGTTTGGTTGGCGCGGAGTCTCTCGATGGCCTGGGCCTTTTCTTTTTCTGTAAGGAATCGGGCCGATGGGATGTCGTTTTCGAGTTTCCAGTAGACGAAGGGGGAGGAGACGATGGTGACGAGACCGACAAAGAGGAAGATGCTACAGTATATCATATTAGTACGTTGCCTTTATGACTAGGGCATTGAAGTATGGGATGGAGTTTAGGAGTACATACATCTGCCACTCCTTGAGAACATCGGACTGAATATGTCCCAAGCCGTAGGATAGAGCAGCCGCGACAATGGTGGCAGCTCCGTTGGTGCCATACCACGCCGCAACTCGAATCGGCTGCTCAGCGCGTCTGTACCACTGGCTCGTGATGAGACTGAATAGCGGCAGGCAACCTGCCTCGAAAAGACCAAGGAAGAACCGCGCGGCCATTAAGCTGCTAAAGTTGTGGCAAGCGGCCATTGAGGCTTGTGCAATGCCCCAGCCGAGGATAAGACACGGCATCAAGATACGGTGCGGGACTTTGACGATGAGGTAGGATGAGAAGGGCTGCCAGGCCAGCTGTGCAATGGGAGCAATTGAGCCAACGAGTGAGTATTCATTGCCGGTCAAGTTTGTGTCCGTCTTTAACCCATATGTAGCGCCATAGCCGAGAACAGATTTATCGAGAATCTGCAAGAAATAGACCCAGACTAAGATGGCGAGGATGACTCGATCCGTCTTGCGGCAGATGCGGCGACTGTCTTCCTCGGTGAGCTCGACTTGCTCATTGCCGATGAGAGCCAAAGCCCGATCTCCGTGCTTGACTTCCGTTTTGCCGCCGTCAATGTCCATACTGGCTCCTTTATGTTCCTCGTGGGTGGAGTTTGGCTTGGAGTCTGCGAGAGCCATTGTGACTGTGAAAGGCGACAGTCCTATTTCTCTATAAGAATGACAATGAGAGTGTAAAGGAGATGGAGACAAGAACAAAACACCGCACGTGTGATGAACTCGATCCTGACATTCCCCGGATTTCGATCAGATCAGTTATGCGGAGGTGATGGATCCTTTTTATACAGCGTGGAGTTGTTGTTTTCAGCGAGAAAGTTGGACGATAGTGGTTGAGTCGGTCCCACATGGCGTGAAGAAAGCGAGTCAACCCTTGCGCCAATAGCTCAACCGTTTCTAACTCAATTTTTTTTTTCCATCAGTCTGGGGAAAGCAAAAGCCGACACTTTCCATTGACTCTTTGGCTGAGCTGAGCCCCTTCCATTTTTCATTTGCCGATGAGCTAAGCATGAGCTGAGTCTCAATAGCCGGGATGGAGACGGCTCCAGGTCTAAGCTGGAATAGCTCGGCGGATATTCCGGGGGCGTGGTCGCCACCTCCGCCATTTCATTGTTTTGCCCCTAGAAAATAAGCATGAGACATGAATCGCGGGGAAGGAAGCCAGGATCAGGGCGAGTTGCATGAGACCACATTTGAGCGCGGGCTGTATAATGGCGTACACTATTAATTTGCTTAGCCAGTTGCCGTGAGCTGTCAATCGGCTATTGATCTGTCTCGTGTTGCATCATTCGGTGTGTCCTTGGCATGGCAATTGCATCTCCCAGTACTCCATATTGGCTATTGATCAGTGGAAATGTTAAAAAACAATTACAACAGCCGAATTGTCATATAGCAGGCTTGGCAGTCTAAACTTCATCTTGTCACATGGGACTCGCACCACGTCAAATATGAACCGCGCCTTGCCATTGGCAGTTGGACCGGTACCAAAGGCATTTCACCACCAGATATACCCAAGACATACCGCATGAACAGCAGACCAATATGTATCACTTTTTGTTCATTTTGCTTGGATCAGATACGTCATCATGAATTGTATATGCCTGTCGCTGTATATGAAGGAAATATAGAGCGCTGTATGAAAACATACATAAAACGCTAAAACGTGCTTCCGGCGAGTACATCTCATTCATAGTAATCGTGCTCAGCCAATTCGCTGATTCTAGCTTCTTCAAAAAGCTTACCGAGATTAGAGGCCGCTCGATCAGCAGAGATACTGCCAAAATCTAATCCCCATGAAGATATAGCCCGCCAGCCTGGCGGTGGCTGACTCTCTATGCGTCGGCCTTGCGCTGTAAATCGATCTATCAGCTCAATCTCCTCTGATCTCATTCCTTTCCGGACTGCTTTGAACACCATCCGGCCCGTGTAGAAAGAAGCACTTTGATCGCGGAGACCCATGGTGGCCAGTAAAATGGTTGACTGTAGCGACTGTAGCGTCGTCTCGTGCATGCTTGCATGAATAGCACCATGAGCCATGAAGGCAAGCATGCTGAGATACTGGACCATGAAGTAGTCCAATGCTTTAAAGCCGTGGCGGAGGTAGTATAAGCGAATTAAGGTCTCGAATGAACGTTTCGAACTAGAGAGAAGCTCTCGAGGTTTTTGCCCAAGGGACTGAGAAAAAACATCTATGAACTGGGGGTTGTCTAGTTTGGTAACCATTGGTTCTTCGAGGAGATTGATTATGTAATTATGAAACTGCATGCTGCGAAAGCCTTAGTGGCGGGAAGCCACGCACATGTAGACTCGATTTACACTTACTGAAGCTGTAGCTGATATGGAGTAACGATTCGATCCGGCCTCATGCACCGCGGCAGAGTCCTGTACCAGTGTGCCAGTTTGGAACAAAATGCTAGAACTTGAGTGGCTAGAAGCTCAGCGTGCCTAGCTTTCAATTCCTCCATCTGAGATGCCATATCCCGAGCTATGCACCACAATTGTATTTTCGCCCAGGTATATTGACTGAGGTGCGTGCTAAACATGGTTGGAGCAGAAGGGAACTTGAACCAGATATCTCCATACCACTGGGGATGCTCGAACGGATCTGGCAGAGGCGATTCAGGCGCCTTCTGGCATAGAGGTACGCGCTGATGCATATAGGCCATAACACTATGAATAAATATGTAGATTAGAGACATAGAACAAAGAACGAGCAAATTCAGATGTACCCTTGCCAACCGTACAAGACCCAAGCAGTCAATTCTCGGGCATTACGTTCCTTTCCGCTCGCTACAGCAGATGGCTTGAATAGATTGAGGCCATTCGCCATATCTACTGCCTGTTCGAGGTAACGATAGCCAAGCTCATCTGTACCATTCATGTTGTAAATAATATGGAGGATAAGGGTGGCCTGAACGGTCATGAGATTCGGCTCTCTCGCTTCCAGTTCCCATAGGCGGCGAGTTTCAGCAAGAAACTGGTAAGCCCTATTATTTGGGTTCCAAAACTCGGCACGGTTCGGGTTGGAGTGATCGGAATGCTGAGAGGCTATTTAGCAAAGCCACCGACTGGAATGATTTAGCGTCAAGAGAACTCACGCAAGCTATGGTCAGTATGGCGTTGACCAACAAAGAAGAGCAGAATTCATGTCTTTTGGCAATCATGTCTTCTAGGAAATAGTCCTTGTGGAAGAATGGGGCCGCGTGATATTCTTGGAGAAAGTAGATATTAAACAGCTTCCGCATCAAGTTATCGTCAGAGCTAATAGAAGTCCAAGCAGATGGCTTGATCAGCTCTAGCTTCGCATCCATGACTTCTGCCGCATGGAAAGGCTTGAGGTAAACGCCTTGATGCTCATCTCCGCCTGCCGCTGAAGATGATGCCGATGCCATTGATTGTGAAGCGGGAGGTGTTCGGTCCCTAAAAGTAGATTCATACAGCAGTGAATCAAGGTATGGATTTGGCGGATGCATCAAGAATGCTGGCATCTCGTCTATATAAGGGAATCGATAGCGGTAGCGACTCTCAGGCACCATCCTCATCTGTAGAAGAAGATTGCCATCCTGAATAAGCCTCAGAAGAAACCCCGCATCATCGCCTGCTCGTATGCGCTTGTAGACTTCAGTGGCTTCCTCCGGCGGACGAGTTTGAAGCAGCTCATATAGCTCTTCATAATGTGTCTTTCGGTGGAGTAGCTCGTCGTACTTTCGTTTGAGGGCGTTGGAGTGCGTCTCGTCCGTGGCAGTGTTATACTCGCAAGGAGTGTTTCGGGAGACGCAAGACGCGCACTTTGGTCGCTCTCCGCTACACTATACACGCATTCAACCGTTAGCAAAAGGGACAAAAGCATTGAATATTCCAACATGTTATCCCTAGCCTTCGATTTTCGCGCGTGGCAGGCATTACAAGCCGCCTTGATCGATCTCCTTCTGGAGCTCAACTCGCTCAACTCGCTCTCCGCCGAAGGAGCCTGAGGTGAAGACGATCCAGTCTGGATGCGTGTTGTCGGAGCGGGAAGTAGTCGACGTAGCGGATTGCCGCCATGGCCAGGGGTCGATGCTTCATGCGCCATAAGGCCTCAATCGATAGACGCAAGAGCTAATCTCATAATGGTAAAGATTACATCTAAAATTTCAGATTAAACAAATCTACGAATTTCATAGAAACACACAAAACCTCTCATTGTCGACGAAACCCCCTCCCTCACTCCTGCAGATTCTGCCGGAGCATAACCAGATGGGCATACATGCTCCGGACCAAAAGCTCCTAACCAAGCATAAAGGCTGGGGACTGCAAGGATCCAAAGGAGCAAATGAAACTTTACTGTCTTTTTACCTACAAAAAAGAAGCATGCCGAAAATGCAAAAAATGTCTTCAGTCTGACCAATTAGAAGGCGGATAACCTTCGATGCGGGGCATCGCATCAGCAGTTTCTGCTTCCCCCTGATGTTCTTTTTCACGGCACAATTGATGACGACAATTTTGGGTTGGCCAGTGCAGTTCAGTGAAGAATTCGAGTATTTCAGTCATTTTGGTTGAATTACTGGGGACGGGGACGAGAAGAGCTAGTCTCACTATCGGTTGACATCAGTATGTATCATCACTGGTAATGATTGCGTTACCTATCGTCACGAAATATTGATGGAGCCATGGAACTTTAGAGGGCTAGGAATTGCTCATTCAGCGAAATGTAAAACAGCAAATGGTCAGAGTTTCTCTTCCATCTTTTTTGTGGAAGACAAAGTAGACGTGAAGCAACGAATCATACAAGAGGTGGCATTCTGCTTACTACCCAAGTAATCAAGGGGCACACTACTAATTGCCAGCCCTTTCTCTCTTGTCTCATTTCTGATCACAAGCTCTGTCGGTATTGGCTAGAAAATTCGTGGCTTTTTCCCTCTGTTTATCAGCGAATCATAGATTTAGACGAGCTGTACGCCACCGGTAATAAGATGCGAGCTAGTTTCGGATGTGGTGCGCGTCGTGGTCATCGTGAGGGCATGAAAACGGAATTGTTCGCAGACGCCTGACAGTCAATTGCCAAAAGTGAGATCAATGAAAATTCAATGACTATTGGATTTCTTTGCATGGCTGTGCTATTTGCTCATTGTAATATCGGTGACGCGAAAGCACAACGGTAGCAGTCTTTATATAATGAGTATTCGACGGGACTACATCTTCTAGATTAAACTCTCTCTCTCTTTCTCTCTCTATAATTGAATGCTAAACACATCTTATTAAATTCATCTCCCATTGAAATGTCGCGGAACATCTGCATCACGGCCGTCGAAGGCCAGACAGGGTTTCTTATTGCCGAGCTGCTCTTGAAAGAGGGTAAATTCTCCCGACAGATTAGCAGCCTCACCGGCTTGGCATTGGATCCGTCTGCCGCGCGAGCCCAGGAACTTACGGAGCTTGGGGGAAAAGTCGTCCATCATCAACCAGGCCGCGAACGCCTTATGGTCAAGGCACTCAAGGAGATTGGATGCGACACTATTTGTCTGGTTCCTCCCGCCCATCGCGACAAGTTTGACATCACCATGGAGCTAGCAAATGCTGCCAAGAAAGCGGGCGTATCCAATGTTCTCCTCATCAGCTCTGCCGGGTGTGATTATGCCGAACGCGAGAAACAGCCTCGTTTGAGAGAGTTTATCGACATAGAAAGCGCGGTCCTTGCGTCCAAAGGAGAGTCTGAAACTCCACTTGGCCATTCGCCCTGCGTGATCCGGTGTGTTTTTTTTTTAATTTACCATTGCAGCCGCTTTAAGTGGGTAGGCATTGACTGCTTCTAGTGCCGGATTTTATGCAGAGAACTTGCTACTTTATTCAGAGCAAGCAAAGGCTGATGGTGTGCTCCCGCTACCGATTGGGGAAAGCCACAAATTTGCTCCTGTCGCGTTAGGCGTAAGTGTTAGCTTTCCGTTCTTTAATCGTAACTCTAATGAGGCTATTAGGACGTCGCACATGTGGCTGCCCATGTGCTTGCTGGCAAAGGCAAGCATGGTTTTGATGACAAACATCGAGGCCAAATGATGATTGTCACAGGTAAATCGCCTTGTCTATCGGATGCCATTCAATTGAAGATTATGGGTAGCTTGCTAAACACGCGTAGGGCCGCTTTTATGTGCCGGGAAAGAATTAGCCGAAGCAGCTAGTAAGGCTCTGGCAGCTAACATTGAGTTTGAGAACATCTCCGAGTAAGTCGATTGTTGTTTGTGCTGATACCGCCGATTTCCGCTAATACACCGTGAAGAAACGAAGCCAAGAGAGTACTTGCCTCCCAGAGTGAAAGCGACGAATCAGAAAAAGAATACATTTTGGAATATTACAGTTTGGTTCGCGAGGGAAAGACGAATTACATCGCTACGACTGCCTTCCACGATGTTACAGGAGCCCATCCCACTGAACCGAACGAGTTTTTCAAATCTTATTCAACCGAGTTTCGGCCCCGCAAAAAGACGAAGCATTAAATCTACCATCATACTCGGATTGATTAATCCGTTTAAAAGACAATTGCTATTATGATTCTAGTAATGTGTGTATATCTATCTGTATGCCAGGACTTGAAATTAGCTCGGAACTGAAATCATACTCCGTACTGAGAATTACGATTGCGGATGAATTAATGGGTACGATTAGCAAACACATAATCAACGAATGTTCGAGAAATTTGCTCGCCACTTTGCCATAGAAGATCTAAACTATACTCAGCGTTTGAGCAGTATCTCAAACCATAGTTAAGAAATCGCTTAAACGGACTGTGACGGGTAGCAAGACTTAGAATTTATCCCAAGCCCTTTGAAAAAGGCAGACGGTGGGTCCTAATGAACGTGAAGAGCTCAAAATCCTTTCGCGACCATTTTGCTCGCATATACCAGATTATAGCAAGCAGTAGAGAGGAGATATCATTCAACGTACACTGTGTTTCTTGATACCATGGAGTATTCTAGCAGCCGACCATTTTTGGAATGTTAACAGCAGAAAAGACATCTCGAAGAGCAGCGGCGGTATTAACTAGATTGGGAATGGTTGAAAGAGGATGAGGAGAAAGAGATGGCCAGTGAGAAAGGAAGCAAAAATCTTAAACCCGTTAAACGACCGCAGTGCTCTATATCTAGACTAGTCACATTTCCATGATTCGCCCTTCTCGAATTTTGGCATGGAACTTGGAGTGGTGACAATATTCTGGCTGGTGGTGTTCAAATCGTTGGAAGAAAGAACTAAGTTAGCGTCGGAATGAAGCCATCTCAGAACTTGTTGGTCGATCGCGGGGACCTGGAGCACTCAACTGCCGGCTAGAACCACACAGTGCTGAATTATGAAGCCAAAATGCGTATGAGCTGCGGCATGTAGAAGAGGAAGAACGTTACGGGTCACAGAACCAGCGAAGGCTCTATCACAACCCCCTGGCTAAGTCTTCCTCCTGTAGTCTCTCAGTTAGTTTCGACCATCTAGGCAATCATGATGAAAACTTTAAGCACGCTACGGCTTGTGTCGCTCTTTTTGATCAAGGGCAAGTTCAATTGGTGTGTCGCTCTCGGGCGTAGTTGGAAAAATGCCGACGGAGAGGTTGTATACGGCTCGCCCTGCTTGGATTCTGTCACCGCAGGAAGAAGTCGATAGATATGGGGAAACTACCAAAGTGATAAGTTGAATGGAACGACAGAAGCAAACAACGCGAGAAGAAGTACTTGGGAGTTGGCCGGAATGCTTTCTGGCGTACTGCGAGACTAACGAGAAAACCACAGAAAGCCAATAGAGCTGTGATGGTTGGATCTGAAGGAGCGCGAGAGCCGCATACTCCACTAGACGCCACCACTTAAAAAACGCCAGGAATGTGGCAGGCCAAAACTATGCGGGAAGGATTCTAACATGGTAGCAAGACATGTGCGTCTCACCTCATTCAAAGGAAGAGTTGGAGATTTGGGGGTTTCGGTCCCCCGTTACTCAAGGTTGAGGGAGAAGCGTAGTTGGTTTACAGGACTCTGGCATCAGGAACCAGACTAACCGGTGGTATGCTGGGTGCATCAGAATATCTAGAAAGAAAGAAAGGGAGGGGTAAGGGCTCGGCGTAGCGACAAGCGTGTGAGCTCCAGGGTATGTCAGTCAAGCCGCTATCAATCGCATTCATCTCTACAAAATGATCTATGTGCATTCAAGTCATGGTAAAAGAAAGCGAGATCGCAAAATAAATGCACGTACGGAATCCTCAATAAGAGCACTATTCGCGTGACGCCGTCTTGTGTGTTCAAAATCTCTTCGGTCTCGCCTTTTCTGTCCGCTGCTTGCCACTCTAGGTTCATGCACCAATATCTAACCGAAGATATAAGAATTTGTCATGTTTTTTGGAACGAAATAAGCGAGAAGTAGGCCACAATCTAACATTGTGAATCGCAACTGGTGAGCGCTACCTTTATGCTGTAGGACTATAGAGTGAAATAGAAAGTCACCGGGGAGAACTTGAGTAAGTTGTGCTTGAGGAAGTGGCGTTAATGTCACATGCGACGAGTCTAGGTACGCAGCATTCTTTCTACTTGTTCAAATAAAATGATGAAGTCAATAAAAGTAAAAATAGTAGCCAAAAACGAAAAGAAAGTGATTAAATACATAAGAAACAAGACACCTCGTATACCCATCCCAGGAGACGGACAATTTTAATGTGTACCTCTAGAAATGGTTAGAAGACATAAGATTCCGTCGAGTTTTCAACACTTACAGCATGTAGAGTGTCTCAGAGGACCAGCACAGCCGAGACAAGGACGACAAGACCAAGTGTCAGCTGTCATCGTCCGTCGCCAAAGTGTTTATTGGCCGCACCCATCGGGATAGATGACGTTAGTACCGTCAGAGTAGCCATAGCAGTATGGGTATCCTGATTGCCACTTCCGCGGGTCTGAATAACAGGAGCAGTTTGAGTGGCTAGATCAATGCTCCCAGCTGTCTGAATAGATGCACTTCCGCCTAACTTCCTAACAATGGTAGTGGCTGCAGCATAACCGCCTGTGCCATCGACGCTGGGACTACACTCGTCATTTATAGCGCCGTTATCATCGCAATTGACAAAATCCTCCGTGCAAGTGCAACTCATATATGGAAAGACGGCTGAGTCGCCGTCGCACTGCATGATTAAGCCGAGAAAAGAAATGTCATACCCTTGCATGACTTGCGAGAGACACTGAAGTCTAGGCTGTTATCCGCGCATGCAGTGTCCGAGCAAAATGGACTGCGAACAAGTGAACGGGCCTGAATGGGCTGTCTGGATGGGATCACCACGGTGGTAGATGACGAGAGAATCCATTGTTTGTTTTGCTCTTCCTTCTCTAAGGTGGAGTTCATTGGAGCCCGTGAGTGATCTGCAGACTTTGTTTTCCTTTTTTTTAGACTCAAAAGAGAACCTTTTCGGGGCTCCTGAGCGTTTATAATGGGGTATATATGCATCTCCTCAAGCCGTACAATGCTGATTAATAGATATACCCTCCTATCCCTGACTAGACCATATCAAGCCGCATCATCGCTTGATCACAAGTTATCACATTTGTAAATAAAGCAACACCATCAATTATTTCGCCTGGTGTATTTGCTCTTTCTTCCTATTTGAATGGTTAGCTGTCGGAAGAAAAGCCTGGAAGGGAAAGACGAGAAGCCACAGTGTTTCCCCTGGCTTAGTTGCGTTACTGTCGACACTATCTCTCACATCACGTACTAGACTAGACTGTTGTTTCCATTGGAATAAACACTGCGCGTCAAGCCTTTACTATCGGGTTTTTACAAGTTACCTTCGACTTGAGGAGATCTGTCGAAGGAGAGAAAAATAACTAGTCCGAATCCTATGTATTCTTACCCACACACACTACTAATAGCCAATTTGCATTGATCGAGTTTTACAACGTTGAGAGACACTGTCACTAGGCATGTACAGCGATGCCTTTGTGACTCTTGAATGTGTCTAACAACGTATCAACAGTGAAAAAGAGCTGTCCGATGTGCCAGGCCTTTTGGTTGCATTGCATTGCAAGGCATTAGGCTATACGGTTGTAATTATTGCAATCAGAGAGTTTTGATAGCTCTTCACTTGAGAAACGGATAAAAATCACTCGTCCTGATCTGCAGGCGATTGCGACAGTAGATCCGGATACGGCCGAACGACACGCCTCGAGTTCTGTCGGCAACCTGAGTATGTTGTGACTGTCCCAAGTAATCCAGCTGTAGTCCCATCTAACGCCAATGCCCGAAAACTGAGATGGAATCGATGTATCAGCTTTATTGGTGCTATCAATTGCAATAGAACCAAATTCTGTAAAAATTCGCGAGTGATCGCTTGAGATTGATATATCAGCTGGCCGGAACGTCCTAGTTACAACACCGAGATGAGTATTTTGCAGGCATTCACCGGTGTCGACGCGCCAGAGTCGAATGGTGCCACCTTGCACGGCAGCTGCCACGAGTGTTGAGTCCTGCGAGAAGGCGATTGCAGTAACATCGTCTATATGGCCCTGGAATTGTAATGTCTGTACATATGAGCCCGTAGCAACGCTCAAAATCTCAATCGTTGCTTCTGAATCACCTGATGCTATAAGTGCTGAATCGTGTGAGAAGGCGACTGAGCCTATTTCGCGATTGCGCATATCCCCCATCCATGTGTCCAGCATTTGTACGCAGTCGCCTGTGTCGGTGCTCCAGAGCCGAATCTTATCCAAAGAAGCTGATGCCACCAGAACAGAGTCATGCGAGAAAGCAACCGCAGCGATTTCATAGACGTGGTATAGCTCCTGCAAACATTCGCCCGTGTCGATGCGCCAGATCTTGACAGTCCTATGAACAGAAGCTGATGACAAGAGCAGCGAGTCATGTGAGAAAGCGATTGACTCAATCCCCTCTGAATGACCTCGTAGCTCCCGCACCCTTCTCCCCGTTTTAGCGCACCAGAGCAAAATCATATTATTAAACTTTGAAGCGGAGGCCACGAGCGCTGAATCGTTCGAAAAAGCAATCGATGCATGTCTAGTCCCAGAGATTACTTGCTCTTCCATGTCGCTTTGTGCATCAGCTTCTTGTACACCGCTGTTTACATCAATGGGAAAGAGGCGGATGGTCGTATCCCTCCATGAGACGGCTAGAAGACTCAAGTCTCTTGACAGGGCAATTTCGCCGGGACCGCTATTGATCAGCACCCGCACACAGTCTCCTGTGTCGACACGCCAGAGCTGCATCATCCCGTCACTAGAGACCGATGCAATAACCTCCGAGTTATGAGAGAAAGCAAAGTGACAAATATATTCAGAACATTCAAGCGTTCGCACACACTCTCCTGTATCAATTCGCCACAGCTTAATCAAATGCCTTTCCGAGGCACGCACTAATGATGCTAAGAGTGCCAAATCGTATGAGAATGTAGCTGATATGACGTCAAACACATCAAGTTGAAGCTCTCGTACACAATCACCCGTTTCGACGCTCCGGAATCGAACCATTCCGTCTTCAAAAGCTGTTGCTAACAGCGATGAGTCCTGCGAGAAGGCAATCGCAAGAATCTCTCTATTAACCTGTAACTTTTGCACACAGTTTCCTGAGTCAACGTGCCAGAGTCGGATAGTCTCATCATATGAAGCCGATGCTATGAAAACCGAGTCAAAAGAGAAAGTGACTAAAGGCACTTCGTCTGTATAACCTTCAAGTGTATGTAGGCATTCGCTTGTAACAACGCTCCAGAGTCGCACTTTGCAATCGGTCGAGCCGGATGCTAAGAGTCTTGCGTCGTGCGAGAAGGCAATCGAGCGAACTACAACTCCAGGGTGTTCAAATCCTTGTACACAGTCGCCTGTACTGGTTCGCCAAAGCCGGGTCGTGCCGTCACTTGAGGCTGATGCTATGAGGGATGAGTCATGAGAAATAGCAATCGTATAAATTATACCGGTATGGCCCTCAAGTAGGGTTGACCAAGCAGGCCAGCGTGTTTCCACACGTGGTTTGGCGAGAATCCATTCCGGCTCTTCGCCTATGAAAAGCTCTCTCACTCGGCTTTGCAAAGGACTAAATACACGTTGCATATGCTTGCAGCGGAGCAGATTCTATCGCTCGCTTATTTGAAAGAAAAAATCGATGTGCGTCTTCGAGCAATTCCGCAAGGTGCGGCGTCAAAACATTCTCCTTTGGTAAATCAGGTCATCGTTCGATATGCAATCCCACACATAAAGGTTTTGACTCACCTTTAGCTTCTGGACTGCGAGTAATCCCTTTGACATACCACGCAGCAAACCCAGAGCTTCCAACCAATATAGATATTTACCTCGAGCGAATTTGATGACAGCGTCTTCGCTCTGGCGTCTGCTCTCACGATCCAGTTCTCGCAAGCATTCTGGGTCGCTAAAGTGGTCAATCCAGTAGATGCAAGAATATGCAACTGGCGCCAGTGGATCAGGATTAGGTGGAGACACTTGTTCGATCGGGAAGCCTGGGAAGCGCAGGCCGTAAATGTCTCTTTGTAGCGTCTTGGTCAAAACGTCCAATGACCTTGAGAAGATGGTATGATGCTGGTATCCGATACTAGGAGCCAGAAATTGATCGGATGCTTTCTCAAGCAAGAAATCCTTCGCCGATTGATGTACAAAATAAACCACATCATTTCGGATAGTTAAGAATGAACCACAAGACCCAATAATATCTACCAAGTCATCCTTGTCGTAATCATCATGAGAGTCTAGAAGCCGGTCTAGCTCTACTAACGTGACGGGGCGGTAAACGACTAAAATAATAGCCAAGATCTGCCGGCAAATATCCGCATCAAGTGAGTCGCGAATATTTTCCAACATTCTCTGGTATAGAGTGTCAAGCCCTGGTGGGTATGTCTTTAACTTACCAAGAATATGTCGCTTTTTGACCTTTGGATTCTCAAGTTCTTGGCAGACCAAAGCTACCCAAAGAAATGTGCCATGAGCGTTTAGGATCAAATGCTGCTCAACAGCCCGTTGCGTTGTGGTATCGTAGCCTTTCTTCTCAGTCAATTCTTGTGATTTATACTTGATATAGGCTTCAACGGCGGTGGAAACCGATGCCTCGTTTAGCTCAAGGCACAGCCTAACTCCTTGCATAGCTGTATCGAGATTCTCTTCAATAAGAGGCCAGTTCCGGCTTGACACAATCCATTTGGCTCGTGATGAACTTGACGCTTGGGAAAGGAAGTTAAGAAGAAGTGGCAGTCCATCGACACACTCGTCGAGAGCGTCCACTATCAAAATCACATTAGCCAAACTTGCGTCCTTCAAGATGGCCATCAGGATTTTAGATAAAGCCTCCCAAGCATTTCCATCATCGAAAAGCTTCTTCCCTATACTGTCGTATCTCTCTCGAACGTGTGAGATGAGCAACGGCCGTTGGATGACTATCATGTATATAAGACCTCGCAGCACTGCTGTCGCATCTCTCAGTTGTACCTCAGTAGCTTGACAGAAGAAGTAGGATAGGCAATGCATAGTAGCTGAACTCTCTATCTCATCGATGATACCGCATAGAAGCATTGTCTTTCCCTTCCCAGGATCTCCTTTGATCCAAAGCAGCTTATATTGGGGGTTGTCCCGCCACTGCTTGAAATCGTTGTGGCCAAGGACCCAACGGTATGAGTCTTTGAGTAAGTTGCCTTTGGTACGCTGTATGCGCGTCTTATCGTCGCGAGGATCTGTCTGATGCAGATCCTTAAGACACTCACTGCTTTCTTTGTCTTCCATCATATCCTTTAGTTGTTTTTGGATTTCAACCACGGCTGATTTGTCTGTTTTTGTATACCTTTCCACAAGGGCTTTGGCGACAGATGCAGCAGTCGCAGCCGCAAAGTTCTGCCAGTGATTGTTCGTGTGGCTGTCTGCGTAATTACAGACTCCTTTAACAATAATGCACGGAAGCTCATCCCAGACTCCTGCACCTTCCATCTCAAAAGCCAAAACACCATAGTGCTTGGCGATCCCATCGCGATGCTCGCCAGATCGAAGCATCTTATCACTTGAGCCGAAGCGACCGATGAAGACGGACGGAACCCAGGCGTCCTCACTAGGCCCATGTTGTTCTAGCTGGCGGTTTGTTCCAAGACGCTGTCGCGGTATAACATGCTTCTCATCGCATCCGAGTACGTCGCAAGCTAGGTTTTGAGATTCTTCACAGACAGAATCTGAGTATTCATGACACTGCTCGCAGAAGGATCGTGTCGAACTGTGATGCTTATGGCGGTAAGTTGCCTCGAATAACTTATCACTCGCAATTCCAGGATACTGGTAAGCATCTGCTTTGAGGCGACGAGGCTTTTTGGCGGCAGGAGCTTGAATTTGTTGTAGGAGAACGGCAGCCCGTTCCTCAACTCGCTCTCGTTCTCGGGCTGTTTCAAGAACCGCGACTAAACTGCGAATATTCTTGTCCGGTCTCCCCAAGCTATCCTGTGTAGTATCCTTTGGCACAAAGTTATCCACATACTGCCTGCCATGATCGTATTGTACCACGGTCTTGCTGATAATCACATCCCCAAGAAGAATCTCATCACCAGCGTCAGAACTAGGAATGGCCCCGCAGATCCCCGTCAAGATTACGAGCCTAAGCCCTGGATAGCTCGATCGGAGGCTTGCCGTCGCACTAGCCGCACTGACTTTCCCCGTATTTGGTAGCAGCACTAGGACGACATCAAACTTTCCAAAGCGTCCAGTTGTGTAAGTGTTTGGGTCTCCAATGGCTCTGCCATATTGGTCGCCATTTTCGTCCCAGAATTGATCGAAAAGTAGCGAGACGGCATCGTATTCGAGAGGCAGCGAACAGACGAGAGCCACCTCAAACTCGTCGCGGCTGGCGGGCGGGGTAGCCATAAAGCAATATCCCGTATAACTGTAGCCCTGAGATCACAGTGCCATGGTCTTCTGTTGAGGGGTGGGTATGATTCTGAAGCTATCTTGAATATGATAGATGTAGAAGATGATTTGGAGCATATTTCCGAGCTGATGGTAAATAATAACGCATGTCTAGCGAGCCCAAGAAAGAGCCCAATCAACGTCCTGGGCATCGCCGAACCCCGCAGCAAGGCTGTGCCCAATACATGTACCATGGAGGCCCTACATGTATTCTATACTGCATACAAACTACTCCTACTACCATTACATTACTACTACTACTACTATTAAACTATATCTAGGATCTAGTATTACATGGTAATAGAACTGGGGTGCTGGATGGCTTTTTTCCTTCGATGAAGAACAGTATTCACGTTTTAAACCTCTGTATGCAATCTTATTCTGCGGTCCTTATTTTTTTCGCACCCCTTGGCAAATAAATGAAATGAAGAAGCGGATATATTCCTTGCCATTGTGTCTTTTGATTTATTTTTTGCACCCATTAGTAATCAGAGATTCAGACTAGGTGTTGTGTTGACCGTTAGAGTCAACATACTTGCATCATCATCAATTCGAGGCACAAGACTTAGTTTGCTTCACAGGACCTGGAAGAATACGTCGTCTCCGGAATAAGGGTATTTGCATAACAATATACGTCTTTCTATGTGATTGTAGCGAGCAAACCCTGAATCCTTTCCATCTCTGAGCGAATTTCTGCTCAAAGCCAGCTGACGAAAGAAGTTCGCATTGTGAAATCACTGTTCTGTTCGACGTGGGAGAGAGAAAATCACTTTGATGCCAGAATCCCAACCGATTTAGACTGTTTGGCTAGAAAGGCGGTTTCATGGCGTGATATTTATCTTCGGGTAGCACATTGGTGAGGAAGCAATATGGTTGTTACTGAATTCTGCTTCGACGTGATGGGAAGAGCTGGCACCAATGGTCAGAAAAACGGTGTCGCCGAAAGCCATTATCCTTTTGGTACCTGGGTAAAGCAGAAAAGAGACTAGGCAAATATCTTGCCCATTGACCCATCAAACAAACAATCTTGAAAACGTAATTTCAAATCTTTCGTCTAGACTACTTCCAGCTTAAACTGAAAACGGACTGGACCGATATGGCTATCTTCCCACTTAGGGAACTCGGCCAAGTCATAACAATCCATCTCCAAAACGAATAGATAAAAAGTGTTCTAGCGTGCTGGAATATATACAGTCTCTTTGCAATTCTTACAAATACGACAAAAGTGCCGTCATACGTCTCAAACAGCTATGCAAACCTCTGGCTGAAGTGTCAACATGCATGGAAGCCCGTTATGGGGATCTAGATGGCTGTCAGCAGTAGCAGCCACGAACTCATTTGCCGTCTTCTGGCGCGTGACATTTTGGGAAAATGTGGGACATGTCCAACGCATCACCGATGCGCTGCATTCAATGGCAAAATTTGTTACTTGTCGAGCCTCATGTATGATGCCGTCACATCTCCGCATATCCCGAATGTGAGATCGGGCACCACCCCACAATTGACACATTGAGGCTCACAAATTAACAGGGATTTATTCTTCTCTGGTGCACGTACGAGGACGAGACCCTCTTCACAATGAGTTGGGTAGCCAAGCATAATATTGGCATGCGGCATGATGGGAACGGAAGAACTCGTATTGCAGTGTCTGTGCAATTTGGCGCCAATGATGATGTGAACGAAATGGTTGTTCGGTATCTCGATAAGGACCTTGCGTCTGCATCGTGCCCAAGATGTGCTTACTGACATTAGCCGGCATTTCAGCTTGGATCTAGCAAATGATGAGCGTGTGACTTTGTGCAATGCGGCTCCTGTTATCGTCATACCGCGATGTCTGCGTCACTCACTTTATAGACCATATATCTTGCACTTGCATGCATGATCCGCTTTGTACCACTTATAAAGCCAGTCAGAATCTGTATCAAGTTCAGTCGTGTCCTGTCAGCTCAAGTCTTTCTTCCAACAAGCGTTGTTACCACTGAGCGCAGACATCAGCAGCCATGGACGATTTGCATCTGCCATATACCCATGAGGACTACACCATTGGATGGGTCTGCGCGTTGCCAAAGGAGCAATCGGCCGCCATATTCATGCTCGAAGAGAGACATGAAGATCTTCCCAACCCATCAGGCGACCACAATGCATACACGCTCGGAAGTATCGGCAAGCACAAAGTTGTTATTGCTGGTCTGCCCAAAGGCAGAATTGGCATTCACAGCGCAGCAACAGCGGCGACCCGAATGGTCTCATCTTTCCCTAACATTCGAGTTGGCCTCATGGTAGGAATTGGTGGGGGCATTCCACAAAAGACTCGGCTTGGAGATGTTGTCATCAGCTGCCCCAGCGGAACAGAGCCAGGCGTTATCCAGTGGGATATGGGAAAGGCCGGGGCCAATGGCGAGTTTGAACGAACAGGGTCTCTGGCTCCTCCACCCACGGCCTTACTTACGGCATTAACAAAGTTTGAAGCCGATCAAATCACAACACGGACCAACATGCTCAGCTATCTAAAGAGCCTGGAGAGCATACCCAACATCCCAAAAAGCTTCCTCAAGTCGGACTCTCTCCAGGATGTCTTGTACGAGTCAAGCTATAACCACAAGGAGGGAGACGATTGTCGCCATTGTGATAAGAATAGGGTGATCGAAAGAGGTCCAAGAGAAGATGACATGATGATCCACTGCGGCTTGATTGCATCCGGCAACCAGGTGATCAAGGACGCTATTCTTCGCGACAAGCTCTACAAGCAGTTCAACAATAACATTCTCTGCATCGAAATGGAAGCCGCAGGCCTGATGAATGACTTTCCTTGTGTTATCATCCGAGGCATTTGCGATTATGCAGACTCGCATAAAAACGACCAGTGGCAGGGTTACGCGGCCGCAACAGCCGCAGCTTGTGCAAAGGCGTTGCTAAAGGTGCTGCCTTCCAGCGAGGTCGATAAGCTTCAACGAGTGCAGCGTAAGTCCACGTCTGATCAGATATAAGGCATTGTCGGACTAATAATTGAATCAGTGACCATATCTCCTAGTCTCGTGGAGGGTGCAAAGAGATATCTATCGTCGTCATACTGGCTAGGCGAAAAGAAGGACGTCCCTAATCCGTCAGGTATGCAACGCCTTTTAGAGTCTGTTATTCGTTAGATCTTCAATTAACGCTTCATAGCGGCAATAACGTCCCAAAAAGACATCAAAGGCAAAACCGATGAGCCGCTCCCAGAGCCGATGTCGCCTATGGCCAAATCGAGAGACACAAGTCCTCATGGAAAGTCGAGAGATTCCGGCCCCTCCGAGATGCCAACAAAAATGATTGCTTCCGACACGCCGATACAAGCAGCTCCTGCTCAGGCGTCAGCACAAACAAAATCTGACAATGTTTCTCAGCCTCAGTCAGTTGAAACGTGGCTACGGGAAGCACCAGCATCTCTGGCAACGATGCTCAAACAAGGAAACGTCGAGGATGCGGTAAGACGTATCTGCATGGGCCTCAGCGAAATGATGCCTCCTCAAGAACCAGGAAATGCAGCTCAAGGCTATACCACTGGCGGAAATAACAATCGTCAAGACACCAGTCGAAGTTTGGAAGCTGGAACTGGTAATTGTGCGCCGGCATCACCACCTGAGCGGAGCAAAAGCTGGGGCGATGCCCCGTCTAAAGATTCTGCGCCCTTGCAAGAAGAGTACAAAGGCTATGCCTCTGAGCAGAGTCCTCCCTACGGCAATGTTGGGTGGAACTTTAACACAGCGCCATATCCTCCTCGAACTCCCTCACCTTTCCACCCAGATTATAAGGTCAACAAGCATGAGAAGAGTCAAGCCTATGGTAATGATAGTACTATTTACCAGGCACCCCAGAGTTTGCAGATGCCTACTGTATATCCTCCTCGATCGCCATCACCATATCAAAATGAGTACAGGGCTGCGATTCCTGAGCAGCCTCACAGCTATGGCTATAATGAACCTTATCATCATGCGCCAGCGCCTTCAGGTCTACATATATCTACGAAATACCCGAACAGTGGATATGATGCTTCCGGCAATGGCGCAAATAATTACCCATGGTCGCCTCCGCAGTCGCCGACATTTCGAGCAAATATTGCCCAGGATCACAATCTGAGGAGAGTCAGCGAGCCGGTGGCAAACTACAATTTGAATCCAACAGCATATGGCAATGACCATGAAGAGGACCGCTTCTTTGGATACAAATACGGATCCTACTATGCAGAACCAAGCGTGATCAGTCCTGATGAGAGGCAGCCTATTGCCCCTCGCAACCAAGATCGACAGCCTGCAGCCATGGCTAAGAATACGTCAACGTATGGCCAAGGCGCGAGAATCAATGATGTTGGTTTAGGGCATAGACGTGCTCAACTCTCAGAACCAATCCCGATCAGTACTAACAAAGGGCCACGAAGCGCTACTCCCATGCCGAGCCAGCGGCCTCCTCCCCTCAAAACCAGGAGTGCGCCACCAGTACGTCAATTGGCCACGAAAGATAGCGAGCGGAACCTGGGTTATAAAAGAACTTGCTGCAACCCAGAGCCGAGCCTTTTGCTCCCTTCTGATAGACGACGCAGTACTACTCCTAGTCAAGGAAGACAGCCTTTGCACACAATCGCAAGCAGCAGGGAACCTTCGGAGCTGGATTTCGGACCTTCTCAGCCTAATTCTCGGCCGTCTTCCCGGGCACAGGCCACTCAACCTCATGTTCTCAGAAGCGTTCCATCTCAAAGGATTTCAAAAATACCACGACCGTGGCGACCATAAGACCCTACCCAATGATCTAAGATAAAAATAATATGATAGTTTGTAGTTATAGAATGTTATAAGCTTTTTTTTTTTTTGGAGAAAAAATGTAAGTAAGATATCGCCATTGTGTATATAGGTAGATAAGGGAGCAGAATTATTTTAGTGTATCAAGTGGTTAAACTTAAGTTCTTATGCTGGCAATGTTTTTGTAGACCAAGAGACACAAGACAATAAAGTTCAAGATCGATGATAAAGGATTTAGTGAGATCAGATGTTATCAAGTTTATTAAGATAGACTAGTTGCGACGAGTCAAAAGAACAAGTTGTTAATTATAGGAAATAAGTAGAGGCATATTTTAATAAGTTTCAAGACAACGCGTAAGTTAAATCTGCTTTTGACAAGTCATTCATTGTATCTGTGCTGAGAATACCTGCAGTAGTGATATAATTAGCTATCTTTTCACTTCTTATATCCAATACGAAGCTGATAAGAGGAATTGCAAAGGCTCTCATTCTAATCAATGCCAATATCAGTGTTAACAGTTTATTCGCTATCTTGTATTACCAGTTCCGCTCAGTCGAAATTAGTTCTATTACAAAGCCAATACCCATTGGATCTCGCAATAGGTACCCACGGCACAAAAACTCACAAGGCTGAGGGGTACCCAAGGGGTGTCATCCTGGCAGACACCACCCGCCACAACTACAACACCAACAACTAGAAAAGAGCAAAAAAAGCAAAAGACATATAACAGCCGGTGTTCGCTGATGCCCTTGGCAGGTTGTCTATTGATGGTCTAGCGGTTGATTATCTTCTATTCCTAATACACATTTCCATAATACCCCGAGATGTAGGCCGAACATAATCCAGTGAGTGTACATGGCCCGCAAGCCTTTCATCACTCATATGTCCTTGATTGGCGGCATGTAATATCAGTTCATAACACACCTTTTGGCCTGGACTCGACACAATGTTTGAGGTGCTCAAGTAAGCTAAGCGGTAATACCATCTAAAGCTATCTCCTCATGCTGTCGCACTTCTTTGATATCAGTACCACGCTCCCTGAAGTGGACTGTGGGTACCCAGTTTGTACTCTTCCGAGCCGAAGAGACCTCTTGATACAACTCATCAACCTCTTCGAGAGTGAGATTCTTGGTCTCATAGATGAAAAACCACACGAAGGCAATGCAGAGGAAGCAGCATCCAAACCAGATAAAGAAGATTTTGGATTGTAGGTTTGCATATCCTGTACCATAGTTTACTAAGTATGGTGTAGAATACGCAAGAGCCCAGTTGACAAGCCACTGATGAGAGTAAGGATCAGTTTACTTGTCTCAAGCACGTGGTGCGGAATTGATTCAAACTTGTCGTGGGATGTTGGCTTACATTTGTTGCGGTAGTCATAGACAAACCTCGAGCGCGATGCTTGAGAGGGAAGAGTTCGCCTGAGCGTGATATGCATCAGCGGCACATTCTAATAGGGATTGCATATGCAAACAGTACTTGCCTGTAACAACCCACGCCAGAGGACCCCAAGTCGAGGCAAAGAAGAAGATATACAGGCACACGAATGCAATACCTGCCTTTTGGGCGGCAACGTTATGGACGATGATATTACCAAGATGATCCTGGCTGGTGGTGCTTGTGCCGAGGACTGCTACGAGTAGCTGGGATATACACATGCCAATGGCGCCCCAGAGAAGAAGTGGACGCCTTCCCCAAAGATCATAAGCATACAGGCCAGGGAAAGTCGACACCACATTGATCGTTGAAGTGATCATTGAAATGATGAAGGGGTTGGTGAAACCCGAGTTCTTAAAGTATTGTGTGCCATAATAGAAGATGAAATTGATACCTGAGATGACCGTGTCAGTTACTCTTGCAATAATTCAAGGACGCTTTGAAGAGACAGGAATTAGGGGCATTTGCAACACAAGCCTCCGTCTTAATCATAGAAACTTTGACGTACCAGTGAGCTGCTGCAACGCTTGAAGGCCCATGCCGGTGAGTTGCCGCTTCAACATGGTGCCACGGAAACAGTCGAGATAAGTGGCCGTGCCAATGCTGAGCTCATATTGGTGATTAGCTCGAATTTCGGCCAATTCCTCTACAACTGACGAGTGATCTGTTGTTAGACGACGGATCTTAGCCAGTGACTTTGCTGCGTCGGCATCGCGACCTCGCTTAAGAAGGTATCGCGGGGTTTCTGGGAGGAAGATCATGCCGCCAATAAGAATAATTGCCCAAGCGAACTGAACAGCAATGGGGATTCGGTATGAGCCTGTATCCTGCCGGTTATGAGTGGCATTATTCACAATATTAGCCAGTAAAAGACCAATTGTGATTGCCAGTTGGTAAGCACCAACAATAGCACCGCGGATCCATTTAGGTGCCGTCTCGGACTGGTAGAGAGGAACTACAGAAGTTGTTAGGGTCAATCTTAGAGAGGCTAGTGGTAGGGTCCCCCTGAACTTACTCAGGGCAGAGATAAGGCCAACGCCAAAGCCAGCAAAGAAACGACCAGCTAGAAATAGAGGCACGCTTGTGGCAGCTGTCTGCAGTACAACGCCGAAAATAAAGACAAAAGAGGACACAATCAATCCCAATCGGCGACCAATTGTGTCACCAAGTGCTGGGCTAGAGAGAGACCCGAAGAAGGTACCGGCAGAAAGAATGGATACAATGGCTGAGGATTCCGATGGAGTCACATCTAGGTGGCCAGATGGGTTGTGATATCCGGAGGAGAACAAAGTCTGCCAGTAAGGCATGGCCAGGATACCGCTAATGGTACCAGTATCATATCTGCAACGGTCAGTTTACACTTTGTGCTACCGCGACAGAGAATGAGACATACCCATAAAGGACACCACCAAAGGCCACGAAGAGGCCTATGATGATCGCTGGCCAGGATTTGCCTTCGACATGTTCGTGTTCGAACAAACGCATTTTTGACGTGCAAGTTGGGTTTGAAAAACGAGCTCGTCTTGAGTCTTCTGATAGAAACAAAGTTAAGAAGAGGCTCTGTGTAACCTTGAGTAGAAGTAGCGGGAAGGAGGACAGCTGTGAGGAAGGTGGATTTGAGAAAGAATAACAATGGGAGAACCAGACAGATCTTATATAGTCTGGAGAATCATTTTGACAATATGGCCTTATCTGACGCTCATGCTTTCCTCAACCATATCATACAGCTACCGCTCCACTCTGTGATTAGAGCTCGTTGAGGCCAATCCACCTCGTATTACTAGAGGCACTTTGCAACGCTTCTGTGAATCAGTATCACGGCCGTCCAACTCTACATGGCACTGGTAGCCTCTGCCGTTGTACATGGTACTTCATTCCGAGTATCGGCCCAAGAAAAACGGTCAACGCGATGATACTCTAGATGGAGTGTCCTCGATGAAAGTTTCCGCTATCTCGAGTCGTCCTTCTAGTGTTCTTCTAGCGTTATGCTAGCGTTCTTCTAGCGTGCTTCTAGCGCAATCCTGGTGCTTCTTAGAGTGCTTAGGCTGCCATCCATGTGTTGTCCAACCAGTCATCGATAAGCATACTGAGTGGGAACGCTTTGCTCGTCAGTGCCCGGCCATCTCGGACGACTGGGTTTCGATGCATGCTCAACGACCATACTAGCTGAGAATAGTATGCGTCCCGCTGCTAGCACAGACTAGGTAGTTGCATCCATAGCGCTTCACCAGGCTTTGCCGATCTTACTCTGATGATGGCAGAAGTCGACGCCCGCAATGCGCCATCCGTGGGGGTTTCCGCGGAAGTGGACAACAGGTTTGACTAAAGTTGACTGATTCCAGCGGGCCAACGAGGCTGTCTTATCTGCACAGGTGGTTGCGAGCCTTGATAGGCTGGGCATCGAGCCGGGGTATTCCCATGACAGCTGCGGACACACACAGATTACGAGATACACTGCGATCACGGGAGTGTAGGACGTCCCGGCATTGCTGGTGAAGTTTTAGAGTGAAATGACTGCTCGCTGAACGGATTTCATCTGTGTTCCAAGTTCTGTATAAGGTGCAGGGTCGAGATGCTATACCAACTCAATAGCGAGTGCCAGCCGGAGAAGACCCTCCTCTTACGGTGCAAGGGTCATACCGACCAACATGACGAATCGCGCTATACTCTACAGCTTCCTCTATTCCATCGACTGCTCAAAGCATACAATGAAAGCATGTGGAAATTGCCTTGGTGGATATACAGGCTATTGACAATTAGTCTTGACGCACAGACACCAGAGCTCTCAGACACGTATGCTCTTCGTATGATTAAAGACGCAGGCAAAGGGGGCTTGAGATACCCATGTCCAGTCCATGCAATCCGTTCGCTTGACTTCGTTTACTCTGGCGGCTGCCACAGACCCATAGACTTATCCTAGTGAATCCCTCCGTACTCGGTTTGGAGATATCGGCAAGCGAGATGGCGCGAAGCGAATGACCATGGTGCCCGTGCTAGGTTTCTGGCAGTATGAACACTTCAACACGAGCTCTATATCTCGAAGTTGTATGTGGAGTATGAGAAATTCCCAATAAGCCATGCACGTGGCTAACGCTCAGAAAGTCTAAATGAGATTTGGTGTGGTCTTGGGTTGAATATGATGTACTTTTTGATGACTTTCATCTCGACAGGCGTGTTTTCCGGCTATAGAAGTCAACACCAAATCGATGCGACCGGGCAACGCTTTGCTCCGAGGATGACCTCAACGCGCACCGGAATTGTGATATCTAGAACGGAACCATGAAAGTTAAACTTTCTTCAGCTGCGTCATAACTAACGAAAACTATGCGCCGATCAGGCCATGGTGTGTTTATTGGCCTCCGTACGCCGAGACTTGGTGGGTACCGCAAATTGGGAAGCAAAGTCACATTGCGATCCACAACGGACGGCTCAGTGTCTTGCTCAGCGATGAGGCATTTATATGATTGGGTGCCACTGTTGAGCGAGCCATTATGACACGGAGATTGATGAGAAGAGGAAGCCGAGTGGTATCAGATAATAGACGCTGGGAGACCACGGAGTACCGAGACTGGCTAGGTCTATCAATCTGCGGGGTAGTCAGGGCTTCAGGCGTTAGATCGTCCGCTAGGAGAAACCATGAGCGGGTTGCACCCGATTCCCCCGCACGCTAATATTCTTCTAGAAGCACCGAAGAATAATCTTCATGTGGGCTGTCAAGGGAGCCTCGTCACTAGTCCCACTCCAGTCTGTTGCTGAAATACACCATCGGCAGCCATTCTCCTTATCCAGAATGTGGCAGGATCAAGTACCGTAGACTTTAGTGATTCATGCAGATGGGGAGCCTATCGGGGACTCCGAGGCAAGCATCATCGAGTGGATATGCTAGATGTTTCTTTCGTATCATTCAAGACGCTCATGTAAAGGTGCTGTGATAACACTCTTGCATGAATCCCCACATGCGCACATCTACTGAGCTACGACTTCGCCCACAGCCTGCTACTATGAAGACTAACGGCTCGAAAGCTCAGACTGTTAGCGAGTTCTGATTGTGTTCAGAGGCCAGACAAACGGACTCGTTTCAAGTTGCGGAGGGAAACAGAGGGACAGTGGTGAGGCATTGCTCCCCTCGTAAAAACTATAAGTACTGGGCTTTAGATCATTGTAATCAGCTATAGGACAGTTCCATCACTTCCCAACAAGAAGCCTGCTTCTAATTATCTTCAAGATTGAAACCCAATTATTATTATTATTTCTAGAGTTGTCTCTCCAGATGTCTCTTCTCTCTCGCCTTTCATGGGCAGCCTTGTTTGCCCTCGTCGGTGCCGACAGTTACAAAGAGCCTTTTCGACCTCAGTATCATTTTTCCCCAGCCAAGAACTGGATAAACGATCCTAATGGATTGGTTTTCCACAAGGACAAATATCACATGTTCTACCAATACAATCCCACTGGTAACGTGTGGGGAAACATTTCATGGGGCCACGCTGTCAGCGACGACTTGCTGCACTGGAGTGAGCTTCCCATCGCTCTCGATGCTTTCCAGGCGCCGTCAGGACCTTTGACAGAGTTATACTTCTCAGGCAGTGCTGTGGTAGACTCTGGGCGATCCTCGGGCTTCGGAAACAAAGGACAAACTCCGCTCGTGGCCGTATATACATCTCTATACACACAGGATATGACCCTCCCCAGTAACCAGACTGTGAGGAACGGTCAACAGTCTCAGTCCATTGCTTACAGCTTGGACGACGGACTCACCTGGAGCGAGTACGAAGGCAACCCTGTGATTCTGGGGCCGCCTTCAGCATATTCCGATCAGTATCAGAACTTTCGCGACCCATTCGTCTTCTGGTATGCCGCGGGCCAACACTGGGTCATGGTTGTGTCCCTTGCCCAGGAACACAGAATTCTCCTGTATAAGTCCTCAGATTTGAAAGAATGGACCATTACCGGAGACTTTGGCTCGGTGAACGCCGTCAGTGGTGCATGGGAGTGTCCCGGATTGTTCCCATTGCCGGTCGACGGCAATGATCATGACATCAAGTGGGTGTTAATGGTCGGAATCAACCCAGGCGCCGTCGCCATTCCCCAGGGATCGGGAACGCAGTATTTCATTGGTACCTTTGATGGGTCGAACTTCACTGCAGATCCTGGCACCATCCTTTCTTCCCCAGTGCCAGCCCACTACACAGTCTACGAGGACTGGAATAAAACATCCTTTGCTGCTTCATCGTGGACACCCACGGGCGACTTTGTCGGAGAGGGCCCTGAGGGTGGCACTGTCCTGACCTTGTGGGGCAAAAGCAAAGGCGACGGCGACGGCGATATCGGATCGCTTACCTCGTCCAACTTCACAATCACTTCCAAGTACGTGCAATTTCAGATTGGCTGCTGCAGCAATCCAGCCATAGTTGGTGCGTACGGAACGCCGCAAGACATAGAAACCACAATCAACCTCCTCGTTAGTGGTGAGGTTGTGCGCTCCACAACTGGTGTGAGCGGTGGTGGTATAACATGGAGGAGCTGGGACGTCAGCGATCTGGTCGGGCAGACAGCCAGCATCAGGCTCATTGATTCGTCCTCTGGTGGCTGGGGTCACCTGCAAGTTGGCGAGATTGTATTCACCGACAGCCCCCTCCCGCAGGAAGCTAATTGGGTTGACTGGGGTCCGGATTTCTACGCCGCGACTTCGTGGAACGGGCTTGCTGACGAGACGCGCATTGCCATTGGTTGGATGAACAACTGGGCATACGGGACTGACATCCCAACCTCTCCGTGGAGAAGTGCCATGAGTATCCCTCGAAAGCTGGAGCTCAAGAATGTCCAGGGCAAGACCCAGCTGGTGCAGCAGCCACAACCCCGGCTTTCGCCTCTTGAACAAGGCAAGCCATTGCAGCAGCGGTTTTGGAAGAACATGTCCCCTGGAAACATCACCCTTCCCCTTTCTGTCAAATCAGTAGATGCGGAGTTGACGTTTCATGCGGGGAAGAATCCTAAAGAGACTGGTATCAGCCTAAGACAAGGGTCAGACGGAGCGGCAATTCGAGTGGGATACGACTTCGCAACGGCGCAAATGTTTGTCGACCGTAGCGCGGAAACCCAAGATGTTTCCTTCAGCAACTTGTTTCCCGGTATCTACTACGCACCATTGAGCGCCGATCATGATGGAATGGTCAAGCTCAGGATTCTGCTTGACTGGTCCTCTGTCGAGGTATTCGGCGGGCTCGGAGAGTCCGCAATCACTGCGCAGATTTTCCGCCCAGACTCTGATCTGGCAGTTTCTGTTTTCTCCACTGGCGATGCCCATTCTGTGAGCCTCAAATTATACCCAGTGGGATCTGTGTGGTGAACATGAGATATATTTCATAAGATAGAAGTGATCAAATATCAGAGACTTATTCATTCAATGTAAAATTGTCATTCATTATTCAAACGCCGTACCGATTTGCTATTTACTAAACACCCGTGGCGGCTCCCTGATGATCTGCTTGGCGGGTTGTATGCTTTCCAGGTCCAAAATATCTTCAACGTGAGCTGTAGCATCCGCTTTTCCTCGGACCATGTCCATCAACATCATGTCATTCTTCCAATTGTCCTGCGGCAGAACCTGCGCGAACCGGTGCCGGCTCAGCTTGTCAAGCGAGGACTTGAAGTCATCAAGAATAATGGTGTCGGTCAGGCACTTGAACACGAGGGCCAACTTCCAGTACGGATTGATGACGCCAAGGGCAATTGCAGGTGTCACAGCCAAGAGATCAAGGATAATGAAGACGACGCTCAAGCACATGCTGCCGAGCAGAATACCAAACCGAGGCGATGCCTTGATCAGCTCGAGGAAGCCAAACTCGTAGCGGCGTCTGATGTTCCAAAACAAGTTGGCCGTAGTGAAAATCCACCAGGGATCACTGTGTCCAGGATCAGTATTGACAACGCTCACTAGCAGTGGTCTTGGGGGGACAAGCATATACCGGCATGGGCCCTCAAATGGCCTCGTGTAGGGAAACAAAGTGGTGTTGATTCCGTTGAAGAAGGCAAAATTGGCGTAGATCTCAAGGATCCAATAAGGCTGCACGAGGATGACGGAACCAATGTATAATAGTCTCGCCTTCTTGTTCAGGAAGCCCCTGCTCTTCATCCAGGCTATGACATTATGCAGAGTCCATGATGAGATCAACGGAACTGCGGTCGAGGAAAGGTACCAGCCCCACGCTGGCGGATTCCAGAAGGTAAAGAAGCCATTGGGTACGGCCAGCAGAAGCTACGAGCAAAATGTATCGTTAGCCTGTCCTTGTGCCTTTTCTGGGTCGCGGTTTTGTCTTGCTTACCTCAAGGAGAATGAGTTTGTGTAGGAGAATACCTCTGCGCATGTTCACCAGCGTGATGGCGGTCATGATAAGTAAGGCGCCGACCATGAAGCCCTGCGACCATGATTCAAGCGTCAATCCTGCTGGGGCCTCAGGTTTGGAGTCGACTTCAGAGAAACGGGGAAATAGGTTGGTTGAAGCCATTGCAGGGTCAAAGTGCAGAGGACGGATGAGTCCTGTGCTTCCGACGTTTGCAGTATCGTTGGATAGAGGTCCATACAGGATATGACGAACGAACGCAAGAGAGGAGGCTTGAGGGCATCGTAGCCATACTTATCCCCGTGGGTGGCTTGGAGAACCACTTTAGACCGACCTGCCTCTCACCATCCTCCCCGCATATGCCAAGCGACGCTATTCTCCCTCCACTTTGTAGTTCGTCGCTGGTGTATGTTAGTGGCATGCAAGATGTCGCGCTAAGAAAATGGTGTCGTACGTTGCACCCGCTACAATGTGGCAGACTAGCCATATTGTATCAACCTTGTAAAACGTGCGGAAGCCTCAGGCATTCAGCTGAAAGCTCACAATTTTACCACAGCCACGTTACGGCCTGCGACTGTCGGTAGTGATCGCAGCGCATATGCCATAGCCGCCAGCTGTCCTGAACACAGATTCTGCTCTGTCCTAAGGCTGGGTGTAAAAGAGAAAACCTCACACATAATGTGGCTGTGATAACCAGCAACAAAGCGGTCGTCATGAGCCTCGGTAACCCACGGCAGCAATCAGGTCAGATATATAGCACACACACACAAATAAGTGTTCGGTTTTCATTATAACAAAGGCATCTAATAAGGGGACGGGTCCGTACCCGATGATTGCATTATCTCTCAAATGTCATTGGCTGAGGGCAAGGCAAGATTCGGTGCCATTCCAAAGGCGTCGGTTCACGGGAGAGATCTTGAGGTTACACTTTGCCAGTCCATTGATTCTGCCTCGGGTATAAATTTCGCTCCGGCGTAATATACATCCGGTTTCATGACAACTTTCATGTTGTACCACTTCAAGTACTATGTGCCTAAAAAAGGGAATTAAATACTGCAAGTGACATGTCCGGGCGCTAGTGTGTTGAAAAGAGTTTTTAAAAGAGTTTATTTAACAGGACGGCTGTTGTATTGTATTGTATTGTATTGTATTGTATTGTATTGTATTGTATTGTAAGATTGCGACCATAATTAAGATAGAATTGCTGATAGCTCAATGCTAGCTATAGCCGAGATCAACCATTACGTGTATCCCACAATAAGTGTGCGACGGTTCAGGCGGATTCCTAAGGTATCAACAAAAAAAAAGCTCTCATGCACATAATAAGGGGGGAAATCGTGTGTCTTCGTACGGATAGGATCAACGCTTTAAGAGGTGGCACGTAGCCTGAAGCTGAAGGGGAGGCGGATGTGACAAGGGTATCTCAGAGCGAGTGTAAATAGCAAAGGTTCTTTGTTTTGTACCTTAGTTAACCAATATCCGACTCAAAAAAAAAATTTAAGAAACAAAACGGTAGTTAGTCAAATTGATAGCGTTAAAAATGATATAGTCATGTAATGCTACAATAGGTACATATCTAAACTGTTGGTTCAGTTGTTTCGGAAACAGGAGCTGTGTGATTCCAATTTTGGAAGCCAAGGGAGCCGGAAATAGAAGACATTGAACCGCGTTGAAGAACTTGACGGGACCCTGAATTCTTCACTACCTATGGTCGTATGTGTTAGTTTTGGTGTTGAGGTTGCTTATAACATGACTCGCAAATGATCTTAATGACGGCTTATGTGAAGACACAGACTAAACAGAGTTCATTCATGTTTGACTACCTCATTGCAGACAAAGCTGATCCAAATTTCCAAGCTTCTTGTCTCGTTGCTAAAATCTCCTCGCTCCACATCCGACTCTAACCAGCGCGCCAGCTCCACCAGCAACAGTCTAGAGATAGCTCAAGCGCCTGACACTTGCCACAGATTGTTATTTTGAGCCATTAGACATGGCCAACAACATTCTTTGGAACGTACGGCTCTTCCAAGATCTTGATCTCGTCGGCTGTCAACTCCTTGCCGCGCAGGTCACAAGCTTCCTCAAGTCGAAGCAACGAGTTTAAGCCAACAATGGGTACCGCACCCTTGCTGCGAAGCCAAGAGAGAGCGACGTGGCTCATCGTCCAATCTTTTTGAGTGGCCAATTTCTCTACCCGGCGGATGATTTCTTCGTCTGCCTTGGTAAGGCTGCCGGTTGGCGAAGGCATCTGTGCTCTCATGGACGTTGCGTCTCCGAGTGGTTTCGCCAATTTACCGCCAAAGTTGGGCGACCATGGCATAATTCCTACACCAGTTTCATTACAGTACCGAATCATTTCCCGCTCTTCCTCGCGATAACACAAGTTGTAGTAGTTTTGCATGCTGATAAATTTGGTCCAGCCGTTCTTCTCGGCCACGGATTGCATGCGCGCAAATTGCGTTGCCCACATCGAGGAAGCCCCAATATATCGTATTTTGCCAGATGCAACTAGATCGTTTAAAGCTCGCATTGTCTCCTCAATCGGAGTGGACGGGTCGAATCGATGCACCATGAAGAGGTCGATGTAATCGGTTCCCAGGCGCTGAAGAGATGCATCGACGGCCTTGAATATAGCGGCTCGAGAGAGACCTGCTCGAAAATCCGGTTAGCTCCAAGTCTCTAGGTCACACAATCATGAGTAAACACATATAATGAGCGATAACATGCCTGCTCGGTTGACATAATCCTTCATCTGCAACATCTCTCGCTGCCACGGAGCGGCAAAAATGTCTGGTTGATCAGGTACGGCAATGAAGCATTTGGTCATGATGACAACCTTTTCGCGCGGAATACTATGCTTCTTCAGTGCCTTTCCGATAGTTTCCTCGCTGATCCCATTCGAGTACATGTCTGCAGTGTCCCAAGTGTTTAAACCTCGATCATAGGCAGCCTTGAGCATCTCAATCGAGGCATCTTCATCGAGCACCCACGGCATCCACTGAGATGAGCCAAAGGACATGGCTCCAAGGATTGGCACAGAAACTTGGAGACCTGATGTGCCGAGCCTCACATATTCGACTCGACTTTCATCAAGACTCTTCTGGAGCGCTGGGGGTAGTGAGGGAGCCATTGAATCTGCGGTGTACGAATGATCGCACTAAGTTGAGTTAATTGGGCCGAGCAATTGTGTCTTTTGTTTATGTGTAGAAAGTGAGTTGAGATGAAATCCCTATCATAGTGGAATATGGCTGTTATTTATGTGGAAGCCATAGCAACAGCCACTTGGTCTACTCTTTGACACGATCCAGCCAGACACCCTCTGAATACTTGAAGTTGCAACATCCGTTAAATCCGTTACCATATTTTCGACTTCTAACGTGTAGTAAACATATTCATGAATGGAGTTTAGAAGACCAAAGTCCATCATCGCTTCCAATCCTTCTTCATTTTGCTATTAGATGATGCCTATTACTCGATTAATGCTCCAGATCGTTAAGCTGACAAACGGAGAAATATGGATACCTCGCGCGTTTATCTAAAAATAGTTTAGCTTCGATACAAGGGCATGTTTAGTGAAATTCGCAGAGGAGTCGAGCAGATCCCACTAATGCCCTCCCAGTTCGTGAAGGTACCCTGCAATTCGGTTGAGTCCGAATATTGAACCGTAGTACTTCGGCGGCCTTGTAAGAGAATATGATCAATCTATACCCCCTGATTTCCTATGAGCAGTCTTTTGTGCGCATGGAGATATGCCACTGGTAAACACCTTCAGCTTAAGCCCGATAATTCCGTCGTCTTCATAACTCAGAGCGCGTTAACAAGTGGTGAAGGCGCCTTGAGAAGCGCTCTTACGATGTCAAATCAAGATTCCAATAAATGAGTATTGTCAATATAACCATTCATCAAGTATTCTCATTGTAAATATCTATGCTAGAAAGTTGATTGAGTTCATATTGCGTGATGTAATTGTATGTAATACATAAGTCTATCTACAATCCCAAGTTAGAGACTTGGGGATTGATCTGTGGATACTCTGATCCCATCATAACCACATTAGCACGATGAGTGATCGCTCAAATCCTCGACGTGCCGACATTTTCATCTTAAAGCGACAGCAGGGTCAGATATTGTATTCCCCTTCATCACTGACAGATTCAAGCTGCGTGTGTCCCAAAGAGCGAGCAACGGCTTTCAAGACGCCCTTCAGCCAAGTCTTCTCTGGAAGCCGGACGGCATCAACGCTCACGGCCACAGTCAACGGCCATGCTAGTAATGCAGCTACACTCGGATGAGGCACATTAAGTAGTGTGGAAGCCTCAGGGCCTCTAGTAGTGCTTTGACGAGTGATCGAAAACTCTGTGCCACAGCAAATGTCCACAGCAAGCTTGTCAATGTTATCCTGGCACCTCTGTATATCCGTGTTCAGGAAAATATCGTTGAAGAGTGGTTGGAGTGCGCAGATGGCTCGTTTCTGAATACTATTTGTGATTAAGCGAAGAGCACGGTATCGATTCCATGTTGACGCATGGCCGACTGAAGTGTATTGATGCGAGGGGATATCCACACGAGCCCCAATTACATTCGAAGTTGGCTGCGAGAGTGTCCAGCTAGTGTGATATTCCAAGTCTTGTGGAAGTCTGAGAGCCCACAAGGCGAGATCGTAATCGAGGGTATATGACTCCATAGCAATTGACTTAACTTCATCAATGGCTCCTAGATCTGATGCATCCATATCTCTCAGGAAAGATATTGACTTATTCCGCAAGACCAAGACACGAACCATAAGCGAATCCAGTTCCAGCTCATGTCCTTCTTCACCCCAGCTCCGGCCATCTTCAAACCAGGCTGCTGAAGCTGCTCCACGAAGGATAATAACACGGAGCTTTGGAAGTCGCATGTCAGCATACAGCACTCACCCTGCAAGCGTGGGGTCGATGGCCAGTTCTACTTACACATTTTTGTCGAACTGCCTTCTCCAGCTCTGCATTCGCTGCAAAGCCTCTCTCGCGACGCACAATAAGAAGGCCGCCTGCGCCTTTCTCATGGCAGATTTTCTTCCAGAAACGGGAGCCAACAGCGTCCGGAGGTAGTCGTGTGGTAGATTCTCTCGAGAAGTACATGACATTCTCATAGCTGCCCATTAGCATCATGGCTAGTATCATCTGATATATCGTATCGCTCGATATTCCGCTCATCGCCTTCTGGATCTCCACCACCGCCTTTGCATATACTCTTTGGGCAAGGCCAAGAGCTTGTCTCACGCCCCGGTTCCGGCCGATTACGGCGTGCGAATAAGCCGTCAGCGCGAGACGGAGACAAGAGCCCGGCCTAGCCAAGTTCCAGTAATGCAGCACGTGTGAACTATATTCATAGCAAGCATCTCCCAACTTATCTCTCTCCATGGAAACGCTCTCTGCATAATAATAGAGTGCGTGCATCTCTAGTGGCAGCAGCAGCGCCGGCTGAATTTTGCTGCCGTTTGCACCTGATGTGAAACCCGCGTCTAAGGTTATAGCTGGGCTGCTATCTGTCTTGGGCGGACGCCGGCGACGACCCATAGCAAACGCGTTTTCACTTCTGAAATGCAAACCTGTCTGTTCATCCGAGTCCCAGGTGCATTTCCTATTGCCAGTTCGACATTTTCGGCACAGAGGTCTTGTGCAATCACACTATCGTTTGTATTACGATTGTCGATAATTAGCTTCTCAATGGTGGTTGACTTCGGCTTATTAACTACCTTGACTCTGCGTTTTCGGCAGGTTTGGCAACCAGGACTTGGGAAGACCATTGCACTTAGCTCAGATAGACATAATCCGGGGTGAAACAGATAGCTTATGATCATAAGACTATAGAATCGGAGGCAACAAAGCACAAGCATTGGGGTGTAGAGGCAATCATGATGTGCCCAAATTGGAGCGAGTTGCCTTCAAGGACATACCTGCGTTAAGGAAATTAAATGTCCATTGGTGTTTGAGAGTCCACTACTATAATGGACCAGGTAGCGGGCAACACTATTCCACTGGGAAGGCAAACGTCCCACTAAAGTGCTCAGTGATTGGAGAAAAAAAAAATAAGCGTCGGACAAAAGCCTAGCTTAAAGGTGAGGTTGCAGCTACCTAGCAGGAAGACCCAGCCTGTTTATTAAGAGTTCTAAATATGTATTATTGCTTATGTGCAGGAGGCTGTGTCATTGACTCTTTACACTATTCATAGAGCTAAGTGTAACAGCTGCATGCCAGCCTCTCGTTGGCCGACTACAATTTACCTCTGTAAACAGTCGATGTAGAGAATTTTCACCAATCTACGCGTGAGCTTAGGAGCGAACTGAAAGCACCAGATGCAAATTGCTAGGAGGTAACTCACCTCATTGAAAACGGTGAAAAAGAGCATATAGCAACGAGATAAACAAATGAAGGAGCAGACAGCATTTCTAGCTTCTAAATTATAACGCACATATGATGCTCACGGCGTATGTGAAAAATAAGCGACAACAATTATGTCTACTATCCACTAGATACCAAAAGGTTTTAGTATGAGCATCGGCATAGCAGAAAAGACTTACGGGTCTTTCATGCCAGTGGACTCTTGAGCAGTTATCACAAGCAAGTGGAAATTCTGCTCTCAAATTCTGCTCTCAACTTGATTACTATTGTCTTTCGCACGCCCGCAAAAAGCTGAGAAAAAGCATAATACAGTCATTCGCAATTGGTGGATTTGCGTGTCATATTTTCGCCTGTCTCGGGTTCATATGCAATTGGTGGACTTGCCTGCCGCTATTTTAGCTTCCCGTCTCCTGGACCCGTCTCTATCCTGTAGTCTAAGTTCTCTGTGCTCACTTTGTGTTGTTCTATGCGGTGTACGCAGAGTCCATGAAACTTATGCTCTGAAAGAGTACTAGGAGCACCCACTCACGAGACTCCATAGCCTCACCCTTCAGCTGTCGTTCATGGGGTTCTAAATATACCTACCAATAGTTACAAATGCACTAGAGAGCGCAGCAACATATATAAAGACTATCCAAACTCCACTGTCATGACTTCATGAAGTAGCAACAACATTTATTCTTTTACATCAATCCTTCAAAATGTTCCAGCCCATCGCTGTTCTGCTAGCGGCAACCGCCCTTCTCATTCCCAGCGCTATGGCTGGCGAGTATGTTTCAGCTAGTACTAATAATCCGAATGGTGGCTAATAGTGCTATCATCTACAGGGGCGTGCATCTTGCCAACTGTGGCCCTGATGTTAACTCGGCGGAAACCAGTGTCATCGCCTACTACGCAGATGACTCGCAGTCAAACACGGCACCGTTTTCTCAGAACATCGCCTTTGCTACCAACCCCGCAAGTCTGGTTACTTGGGAGGGTCACTCTTACACTGCAAGCTTCGCAACTGGAAACACTTTTACGACCCACATTCAAGGTGGAAGCTTCAGCTTCGGCCAGTATGCAGGGAGTGGCAACAACCAGCAGCGACAGTTTGCTTGCTTCAGAGACAATGGCAGGCAGCTTTGGAGATCAACTGCTGCTTATGCTTGCTTTAGCATTTACTATTGCCTTGATGCTTAGTTAATACGAAAATGAACTCTCAAAATATTAAATATGGTTGGCGTTTATCCTTTCTCCACTTGGAGCGATCTTTTGCCTGTGTAGAAGCCCCATAGTTTAAGGAGCTGGTAATCTGGCGGGAATGGCAGAGATGAGATACTTTGGTGTGCAATCCGCACCAGCAATAAGCCGATTCACGAGACAGACGCGGAAGCTTGTTAAATAGTTGCATAGCTTATGAAAAAGGATGGATTAGATGACATTTTGTGTTATTAGCTGACTGCTTAGTCATTTATGGATTCAATCGATAATATATGCTGTGTATTCCATAACTCATCTTATAGAAGAGCTAACTATGTGATAGTGGTTGTGCAGCTCATAAATGCTTATTATTCTTTCATATCTATTTCAGACATCCTACAAGGCACAAAATGAGTTCCTGGGAGAACAAGAGAAAAGATTAGAATCTAAGTAAAGTGATGAAATTAAACTGTGTATTTAGTTGAAACACATAATCTAGGCCGCCGTTGAAACCTGAATCCACTGGTTCACCAAGCTCTTAACCTGCTCATCAAACCCAGCGAACTTGATACCAAAAGTTTCCTCGGTCTTCTTAGCATCAACAGGAATAGTAAGGGTTGGCTGTTTCCCAGTTGTCTTAAGAAGTCCCTGTTCAATTGCCTCTGGAAAGTTTTCTTTAATAACCTTGATGCCATCTTCCCACACCATACCATTAACCCCGTCTGCTGAAGCCACGTATGCCTGGTTGCCAGGGATCTTGGGATCGAGAGCCAATACATGAAGACGGGCAGCGTCATCAATCAAAACCGAGTTGCTGTTTGACGGAACATCCGTTTGAGAACCCCGGAGCAAGCCCAAAAGCACAGAGTTAGTAGAGCTGGTCTCAAAGTCTTGGACCCTGGTGGCTAGTTCATCGGCGCCAAAGATCCATCCAGGCAGGATGCTAATCAAGTCGAAACCTGGCTTGTTCTGCTTAACCCAAGCCTCGGATTCATTCAAAGCAGCAGCCTTACTGGCGCTGTAGGCTTGGAACTCGAAACCATAAGGACCTTCGTCGACAGGAATGCGGAACTCGGCGTCGAAGGTTTTGTCGTCTCCTTGGCCGAGATAGTAATGGAAAGGAGTGATGGCAACCATGGAACTGGTAATAACGATACGCTTAACGGTACCGGCCTTGCGACTGCTTTCCAAGAGCTCAACGGTAGATTGGACAGCAGCCCGAACAAAAAACTCGGCATATTGTTCGGGGGTGGGAGGGGCTGCGCCGCCAAAGGTAGGGATTGGAGAAGCACAGTGGATCACATGTGTTGCTCCCTTGACGGCCTCGTCAAAAGCATGGGGGAGTTCCATGTTCTCAACAATGACAAACGAGAGTTTCTCTTGGCTGAGGTTCAAAGCCTTGATAGACGGCGAGTTGAGAACAGTGTTGGCCTTGGCGGCGGATCGGACCACCAGTCGGACATTGTATCCGGCGGCAAGGGCAATGGTCAAGACTTTGAATCCAAGGAAACCAGTGGCTCCTGTGAGCACAAGAAGATTGCTGGCAGCCATTTTTTTCTTATAGTAAACGGTTAAGAAAGATTAAAAGTAATTTGCGTTTTGTTGTTTGAAGGGTGTTGTAGATGAAGTAGTTTGAGAACAATGTGTGTGATGATGGTTCTTCTTCTCTTCATAGCAGGTGCATGCCCAAGTATTTATCGATTTTCCACTTGCACACACTCATGTATCTTTCATCGCTACCGCATGATTTGAAATGCTATCAAAGAGAATCTAGCTTCTTCAAATTAATCAGCCTTGGCAGTTATCCAGAATGATTCCATCTGCAGCCCAGTTAGTTCTCATGACATTTGTCAGGATTATTCTAGATCGTATTCTTCAATTAAAAGCACATTGGCATTCAAGTATTTGGACGCTGACATATGCAGTTCTGTGATGGCATTTGTGGCTGGAGCAAGCCCAAGACGTGAAATTGCCTGATTGAGCAAACGGCATGCATAAACGCTACGCTAGATTCGCGGCTAGCCAAACGAAGCTCTAGCGCTAGAAGGAATGGTTTCAGGCTAGCGGGAATGTCGCAATTCCGATGGAGAGACAGAGCGTTCTCTATGCTTGTTGCTACATGGGCAGGCCAAAGCAGGTAGGTTTCGCGGTTGACCCTGGAAGTGAATGCCTCAAGGCGTTTAAATCCGTGGCTACTCTGATAAGCGACTATGGCCTGAGGATTGCTATATCACATGTCAGATATCACATAGCATGAGACATTTAAGCTGTCGGCCGCAGCCTACTGGCCGAGAAACAACAGCAGTAGTGAACTATGCAAAAACTTTTGAGAACTGAGAAGAATCCCATAGAACGCAATCAACATGTAATTCAATTCAATAAAGTGAGCTCTGTATCCAATTATAAGCGTTGTTTTGGATTTGGTTCATTTGTCTTGAATGTCATTGCGCAGAAGCTTGTGGCACGCTCTCGGAGTTTTCCAGCGCTAACAATCTCTGTCTCCAACAACCGACCAATGAAGTAGCACTGTGATATATTCGCCCAGTTTCCTAGGTACCTTACCTAACGTACTGTACCAGTCCTATCCAGCGCCGGCAGATGCAGTGATTGTCGGCGCTGGTGCGGTTGCACTTGCAACACTCGGCACTATGCAATTGTCTGTAATACCACGCAGCAGTGTTTCATGACACCATCAAATATCTTTTGGTCGGAAAATAAGTATAGCTGAGAATAGTTCAATCTTTGGCGCCGGGGTGCATAGCTATTCGACGGCTGTGTTGCCAGAATTCTGGACAATCTACATTGAAGCTTCTAAACCAAACTTTCCATTGTTGATACCATTAGGCAAAGCAAAACTCTCTACAGCATCCAGTCGCCTAGAAAGGCGACTGGGCAACGCTTGGCAATCCCTTTTTCCCTTGCCGCGGAAGAGGCCATCATGGCATTCCGCAGCTGAACTGCGTACCGGAAGGCGGGGCTGAGACAACTGAAACTCGGATGCGTTTCACGCGGCGTCGTTCAATTAAATATCGGGATAAGGTAGATTGTGACTAATTAATTAAATCAGTCAGGCGTATCAATGTTATCGTAGCCATAGAAGTAATTTCTCCTGCGTACAAGTACTTTCCTTTGGGCTGTCTTCGCTGAAGCCAACGTCATCCCCGGTTGAACCAGTTCGCTCAAATTGAGATACGTTCATCGTCCAGGCCCGCTACATGTTGCGCCAACAGATTCCATAAAGTCAACTCAAGCCGGCTTTATTTAACCATCTATACGAGCTAAAACAGTTCTCCAATCAATTTTAGGAGATTTGTTCGTTTAACAACGGGGAGATGCAGCAAGACGGGGAGATGCGGGGAACTAACCTCTCGTCGGGAACTCAGTCCGGCGCAAAGAGAACTAAGGATAACACCAGACTAAAATTGTCCATATGACAATTCAAAACGTAAAAATAATAAATGAAAATAATTCGTAATAGTGAGTATAAAATGCCAAAAGACCGCTGGACCTCAGCCTCAGCCAAGCAATTGTGGCCCCTTCCCGCCCGGGACAAGATCTTACAATGTTGTTCACGGCTTACTACCTCTTCAGCCTCGTGGGGCATGCTTTGGCTGTCCTCGCTGCGTCTCGACCAACGGCCCATACTGTGAATGGGACATATTCAGGACTGAGCATACCATCTTTCAACCAAGAAGCATTCTATGGCATTCCGTATGCACAAGCGCCGGTTGGAGACCTTCGTCTTCGACGGTCTCTGCCATACAACCAATCGTGGTCTGGCGTAAGAAATGCAACAGTTCGATCTGACTCTTGCCCGGGGTATAACGGATTCCCACTTGCTCTTGTTGGTGGGAGTCTTGTTGACGGACTTACTCTGGGAGAAGATTGCTTGACCATTGACATTGTCCGACCAGCCAACACAAATCCTTCCGACAAGTTACCCGTCTTCACCTGGTTTTATGGTGGAGGTAAAGCATATTCACAATTCTTGTCCTCTAGTTAAATAGCCAAATTGATTTCATGTAGGTTTCATCGCCGGGGGATCCGCCGATCCCAAATACAACTTGTCGTACATTGTACGAAACTCAATAGAGATGAATAAGCCCATTATTGGTACTGTTATTAATTATCGAACGATGTGCTTTGGCTTCTTGGCATCGAAAGAAGTTCTAAATGCCAACGTTAGCAATCTCGGGCTCTTTGACCAGCGAAAGGGCCTCAAATGGATCCAAGAGAATATTGAAAGCTTTGGTGGTGATCCTGACAAGGTAAATACTCGCTATAACAGGTTAACATTTAATAACTTGTATTAGGTGACAATCGCGGGAGAGAGTGCAGGCGGCTCCAGCACGGGTTATCACTTAATTGGCTTCAAAGGCAATAACGACGGACTGTTCCGTGGAGCAATAATGGAGAGTGCAAGTCTGCTGGGAGCTCCAAGTACGCTTACAAGATTTTGAGTAAAAGAAGAACCATCCGGCTGACTTTATAGTAAATAACCCTGAACAGCTGCAACGAAGCTATCAAGGCATGTACGATAACATTACAACAACTGTAGGCTGCAACACCTCAAATGATAGCCTAGCCTGCCTGCGAACTGTCCCTTATGAAACTTTACACCAAGCATGTACCGGGTTCCGCCAAACGCCGATTATGGATGGCGAATTCATCTCACAATTACCGTCGCAGTCTATTCAAAAAGGAGAAATCGCCGATGTTGCCATCATCATGGGCAGTAATACTGACGAAGGAACCGCGGTTTTCTTAGGACCTCGGGCGAATCCTTTGAACACCGATCAGGAAGTATTTAAGTATATCCAGGCTCTTGGAAGTGGCCTCAATAATGAAACAGTAGAGACGGTTATGAGTTTATATCCGGATGACCCTACTTGGGGTTGCCCATTCGGGACTGGGCCCGAACGATTTGCAGATCAGGGATTTCAGTACAAACGAGGTGCTGCTATTGCAGGAGACTACTTTATACATTCGGGGCGAAGGTTCTATGCCAATTCACACAGCATTCGGAGCCAAAAGCCAATCTATACGTATCGATTTGATCAAGCGCCTTGGAATATGAGGGAGCCCTCCATTATGATCATACCGCCAGTCTATGTCACGCATTACTCGGAGGTACTTATTCTGTAGCAATCTTGGCATCTCTTCGCTAATCTTGAATCGCAGATTGTGTATGTGTTTGACAACCCTAACAATAACAGTAATTTTATTGGGCCGTACCCAGGCTATGCAAGGCTGCAGTCCTTTATGTCGCGATCTTGGGTGTCATTCATTCACGACTTGGATCCAAATAACCATGGATTGCGCGATCCGAATCTTCCGAAATGGCCAAATTATAACTCTAGTCACCCTCAAAACATTGTCTTTCGCGAAGGAGGGAGTTTTATTGAGAAGGATGATTACCGGAAACGGAAGCTAGCGTTTTGGCCGACTATCTGGGCGGAATTGCAGACGTGAGGGACACTTGTACTTATGAGACATTGTTTACTATTTGATGTGATTGATGTGATGCACATATTTTTTTTTGTTAGGTATTTCAAATGTTCATATACGTTAATATATAAGAGTTTAAGAAAGAAGCATTCGCACGATTTCGCCATTTAACTGTGCCGTAGCAGGGTATTGACAGCATAATAGGCCGTAATGCAGCCGATAACTAGATCAATTCCAATTATTATTCATTTTGCTCAAGCAAATACTTCAAAAAAAACCTACCATGGGAAAGGCTTTGATAAATATTTACGGCAATTACCAACATATATGACTACTCATGTCATTATCTCCGACCAGAGCGTGCTCCAGTACGCCAACTGTTCCTGTCTCCAATCATCCTTCTCCACCCAGCTTGCGCCAGCCCTGAACACAATGTTTTGCGGGTCCGAAGTATTATATTTAGGCCATACTGGCTTTCCCTCAAGACCGTGGTTATTTGGATTCTGGTCGTGGATGAATGATACCCAAGACCGAGATACGAATGCGGCTAGTTCTGAGATAATTGGATACGGCCCAATCCAGTTGACATTCTTATCCGGATTATCAAAAACATGGACAATCTCAGTGAAATGCGTAACGAACACAGGCGCAGTGGTAGTTACGTCGACTTCTTGCATGTTCCACGGCGCTTGGTTGAAGCGATACGTGTAGATCGGGTGCTTACTGCGCTGGCTATGGTTGACGGCGTAGGCGCGGCGACCGGCGTGAATATTCACATCGCCAGTAATGGCAGCGCCTCGCTTATACTGGAAGCCCTGGTCTGCAAATCTCTCAGGCCCGGTGCCAAAGGGGCAGCCTCGGATAGGATCATCAGGATAGAGACGAAGGATATTGGCAACGACTGAGGCGTTGAGGCCGCCGCCAAGGTGGGCGACGAGAGATGAAATGTCACTGTCGTTGTTCAGAGTTCCTCTAGGCGTGAAAAACTCTGCAGTGCCCTCGTCTGTGTTAGATCCCATGATGAGAGCGACATCAGCGATTTGGCCCTTTGCGATCGAGACAGAGGGAGGCTGAGAGATGAATTTGCCGTCGATATAGGGCTTGAACTGGAAGCCATTTACGGCGCTGAAGAGCTTCTGGTATGGAACGGTGCGCAGGCAGGCCAAAGAGTCTGCGGCGGTGTTACAGCCAACCGTTGTCGTGATGTTATCATACCAGCCTTGGTAAGTTACATTCAGTGTCTCAACTGTATTCACTGTGATAAGCAGTCAGCAACACATTGGTTTAGATCTCCGCTACAAGTACTAAAGACAAAACTTACTCGAAGCACCAAGCAAGCTCGAGCTCTCCAAGATGGCACTCCTGAACAGGCCGTCATTCTTTCCTTCAAACGCCACCAGTTGGTATCCTGCCGAGGAGCCTCCTGCGCTCTCACCCGCGATTGTGACCTTGCTTGGATCGCCGCCAAACGCGTGGATGTTCTCAGACACCCATTTCATCGCCTGCCGCTGGTCAAAGAGGGCAATGTTGCCTACGCCGGCCGCAGCGACCTCCCTTGAAGCCAGCAAGCCAAACGCAGATGTGCGGTAGTTGGGCACGACAGCGATGATTGGCTTCCTCATTTGCATCGAGTTGCGCACCATGAAAGACGTGTTATAACGGGGGTCGGCTGATCCACCGGCTTTGAAGCCACCGCCGTATATCCAGAAGAAGACGGGGAGGTTGTCTCCAGGTTGTACATTGGCAGGTCTTACGATGTCGAGTGTCAAACAATCCTCGCCCATGGTTAAGCCATCAGCGAAGCCCTGGGCAAAGGGCTTGTCGAAGCCGGGACACGAGTCTGATCGTACGGTGGCATTACGAGTACCTGTCCATGACTGGTTGAATGGGACGGGATAACGGAGTCTCAGGTCTCCAAGCGGAGGTGTTGCAAAGGGGATTCCGTAAAAGGCCTCCTGGTTGAAAGTGTTGAGAGTGAGACCAGTGTAAGTCCCGTTGACGGTATGAGCCGAGGGCGCATTTTGATGATGGACAGCTGAAGCGCTGGCGGGAGACAAGCTGCTCATGCAAAAGAGCACCAAAGAACACAAAGTAATTGACTGAAGGCAATACATCTTATCTGGTTACAATTCCATTACTTTGTCGAAGCATCCTATTACTAACCATCCATACTCATCTAAAGTACATCGTTTCGCACATCGAGAAACTATAGCACATTTATAGCTATGTTACTTTTCTTTGAGAGCCTTCTCTTTCCCGGGGAGCTATGCGATCTACACTCTTTGCTCTATACTAGCCGATATCGATGCCCTCATTTTGCTCTCTGGGACGATGGAGCTAGCGAAACTCTCCCCGGACTCCCCCGGATTCTCCCCCGGGAGGCGTCTTCTCCGCATATTTACCCCACGCTTGTCAGCTTCGGTTCATCTTCCGACTGAAACTCTCCCCAGATTCTCTCCCGAAGGTGTCACGATCTCCTTGCGTCGTTACTCCACACGTGTGAGCTAGACCCAACCTCTAGACTAGTGCCACTACTTCAAGTCCGCCGGAAATGCTTCCCGGAATGGGCATATTCCTACTTGGGATTATCTACTCTCTCTGTGGTCATTTATGACGATATTTCAAACTTGAGAGGCCTAGATCATGATGGAATCGAAACTTTACGTCGGTGGCTGATGAAGAACCGCGGGATAAGCGATGCCACCATCGTGAACCAGCTCACGTGGCAGTTCCTGTCAGACGCCATCCCCCAAGGGAACTTGGTCCATTTTCGTTCTCACCTGTCTTTCCACTAGTGAGAATTTGCCTTTTACTAGGTTGTTAAACGCTCCATGAATGCCACAATGACAAGCGACCTCTCATTTGCTACATTATTGTCATATATACTTCTTCTAGATAAAATTTCAGCTCTCCTTGGCGTAACGTTCAAGTAGCTCAACAACCCTTTTCAGACTTTTTCGCTTTCCACCCAGATCTTCTACATTGTTCTCATCATCCAAGTTAATATTCTCTGTGGTTTCAAAGCCATGCACTTGGCCGGCGACTCGTTCAAAATGAACATCAAGCCCAGCATTTTGGAACTTTGCAGCCACGGAAGCACTCAGCTCAACGTCGACTAAATCATCCGCATCTCCATGAATGAGAACAGTCGGGGGGAAGTCTGCATTCAAGCCGAATGTTGCTGGAAACAGTGCCCGATGCTCCTCGGGTATTGCTTGAATACCTTCCTTTGCAATCTTTTCCGTCAACCCAGGAGAACGAGTAAGCACGTCAATATATTGTGCCGTCTGCTGCATCGTAGAAGCCCATTTGAATCGTTGATCCGCTTCTAATTTAGCTGGCATGGGATACCCATCGATTATTTTAGCATTTTGTATCGCTGAATCGATCTCTTTCAATATCTCGTCTTCGTTAGGAATCCCTCCCCGAAGGCGCTGTCCAGGATGAACATATCGACTGTTCAAAAAGTCAACCATGCCATAAACGCATAGCAGGGCGAGAGGCTTCGGACACAATGGACTGGCTGCTGTTGTGAATGCTACATGGCCTCCTGCGCTGGAGCCGGCGATGATGATTCGACGCGAGATGTTGTTATAGACCCAGCGAACAGCATCCAGGGAATCTTCGAGAATATCGTGGCCTCCTGCTTCTGGCAGTAGCCGGTATGAAGCAGTTGCATATGTCCAGCCCCTCTTTTTGCAGGCGTTAATTAGCCAGTAAGGCGGAAACGAAGTCTTCTTCCCTAATAGCTTTAAATGATGTCTGTTAAAGTCTACTTCTTCGTAAATATATCTAGCATTGTGGCCAGCTTACCAAGAACCCTCCATGAAAATGAATAAGGGCAACATTGTTGTCTTGTGCTGTAGCAGGAGTAGAAACATCAATAGTGAGCTCTAACCCGTTAACGGTTTTGTAAACGTGTGTAGTGGTATGTAGTCTTGCCATGGCAGCGGGAGGTGAGTCTTCAGTAATGAAATTCTTCACTTTAACAACTCAATGAAAGGAGAATTGCTACAGGACAATTGATAAAAGCTTAAGCCAAGCAGCGCTCAGTTGCTACTGTGCGAGGTATTTATATTCGACACTCCTGCTTCTCTGCCTTCTATGTGAGCTATGCTGAAAACAATAATACATTCACGACATTATATCATTGTATTTCGCAGCTTACCAAGCTCGGTCAACCCATAAGAGCTGCGGGCTTTCGCTAACCAATGCAACGCCACTATTAGATTGCGTGGGCCATCCCATCGGCACTATACTCAGCGTGTGGTCGAACACTACGGATTTATCTTTAAGATCAAATGAACAGCCGAGTTCTCAGGTGAACTGAGAATCCTATGGCGCATTTTGGGTGCCATGATGGTGAATAGGGCTCGGATTTAGGAACTTTTTCGGACACTATTAGGAGCGATATCCCGCAGAGATGCCGACGTGCTTGGCGGGCTTCTTGGCTTAGTAATTTGAGTCTGCCACTTAGAGATTCTTCTGGTTGAAATTACCACTTGGCTCCACTTTTGATGGCCAGCTTGGAGCTTTTGCAGCCGAAAATGCCGGTTGCAAAGTCCGTTTGGGGTAGTATATCGACATGTTTTAACTACATGTAGGTACATGTAGGTAGTTGATGAAAAAATGAAACCTTACTCGATGATGTGTAAGACAAAGTGCTATTGAGCAGTTGAGAGGCAAAGCATGGGCATCAAATTATTTTCACAAAGAAGATAAAAGTCTGCTCGTGGCTTAGGACTCACCCAACCCAAATACTTTACTGTTTCCTCACAAGTTGGTTTTCCGCTTTGAATATTCAACGTAGATCAATACCACAGCGTAACGACTGGTCCTATTCATTTGTGTCTGTAGACCAGCTAGGTAAGCAACACGGTCCGATTTGCAGCTTGAACACCGCTTCGAAGCCATCATATCATGATCAGAGTCTCCATTGACAGAACTATTATTTCTTAGTGCCACGGTCCGGCTGTACTCAGAGGGTGTTCACATCTTTGCCCATGCGTGAACTCAACACTTGTAATAGAAATATAGCACTGCAAACAACAGGGGCAATTGTCCAACTTGGCTACTCAAGAGAGGAGTTACTATTTTTATCGAAGTCAAGTCTCCTTCTGCACCCTGTTTCCCTTCTCTCCAAGGATTGTATCCCGACCTTCTTTTAAAACAGCTTAAAGCCACTCTTCGTCGAACTGCTGTCGCAAATGACAATCAGGCGCCACACCAGCTTCAAAGAGATACTTGACAATGGTCTAATGGCCGCTGACAATAGCCCTATTGGCTCCTCTGTTCAGCAGTGCCTTGCTGACAGCGCCTGATCGCAATGTTCTTTCTCCACGAATGGAGCATCGCTGCTCGGGGTAAATGATGAATATGTTAGAGAGCTTCTGAGCTATTATTTGAAGGGTTCAAGTTTTTCATCTAGTCTACACGACGCCCGCGGCATCTGTCTTGCCTCTAGTCGCTCCTGAACTAGATTCGCTCACTGGATCGCCATCCACTGCTGCAAAAATGTCTTTCTGGTGGTGGTGTTTCGCAGCATATATGACCTCTCGGAAAATGAACAAAATGGGGCTTGCAACCAGAAACAATGACAACAGAAGGGTCAGGCACAGCGTAAAGATTGAAAAGCCTTGTGACATCCACACAAAACTCATCCATCCATCACCGAATCCGGTAACTGATTCCGCAGCTAAAACAACTTGCATCGAGCTCAGTGTAAGAGTAATAATTCCAAAGACAAACAGTAGAGGGCCATAAAACTGGGCAAAGTAGGCGCCATACTGCCCATACTGCTTGAAATATGTTCTTCGTCCTAAGAATATCTTCACCCAGAAGTTGAGGCGCGTGAGTCGGAGATCTCCATATAGATACCGGCGAGAGACTTCGGTATCTGGAATAGACTTGAAACATCTCAAAAACTCGACCAAGTTGGAAAACGAGATGGATTTCGGAACTAGGCCCAATCTGTCATCCTGTATTGCGAGTAGATAGTCCGACTTGTGCTGAATCAGAAACGCGTAGGATCTCAAGAAGCCACATGCCGCTCTGAAGATAGCTTTCCTTTCCGGAGCAGGAATGGGTGAACTGGAGTCGACGAGGAAGTAATCCCAAAACGCGTGGGAGAGCAGATACTCGGGAAGCGGCTTTATAAAAACCCTTTCGTATATCCATGTCAGATGGAGACCTGGATCCTCTGTGACAACTATTTCTCTGCCTCGGACCAGTTGATGGATCAGCGACGAAATATGAGCGCTGTTCTGCGTGGCAACCAGCCACAGATGCGGAGCAAGCTTGTCCAAGCTATCTGTCATCAATTCGTCCTTCAAGAATTGAGCGATTCCATCATAAGGATCTCGGAGCCTGATCCAAGGGTTGCCTGGCAGGGAGGCGCTGTCCGCAGCCTCTTGAGATGTCGCGGTAGAAGAATCGAGATTGCCCAAGCCTCTGACCAATACACGTCGCGGGTTTTTTTCAATGAAAAGCTCAGAACAAAGCTGTCGATTCGATGGAAAAGGTACTTCGGTCATGGTCTTTGGAAACAAAACTAGGCAATGTCCTGTTCGTATCTACCGAATCAGTCTCTGCGCGTTTCGCAACTTCGTCCTAGGCTCTCCCGTCGAGAGCGTTCTGAATTGAAACGGATTTATCCACTCCAGAAGAGATTCGAGAGTCATCTTAATTCCTACCCGCCGCATCTGAGCCTTTTTTTTTTCCAGCCCCCTCTTGTAGGCATCTAATTCGCGCTACTACTATTCGCTGCATCGCAGTCTCATTTACAGCCAATAGATGTAGATGCATCCTTGATAGGCCAGCCGCGGCTGAGTATGACCACTCTAATTCGCTCATCTCGTGCATTCAGTGCGGGGCCAGTGTAACACAGCTCAGCAACATCGCCAGAACCTGCTGCTTCAATCAATCCTCCCCGCGTTTTATATCTTGTGCCTCGTCTGTTTCTACTGGTTTCAGAGCACACGAATTAGTTGTTGTCAGCGAAGATCACCACATCCGCCCCCACAGGGCAAATACAAAGACCGCCGTATCACCAACCTCTCGTCCCAATATGGCTTCGACAACGTTAATTCTTATCCTCGGCACGTATTTCTGTTGGGCAGCTATGGTATCTAGGGAGCTCTTCCATCAGGTGTGGGCAATTACGCTCTTATTTCTCGTCTTCCTCACAGATAAGTGCTTCCAGCAAGACTCAACAATACATTCATTCTTCTATGGTACTCTGTGCGTCTTGAATCTCGCCGTCTGTATCGCCTTGTCCCCGGTCCAGGTCTTTCTTTTCAAACAGAAAGCCACATATCAGACGCCAAAGCGATTGGATGAGTTCTTGCCCAAGTCAGCTCCAGGATCACGTCGCAATCCTTCCATATCGGTAGAGTAAGGATTCGTTCTTTCAGGTCAATTATAATACAGAAGCTAATCATTTCGGCGAATCTTAGTCTTGTAGCTGTTCACGGACTTGGCTCCTCCCCAGAGGCAGCATGGGCCTACAAGCTTGATACTCCACGAGACGAAGCGGGCAATTCAACTCCGACTCACAATTGCACGCAAACAACTGCAAAGCCAAAATATGGGCCGATATGGCTTCGAGACTTTCTTCCTCTCGATGCGCTCCAGGCCCGGGTCCTGGTCTATTACCACAATTCCGGATGGCAAGCACATGCATTGGGTATGTCTCTCAGAGACTATGGACAAGATCTCCTAACTTCGATCGAAGGCGTCAGGCAAACAGAGGCAGTATGACGCAGTGTTCGATAATCCGTGGCAATAATGGATCGCTTCTAACATGGCTGTTCTGCAGGAACGACACCGCCCTGTGATAATGTCCCTCCTTACATCGCCCTCTGATCCGAGACCCGCTTCCCTGTTTAACCCCTAAATACACAGCAAATTTCCATCTTTTTGGCTCATCTTATCCCATTTTAACGCGCAGCATTCTTGGTCACAGACTGCAAGTAACCAAGCAAAAAGCTTTGGTCAGCCTGTGATATCGGTGTCGCATTGCTGTTGCGAGATGGTGGCGCATTTCGTTGCCCCTCAGCAACAGGTCCGGATATCGATCCCATCCGGGGCATGGAATGCCCAGTCACAGCTGGTCCAGGTTGTTGCGCGTCTGCAGCAGCTTTGGCTGGCGTCCCAAAGAGAGAAAGAAGCGCCCGCTTCTGTTCCGGAGAGACATTTGGCTTGTAATTGTAGTTGGGGGCCGTATGTTGCGTGCTTTGGGCTTGGGAGCTCATGGGGATCGGTAGGGCAGAAGGCGAAGGCTGGACCACCTGCCCAGGCCGAGGCTGTCCCAGATTGTTGAACCCTGCAAATGGCGTGAAATTGGTTTTGGCTTGTTGAGCCGGCCCAGATTGTTGCGCCGGCCCAGATGGCTGGGCCTGTTCAAGGGACTCTCCTCTCTGAAGGATGCGAGATGGTTGTATTGGGTCTGTCTTGATAGTGGACGTCGCAGTAAAAGTTTGCTGTGTCGTAATAGCATGTACAGGATGAGCAGGATAGCTAGGTGCTCCTTTACCCAGGCCTCCGTTCAAGTTTTGCAAGAGATTCAGTGCGGCAGATGATCGTTGCGGAGGTGGAGCAACGTTGGGAGGTTGTCGATGGGTGTTGGGAATCGATTGAGGCATAGGATTGGCATTGGCATCGGCTTGGGCGTTTTGGGAGTGCCTTGCTTCCGCTATCTTGAGAGAGGAGAGTGCGTTTGATAGCTTTGAGTCTCCTTGGGGAGCACGCTGTGAAGAACTGGAGGATTGCAGAAGAGATAGTAGAGCACTGCCTTTGTCTTTTGAAGCGTTCGTCGCGGGCTGTTGCATGGCCTGAGCTTGCTGGTTTTGTGCTCGCATAGCTTGTGCCTGGGCTAATAGTGCTTCGATAGATGACGGAGCGGCGGATGTCTGCACCTGAACTTGCTGAGTTTGGACGTGTTGAGTTTGAACCTGCTGAGTTTGTGTTTGCTGATTCTGTGCTCGCATAGCTTGGGCTTGGGCTAACAATGCTTCGATAGATGGCTGGGCTGCTGGCTGAGCGGCCGGCTTAACGGACGGTTGAACAGATGGCTGCAAGTTCAGCAAGCGATGTAACTCCTGAGTGGCTCCATCAAGGGATTCAATGGTAGGTTCAGCAGCGGGAACGTTGTTGGGTACCCAAGCCTCATCTTCGGTAGGGTCCTCTTCGATGGGCATATGTTGGTGGTGGTGGACGGCATACGCCTGTGGTGCACCAACAGACGCTCTCTTCGCATCATTCTTCTTCTGAGCAACGATCCACTTCTTCAGAGGGACCAAGAAAGGGGCAACCATGTAGAACTTGTTGGCGTTTGTCCCAGCGCCAGAATCGTAGTTATTGTTTTGAGGACCCTTCTTCCGAAGAGTGGGCAGGTCAGATAGCTTATACCATTCAATCTTGCTGATTTCTTTCCTGGTTCGAGGCTGGAATACCGTATCCATGGGAACATCTCGAAAGACGTATAGGCGAAGATGCTGCTCTCTCATAGGGATTTCAATGTATATGGGCTTCACCTCGTTTGGTACCAGCCCAGCCTCTCGGAGGTCCAAGCCGGTCTCTTCGTAGACCTCTCTGACGGCACAGTCCAGGTCATCTTCGTCCTTGTTGATCTTGCCTCGGGGAAAACTCCAGCTCGCCCCTTTCTTCCAGCCTTTGACGAGAACTACCGAGTCCAGGTCACGGTTGAGCATAATAGCACCGCGGACTGGCACGCGAGTCTTGTACTGCAAAAACTCTTCGAACGCCTTGGTATGGTTCTCAACCGAGAATGAGGCTAGCAGCGGGCAGTGTTGGAAGATTCGTAGACAGAATGTGCGCAGCGTCATGGACGGGAGGGTCGGATCGAGCGGCCGGATGAAATCTTCGTAGAACCATTGTGCCTCTTCAACTTGGAAGCATAATCGGGCAACCGACGACAGATCTTCTTGCGGAAGGTTGATGATGAACCGGACGCAGAGATCGTCCAGCCCTATTAGGATTAGAATTGATCAGCATCTCGCAGCTTAGAGCAAGGTGACAGGTGGGGTGGTAATACAGTCTTCCAGCTGCATCTGTTTCTGAGCCATGTTTTGTCTCTCTTCTCGTTTTGGTGGAATTGTGTTCAGCTCAGCCCCATGCTCTGATTAATAATAGCGATACGACGGCTTGATCTTCACGACTTGGCCAGACTGAGTGCGGTTCGGACATGTGACAGGATAATGGGCATGGTCAAATCGATCCGGAGTTCAGCAGCTGAGGAATGGATCGCGACGCGCGCTTCAGCCACAGCAAGCTATTGCGAGATGGCCCGCTATCGTCAGGCGGTTCGAAAGCCGAGATTAGGCGGAGAGAATGGCTGCGCGGGAGGGTTGGCGATTGCGTGGCTATTCCTGCGATGGGTTTGCCGAACGAAGATGCAGAAGCTATCAGATGCCAGAGGCCAAGGTGAAAAGGCCGTTGCGGCCGTAAATCAAGCCAGTGTTTGTTGGAATGATGCGCGGCACACTTTCGCACTGTCTCCGCTGAGGGGAATGAGCCGTTTGTTCAAGGAGTGCCACAGCCTCCACACAGTATGCAATAGCAACTCAAGCAAATTATAGCTTCAGCCACGCTGCCCAACCACACAGCCACAAGCCACCTGTGGCTCGCATCGGCGTGGCGGTGCTGGAACTCGCCTATCTTGGCTTTGTGGCTCCGGATCTGCGCCGTGGCGAAGAAAGCGTCAGAGGCAGCCAGCCAGCACAACGGCCGCTAAAATCTCCCCTGTGACAAGGGCCTGTTAGCGGCTGCTAGGGCCACTGCCGCGGCGTCTCATTGGCTGCGCGGCGCCGGTCCAGCGTCTTTCCAGCACCTTGACCTTCTGAACAGCAGCTGAATTACATCATGAACTGGAGCCCTTTCCAAAAACAGGTTCTTGGGCTATGCCATGTGAGCGACGCCATCATTCACTGCAGACACTTCACAGTGACGGCGTTGAAAGACGAGTCCATAAAACCACAGGGTCAGACTTGTTTTTTTCGATGTCTTTCTTCTTCTTCCACTTTTTTCTTCTTGTTACAAGCACCGCAGAGCCGCCCAGGTTTAATTACTAGTGCTGCCGACTGCCTTGTCTCATCGTGTTTGGTTGGCTGCCAGAGCCTGTGTTCTAAAAACAGCGTTTGGCGCTCAAGGGCGGCTTCTGAAACAAACGACAGCAAGCGCCTCTCCAGTCGACGTGAACAGAGGCATCCCATTGTCGACAAGCCTTTGTCTGAACGCTGCTGCTTTTTTTTTTAGAAGGAGCATAAATATCGAATTCATCGCCTTTCCTAGAACCTGACGACTATTACTATCTTATTCTTCAATCATCCCATTACAACTCAGACACAACCGCAAAAATGACGTCCCTGTTGGCTAAGATGGTCAGCAAGAGGATTCTGGGAGAGAACCTCAAGAATAAATTTGGCAAAGAGGTAAGATAAAATCCGCTGTTTGACCTGCGCATGATAAATTGTTCCATCGCGGTATACTAACAAGCTGCTTTTCTAGGATCCATACTTTGAGCAGGTCCCGGCAACTAGGCTTGACGGGCGACCTACGGGCAAATTCAAGAAGCGCAAGAAGGCCCTGCCACCAGGCATCTCGGAGCATGATGGCCAGGTCTTGACCAAGGTCAAGCGACGCGCCTATCGTCTTGACATGTCGCTGTTCAATTTCTTGGGAATCCGCTTTGGCTGGAGCAGCGTCATCGGTCTTATCCCTGCGTAAGTCACTTTAATTATTGATTGTCACAGAATACGCAATGCTAACCAACTTCATCACAGAGCGGGAGATGCACTCGATGCCTTCATGGCATTTATGGTGTACAGGACATGCTGCCAGGTGGAAGGGGGCCTCCCGACCAACGTCAGAGTCCAGATGCTGATCAACATCATCCTCGATTTCATGGTTGGGCTGGTTCCATTCCTTGGTGATCTGGCCGACGCAGTATTCCGTGCAAACACGCGCAATGCGGCACTGCTTGAGGACCATCTCCGTCAAAAGGGCAAAAAGGAATTGCGAAAGAGCGGACTGCCCATCCCAGCCGTTGATCCCAGCAGCCCCGAAGAGTATGACAGGATCCAGCGAGAGGATCCTCCCGAGTATCGATCGAACCCCCCATCCCGCCGAGAGTCTCCGGTTCGGTACGATGACCGGCATCACCACGAGCCGAGAGCCCCAGCCGCCGCGGCGGTTCGCGATGACCGCGGTTATACAGGGCGCACTCGCCCGCACGATGTTGAGATGGGCCAAGCTGAATCGGACAGGCGCCACCACGGCTCTTCAAGTCAAGGCGGCAAGAAGAAGAGCAGGTGGGGGCTGTTTTAGATCTGAGTTTTGTTTTTCTTTGCTAGCGCAGGATGCATATATCGCAGGATCGTTGTCTGAGCGCCCGTTACGAATTTCCTTTGCGTTGGGACATTTCACATTTCCTTTGTTTCTGAGAACGGGATATCGCATGTCAGGAACGTGTCTGGTTTTACGGTTACGAAGATTGGGGATTTCAAGCTGCATCTCCGAAGAGCCTGATTTGAGAAGTTGAGAATAAAAGAAAGAAAGAAGGGTACAAAAAGGCTTACTGCGTGAGGAGGGGATTTCTTTAATGATAATTGTGCGAGAGCTTTGTACACGACGCAGTGCCTAACCTGGAGCAAAATCGGTGTTTGCGAATACACGATGAAGTCATTATATAATCAGCAAGTTCATTATCCAAGTAGATAGATTAGTAGTTTAGGCATGCATATGCACAAATAATCTATAACCTCAAGACTACATGGCGACATGCCATTCCTTAGCTTAACGTTGTAAACGCGGTGAAGACAAAGCTCATGATAATCGGCGTCCGACAACACATTGTCTTCCGACTTATGGCTTCATGTGCCGCTGATTAACGCCTTGAGCACGCAACTAAGACAAGCTGCCAGGGTCCAATGCCTATTATGGATTCTCCGATGCATGCAAACCTCCTTGCAGCAGCAGCCCTAGCTGCAGATTTCCACATTCGTGCAGTCGGCCCCTCGGTAGTGGAAACAGGGCAGAGCGAGCGAGTTGACGAGATGAGTTGACTCATGTATCACTTGTACCTCCAAACAGCTGGGGATTGTATAACCATTTTGTAATTCTCAGTCATCCCTCGTAGAGCTGTTACCAGCTAGCACCGACTAAGCAAGCTGCAGCGTGAAGCTCAGACTTTTCACGCTTTCCAGAGCTCAGACCTGCAGCCCCACGCAGCGAGGCGCCAGTGTCTCCAGGCTGTGGCCTCGGAGCTGCTCGCTCAAATCGCAATTCGCTCGGAGTTGTGGGAAAAGGGACAGGTCTGGGTAGGAATGGATCCTCGAATACGGCGACTCAGGGTTGTTGTACAGGCATAGCCTGGTTGCAAGTGCGGTGTCTTCCAGAGAGGTTGCGTGAGGTAGTACCTACACATCAGACAAGTACAAGAGAGTTTCACGACTGCAGCATCTGGCTCAACAAGGCCGTGGCCCCACTGACACGAGATCCAGCAATTGTTTGTTGTTGCTGATTCAAGCTTGATAAACAGGGAGCTGCGCATCGTCATTTGCCCAGAGCTATCGCGATGAGGCAGAGCTAGCCGGCCCTGGTAGCGGGATACCTCATCGCGACTCGCCGCCTTCACGCGTCTGCCAGCGCCAATTCACTGTGGCCGGTGGCCGATGCACCGGCGCCGTGCAACCCCACCATGGCAGCCCACGGCGCTGGACGAGTATCTCTCAGGTACTGCTTCAGCTACCATCCCTGCCCGCCCGATGCCCAATACAGGGCGCCCAGCCTCCCAGCATTGCTTAATAGGGCCTTGCCTGACCCGCCGCAAAACACGTCTTCAACGCGTCGCGCCACGTGACGGCGCTGTGCAATCGTACAAAAAGCTCTGGTGCCACCACGATGTAGCACCATCTTGACTTCAACCACCGCGTCTGCACAGCATCTAAAGACAATTACTCTCTTGATAATACACATTACGCGCTCTGTCTTGCTGCTGTGTCCCCCTCCCACCAGAAGCATCTCCAATGGCCTCCGAACTCACCCCCTCCAAGCAGGTCAGTCCACCACTCTTACAGAGCTTCGACCTAGTTGTCGACTATGATCTTCTGTCTTGTAGAGCTTTTTCCAATTATAAAGCCACAAAGCTAACATAGTCTTGTACAGGCTGCTTCTGCCATTGACTCTTTCAAGATTGAGTCTCCCGTCAAAAAGATCAACTTCAACGCCTCCGACAAGGAGAACCAGCCTCTCGACGACGCCGCTCTGGAGAGCCTCGCCAAGCAGATGGACGACAACCACAAGCCCACTGAGACCGTCAAGGTCGACAAGTCAGAGGCCAAGCCCAGCGCGGCTCCCACAATCAAGCCTGATGAGATTGACGAGCCCATCCTGCAAGAGAACCCTCAGCGATTCGTCTTGTTCCCCATCAAGTACCATGAGGTATGTTGAAAAAAAAAAAGAGATCCCCTCACTTCTACCCCGGACGCGCTCCGACGCGTAAAGTGGCACCCCACTATGGGATAGGCATGCTCTGGGAATACCAATTGACTAACAATGGCTCAACTAGATCTGGCAAATGTACAAAAAGGCCGAGGCTTCCTTCTGGACCGCCGAGGAGATTGATCTGTCCAAGGATCTGCACGACTGGAACAACCGCCTGAACGATGACGAGAAGTACTTCATCTCTCACATCCTGGCCTTCTTTGCTGCCTCCGACGGCATTGTCAACGAGAACCTGGTCGAGCGTTTCAGCGGCGAGGTTCAGATCCCCGAGGCTCGATGCTTCTACGGTTTCCAGATCATGATGGAGAACATCCACTCCGAGACCTACTCTCTGCTCATCGACACCTACGTCAAGGAGCACAGCCAGCGCAGCTACCTCTTCAACGCCATTGAGACCATTCCTTGCATTCGCAAGAAGGCCGACTGGGCCATCAAGTGGATTCAGGACAAGGACTCTTCCTTTGCCCAGCGTCTCGTTGCCTTTGCTGCCGTTGAGGGTATCTTCTTCAGCGGAGCCTTTGCCTCCATCTTCTGGCTCAAGAAGAGAGGTCTCATGCCTGGCCTGACCTTCTCCAACGAGCTAATCTCTCGTGATGAGGGTCTGCACACCGACTTTGCTTGCCTGCTCCACTCTCACCTGAAGAACCGCGCCAGCAAGGAGATTATCCGTGAGATCATCACTGATGCCGTCAGAATCGAGCAGGAGTTCTTGACCGAGGCTCTCCCCTGTGCTCTGCTGGGCATGAACGCCACGCTGATGAAGCAGTACATTGAGTTTGTCGCCGATCGTCTGCTCGTCGCTCTCGGCAACGAGAAGATCTACAAGTCCTCCAACCCCTTCGACTTCATGGAGAACATCTCCCTGGGCGGCAAGACCAACTTCTTCGAGAAGCGCGTTGGCGAGTATCAGAAGGCTGGTGTCATGAACAGCACCAAGAAGCCCGTCGAGGCCTCCTCCGGCGCCGAAGAGTCCAAGACCGACAATGGCGGCGACTTTAGCTTTGACGACGACTTCTAGATGCGTAGTCAGCTTGCATTTCACATCCCATCTCTTTGTCTTTTATTATTCTTGTTTTTACAGTTTGGCACCATGTACATTTTTGCGGAAAAGATGCCGTCTACGGGTTAGATCGGCAAGATGGCGTTGATTATAACAGTGGATTGGGAACACGCCTGTTGGTTCCTTGTATTGGTTAAGAGGTTATACACACTGCGGGCGTTTGGGACACTTGTTTGGATGCAAATTCTCTTCTTGAATTGGGGATGATAATTGCGGAACGAGGCATTGGATCATGACACTGTATGGATAAATAGTCCAGCAAATAGAACTGGATGAACGATTAAACTTGAACTCTTTTGTGTATGCATATTTCTAGAAATTCGTCTGGTACGCCTTTCGTATGTCGCTAACCGTGTCCCGTACGCAAGTTGTCCAGCATGTCTCCGTCCATGTCCATGCCCATACCATTCCCATGTCTAGATTCACGTCCATCAAAAAAGCAGGCCAGCCATCCCCCTCACGATCCATTCCTCGCTCATTTCTTGCCCTTCTTCTTCTTCTTTCCACCACCGCCTCCCCCAGCTCCTCCTCCTGTCGCAACCTGCTGTGGCGTCTGTTCTCCCTGCGGCGTCTCCACCGCCGCATCAGCGTCCTGCATCGTCTCCTCCGGCACGTCCTGGATGCCAGCCATGGCCTTGCCCAGACGCCCCAGCGCGGCGGACATGAGGCGCGTAACCTCTGCGGCCTTTGTGGTGCGGTACTTGAGCGTCACGCCGCTGACGGGGTCGTATGTCTTGAGGACGAGGCTGCCGCGCGGGGGCCTGGGGCCTGAGGGGGCTGTTGATGATTCGTCGCCGGAGCTGGTGGTGGTGGTTTGTTTGCGGGGCTTGACGGGTTTGATGGAGTATCTGGTTGTTACGCGAGTCTGGGAGATGAGATAGAATGACCTGGGTTAGCTCTTTTCTTTTCCTTCCTGAAGTTGTGAGAGAGAGATTGGAGTGATGGCGGGAAAACTGACTGAGGAGGGTCGAGCCTCAAGCAGAGCGACGGAGTGGTCGAGCCATTCCTGGCTCGTTTTGAAGTAGGGCATTGGATAGGTGAAGTGCTATGATTTGCGCGACTCCATGTATATATGCGACTGATTGTGCGTGTTGTATATGTAGCGAGGTTGAAGAGAGAGGCTGCGGTTGGCGATGTCGATTTGGAGGACTTTGAAGACGAGGCTGAGGTTGAGGTTGGCGATTGAATGTTGGCTTGGCTAATTTTAGGTGGGGCTGCGGGGTTAAGGTACGAGGTACTTGTGCCTGGTGCGGGAGCTTGGAGAAGGATGGGCCAAACAATTGACTGACGCTGTTTATGGGCAAGTAAGCGCAGATATTATACGAGTACTGATTTTTTTATCACTTTGGACATGAATTTTAATTTAATTTCAAGAAGTTTTTTCCGGTGCTCTAGCTATGGCCTGGTAATGTTGTGAAGTAAATTATGAGTACTGCTTTAACTGCTAGGTACTTGGCTTTATACCAACCATTGAAGGCGTAGTAGCGCATTAACCCATCATAAGCTCCAAGTTCATTAGTAATGAAATACGCCAAGATGAAGCCATGGCAATGATACTAAAAGACGAAATGGTTGAAATGTTGTAATATCGGGCATCAATGGATGTAGCGCATCTTGGAGCCGTGAAGTTCGTAGGTAAGGATGAGATTGGTTGCCTAATTCTAAGGTTGATCCTCGCTAGGCTGAACTGTGGGAATCTGTGAATGGTGGCAGTGTAAATGCGCCTTCTCGGGCGGAATCTGGAATCAGGTTGAAGCTGACTTATAGATCGTGGTGCTCTGAGGCTCAGTTGCTTAGAATGAGCTGCCAAGATTGAGGGAATATTAACAAGTACATACATGTATGCACAGTTACATTCATTTGCGGTGGCTGGCAATTCCAACCAACACTCAACATCCTGATCCCAGCCGTGGCCCCCCCCGCACTCTATTTCCCGCACATAAACAGCAGAAGCGGGCTGGTGTTGAGCTAGAACGGCACCCTTCTTCAACATGGCCAAAAGAAATGACTCGGCGATTTTCAAGACTCTTTCAGAAATACTATATGATGTCGACTGTTCCCCAATTATAGATGACGCTCATTATAGTTCTACCTGCTGGGCAATTACGAAGTATGGACACCGCTGCGGAAATCGGATTCGCTACCGTGAAGAGGATAAGCTATTCCGCAGGCTTTGGTCCAAATTAAAAACCATAACAGAATGCCCCGATACCGATGATTTTTATGATCAGTTGGAGACTTTTGTTGCTCTTACCCACTGCAAAAGGCACCATCGCGATAGAGCCCTCAATGCTTTTACTGCGTGGAAGGCAAAACGGCAAGCTGCTTTGGACTCACCGCCATTCCCATCATCAGCAAATGAGACGTCGAATAATCAACAGGATGATAATTCTTCCAACATTCTCCATGACAGGACCAGCATATATTTTGCCGACTCTATATCGATCGAAGATGAGGCTGAAGAGGAAACTTCCACTTCATCTGATGATTCAGACGAGAGTAGTCATCCGGACAAGATTATTGTTAATGACCATATGAGCGAGCTTGTTGAGCGGGCAGCTATTGATAAAGAGTCATTTCCGCATTCGGACGAGAGTTCTGATCATGGAGAGCGTACTGATTTGGGTGACAATGCTAGTGATTACAGAGCGGATGAGCGGCGTCAGAGTTACACTAAACTTGAGATTGAAGAAGCGGCGAGAAAGTCTCTGACTTTGAAGGAACAAAAGTCGGTAAGGGAGCTGGAACAAAAATTGGAACAAAAGGCATATCGCGTGCACTCTTTATTTGGAGAGTTAACCAAGGCTTTGGATATATCGTTCGAACAAGCGGTCGCGTCCCAAGAGAAAGTAGGCGATAGCCCTACGGACGAAACTTTTGGGAAGTCTCTTGATATGACTCAAGAGGTACAAACAAATATCATCGCGCCTCCTCCCACGGACTCGGGATACGGTTCCACATCTGCGACAGAGAGCAAACCCGGCTTGTCCATGCGGCATACGGATGTAGAGCAGCCAACACAAGCGACACTCGATCAGGACATGGATGATACAGCTACTGAATATTCAGATGAATCTCGAAGCACGTTTTCGAAGAAGCAAGGCTTCGTACGGGAACTAGCAATTGAGCTTTTCAAAGCCGTTAGCTCATCAAATGCAACCGAAATAATTCCAGCAAGAGTCTCGACCATTCTGCCTGAGCTGCTTCAGGCGTTTGCGTTGAAAGTTGGTTATGGTGCCAAAACGCAAATGCATCGAGATGTAATGGCTTTTGTGTACAGGTACAGGCGGTAAGTGGTGTACATCTGAGGTTACGACGAGAATGCCCGTTACTGTGTTTGTTGCGACTATTTTTCAGCTACGCGTATTGACACTTCGTTCCACTAGTGACATTGCGACAGAGTTTACCGATATGAGTTTCAAGAAAGACTTGGATGATTCCACAGAAGACAAGCGCACGGCAGAGGGAATGAGCTGGCAAGATCGTACGAGTCTTTGGTTCGAAAAGACTTCGTTCGAGGCGTCGCCGGAAGAGCCCGCACAATTAGCAGTAGGGGATGGTGAAGCTGTCGACGAAAATTTAGCAGACGAGGATGAAGAATTGCCGGACAGCTGGCTTACTGCCTACCAAACGTTTCTTACAAGCAACAGCGAATACGAAGAGCTCCTCGCTCGATTGCAGAGAGAATTTCACCTAGTTCCAGCAAAGCCGAATATTATGGGGGAGATCCGAAAAACGATTATGTCTTCGCTCCCATCGCCTCAGAAAATGAGCAGGAAGATATCACCACCAAGCTGCCGCGCTTGGTTTCAAGTCAACTGGGACATAGTCGATTTTTTCACTACTCAGGGTTATGTGAAAGAGCCGTACGATGCATTTGAGGGTGTTATTACTATTACTGGGACTTGCCAAGATGCCCAAGCTGCAACCTGTGCTCAATACATAAAACAAACGTGGCCAATCACAGGAGAAATAGTCATTCGGCTGATCAAAGACGCCCTCAAAGGGGCGGGCCACGTACAACGTTGTAGGTACATGTATCTACTTTCCTCGAAAGTTTTTTTTTGTGCTTGGCTAAACTCAGTTGATTTAAAGTACCCAACGGAACAAAAATTATGGCAATGATTGACACGCCCAAGTTTATTCTCGTAGCCTACGGTGTCTCAGTTTCCGTAGCAGAGATAGGGGAACTGATCTCTTGGCTTGGAGCAGCTCTGAGAACTTCTCCACGGCACAACGGACTAGTACATTGTGTACCAAGCGTGCATAATTTTGTATCAGACAACTTGTCATCAGAAAGAATTGAGGTACAACTGCCGTCTGCTGTTAGTATCTTTGACATCGAATTTGCGATGGAAGTAGTCCCGCAAACCCTGCCAGCGGCAAACGGTCAATGCTGGCACGATATTTTCAGGAATCCAGTTGTTGTAAGAGGGTATCCCATTCCTAAAAGACTTGAATGGAATACCGGTCTTGAAATTTCTCTGAATGTTATGGCAGGACTGGCTAGGGCTCAGCGTGTTAATCGATTCAAGGAAAAAGTATATGTCAAAGGCTTTTCTACAATGCTGGTTCCAACCAAGAAAAATACAGATACAATTTGTTGGCATCTAATCTACAACGGGGACGGGGAACATATCTCCTACTTGGATGATGACCAGGATCAAGAGCAATACATTAGTCAGCTAGATCTGGAGAACTATCGACATGTCTTGGGATGGTGTTCCGAAGCGAAACTATACGCCGGTAAGCTCGTGTTTCAGATGTTTCTTTGCCATTGACAAGTGATTCTCACAAAAGACTCCGAAGGTTCAGCAGGAGTGCATCATCCTGTGACACATTCGAGGCTCCCCAAGCCCCATCCAAACTGTGCTCTCTATGGGGTGAGAGCTCTAGAAGGAAAGCTAATTCTGAATGGCCCGGAGTTCGTCATTGGGGCCAAGGACACACCAGAACATATCCCTCGCAAAGGTAACATTCGGAGACTAAAATGGATGTCCACCAAGTTTGTTCTCTTATGGGATGAACGCGACAAACGGGGCTGGCTAATTAATGGTACGACTGCTCTCTTGCACATTGTACGAGCTTTCTTGTCCCACGCAAAAGAAGACAACTTCAAATCTGCCTTTCAGTTCAATGACGAGGATCTCCAAGAGGCGAAAGTCCCCTTTACAGCTGATTCCGCCATTGCTGTGCTTCTCAACCCTGCAAACAGGCGCCTTAAGCTATATGAAGAAGACGAAGGCGACGACGACGAGTATCTTTTGAAGACCCAAATTGACCATTTTTACAATATCTTGGAGCAGCTTATGGAATACCAGGCAGATATTGCCGGACTCAATGGCTCTAAACTGGGTAACAGCCCACGAAAATTTCTCGAAGGGTGGGACTTTGAAGACATGGCGAAAGAATGTCCCACCATATATCCACGGGTGGCTACTATAGGGGACGCTGGAAAAGGATGGGTGGATTTTGTAAGGGCTATTCATGCTGTTACAATAGTCGGTCGAGGTTTTGGGGATATTATTAGGCCCACTGGCCGAGACCATTGCGATTCTTGGGCCACGCTACCGACGAAGCGATATTATATCGCAAGCTGTGTTTCTGACTTGGACCGTCTTTTGAAGGAAGCTGGTAGTCATCAAGATGGTCATGAGTTGCTCTGCGATAACTTGATATATCATGCTCCAGCATCCGTTTATCGGCCCTGTCAGTGCAGAGTTACTCCAGGGCGGAAGCATTGTGAGCCTGTTCGAACGCTGATTCCATCGGCAATGTCGACTGCTATACCTTTCAGAAAAAGTGCTACTAAACTTCAAGAACTGGGGGCAGTCATTCTGGGGTATAGTTCCCATTTCCCGTTGATCTGGGGAGACACTGGTCCTCCCGAACGAGGTGAACTCCCCGAAACGGAGCCTTCGCCCAAGACAATTGAAGAAGATGTGGATTCTGGCTTTGGCTCAAACACAACAGTGTCGGAAATAGAGAACCACTCCTTTTTCCAACCAAATTCGGAAACCGAATCTTCGGTCAAGCCTGAAGAGCTTCAGTCCCCGGCAGCGAAGAAAGCCTTACCAAATGTCACGATTTCGATTGAACAAAAGATACATACCCGAAACCAATACACTGTAGGGATCATTTGTCCTCTACCAAAAGAGCTCATGGCAGTCCGTGCCCTCTTTGACTACAGACATCCTAAATTGGCCACTATTTCGGGAGACAGCAATCATTATGCTCTTGGAATCATGGAGGGGCACTGGGTCGTTGCAACGTGTCTTCCGTCTGGCGAATACGGCACGAATGCAGCTGCAAGTGTAGCTTCTAGTATGATATGCAATTTCCCTTCAATTCGGTTCTGCCTTCTGGTTGGTATTGGTGGCGGCGTGCCTTCTGAGAAGAGAGACGTTCGCCTTGGTGATGTGGTTGTCAGCCAGCCCACTGGCACCAACAGTGGCGTACTTCAGTACGACCTTGGAAAGGAGGAAGATGGCGATCGCTTTCGGCTGGTGGGTTCGTTACAACGCCCACCGCGCGTGTTAACCAAAGCCATTGGCTTCCTGCGCTCAGAGCCACTGGCTGGCCGGTTGGAAAAATGCCTTAGCAAGGTTATAGACTGCCTGCCAACGTACAAGCACCCTGGTCAAGAATTAGATGTTCCAACTCAAGCTACCTGCGCGTCGTGTAACTCGTGGCAGTGGCTTCTTGGATCTTGTTCTCACATACGGCAGCGTCTTCCACGCACAACTACTATGCCTACGATTCACTACGGGCTCGTAGCATCAGGAAACCGCGTCATAAAAGACAAGGAGTTTCGCAACCGACTGGCACGGGATCATGACATTCTGTGCTTTGAGATGGAGGCTGCTGGGGTTATTAATACGGTAGACTGTCTGGTGATCCGCGGCATCTGCGATTATTGCGACGCTCAAAAGAACGATGTCTGGCAAGAATATGCGGCTGCTGCAGCTGCGGCGTATGCGAAGCTTTTGCTCGGAGTTGTTACCGAAGTAGAACAACATGGCAATGCGAGTTAATGAGTCCTGGCCAATATACTTGGTTGCCTGCGTCTGGTTCTCAGGGAAACAATTGGATACATGTACGTTAGGACATTTTACAGTATCTTACATTTAATAATAAGCAAGGCTAAATGCGGTCGTCGGATGCATTGTTAACTCAATGCTGATACAGAAATGGAAGTAGACATGTATGTTTCTCCGACTTGCCGGTTAAAAGTCTACATGTGTAAAATACTAGCCCTTCATTTAAACACACGTACCGCATTTGTTAGTAATACTTAAGAATCCCATCAAGCTCTTTACCTTGATTCAGCGTCTTCCGTCTTTTGCATTCTCATTCTAGACTAAGGACATCGCGGATGCAGCTTCGCACTAAACCCCATCTGTATGCCGTATGTTGGTTGCATGTTAGGCGCGCGTTTGGATGAGCTGTGGTCAACGTGAATGCGCGATGGATCTAGGCATATTCTTGCAAATTGAACCTACCAGATCGCCCTCGACTACGCTTATCGCCGAAGCCGTGACGACCCTGCTTGCGCCATCTTCTGGGTGCATGCTGATAACGAGGCTGCTTTCGAGCGAGATTATCGAACGATTGCAAGGAAGCTTGGCCTGGACGATAAACTCAGTGAGAAAGAATTACCCTGTAAATTATGCGATTGCATTGAGTCACAGCCGCGATGGTGGCTGATTGTAAATAACGCTGACGATTTGGCACTATTTGGTGTCAGCGACACGTTGAATCCAGCGAAGAGCTTGGCCAAATACTTGCCCCAAGGCCATGGCGGAAGTCTTCTGTGGACTAGCCGCGATAAACAAATCGTGGCTATAGCCGGCGCCCGACGAAGTGTTGAGGTTAGCCATATGAGAATTGGGGAAGCAGAAGAGCTGCTTGCAGTAACCAGAAACGAAAATATTCGCAGTGAAGAGACTCATGATGCTCAGTTACTTCTTAAAGAGCTCCAGTGGCTCCCCTTGGCAATCTCACAAGCAAGCTTCTACTTGCGGAGAACTTCAACACCAATTAACGAGTATCTATCAAAGTTACTAAAAGAAAAAAAGAAAAAAGCAAATGGGATACGCTTAGACATACAGAGCACGATAGGTACAGAAGGCCAGATGTACCAAATTGTGTTCTGGAAACATGTGATATTTCCACCAAGTGCGTTGAACAAGAGAGTCAGACAGCGTACAAGATTTTACACGCCATCGCATATCTCGATAATCAGAATATTCCATTATCAGTCATTCGTGCTACATGTACAGTAAATAATGGCTCTTTACAGTAGGAGTCGTTATATGAGGCAAAGAAGAAGTCATTTGAAATAGTGATCATATGGCTTGAGGATTCTCGCTACTCAATGAACGCAAAACGGAAGATGACGAGCCAAGCTTTGATATGCACAAGCTTACACATGAGGCTATTCAATATAGGCTCAGTCAAGAGAATATACACCTTAGGGCGTACTTCTTGTATGGTGCGGCATTCACTATTTTTGACAAGTGCATAAAAAATGAGTGAGGAATACGGCCCCCATGCGAGAATTTAATACCCCACACGATACGTATTAGTGGCTGGGCGGAGGCCTCTGAAGCCGAGGTACTCATAAAAGGGGTTAAACCACATCTCCTTCCAGCTTTCGGTTTAAAAAAAGCAATATTGTATTTTTTCAGTCGAGGGCTATGGAGCAAAGTCACCCTCACTGATAGAGAGACTATTGAACATAACGAGCAAGAAATTCGGTGAAGAGGATCCCCGCAACATAGAATTCACTCGTATGCTTGCCTCATATGTTGAACAAGGGCCGTACAACGAGGGAGAAAAGGCTTGGTTACAAGCGCTGACATTATCAGTAAAGGTTCATGGGGAGAAGGACCTTACTACGATAAAGATTATGCAACTTCTTGCAACGATATCTTACATACGAGGTTGGATCAAGGATGCTGTAAAGCTTCATATGAAAATCTTCTCGCTGCTGCACGAGGATCCTTGAGATAAAGATCTGTATATCATCGACTCTATGAAACAACTTGCGCTCCTATACGACTTACAAGAGCATTTTGATCGCGCTTGATTTAGATTGCAAATAAACATACTGTGGTGACCAAAGCCCCTGCAGGTAACACTGACCTCTGAGTCTCGGCGAATCTACCAAACTGTTCCCCTTCTGCTTTGAAGAACCCGTTCTGTTTAATGCCAAAGTAGAAGTCGATGCCCTTCTAATCTGATTGCGAATCACCCAGTATACGTTACCAAGTGGTCTCAAACTAGCTGTAGAATTACCTGAAAAATCTAGCCTGTTATTTATTCTGCAACGTTAGGCCTGAAGAAATATTAGTCTACTATGAAAGCTGTACTGTACGTATTGATAGACAGTGCGAATATTAATATTTAGAAAATTGAATTATTTACGTAGTCTTTTCTACATGCAGTCCCTGTTTGCAAAGTTATTGTAAAGTGAGAGAGTGAATTTGGTGTATAAGTTTTAAATGCACGTAAAGACTATAATTTAACTTAGGTAAATTGCGATGAATAAGTTATAAAACATTTAAAATGAGCTCTTAAGGAACACTGAAGGGACTGATAAATAAGCACCAACGCGCTTCTCTCTTCTTTGCCAATCTTGCTATGCCTCTCTTTACTCCGCCTATCTGTCTCTTTGTGTACCTTGCCTAACTTTTCGCCTGCCGGCGTCCCTTTTTTGGGGCTGGATACAAGGCGTCATAGAGGGCAGCCCGTTGCATGTAATCGGTCAAAGTGGCCTGGTCCCCATGATCGATCTCCCATTGGTGCAATTTGTTCTGAATATCATCTCGAAGAGAACTAACATATTGATAAATGCTCATCGAGTGAGGTCCAGTCGTGTATCCAAGTTCAAGGACTATGTTTAAGAAATCGATATTATATTCAAAAACAGGTCTGGTTCCCTGTCGAGCATTTTGATATTTTGTAAAAGCTCGTTCATGAGCCCCTGCGTCGATGAATATTACATCCATGTCTTTGAAAATCCCTTCTAATATGGCAGTAGTTGAGGCGGGGATCTCCTCAATTGTTGAATACTGGCTAGCCTGTTTAGATAATGCCCATCGTTTAGCACGGCCAGTTATGTTACGTAAGATAGCCGCAGCGAGAGCGTTTCCTGGTGCTGCTCCGTTCATGATGGCCCAATCTTTTATTTCGGATTTCCATCGTCGATAGTCAGAGGCAGCCCCGGTAAAAGGTTTAGGCATCTTTCCTGTAAATCTATCTTTGGGTGGTTGACAGGCGTATTGGCGGGTTAGCTCCAGTAGTTCTTGCAAAGAATTATTGGAAGACTGAATCCCCGCAAGAGCATCAGCCAGCTCATCCTTGTGTCGACATTGTGAGGCTTCTTGGGCTTTCGCAACGAGGGAAGCGACGGAACGGGACAAAGCGCTGAACGAGTAGGGCTCATTGGGGCGCAGTTGTATGGGAATAGATTCCCATAGTTCAAGGAGGCTCTCTTGAGGCGTTTTGGTGGCCATGGTCGAGTGAGATCCAGCTTTCACTTGCTAGAGAAGAGGGGCTGACAGGTTTGCATCTCTTTTGGTTAACAACTAGCTCTAACTACGGATTGCGGCAATATGCATACGGGTTACAAGGTGGGTTACCTGTTGAAATCTAGCGTGTAGACAAAATGTTAATGCATACCACATCCGGTTCACAATATCTATGCATCTAAAATATTTATATAGGAAAATCATATCTCCCAAAGTAGTATAGTATTATTGTGGTTATAGTGGTTTCTGCGATTGCACTAACTAGCTGCGGTGTAATATATATGAAAAAAAAAAAATTAACTTTACTCTCGATAAAGTTCATCTAACCACTCTTTAATCCGACTTATATATTGAAGAGCAATGCCTGGCAATACCCCGCAAGTAGCTAGTATCTTAGCGTCCATAGCCTACGCCTTATACATCCGTCCAAGACAATAACCCTTATTAACAGTAATTTAACTTACCAATTAATAAGCTGCCTGCTATATACTATTAGTTACCTGGCCACAAAGCCTGTTAGAGTATAATCTTAAAGCCTTATCTATTAGCATTAGGAACTTTAGCCTAGCTAGGCCAATCCAATAATTAGCTTTTTATAAGTTTCCGGCTGAGTCTGCGCTCCCTTTATCTTAATGACCAGGACAGCAGATGTAACTTATGGGCCGACGAGCTTGAGGAAAGGGTGATTTCTTTTCGAAACAAGTTTTATGGGATGTTTCCAATTAGGCTCTCGAATGGAGATGATGTTGCCGCCAAGCGCAGGAAAGAAACACTCATAGGCTGCAGAAAGGCTGCGTTTATCAGGCGTAGGAAAAAAGGGTCCACCAGTTGTAAAATGGCTGCATTTATTAGGCGCAGGATGGCAAGAAAACGTAATTTTAGGTAGCCCGGTTGATGAGATGCATCATCTAAATGGTGCATGTCTTCTTAGTAGAGGGTAAGATGATATCCTTTAGCGGTATTCTACACTTGTCATTCTATGTTGTCGCATATTCCTTGTAGCACAATGTAGTATATGCGTCCTTGATGTAAGTCAAACCAAGCAGAGTATTCCTCTCCCAAATATCGCAAGATCATTGTTTTGTCAATCAATCTCTGTTCACGATGTTTTATTTCCCACATCGATAAGCCTCAGCTATCAGCAAGTTACAAACAACTTCAAAATTCCATCACCTAGTTCTTCTCACTCAAAATGAGCCTCTTATGAGCAGGCCGGCTGGTGGCAACGGCATGAGCCTGCTGCGCACATCTCAGTCCTGCCTCAATGGCTCCGTGAATCCACCCGTGGGTGTAGCTGGCATGTTCTCCCCCAAAGAAGACGCGGTAGTTTGTCGAGTTCTCGGGATACGCCCAATCTGGAGCCTTCATTACGTCGAGGTACTGGCTCTTCTGGCCTGGTCCAAAGTAGCAGAACGCGCTTCCTCCCGCAAGCTCGTCTGACGGGAACGCCTGCGAAGTGCCCGCCTCCAGGTACTGGAGCGAATTGGCTCTGGGGAAGATGTGATCCAGATTCTCAGCCGCGATGCGGACCCTGTGCTCGGGTGTCATGGAACCGAGGATCGTAGCGTCCTGCTGGAAGGTATAAGCGGCCATGACGGCGCCTCTGTTGGTATTGTGGCACTGCGAGTTGTCTTTGGTCATGGGAAACATGGTGTAGCGGATAGGTAGGTCACTGATAAGGCCCCCGTCGCTTCCCTGGCCGTGCGAGTTGAAGACGTCTTCCCACCAACGCTTCCGGTACTGGAGGAGGATTTTGGTGATTTGAATGTATCGAACATCCCGCATTGCTTGCTCTAGGATCGGTGCAAAGGGGCGAGTCTTGGCAATGGCACGCTGGGCAGTATAGGGCACCGTAAGGACGACAAAGTCCGAAGTGACGCTCAATTTGTTGCCCGCCTGGGTCTCGTAATCGACACGAACCTGGGCAGGTCTATCGCCAGAAGGAGGAATGTCGGCCAGATTCGTCACACGGGCACTGTAGGTGATGTTCTCGTCAAGAGAGTACTGCTTCCTCTCGGAAGAGATGAAGGCTTTTGGGACCTGGTCCATCCCGTGCTGCAACTGCTGCATCCCGGCTTCTCCGCCGGACGTGTTGCTCGAAAGAAAGGCGTCCTTCCAGGATTCGATGAAGCCGTTCTCAAAGACGACGTGGGCATTGCCAAGATCGTATAGATTGATGGCGTCGGAGCTCCAGTTTGCCACCTCCTCAAGGTAACCCCTGAAGGTGTACCTGTCGTAGACTTCGGTGACCTGCTGGTATCCTGCGCGAATCTTGGCTGACTTGTCTCCCGACTGCGCATTGTACGCCAATTTGAAGAGAGAAACGACGGGCTCGACGGCCTCGAAGAAGAGATCGTCGCACGTCTTGCCCTTTTCGCGAGGCTTGAGGCCGGGGAAGAGTTCAAGCAGCTCACGATCACGGTTCACTAGCTTTGCGTTGAAGTCGTCGTACGTCAGTGTAGTGCCTCCGCGGTAGTTCGAGAGGTAGATGAATTTGTTCTTCATTTCAAAGTCGAAGAGACTATCAATGTTGAACCTGTTGATGTACTCGTGCAGGAGGTAGTGGTTCTTGGGGATTCTCATCGCACCACCCTCAGCGTGTAAGCCGGGGGCGAAAACGGGATCTCGGAAGGTAATGACACGACCACCCACTCGAGATGACGCCTCGAGAATAGTGACATCGAATTTGGCTCTCTTGAGCTCATAGGCTGCCACGAGGCCCGACATGCCCGCACCGATAACAGTGACCTTTTGTACATGTTAGTCTTGTTCTTATATGATTGTGTTCATCATGACGAGTCTTACAGTAGTACCCGGAGGCACAGCCTGCAAGCCAGGGCCTCTGATTAATTCTGTCAAGGCTGCTTCGTCTTGGGCGCTCTCATCTGGAACGCCTGAATCATCGCCGCCATCACAGAAGCGGGTGCCTTCTCTCAGGTGTGACTGGCCAATCTTCCACAGAGACTTTCCCGGCGTATTGTGAACCACGTCTAAGTAGTCCTCATCTGCCGTGGCAAACTTGTGGAGGAAGCCCAAGAGGGCAGCAGTGGCAGGAGAAGAGGCGTCTCTGTTGGCTCTCAAAGCAGATTGGGAAGACATGGCTGTGATTTTGTTATTGTGGATGATAAAGCGAAGATGTATTGAGTCTCTCAGCTGTTGGCTTGGAAATCAGTTGAGACTGGGAAGAGGATGTCGATACTTATATGTCAATTCAGTTGTATATGTGTACTCTATAGATTCAAGAAATATCAATTGGCTCTGTACTTTACCCCTCATAATGATGCATCACAATACCAGGCATACAACGCAGCAGCTCACTTCTCAATCACAGGCCTTCAATGGATCATTCTGCACATCTGTCAATTAACGTAAAAGCCTGGGAATACCCCAAATTCCCAAAGAGGGCTTTCGGGATCTCCGCGCGAATGAAGAGCGTATAATTGCCTGCAGTACGAGTGGGTGATGAATGATTGGTGGCTCTTCTGAAGGGGGAGGGTTGCTCAGCTCTCCATATCCCTGTCGTGATATGCATCAAGTTAGACCAGCCTCATACTGACGGATCGCCAAGCCCACATAATCCGACATCCTGCCTGCCGTGCCACAGACACCACTGATCCTTTTCACAAAGATGGTCGAACATATGTAAACTTGGCGACAGTTTCGAATAATCCGCACACTCAACCATTCTCCTCTGTCTTTCCATCATCTATCTTTGTTGCTTCCAAAAAGACTAACAGAAATGGCTTACAAACTTGCTATCCCGACCATGTCCTTAGGACACTGTACTGCTGGCCACTCGTTGGAGACCAAGCTAGAAGCTGCCAAGTCGTATGGTTACGAAGGCGTCGAAGTCTGCTATGAGGATCTCGTCGCTGTTGCTGGTCGGCGTCAATGCGACGTCGAATTCGAGCCTCTCTGTGAATCTGATCAGATGGCGGCAGCCAGGAAGATCCGGGCCATGTGTCAAGACAGATGCATCAAGATTATATGCCTCCAGCCCTTTATGCAATATGAAGGCCTCTTGAACCGGCGTGAACACGAATCTCGGTTCGCAGAGCTGTTGACCTGGATCGAGCTCGCCCGGGCCTTGGGAACAGGCATGATCATGATGCCAGCCAGCTCTTTGCCCGAGAATGAAGTGTCTGCAGATCTTGACCTAATCGCGAGGGACCTGCAAAAGGCAGCGGATGCGGGACGTCGAGAAGAACCTCATATTCGCTTTGCTTACGAGAACCGTTGCTCAGCAACACGCATCTACAGATGGGAGTTCTCCTGGGACGTGGTCGAGAGGGTTTGCCGACCCAACTTTGGCATGTGTCTCGATACGTTTCATCTCGCCAGTCTCATCTTTGCAGACCCAGCAGTCCCGTCTGGCCTTATCCCTGGCGGAGACAAGGCCGTTGGGATGTCGATGCAGCGGCTCATCAAGCGGCTCCAATCCCACCGCGACAAAATCTTCTTGGTCCAAATGGGTGATGCCAAATTACCCAACGAGCCTATCGTGCCCGGCAGCCCAGAGTACAATCCCAAGGAACGGCCGTGGACGTATTGGTCTCAAAAGTACCGGCTTTTCTATGGTGAAACAGGCCGTGGTGCCTATCTGCCTATCCGAGAGGTTGCCGATGCCATTTTCAACGGCATAGGCTACCAAGGCTGGGTCAGTTTGGAGCTGTTCAATAGTCGTATGGAGTGTGCGGAGGTTAATGTGCCGATGGACCTTGCTCGGAGAGGAGCCATTTCTTGGCGGAAATTGGCAGACGATATGGGGTGGTGGCCTTCAGCGTCCCAAGCACAGCAGCTATAGCATCAAACACGGTTGATTAACATTTTCTGATGTATTGTGCTTCCAATTTCATCTCATATTGCTCTATGCCACACTCAATGACAGATTACATGACGTATTGACCTCGCGAAACTTGACTGTCTTGCGTTTAACAGCAGTAGATGGTGTTTTCTCACTCCACAAAGACTACATCCGTGAATTTCCGGGTATGTGACACAAAATCCTGCGATGAAGAGCTTGGCTTTCAATGCGCCTCAACTATAACCCTGATGATGAAGGCGAGTGCTCGCATGTCGAAGAATTCATTGAACAAACCGGCACTGGGTAAGACACGATGATGCATTTCAGCTTACGCGAAACTGGAATCCTTTGACTTGTTTCTCCGCTGGCAGGAACCGGCGACGACCTGAACATGCATGTATCTTGCGCAATTGGAGCAAATGACATAGCTGCACGGAACTTCTCACCAATGAAACACTGCAGTATATCGGCACTTGCAAGAAAATTGTTGATGAATGAATCCTTTGCATGGGACCTTGGCATGAAAGTGGCCGGCTGAATATATGTACTAAAATGCGTGCTGGGGGGGAATGCAACCTCGCCCAGATGCACACTGCGGCGCTAAGCCCTGTTTTGGCTGGCATCAGCTGCATGAAAACGGAACTGTGGCCTATCGCGATGCAGTAATCAGTAGGAAAAGTGTAACTATTGTGGCTGTGGTCTCGTCGAAGCCGAAGGCAAGCATCGCCTCAACATGCAAGACTGAGCTTGTTGCCTGGATAGTGATAGAACGTCGGGTAGCAAAGAAATTGTATCGGATCATACGTAAACTCTCAGTGATGGATGCGGCTGTCAAGGAGCTTCTCTTTGCATTGCAATACTGTAAAGGTCCAAGTCTGAGAGCTAGTCCTAGTCAAGTATTACACATGTGCATCAGAAAATTCAGGGTCACTCTAAGATTTTATATAAGCTGGAGGTTAAACTCTGCAAATATATAACTTATTTATATATTGAATATAACCCTAAATTGCCTTTTTACCCCTTATACTTATACTCCCTTATTATGTCTCCCACTTGGGTGAATTATATCTTTCCCTTTAGCTGTTCCTCCCTTAGTGTAACCCTATATAGGGTTATATTATATTCATGCAGAAACGACTCTGATTTTTAACGATGTTTATTCTCTCCAAGATCAAGTTTTTTAGCAAGTTCTTTTTGGGCCCGGATGAAGAAGCGGGAAACTTTTTTTTCATGCCATTCATTGAACGCCCTCGTATGGAAAGGTTCCACTTTCTGCCGTATCAGAAATTTCTTCTTTTGGAAAGAGGCCTGCATAGAAAATTCGCTTCTATTATTACTTCATCTAAGCAGGCACCGCAAGTACGCCTGCACAGTGCTCCAATAAATAGCCTATGGGCTGACGGCCTTCGCCTCCAAGACAAATGACCCGTTTTTGGATTATCAATTTTAACTCTTTCCAGATTCAACTGCCCAGTTCAGCGAGTCAACTCTTCGCAGCCGATCTTCCGAGGCTTGAGATGGGTCAACAAGAGAAGCATGATGACAAATTTCTCCTTGTCAATTTGACTGATGATCCGGATTTAGGGAGTCTCCGGCATCGCCGCCTAGTCCACTCACATGTGAGCTAGTTCATGTGGCAGCAAAGTCGGAGCAGGAAAGCAACGAGCAGCGGAAGGGCAAGACAATGTTCAAAACGAACAAGAGCGGATTTTGAAAGACATCTGGAAGAAGCTAAACCCAAAGTCTTTCGTCTAGATATCACTTCTAAACCATGAGTATCGCACTGACAAATGTTTTTGTTTAGTAGATGCAAGCAGCGCCAAGCACGGCCATGACTTCAGCTACAAGACAACCTAGCTTTGCGAACATGTTGCACGAGGGACTCTTGGATCCGTTCCAGTCCTATTCTAGTTCCTTCTACACTACTCATCCGGTGCACAATTCCATGTCTTATGGTACGTACCTTTGAAGTGTACTGCAATACCAGAACTTGAATGCTAACTTACATAGTACGTGGCCGTGCATTCAGTCATTAGGATTATGTGGCCCGGCCTCTTACCCCAAGTTAACGTGGTTTTCTAAAGCGATTGTTGAACCAATACTGTTTAGCGCCTGTATGTACGGTGCGGAAGTTCATATGCAGGGCCATAAAACAATCCTATCAGACAGCACACAACATGAAGTCAATCGTAGGGCTAATGAGACGATCCGTCGCTTGCAGCCAGCGCTAGATAGTCAACGGCATGCCACGAGTGGCCAAGTCCTTCTGACTGTCCTGACGCTGGCATTTGATTGTCGGCGCCTTTCGCAGCAAGTAAACTCTGATACTGATAGTGGCCCGCGACGACCCTTGCAAGATCTGCAGTGGCTCGCTATGTACAGTTCCTTGCCGGTTAATCAGCTGCATGTGGATGGGTTAGGAGCTCTCCTCAGCATGGGCAAAAACAGCTTGCAAGGACGCTGTCTGCCGGGACTCGCAGCGCTGCTCTCATAGTAAGTAGTTTACATCACCTCCATCTTCATGACTTTTATTTGACCGAGCGCATTGAGTTGACTGAGACCAGTTCAGACATACTCCTTGCCAGCAGACAGCTACGCAAACCCTCGCTACCCTTCGCTCCTCTTACAGAAGCGGCCGAGAATCTCGATGTCATGGACTTGCCGGAGTCAAGAAAACCTAGTTACAATGATATCGCCAAACATGCGTCTCACATTCAAGTAGATACATTGCTATAACGCGATGCTCATTTACTACCTCGCAGGGAACTCGCAATCACCAAGCTTGGCCAATTTTGCGGACGCCAGAAATCAGATACAGCACGCCCTCCTCTCGCTACCACAAGGTGATCAGCTAGACGCCACCATTGTGCCTGGCTTCACTACAATCTCAACGACTGAATACGAATTAATGCGTATCAGCCTGCTTCTCTACAGCTTCATCGTCATTTTCCCTATTCCATTTCGTTTTGGACCGTTCGTTCGGCTGCGAGTGCTGTTACGCGGCGTACTGACGAAACCGGACACGTACCGCCGACTCCCCAAAGCAGTTATTCTATGGTCCCTAACCATTGGTCGTATTATTCCAGCACATGAGGACAAGGACTGGTTTGAGAAAAAGCTCATTGAAGCTATGTCATGGACGAAAGTCAGCAGCGTTGAGGAGCTGAAAGTGATTCTCAAGTCTATCATGTGGCAAGATGACGTTCTAGATCCATTCTTGGGAAAAACTTGGCCGATTTCCGGGGCAGCAGAGTGAGAGTCGGACATCTTATGACAATTTTGGTATAAGCGGGTGGCTAGAGTAAAGATAGTCAAGACAGTAACCATACGTGAGCAAACAGTTTGGCGTTTGACAGAATACGGACCCCTAAGCAATTCAACAGATCGGTAGGGTGCTATTTCTCTCACCAAAGCGTGATACGGAATCATAATCCAAAACCCAAGCAAGGACCATTACACTCGCTTTGCGGTTTGACCGGACCCCTGCACAGTCGTTATCAACAAAAGGAGACGACACAGTGCATCAAACGCCTATTATAACTGTTTGCCAGATTAGGAAATTCTGCAAAGGATTGTGTGGCCGCTAAATCGTGCTGCCCCCACCAAAAAGACTAACGCGAGACAGAGGACGTGGCGAAATAGAACCAGATCAATACTCTCCATACTACTCCGTAGTCGTAATTCGAGGTAGACTGCGCGTGATAATAGATGTCACGGTGGAATAATCCATAGTGCGGACATGATTTACAATCAATTTGAAGTATTAGAAGTTACATGCCCGTGCTGCAGGATATTAGACCAGAGAACAGACAGAGACAACCAAATTGTCTTCCTCCTGAGCATCTCATCTTTTCACTATTTCATGATTTAGATGCCTTGAATATTTGCAGTCAGCAGTAAAAACCACCAGAAGCCTTCTCCATTTTCAATTTGGGCAAACGTTATCTATTACTCTAGTAATTTTCTCCGAATTTTCCGCCGGTAATCACAGACTTCAGGATGGTGCCTCAAGAAGCTTCTGAAGAGTCTATAACACGATCGGGCTTTCACCACGAACTCGAAGATACTAAATCCGATGCGCGCTCACTCGTCACTTTTGACGGCCCGGACGACGTGTATAATCCGCTGAATTGGCCGTTCTCGAAAAAACTCAAGAACACACTTTTATATGGTTTCACCACCATGGGATCAACTTGGGCTAGTTCAATGTATTTGACCAGCTACAAGGCGTCTGTTGCACACATGCTGATTAGCTTTCGTCAGATACTCTACGACCGTGCCGTCCATGAGCCGAACGTTTCATGTCTCTACTGAAGTGTCAATTTTAGGCTTGACTTTGTTTTTAATAGGGTTTGTTACACGACGATCCCTTTGCGAATTCCAGGTCCTTACTGACACCGAAACTGTGACACAGATTTGGTGTTGGGCCATTGATCTGGGCGCCTGTGTCGGAACTATACGGACGAAAAGTTTCAATTCTGCCGCCATTTTTTATTGCCGCATGTTTTGTTTTTGGGACTGCCACAGCAAAGGATCTCCAGACTGTCATGATCACCCGATTTTTCACGGGGCTTTTCGGCTCCGCCCCCGTCACCAACACAGGAGGCGTTATGGCTGATATGTGGCCGCCTAGAGATCGTGCTGTGGCAATGGCAGGCTACGCTTTTGCAGTAGCTGGAGGCCCCCTTGTCGCGCCAGTTGTAGGAGGCGCAATCGATCAGAGTTATCTCGGCTGGCGGTGGACTCACTACGTATATTTTCCTCCGTTTCATTCTGACCTTTGTGCATATACTGATTCATGCCGGCGACTAGATCACTGGAATGCTTATCTGTTTCATCTTCTTGGTGGATATCGTCTTCATGGATGAGACTTTCGCACCAGTTTTGCTGGTTTACAAGGCGCCTCAACTACGACTCCAATCTGGTAACTGGGCTCTACACACAACGCACGAGGAGTGGGATCCCAGTTTGGGTCAATTTGCGCAAAAATTCCTAAGCCTTCCGTTCCAAATGCTTTTCGATCCAATCGGCTTCCTATTCTCCGTATATGCCGCATTTGTTTTTGGAATTTTGTATCTGTACGCTCAAGACAAACATATCCATTTCTAGCAGCTCATTAACTATCCTGCAGCACTTTTGCGTCCTTTCCGATCGCTTTTCAAGAAGTCAGTTTTGTCATTTAGCAAGTTGAAGCCTGTCTGACAGTATATGCAGGAACGCCACTGGAACGAAGTCCAGGGGGGTCTCCCCTTCTTATCAATTATTCTGGGCACCATCATTGGCTCTGCAATCAATATCTCTAACCAGAAGTTTTACATTGCAAAACTTCAGGCTAACAACGGCGTTCCAGTTCCAGAAGCTCGACTCCCCCCCGTCATTCTTGGCGCCGTGGTTTTCGCTGCCGGTAACTTCATATTCGGGTGGACTTCTAGCAAACACATTCACTGGATTGGGTAAGTCTCCTGATTGTGCTTCCCATGATTTCTTCTGTGTATCTTTGACAACACAGACCATTCTCTGACGCATTCTTTCCATAAATAGCGAAATGATCGGTGCGGCTAGTATCGGTATCGGGTTTTTTTCCATCTTCCAAGGATCTATCAATTACATGGTGGATACATTTACCAAATATTCTGCTAGTGCCGTAGCAGCAATGACTTTTCTGCGATGCATTCTCGCGGGTATCCTCCCGCTAATTGCAGGACCAAGTGCGTATCGTCTCTTTTATGCAGCTTCACAACTCTGACTCGCCAATCACTCGACAGTGTTCCACAATCTGGGGGTCAACTGGGCGTCTAGTTTAATTGGATTTATCGCTGCCGGCATGGTTCCCATTCCTATCTTGTACGTAGCCTTGTCTTCCAAGGCCAATTTCCACTACTTAGTGTGCAATTATCTGACTTTTCAGGTTCTACTTGTATGGTGCCCGGATTCGGGCTAGAGGAAGGTGGTCAAGGCCCCCTCAACCAGAATCCGGCGCACAGAAAGGATCAGCTGGAAATGGACGAGGCGAAAGAGCAACGGTGTAAAATCTGCACAATAAGAATTCATCTCTATATCATGACAAGCTTGAGGCATGACTTGTCGATATTGAGGCGATCATAAACAACGGACTTTAGACAGCAAACGGTAACCACACAAACATTTAACGTGCTGTCTCTTCTCATTGTTTGAGGAGTTGCATTGTAGGAGACAAAGGCGATGCCTTTGTGTATGAGTTGCTACACAAACTGAGAACATAAACTAAGTAGAGGAAGCTCAATATATCTGGACTCTCATACTTGATCTATTGCCATATTTTCATATTGATTTTTCAGGACTATGTAGATGTGCCTGCGAGATGAATAAATACTGTTCACACTATTGCATATCCTTTGCTGAGGGACATATGTGCAAGGAATAATATCTTCGAATGAAGAAGCCACATCGACTGGAGCCTCAGCGTTAAATATCTTAAAAAGGCAAACTTAGCCGTGTGGAATATTCTGCAATGTCCATACTCAGGTATAAAGAAGCCAATTGGATTAAGAGATGTAGATGATATTTGAAACCGTGATATTGATTGGGAAGAAATGCACATGGCTGCGCTTATTTTGGATGATGGTCTCATTGAATTGAGAGGTGTGCCTGGATGGGCCAAATGATGGGCCTCTAGCCTACCGTCCCCTATGACAGTTTATCCGCCCGAACTGCACCAAAACTGCGCCTAAACTTAGGCTTAATAGCTAGTAAAGGCTGACAAATCGAGTCCTAACATGCTGCCTGTTTTTTTTTGTTCCTCCATGTTAGGTGGAGCGACTACCCACGACTTCATGCCGTTCCGGTCACTCAGATACGTTGTTGTTCATGGCTGAATACTACTTCCTTACTACCGGCAATTCAGTTCCCATAGCCCCTCACGGCACAGCTCGCAGCCACGCTATCAGAAATGCTCTCCAGGTTCGCGAGGCTGGGCCGCAGGGCACTAAGAAGACCTCAAATTCCCAGAGGAGCTCACAAACCATTGTCAGGCTGCAGCGAAATTTAGCAGGCAGATTCCGAGTTCAACAAACCCATAAGCAGGACAGGGTCAATGAAGCACCCGGGCAATCTGCTTCAGTTGCGGAAAAAGCCTCTGAGCCAGCGCTACGTTTATCGTCTGCGAAGGATCAACAAAACGAATGTGCACGCTGTGATGGACAACTAGTGACCAGGGCTCCATCTGTCGTTTCAACCAGCATAATGCAGGAAGTTAGAATCATCGCGACAGACGCATCTTGCTCTCTACCTGCATTTGACGTAGCAAGTAGTAGGGATTTGCTCCGATTTTGTGAGTCACCAGTTCCTTTGTTTTGCCCTGTTCTGTCTCGCTATGCTGCTTACAAAGTAGCTGTTTGATGGACTGACTTCATAAAGTTTTAAGCCAGCTCATGGTAGCACATCAACAGCAATCTTGGTTCAAGATGGCCATGGCTACGCCCGTACTAATGAACATCACTCTGGCCCTTTCCGCCACCATATGGTTGTCAACTTATCCCGATGCGCATCCACTCATCAAGAGCGAAGGTATCTTGCGAAAAGCAGTAGCCATCAAAGACGTTAATACCCTTTTGCAAGCGCCTTCTATTGGTTACGAAGCAATAGCTCTGGTTGCTAAGCTGAGCTTCATCGCAGTATGTTATCAATTGAATCGACAGGTTTTTAGGGTCGTCACTAGATGGACCCTAGTTCGCTTGTTATCAATGGGATGACTTTACAGGAGCTGATTGTCCATAGGGAGCGGAGGGGTTTTTCACCGAGGCCGAGACGCATTTTAACGCTGTTCGTAAGCTTATAGGGATCAAGGGAGGTATTGAAATGCTGAAGAATTCACCCGAAACTGTCCAAGCAGTAACTTGGTATGTACTGACCTTCAAAATCATGCATCATGCGTATTGTTGACAGTTAAATGAGAAGCGCCGATCTACAGTTGGCTGCTATACTTGGCCACCTTCCACTTCTTCCTTGGACTACTCACTTGGACCAACTTTTGAATGATGACAGACCTGCTGAGTCAAGCATGATGCTATTCAAAAAGGTCATTCAAGATCTACGACGAGTGATTCATTTTCGGATTATTGGACACCGAATTTCAGACACTGTCAAAGATTTACTGAACTACGCCGACGTTCAAATTCTCAACGCCCTGCAAATTCATACTGATACGATGGAGACAAAATTCGCCAGGAGCTTACACGCCGCTGCGCACGTCTTTTCTCACGTCCGCCTACGCAGGTGGTCAAAAAATGGACATGTTGCACGTATTCTCGTTCTTCGATTGAGACGTACGTTTGATGACATAAACCTCGACGGAGGCCACTGCAGGAACACCCTTACGGCTCTCTTATGGGCGATACTTATTGGGGCTATTGCTGGCGACGACCACCACTCGGAACTGGAACGTGACTGGTTTGTGTCACAATCTCTGCGAGTGGCGCATATCCTTGGAATATATTCCTTGATAGACGTAAAGTCGCTTCTCCAAACATTTATATGGGTTGAAGACTTTGGGAGCGATTTTTTGGAACGCTGGCTAGTGTTGCTTAAGGGGGGTTTGTGACATAGGTTTCATGAGGATATATTTCTTTTGAATACAACACATGTTAATAAGTAATAAGTTATGCATGAGATTAAACATATTTATCTTACATATATTTATTTAGAATAGTAAAATGACACCTAGTAGTTAAATATACTACCGGGCTTGTCTTGGCAGTTGACCTTTTTGGATGTTAAGTAAACATTCACCCAGATTATAAACCTAATAAGTAGCTCTTGGTTTGTCTTGGCAGTTGCCTTTCTCGAATGATAGGTAAGCGTCATATCAAATCACAAGACAAATGAATGCTTCAAATTACAAAGCTGACATATAGGGCAATTATACGGTACGTTTTTCAATAAGTATGTTCTAACTAAAATAAATATAAACTATCAAATATTGTAGTAGTAGCATTAAGTCAATCGTTTGTCAATGCAATTACAAACAAGGTAGCCGTTATAATCCTCATTGCTCTTGCAACCAGACACATACGACCATATCCATTGGAAAATACGGGATCCCGTCTGCTCTCCCAGAGTCAAGCCAATGAGAGGCAGATTAGTAGTTGAGTGGGTGACCATCAGCGAACACCGGCTGTTGTATGTTTTTTTTTTTTTGCTTTTTGCTCTTTTTATCTTTTTGTTCTTTGAGCCTGTTCTGGGGCCTCTGTCTTGAATGAGCAAGGTCATTTGTTGAAGAGGTGGTTGTGCAGATGGCTTGCCGTCCACTCTTCAAGCTCCATAATGCTGTGTGAGGCCATGCGGTGCTCCCAACTCGATCGAAACCCTGACCTTGTCAAAGGCCAAAGCTGCAAAATTTTCCAACATGCCAATGCAATGAATCGAGTATGAAAGTGTCATTATTGTCGATCTCATGCTCAATTGAAGTGCGGACACAAGTTGTATTGCTGCAAGAGCTGAGCCGGACCATCGGCGGACTCAATAAAACCGGTCAACTTCCATCAACAGTACTAGCGGCTGTTGAAAGAGGAAACGCGCTTCAGCGGATTGCGGGGAAGCTTTGCTAGCTGAATGCTCTTTTTCACGCCTGAAGTCGTGGGGATATATGCGTTGGCGTTCAGTGGCTCACGCTATTAAGGCTTTTCCAAAACCTAAGAATAGAGGGAGGTTGATTGCTCCGACTTCCACAAGCAGCATGATATAAGAGACTGCGGTGATCCATTGAGAAGTTCAAGTGGCAAACCCAACCAAAAGACTTTCATAGCATCGCAAGATGAGCGATTCAACTCCAACCCGCCGCCCCTTCCACGGCTCGTGCCACTGCGGCTCCGTCAAGTACATCGTCTTCCTGACGCTCCCCCACAAACCGCCCTCCAATGCCAACGATGACCGCATGACCCCTGCCGCCGACTCGTCCCGCTCCGAGCAAGAGTTCTACCGCTGCAACTGCACGGCGTGCCACAAGGCCGGCCACTTCCACATGCGCACGAACTGGGCCCCGGAGGACTTTCTGCTGCTCTCGCCGCTGGATCCCTTGGCCGAGCTCGGAGACTACACGTGCTACTCCGGAACTATCCACTGGCTGTTCTGCAAGCGGTGCGGCGGGCGGTGCTTCCTCTTTGCCGGCAAGGGGGAGACGGCCGAGGTAGACTTGGACGAGATGGGTATCAGGGACGGAGATGGCGGCAAGATGGGCAAGAGAACCGTCTGGCGGCCCAAGGCGGAGGGCTGGAGCGAGGACAGCGGGAGCGAGGACGGCGAGTCGAGGTGTTATCTGAGTGTCAATGGCTATACCGTCGATGCGGCGCAGGAGGGATTTGAGCTGGGCGAGTTCACGGCCAACAAATGGGTCGCGTACGTGGACTGCCTGGAGCTGCATGGGCCGGAGCAGGAGCCGCGATATGATAAGCCTTTCGAAGGCGGCGCATTCTGAAGAATTGTTGTGTTTTGCTTCAAGCGTGCGCTGGCTTCATTCAAGAGCTGTTCATGAAAAGCATAAAAAGTTGGCATGTCAGCTATGGCGTAGTTCATCTATCTAGAAATTGTAGATATGACAACTCGGCGAGTCATCTCTAGCTCATGTTGAGGAGTAATATACGGATGAGTTGATGTTTCTCATTAGTAATGGGCAACACTTTGAATAGGTCGTGGCTTCAACGTGCTGGGCATGGAAAAGACAAAAGAGCGAGCGATGCATCCTGAATGATAGAAAGGTGTATGTACAATTTCTGGATGGTCGAATTTGACTCTGGAAAGGCAGTGTCAGCACAATCAAGAGTCTCGATGCTGAAAGAAATTAGAGGGAAGAGATGGTTCATATCTGTACGGCTTTTGTCGACTGTTGGATAGAAGCAAAGTGTCTGTCATGCAGTGTGACCTAACCTCTGTAGGCTTCTAGCGAGTGCTTAGCGGCGCAGCACCTGCTATGGACGCTGTAAGGCAGACACGGATCTACTGTACACCCGTTTACACACGTGTATGCAGTCTTCACATCGCATCTCCTTCAACCCATGTCATAACTTATTCCATACAAAAGGCCGGTTGATCGCTCTGCTTTGATCAATTTCTCTTTATATACTTTTTACCTCTCAATACAGTCCCGACATGTCTCAATGGAGAGTCACGGCCGAGCATCCTCTCAGAGAAGTCGAGGGGCTTGACCACGAGCGATGTGCTGCTCTGCACAACCTCATCGTTGAGAAAGGATGGACTGCAAGCGGCCGCAGCCTCAACGATCTCGATCGCCGGTCGTGGTGGGAGTGCTATGGAGGAGACGCGCAGCTCTCACCACACGCCGCGAAATTGAGCCCTTCGGTGGTTGCGTTCCTCAAGGCGGCGTGGCATGGCTACGGGATGGCGGCCCAGCCTCAGCACGCATTCTTCAGATACCTCGCCGGACTCTGCTCGCCGGATTATCTTTGGCAGAACACAAACTACGGCGACGACGAAGACGACTCAAACAAGGAGCGCTACGTGACGCTCTACATGGCCAATTGGGCCCTGGGCGCCAGTCATCCGCTGGGCCTCGTGCTTGATCAGCAGACATTCACGGCAATACAGCACATATCTATCCATGACACAAGCGTCACGATGAATGGGCGGCAAGTTTGGTTACCGCTCGAGCTCGTCCTGGAAGGCTTCCTTGACATGATGGACCAAGGCAAAGCACTTGCGGTGGACTCGTTCTATGATGGAGAGCAGGAGAGAATCGAGCCTTGGATTATGCCGTCCTTTACGGCCTGTGACTTGGACGAAGCTCTTGAGGCCTTCAACCGACTGATACGCGCGATTGAAACTCGTCTGCCTAGAGCTCCCGATAATGAACCGCACCGACTTCGAGATGCCGTAAATTCGAGCGCACTCTCCGCAAACAGCTTCGCAGGCCAGTTCTCGGCGCGGGCTCCGGAAACTCGGTTCAGTTACATGGCACCTGGCCTTCGCATAGCCCACCAGCAACCATTCGCTTCAGTTGATGTTGAGCAAGGTCATATCAGGCCTGTACTGCTGTTCGAGAGCAGCCAAGAGGCTCATCAAGATACGGAACAAACGCCATGGGGAGAACAAGTCGCCATATCGCCCTTCTCGCCGTCCTTGCGGCATATTACAAACTACCCTGCCGGCCTCTATCTGACAGAGACGGATCCACACGGCGCACATCCATTTGAAGACGGCTGCAAGCTCATCCTGCCTTACGCTATCGGAGGTAATGGCTGGGCTCGGACTAGCGACGGTGCGCTATTTGGAGAGAATACGCACGCTCAGGGGCCAACTGCTAGCCCAATGCCACGCAGCACTGAACTATACCAATTGGGCTTCAATCACTTCATCGAGATGCACGATGTGCAATTGAAGCATGTGCTGTCTCGTTGGGCAGACATGGTGGAGCAGGGAAAGTGGACAGTCGACGCTGATGGCGTTGCTGGTGGAATAGAGAAATGGAGGGAGGCTGATACTGAAGCTCATTGGCAAGACTACCAATTACCAATGACTTGGTGATTTTTTTTCATTCATTTACTATCTAGCCAACCTGCTACTCATTCATTCAATACCCTTTTCAGCTCACTCCGTAGTAGATACTTCTACGAAGACGAACAAGAGTCAGAATAGGCGGTTTGACAGTTCGCCTTTGCACAATAGTCCGAAGACTTTCCACAATAACCACCTGTGCTACAGCAGCCTCCAAACTCAGAGCCGGCACAGGTATAGTTGCCCGCCTGAACTGAGCTGCAGAGTCCCATGGGACTGACAGCGTTACCTGTCGTGCTGCAAGCACCAGAATAACAGTTGCCAACACCGCAGTATGCTGAACTTGAGCCGCAGTAGCCGCTGACTGAGCAGCATGATCCGAACTGGGTGCCTGTACATGTCTTGTTTCCGGCAAAGAGGGGGCCACAGCTCCCATCTGTCGAAGGGCCACCAAGATCAGGATCACACTTGCCAGAGTAGCAGTTTCCTGGCCCACAGTATTCTGGAAATAGAATGTGTTGTCAGCGCAAGATCATGATATGAGACGTAGTCATAGTTTGGGATAGCAACGCACCAGAAGTACTTCCACAATATCCAGCGGTCGAGCAGCATCTATAAGTCACATCATCAGCTTTATCCACGACATATCATCGTGCTATGATACTCACGGGCCAAAGCTTGGATTATCACAAGTCGTGCCTCCATTCGCCGGGCCACAGGTGCCATCCGTCGTCACACCAGTCGACACGCCGCTGCATGCTCCAGACACGCAGTTTCCAGCGCTGCAGTAATCTGCCGACGAGCCGCAGTATCCAGCGGTCGAGCAGCATTTCCCAAAGTTTGTGCCTGTGCAAGTGGCATGATTCCAGGCCGGCCCGCAAGTGCCGTCCGTTGACAGCGGCGCAGCCGTGACGGGGGCCACGCAGACGGCATAGTTGAGCCAGAGGTTGGTGCATCCACTGTTGATCTCGGGGTTCAACGTCTGGAACGTTGTAAAATTTATACCGAAGCGCAGCGAAATCTCCTCGCATGTATCGCCCGCCACGACGTTGTAAAACAAACCGCAGCTGTCAACCGTGCCAGACTGGGTGGGAATGCTGGGAGACGCCGTGGTGTAGTATGAGCCAGCAGCAGTAGGAGCGTAAATGACTCCGGTAGGAACGAATTGGCCGTCCGGAGGGCTGGAGCAGACCCGCTGTCCAGGTGCGAGGCGCTGGCAGTCTCCTACGATGTTGGGATTCCAGCTGAGGAACATGAGCGTCGTGACGTTGTTTGTCGAGTTGGAATACTGCAAGGCAAGCTGGTCGCAGGACTGCCCGTCCCAGATGATCTCTCCATCACACGCAAGTGGAAGGCAGATGGGCGAATCAAACTCACAAAAGGGATCGTTTGTGGCAGCCATCAGATCACCGGTCGTCACATTGTACTGCTGGGCTAGCTCTTGACAGTAGATGTTTGAGGCAGTGGGGGGCTTGATAAGCTGCCCTGCACAGGTTGTCGTTGCTGCACCGCTTGAAGTGGTGGGGGTGCCTGATGCTGAGGTCGATGTGACCAGTGCATTGGATATGAAGAGAGTGGAGGAAGAGGTGGTGACCGGAAGACTGGTCGAGCAGTTCTTTTGGATCAGGTTGTATTGATCGAGGAGATAGGCTGATGAGTCACCTTCTTGGATGAATGGGTCTAGGAGTCGTTGTCGCCACATCTTGATGAAGCACTCGTTGCATAGCTGTCTGTGTGTTAGTTGCAAGTATGTAACATCAACGCGGTAGCTGAAGTTGGCCACATGATACTCGACTTACCAGATCATTTGGATACAGATTTGTCACAGCCATCATGTCTGCAGTCACCTGAGTGGTGTCAAACGTCGCATTGCTGCATTCTGGGGGATTGTCCGAAGAGTCGTCGTTCCAACAGTACATTGGATCATATCTGCTTGAAAAGAGTCAGTGATTTTCTTTGGAGCCTTAGAGTTCGCTTTGCTTGCCTGATGACATCGCTTCCTTGCCAATCCTGCGATTCAAAGAAGCACCAGTTCGATTTGCTATTGCAGATTACCAGAAGTCAGAACAAAGTACTGGTTTATAAGTGGTGAGGGAAATTTACCTGTCCTGCAAACAAGCAATGTCATAGCCATTCTGAAATACAACGGGCAATGTCTTGGCCTGCATTACACTGCCCAAGAAGTTGAGAGTCTCTGAAGCACAGCTTGATTGGACTGAGGAAAGCCAAGAGTTTAATGAATTCGAGCAGCTTGGTGTGCAGAGTGCTGTTATGTTGTCCATGAACCAATCTTTGAGTATTTGAAGCATTTATTGTCAGCTTATACATACACGAAACAAATCAGAGAACAGGAGCTTACAATCTCTGTCAACTCCCTCGGCTGCTCTGGACATGTTGTTCTCATCGCAGTCGATCGTCGCATTACTAGAGTAGCATATACTTTGTTAGTATAACCTCAAAGACTTTGATGGCAGACTCTCTATTATAGCAGCCATTTGTTGGTTCTTACAGAGCCTTGGTACATTGTGATGTAATATCATGTATTTCCATAAGCTGATCCGGCGTGTATGTGTCAAAGATCTGGAACTGGGCACTGGAGAATGACGCCAGTGCACCGAGTGCAACAAGAGGTTTCCTAGAGAGCATCGTGTAACTCTAATTGACGAAGGAGTATAATTAAGAGAACAAACGGATGAATGAAGTCAATCCATCTGCCCATAGAGACTGGATAGAATGAGGATTGGAGAGAATAGAGATCGCAGAGAGCAGCTAGCACTTCTCAAGAAGCCGAGCTGTGCTTAAAGAGACCTGTAGGAAGTTTTCCTGATCCGGCAAAATAATTCATCAGTCCTCTATACCCAAACGAAGCATCCGCTTCAGGGCGCAACATGCAGTCGGACACAACATCTAGAGCGTAGCGAGGGAGCCATAAAGCGTGTGGGTGGGCTGTTCTAACAACCCCGCTGCTTATCAACATGATGCCTGCAATAATCCCACTAGATGAACTTTTGTTGACACGGGTATGTAGTCAATGGACAAGTGCCGAGGAGGATTCTACCTATACGCCCACGCTTTCGGGTCGTTATACGCCTGGAGTGAGGTTGCATCAAGTGGGAATATAGGCTACTATTCATCTTTTTACGCTTACATGTAACTATATGTAGTTTAGATTCGGGATATCGGGCGCTAAGATCGCCAAGATATGCGGAGGGGAAGTCATTGCGATTGATGCAACTACCTACTATTACTAGCTAGTGATATATTGAATGTGAAGAGATGCGATGAATACGCGCAGTAGGATATTGTCAAGCGATCAGAATACAGCTCTCAACTTTATAGATCACAATGAAGCTAGTATCTAGTATTAGATTAGTCAAATAGTATTCACGTCTCAATTGATGTATGCATTTCCTTTCGCGGTCCTTTTTTTTTTTTTGCACCACTTCACCGTATGATAGCTGTAGTTCCCATATTATGCAAGCTAAGCGGGCGCTCCTCAAATCCTTCATAAATCCTTCAGGATTTGCCAGCAGACTGCATCGTCATACAAGCGTATTCACAAGCGTATTCGCAGTGTATTGCTGGACTTGAAATCTTGCGGGCGACTTCTTCATGCATCTGTGTATGACGGCGTACCTGGACATTCGACGAATCAAGGCAAAGAACCGATAGGTCATATTTAGGCTGTTGAAGATGGAGCTGGCTTTCCACAACTACTCGAGGAAGCTGTCCAGCAGATATATGCTTTCTCCGTCTCTTTATTTCCTTTTGTTGGTGCGATGGCTGACTGAGTTGTTGTCAAAACAATCATGTTTTGGAATAATTGTCTGCTCGTTGCGCTCGTCGCAATAGCTGGCGTGACGGCGGAGAAGAACCAGACTCTCTACAAGCCATTGTACGAGAAATACTCAAAGTCCACGCCCAAGTTTCAAAACGTCTCTCAATCCAATGTCAACCCCCTCTTCCTCGCCCGCAAAGGCTATCCAGCTGGCCATAACAGCCAAAGCGACAATGCTCACCACCCTCATGCCCTCATCAAACGCCAATCGGGTGGAAATGGCCTTCCAACTGGTCTCTGCGCACCAGGGACGCCTTGCGTGAATGGTGCATGCTGTGGAAAGACGGGACAATGCGGTTACAGTCCCAACGAATGCGGTGCTGGAAACTGTCTCTCAAACTGTGATGCCAAAGTCTGTTTTCGCTTTGCTTACTCTTGATTGCTCGTTTCAATATCTTTGCTTACCTCCATCTCTTTACCCACCCAGGCTGAGTGTGGCCAGTACGCTCCTTCAAGCAGCGCAACTTGTCCAATAAACGTTTGCTGTTCTAAATATGGCTTCTGCGGAACTATTGATGTGAGTTGCAGTCTGCATTCCCTGACAAAGTCCACCTGCTTAATAGAGCAATGATAGGAATTCTGTGGCGATGGCTGTCAGGACGGGTTTGGAGGCTGTGGCTCTGTACAAGAGCCCTCGTGTGGAGGTAACTCTATCCAACGGAAAATTGGTTACTATGAGAGCTGGTATGCAAACCTTGCTTCACCGTGTTGGTCTGACAAAGAGATATGGGTTTACTAACATACATACAAGGTCTGCTACTCTTAAATGCAACAGCCGTCTACCAGGAGACTTGGATCTCACTGGATTCACGCATATGAATTTTGGTGAGTGGCTTCAACAAAGAACAACAGAGCTCGGCGTGCAAGTAGAGGCTGATTTATTGCCTTAGCATTTGCATATTTCCACCCAACTACCTTTGAGATGATGGCCATGAACGCCGGAGATCCTGCTCTATACAGCAAGTTTACAGATCTCAAAACAACCTACCCGGGCATCAAGACGTGGATTTCCGTCGGTGGATGGTCGTTTAACGACGCAACCAACAGCCCAAACACCCAGACTGCGTTTAGCGACATGGCCAGCACTGCTGGAAATAGGGCAAAATGGATCAAGTCTCTTACCAACTTTATGCAGACATACGGATTTGATGGTCAGTACAGCTCAATCTTGATGATGCGGCACAAACACGGCAAGAGACTGACATGTTGCCCAGGCGTGGATATTGACTGGGAGTATCCCGGCGCTCCAGATCGAGGAGGCGTCCCCGCCGACACCCAAAACTTTGTAGCTCTGCTCAAAGACATGCGAGCTTCTTGGGGCAGCAAATACGGTATCAGCGCGACTATACCCAGCAGCTACTGGTACATGCGCTGGTTCGATCTCAAGGGTTTGTTTCTCTCATCTCCCTCATCTCTTCTTCTACTGCTATTACTGTTATTACTGCTATTACACACAAGTTGATGTCGACCACTAACACCACCATTTCCTATAGGAATGGAAGACTATCTTGACTGGTTCAACTTCATGAGCTACGACATCCACGGCGTATGGGACTCAACCAGCAAGTTCTCCGGCCCTCATATCCTACCTCACACAAACCTCACCGAGATCAAGCTCGGCCTCGACCTGCTGTGGCGCAACGGAATCGATCCAGCCTACGTCACGCTGGGACTCGGCTGGTATGGCCGCAGCTTCACTCTATCCGATCCCTCATGCAGTACGCCCAATGGAGTCTGCCAGTTCAGCTCCGGCGGCAACCCCGGGCCCTGCTCAAACTCGGCCGGCACGCTTTCCAACGCGGAGATCTTCCAGGTCCTCGCGCAGTCCGGGGCAAAGTCCTCATTTGATGCGACGGCCGCAGTCAAATGGATCACCTGGGACACCAACCAGTGGATCAGCTACGACGACGGGCAGACCATGAAGCTGAAAATTGACGCTGCAAACAAGCTCTGCCTCGGTGGCATCATGATCTGGTCGGTTGATCAAGACGACACCAAGGGAACCAGCACTTCGGACCTGCTCGGCCTGGGCACCGCCAACGGCGTAACCTCCGAAAAGGCCCTTGAGCTCAAGAAGAACCAGAGAGACGCCATCAGCCAGGCCACCAACATGAACTCGTGCTATTGGACCTTCTGCGGCGACTCCTGCGCCTCGGGCTACTTTGCAGAGACTTCGGCCAACGGACAGGTCAACGGCGTCAGCTCCAACACGGTCTGCAAAAACGGCCAGGTCGAGACGCTGTGCTGTGCTTCCGGCACCAACATGGGCACCTGCGAGTGGGAAGGCTGGAATGGCGTCGGCCTGGCCTGCAGTGGCGGAGGCTGCCTGGGCTCTGGCTCGACGGCTATTGCCTTCAACACCAACAACTACGCCAAACAGGCTGCCGTTGCGTTGCTGTTTGATCAGACTTGCCACGGAGGCTTCCAGTCGTACTGCTGCTCGGGCTTCAAGGCGTCTCCCAAAGGAAGTGTCTCCAGTCTTGATCTCATCGGCCTCAACGGAAAAGAAACACATCCAGGCCTCAACGTGGGAAAACTTACAGGCCTGACGGTGGCGTGTACAGCAGCAGCTACGGCTGCAGGAACAGCAGCAGGTAAGATGTCCTATTTCGTCTCTGTCGAAACAATTGTAGCTTGTGTCTAACAACGCAATCTTCTCTTCTCTCAAGGTGCTGCCGCGGCCATCTTCACGTTTGGCATCGCCTTCGAGCCCGTCTTCGCAGCCACCTTTGCCGCCGTCTTCGCGGCCTGCGAAATAAAGGCAAAGCAGGCTTCTGTACTACAAGCAGTTGGAGTTGTGGCGGGTCAGCGCACGGGAGGCCGTGGGCAGACGAATCCTAAGCCACGTCCACCACCCAACCTGCCGAATATCCCGCCAAAGATCCCACCAAAGATCCCCGGAGTATTCGGTCAGTGGACCAAGACGTCTTACGACCCGAAGAAGACCAATGACTGCCAGGTGACTTACACTTGCAAATATGGCCGAGGCTTTGATGAGGTATGTCTAGTTGTTTTGGTTGTGAGAGCGTAGAGGGGCTGTTTGATGATGCTAATCCGCTGTAACAGATCTGTGATAACCAGTCCTGGGGTATTGACAAGGCCAACGGCGGTCGAACTATATATCATTACGACGGTGAGTATTCAATTTCTTTTTAAAAATGGCGATGTTTGATATACAAGTGACGCTGACCAGCAACTCTTTCTTATATAGCACGCGGTGCTGATAGCGAGTATGCCAAAAACCAATGGGCTTCGACATATCGCAAATCATGGTACCGAACCATGGCCCAAGCCGGAAACCCTGCACGGTGCCAAGTGTAAGTATTAACAGAACCATCCCTCATCAATGCTTTGAAGGCTAACTGACTGTTTTCAATAGTGACGAGTTTCCCATGGGCAGTCTTTGGGAAGGCAGAGCTCCCTTTGGCAACCAAGTCTGCCGTCTGGTCAACGGAGTGGCAAACCGCAATCAGGGCACCGATTTCCAGCAGTGGCTCTCTGCAATCTGGAAACCCTGCTCATCGTTGCGCTCGTCTTACGGAAAGCCGGATCCTCCTATTACCTGGGAGTTTAGCCATACTCCTGGAGACCCTCGACTCGTCGCCAACAGCGTGTTCCCGCACTTTATCCAAAAATACGGCTTTGACTCTCAGACTGTTAATTCCCTATGCTGGGCAACATACCAGTACCCAGATCTCAATGGCCAGCAGCGCATCAGGACGGCTTCAGACCAGGGATTCCGCGTATTGCCAAATGACCCCCTGTATCGCTCCTACGGATGGGCAAGTCAGCAATACTCTACGAATCCAAATAACGCGCAAACCCTTCCAGTGGATATAGCGAGCGCTCAGTGGCAGAAACGCACCAACGCCAGGGCAGCGCTTGAGAACCTGATTCCAGTCCAGTTTGCGGACTCGGAAGAGATTCCCTACGCTATTCCTTGTGGCGAGTGCAGCCTCATCATTGACCATGAAAACGAGATTGTTTATGATCAGAGGCCGCCGGCGGATGTTCCCCTCACACAAGTGGCCGGTGAGACTCCCACGCCAACAGCTGGTTACAACAAGCCGGAGACTGGAAACACGGTCGACAAGGGCCCAGCTGAGACGGGTTCGGCTTCTCAGCCAAACTTTTGATGGGAAGGAAACGCGTATTTAGAGATGTAAAAGACAAAAAATCATGGTTAACACAGCCTCACGAAACGTTTGTAGAATACAAGATATTGGCCATTTTGCGAAACGATAATTCATCCTCACGAGCCCAGCTCTTATCTTACACAGGAATGCACGTAGCTCCCTTTTGATAACAACTTTGGAAATCACCATCCCAAACTTTGGCTGTAACTAGTGCCATAAACTTAGAGTTTTTTCATCTATTGCTTCTACTGATGCTGCCTTCGTACTAAAGTATCTATTCAGCTACTAGGCATAGGTAAGAGGTCTACGCCCACCTTGTAATAGCAATAGGACAAGGTCAATTGAGCATACAACTCATCGCTCAATACTAGGAGGAAATGATTGTGATTTCCAGACTAAGAAGCACAATTCTATGGTGGCTGGCTTCAATGCAGATGATCTAGAGATTATATAGGTACAACCTTTACAGATTCTCCCCAAGTCAAGCCCAGACTGCATTGACCTTCGCCTTTTCCAAAGCTTTATGAACCTTCAGAGCAGCGTCAAGAGTGGCATATCCGTCTTCTTCGCCCTTAGCAAAGGCCTCGTATACTCTCGCCACGTTTTGCCCAGAATAAGACATCTGACTCAAATGCTCCGGCTCATCTGGGTTGAAGTCAATCTCCTTTGCTTCGCCCCCAAACTCTTTCACTTTCAGTTTCAGGCCTGTAGGGCCCCAGTGGAAAATGCCAGGATCGCTGGTCAATTCAAGTTCTCCCTTGGTCCCGCTGATGATCCACCGGAAACCGGTGTTGTCGACCGGCTCAGCAGAAGTGCGCATTGTCACTGAGGCGAGAGCACCGCTTTCCAAGACTCCCTGGAGAAGAATTGTGTCTGGAGCCGTGATATGGAAATTTTCTTGGGTGACGTTGCCAGCGTCATCAACAAGCTTCGTTGTGCTGTTTTGCGTTTTGAGGGTCGACTGGATGTCCTTGAAGTCCCCGAGGATGTTCAAATGAGTATCCAAAACTGGGCCTTGTTAGAGATTTGTTCTTCTGACCTGCTACTCATATATGATGAAAGGAAAAACTCACTGTGTCCGACAACCAAATGCAGGCGGCTGATACCAGAGTCAATGTTCAGGAAAATCGATTGCGATTCTTGCCACATGGGTGCAGCAACAAGAGCGTTGTGGCCGTTGAGTGTAGAAAACACTACGTCGCCAATGGCACCGGACCTGATCAAGTCCTTCATACGTTGGAAGGCAGGATGGGCACGGCCTTGTGAGCCACTGACGGCCTTGACTCCAGCACTCTTTGCTAGAGTAGCCAACTCTTCAGCCTCTGCAACTGTCGGCGCAATAGGGAATTCCACGAAAACGTCCTTCTTGTGCTGAAGTAGAGGCTTTACCAGATCGTAATGTTTGCCAATGGCGACAACGACGGAGACCATGTCAACGTTAGGATCATTAGCAACTTCATCGAGAGAGCTGTAGGCTTTGACATCGGGACCAAGCTTGTGTGACTCAATAGACTTCTGGGCAGAGGCAAGCGAGGAATTACAAATGCCAACAATCTGGTAGTAAGGAGATGATTTGAGAGAGTTTAGATGCTGGATGCCCCATTCGCCCGTCTTATAGCCCGCGCTGCTGGTTGCAGCGAGACCAACGATGCAGATGCGGATAGGCGCCATTGTAATTGAAGATGTTTAAGGTTGACTTAAATTATGATTGTGTGTTTTGTTAGTTGATTCAATGCTCTTTCGAATTCTTCTCGAGTCTATATACACATATTTATATACAATTATAAAACCTAGCAATCTTTACCGTTTACTACTATAAAAAGACCAAAGTAGAAAACGCTGTGTAGTGCGGACAAGGGATTGCAGCAAGATCCACGAAGTCCGCGGCTGGTCTCCACTTGAACTCCGAGGAGATCGGCCCCTATTTTCCGCCTGGTCACAAATGCTGAATCTATGGGTCAACTATCCTGAAAAGAGCCAAAGCTAGCACACGGGCAACGCAAGTTTATTACTAATCCACTGCCATAAACTGAAGCTCCAAGGCCAACTCCGAGGACTTTCATTAATCGTATCTTGGGTTGGTCCAATTCATGTTTATTTTATCTCACCCTGTCCGCGGACAATCAAATTCGGCATGCCGTTCTCTCGCCAAAAGTCTTGCACTCATTGCAAGCAGTCAAAGTTGCGGTGTAACCGGGCCACTCCGACTTGTTCACGCTGTGCTGAGCGGAACCTGCTATGCGATATACGCGAAATCCATGTATCGCCATATTCGTCTTCGCGCCGTTCAAAAGGTCTTCGACAAGAAACTGTGGACACTGAAGCTTTTGAGTATCAGCACAGTGACTTTGGATTCCCATCGGTCAACTATGATGAAGTCTCAACTAGTGCGGCTATAACCCTCGATGATGAGAATGTTGCCTCCCACTGGATGGCCATCGACAGCTTGGAAACCCTGGACCCCAAAGGTCTTGACTCTGGAATTGATAACTTTGGTCTTGAAGCTTTTGAGGCCCAGTTTGGCCCGCAAGTTATGTCCGAGTCAGGACACTCAGGAGAGAATGATATCCAGACGTGGACATCTGCCCGCTTAGCTGACCCTGGCAATTCTGATCCAATTTCATGTTGGGATACTCCATCTCTCTTAGATGAATCTAATTTGGAGACTACCATCACCTCATGCGAAGACATACCGTCCACCCTGGCTGTACGGACTCCCTCCAACACAGAGTCACTACGCAGCCGCCCAATCCTTAAAGGCTGCATGCTGACCAACATCATCCTGGGACAAATCACCGGCTATCCAAAGATGCTTGTCCTAGGAGACCGCCTTCCTCCATTTATACATGCGCCTTGCTATACAGATGAGAGGCTTGCTCCGGAGTGCGGCGAGATGGGCAAGCACCAATGCCTGCCAAAGAGTCTCGCCATTTGTGCCAGTCTGGTGGATATGTTCTATTCGCGGACAGAAGCCAATGCTGATTTCGTCTGGCAAACGATCTACTCTGAGGGAAAGAGATTGCGTCAAGAGGTATCATTTTCTCTTCTTATGCTTATTGATGCAAGTATTGTTACTGTGCTTACAAGTCGACCATTCTCTAGTATAAAACCTTGGACTCATACGGTCAACTTACTGCCTTACAAGCGGTTATCATATATATCCTTCTCCAAGCTCAAGACTCTGAGACAGCAGAAAGAAATGGCGCCAATGCTCTACTCCTTATCATGATGGTATGTTGACTCTATCAGTCTCTTTAGGGCAGCTAACCTACTTTCCGAGGATATCTTTCGCGCTGTACTGACATAGAGTAGGAACTCTTCACTTGCCTCACTGAAAGCATTGACTGGGATATATGTGTCTTCACAGAAACATCGGACAAACAACAATGGGTATTAAGAGAGTCATTGAGACGGTAATCCCAATCAAACTCGAACCCCAGACTAAAAAATGACAATTACCAACTAACTACTTGTTCAGGATAGTCGCCTTGCTCGGCCTCGTCGAGCTCCTATTTGAAGGCCTGATCCCGCCTCATGCAACTCAAGCCAACCCCCCCTACAAAAACTTCCGGTCAACTCCTTTACCAAGCCAACGTGACCTGTGGGAAGCTCGCACCAACAGGTCCTGGAAGCGAGAACTCAAGCGCTACCTCTCAGGCCGGACGTCGCAAGAGGTGCTGACCGTTGGAGACCTGCTTGAGTTAGATAGCGCAGGCTGTTTTAAGAATACGTGGAATAATCAGCAGGCCTATACTAAGTTACCGGATGCGGTCAGTTGGTGCGGAAACTCTGATTCGTTGGGTATGTTGATTTGGATGGTACTTCCGTTTCAGAAATGGAGAAAGAGAGATGCACTCTGGTGATATAATGGATACGTTTGGAGTCTTTGTCTGGATTTGAATTGGTGGATATGGGTTTCTATATAGCTTGATGCGGAAAGGAGACATCTAGTGAGGTGCATGGCAGCAGCTTACAAGTAATTATGGCAAAGTAGACCAACAATTCAACATAGATCGACAAGGCAGCCAACCTACCTACACATTGATAAAAAAAATATCTAATTACTAGATATATGTACCTACACTTAAAATAGCAGAAATCAAAAGTAGAAGAAGCACGCGTAGACAGCAGTCTCAGCAGCCCATGGTATAACTGGGTTGCTGGATGTCAGAACTAGGGTGCTGGATCTCAACTTTGCCTCTCCATAACTGATAAAAATGGAATCTGATGCGTGGAAAGAAAAATACGTGTGAGTGCATTAATCAGCGATTATCTTGGCGGGAGAGAATAGGTATAGAACGGCTTTAACAGGAACCAATCAATATATGCTGCAGCAACCTCAGAACTAGATCGAGAATACTCTGCTAGAGAAAGAGTGGGGCTGTGGCAGTTGTGAGCGTTATGCCTAGTGCAACGTTTTAATGGAAGAGGATCTATTGACTGAGACAGACACAGCGTACAAATACAATTTTGAGACTTTTCTCCAACTAGGCATTGACCCTTTGGGAGGTCGCATCGGCGATCTAGACGTAGAGGCCCGATGTCATGTATACTGCCCATGCTTCAAACTCTGTCTCCCGTCGTAAAACGAAGCCCGTCCCACGAAAGAATCTTGCGTGCTGCATCTTCCTCAAAAGATTAAAAGCATAAATGCACAATGGTTTCTCTTAGTACTTATTTTGATCTTTGCGCAATCCACTCATCCACTGATATCACCTCGTCCACAATAGTTGGCCAAACAAGGTCGGTCGCGGCAAGCTTCAAAGCTTGGGAGAAGCCGGCCGTGGCATCGTTGCTGTAAATAAAGTCAATCAATTAAGACCTATAATCTCAAGGGTAAAGTGTGCATACATCAAGGTAACATTATAACCCCTAATAGTCAGAGTGAATAAATTAGCAACCAACTTTGCGATTTTGGGTCTCAAGTGCGGCAAGTTAAGCTCACAACTCAATGGCGTGTCGGGCTGTAGACTCGATGCATGTGTTGGTCACGAGCCCTGCCAGAGCAATGTGTGTAATATCTCGTTGGCGCAACTGATAGTCCAGATCGGTATTCGAAAAAGAGCTGCGATTCGTTTCTAATTAGCCATGCCGCTCTCTAATGTGAAAAGAAGATAGACTGGTGCTGCTTACCTGCTATTCCAATGTCGTGTAGCCACAACGTCGCCATTGCTCGCTACTGGCTCAAATCCCTCGTGAATCTCAGCTCCCCAGCTGCCCTCGGCGAAGACCTGGTACTCTTGGATGGTGTGGTGGCTTGCTTTCATATGGTTCCATCCCTCGTAGCTTCCTTTACTATACGGTTGATGTAGGCCGTAATAGACGGGCACTTCAAGCAGCCTTGCTGCATCGACAAGCTTTTTCAAATTTGGCACCGTGTTTGTTGCTTCGATGCTCTCGCGCAGCTGGGGATACAGTTTGCCTTCGGGATGCATGAAGTCATTGAGCGGGTCAATGACAAGGAGAGCCGTGTTGCGAGACATATTGAGTCCAGTTCCGGGGTTGAAAATACTAAGATGCCTTTATTAGATACTGTAATTGCGTGCATTCGTTCTAGGTAACTTGGACGGGAATAGACTGCAGTTTTTATACTCCAGACGCCAGACCAAGTCATTATCTGCAACTACTCTACATGTAGACGCGACGAGCGTGTAAGCCGCAACTACCGGGGCACAACACTGTCTGCATCTAGACGTTTAGTGCTGCATTAGTGCAACTATAGTCAAATTCTGCAGCCACTGACAAACAGCCATTTGCCGTAACTTTTCCCAGTTGACTGGGGCAAGCCAGGCATCGGCTGCCTTGAACGGGAAAAGCGCTCCCGCTCACCCCAACTTCCAAGTCTTGACGGCATGCTGACAAAGAAAGAAATGGCCTTGTATCAACGAACTACGTTTCATAAAGAGTCTGCTGCTGACCAGGGATCAGACTACATGTGCCTTTCATCATCGAGAAGCACTGTGAATCGAATTTGGGCAACATGACCGGGAGTCCCAAGCCCGTGGAATTCTCTTTTGTCAGTTATCAGGGTCCAGAAGTGTCTCAGGATGCCGCGGACCAAACCGTGATACGCCATCATGCAAGCCGGAATGTGGCGACAACGAGACGTCAAAGGAATAATTACGGGGGGCACAATCAACGACAATATCGCGTGGTCTATATGAATGACGGTAAGAGCTTAGAAGAGCCTAGAAGACGCTTGCATACGCCCAGTTTCAACGCAGAGACTGCACTTTGGGCTTAGCCGAACCCTCTTGGCGAGTCGAAGCTGAACTGACGATGTGAGTCTCATAGATTGCCAGCATCTGGTTCTTTATTCTCCGCTTCAAACGCCCGGCGAGCCCGAGATGAACAAGTACTTTTCAATGATGAGCCTGGTGTCGCCAATAGCTGGTCTGCACCTCGGGATTGCGACACTATCACAGTTTGCAACAGACGAGTCTCTCGCTGGAGATGTCTTTCGGGCGCCACTTCCATTTTCGAAGCTGGATAGCCGGCAGCTGCTCTCTTTTATCCCCTCTCGATATAGCACCATATGCTCGGTGACCCATGCAGTAGACTGTCTCACTACAAGGCTCGAACAGATCATGTTCCACGCCACTCTAAGCGGCAGGCAAGAGGTGATCATACTACAACACTACGCCAGCGCACTTCGAGCCACTCAGGAGGCCATAGACAACGAAGCCAAGCGTATGGCCCCTGAGACATTGTGTGCAACAGAACTTTTGGGCATCTTCGAGGTGCGTCCATCGCCGTTGTTATTCGCCACCATCGATTTACTAGTCATGCAATAAGTATCTGAGTAACAGGGTATAGTTATTAAAAACTCAGCCAGATCGTCTAGCATGGATGCGACATGTGGCTGGGACCACCGAACTAATACGGCTCCGAGGTCCCCATCGGTTCCAGTCCGAGTTCGAGCTGGCACTATTCATGGCACACGTTGGGCCCATGGTAAGTGCTCCAGCCTGGATAGCTCTGATATTACTGCGCTAATATTGGTTGTCATAGGTCGTAGAGGCGTACTTGAATATTAAAGAATGCTTCCTAGTAGAAGGGTCCTGGCAGAGGGTCATGCATGCTGCAATTCATAGTGACTCGTCAATCCCCCCAGAGCAACGCAGTCTTGTCTATGAACTGTGGTCACACATCGTCCAGGGGCCAAACAATTTTGTTCAAATAGCAAATCTCATTCTTTCTTCAACACCGCCGTCTGAACAGGCAATAGACAACGCTGTCAGGAGTCTCCAGAGAGACGAAGACCATTTGAGAAGGTGGCTCGAAATGGCACGAGACTTGGAGCTTGTGGGGAGCGCGGCAGAGCGGCAAGGAGTCTTCTTCACTCCCAGTCTTTGGAGTGGCAGTGCCTGTAATGGCCCTCTCGAACGCATACTCTGCCCTGTGCTGCAGGGGACATTTCTCATGTGCTACATTATCAAGGCCCGCCTATTAGCATCTATCTCACCCGGTCGCTTCCACCATGCGGAACTAGAATGCCAGGCCTTGGCTCATGAGATATTGACTCTAGAAGCGGACCCGACGGTCTACAGGGATGGTGGCATCTTCGCGGGTCTATTCCTGTCGCAGACTCTGTGGGTGGCCCGAGCCATCCGCGACACAAAAGACTTGTGGGCGAGCACTATTGCCAAGTATGCGACAGAGACTACTGTTGGAACAGATATAATGATTGAAAGCTGGAAGTTTCAAACATGGTGTGATGAAATGCGAAGGGGTTAAACTCCTGTTGCGATCCCAGAAGAAGATGCGAGCAGGTCACTCGTCGAGACATCGTTGGACAACATAAGTAGCATCTGTATAGGATTCTTCAACAACGGACTGCTTTGCATCACGTAAAAACAGCTGGCTAAATGACCTTGGGTGTCTGAATGTGGTCACGGTTGATCGTTGTGTCTATATAGTGGTCTTGCCGTAAATAGCGTTCGATAATCTCGATCAGCCCAAAGGCTGTAAGCATATGAAGTACATGATTCTGTTAATTCTCTCTATTTAAGTTCCTGTCACTATGCCCTCGACTTGCATCATCATCGGTTTCATTATCTGCACTTCCTTTACGTATCCGTCGTTGTCTTCTTGACTTTCATCATCCCATGTTTACATCGTCATCCAAGTGTTCTAGCCCTACAATAGCAGGTATTGGTTTGTTTTCGAGGACTTCGGTAAGAAAGGCTTTCCATTGTAAGTTGTGTGATAGACAGTAACTCTTCATGCTTGTAAGCAAAACAATGTGTGGCGCAAAATAATGAACATAAAAAATTACATTGTATGGTTAGACTTACTCCTTGATGACATCTCCACTAAGGCCCAGATTTGAGGCTCTGCAGGAGGCAGCCTGCCTCTGCTATTCTCTGATTCAACGTATAGCCAAAGCTTTTAATGAGGCTGTGTAGAATGGGTGCCTAATTGCTGCAATGCCATGCTTCTTATCACCCAAATTTATGTATTGCTGCTTTTTGATTGGCTAAATCGGACGTATTGCTTCAGCCACGCGACGTGGCCAACGGCAATTGAATACAGCACAAAGCTGACTCGCGTTGGGGTGCTCAATCACACTGCATATGCGACGCGTTGATACCTTACCAATGAGCCTGCAGCCAATGAGGTCTAGTAGCAAAGGCGATGGTGGCTGCGGCTGGTACAGGCGGGTGAAATGCTCCTCAGAATTTTTTTCTATTGGACTAAATGCCGATTTAAGCATGTTTGACCACAGAAAGAGTAATATTCGGAGCGTTGTTGAGTTCGATAATGCGGTTTAATGTCTTTATTTGTAGTGCCATTGGCTTATAACATCGGAGTTGTATGGAATATGCGCCTACTGTAGCATTACATGACTCATTAATTCAAGTAATGTTAACTTCCCCAATCACCGGTTTGTATTGAAAGGTCTTTGAGTTTGGTTGACTTTAAAACAAGGAGCCTTTGATTTATACTGCTGGTGGGTACGTGATATTGTACGATTTCGTTCTTATGGCAGGTATCAGTCTGGTAAGTAGAATTAAAGTATTCGTGGCCTAAATGGAGACCCATCTGTTGATAGTCCCAGCGAATTTCCATTCGGTGTGCAGGCCGAGATCCGTTGCGAAGTGCTCCTATGGGACCTGGAAAGTTGTTAATAACCCCCGACGCGTCAAAACCTCACTGTATGCCTGTCAGCCTGTCAGCCCTCAGTCTCAGGCTACACGTAAAAAGGCTGGAACTATTGGGTTTTCTGAGTGCCACGTTATTACTTTGTCTCCACTCGTTTGCCGGTAAGGCTGAATATTCGGGAATGATAAAAATAAATATTCCATGTCAACACCACCAAGATTTGCCAAGCTCAGTGTGCTAGGAGATTATGAATGGAAGACACAGAAATCAGCATGTCCGGCAAATCTCGTCTCGATAGAGTATACGCACAGCTAATGACTGACCATCCATATGGATGGGGCTTGTATAAAAAAGTGACGACTCGGGATTTGCATCCAGGTAGCTGTGGCTATTTTGACCCAGAAGGCGATTGGAATACCATTGCCGATCTGTCAGACCCGCAGAATCTCACCAGTCAAGGATGGACGATTCCTGATGACCAAATTCAAGATTCTGAAAGTCCAAAATCGGCGACATGGGGTCCAAAGACATCCAACTCTATTCGCAGCTGTCGCATCGGAGGCACGGCGGGGGGAGAGTCAGTTGTTCCTTGCGAACTCGTTGTGAACATTTTCTTTGTATAGTATGATCATGCTAATTATTTCTCAGCGGTGTAGTCAGCACTTCCATCACCATCTCATTTGAGAGCCACAAGAGCCAAGGAGCTGTGCTCATTACCGAGAACCCTGTTTTGAGGCGCAAGGTAGGGGATGAGTTGGGCGCCTTGCAATGGATGGTTGAAAACAAACACGGATGATGCGCCGACACAAGAGTATAATCCAGAGGCATGGTGTGTGGATTGTGACAAAGACTTATTCAACACGCCGGTGCGCCGTGGCCATCATGGCCGGCGAGTCGTCATCTACCGAGATCAAACTCAACAGTGTTCAAGGCGCGTTGACTTTAACACCCAATAGCGCGTGGTCTGGCATTTCCGGGAGCTCTTCCACAGAAGTGCATGAGGATGAAGATGGGGTTGTTGTTTTCATCAGTGGAATATATTTTTCTCAGAAGCTATTTGGAATGAAATTAGGCTATTCTCGAGACCAGGGAAAGCAGAAAGATAAGATTTTCCGGGGAGACAGCGACGGCTCGGGAGATGATGATAGCAACGACCTTGATGTTGAATACTATCCGCCTCATGATGAAGATGAAGAAGACGAAGACGACGTTGAAGATGAGTTCACATAAGCAAAATGATAAGCAGTGGTTTATTTGTCTCAGAATTTTATGCTTTCAAGTTCAGCTACGTGCTTTCAGCTGAACCAGTGATGATCTGTTCGTCGTATGCCCACCATTCAATAGCAGCAGGCTCAGATCCGAGAGGGTCTCCGCGTAGAAAAGACGGCTTTCTGCACAGCTCAGTCTGACCAGCGTCCCAGATATTCGGCAGTTCCAGGCTCTTCCAGGAGACACGCTTTCCTCTGGTAACTAACGTACGAACAATGTCTTGACGATGCGTGCGACAGATGATTTTTTGGGTCCACTCAGGTCCGCTGGGAAGTGCCATGGAAAAATTGAAACTCTTCTTTTGACCACGGCCTATGCTCTGCGGACTGTCTCTCGGGGGATATAGCTGTTCGATGCTGAATTCGGGACTAAAAACCACGATAGTGACGTGCAGCTCCTCGTTACTTTTGTTCTCAAACGTGTATCTAAACTTCTGGTTAAGGGGGAATCGCGTGCTTATTGGAACACCTGTCACCGACTTGATGCGCACGTTGAATGGCAGTGGATCGCGCGATCTCTGGCTCCCGAGAAGGAGGATCTGTTGAAACCGGGCGAGGTGCGCGAGAGCGACGGCTGCTTCAACGCCAATGCTGTTCATGTTGTCATTTCTGAGTTCCAACGGTCGTACTGGATCATCAGATCCGGTTAGCCACGCAGGGCCACGGATCTTGACCTCACCATCCCCCAATCTCTCCAGTCTAAGCACGTCGTTGCGGTTCTCGACTGACTCAAGAACCTCTATCGGGCTGCTAATCCAGTCTTGGAGCTGCGTTTGCAAATAGTTTCGGAAATCGGAGCCAAACGCGGGATCGACGTACACTTGAAGCGTCTCCTCACCAAGATTCCACCGAGACAAAATGACAGTATAGTGGTGCTGTTCCAGTAGGGGCAAAAGTCTGTCGGATATCGCCACACTGGACCAAAACTCATCGACCTCGTCTACAGACAAGGTATGGTTCGGCATTTCCGAAAACAGCACAAACTCAGACCCTACATTAACTCCATGGGCTCTGCCGGCTGGGATAACGACGTTATTGTCCTGCAGCTGTACAGTGAGAACAGCGGCACTGAAAGGCTCAGAGCTTCTAAAAAAGAGCAATCTGTCACGGCCATACACTTGCGGATACTGGTTCTGGCCCTTGAGTCGCATGTTCAGCTGATCCATTATCGTGCGATAGGTCAAGTTGTTTCCCCCTCCTGCTGCTCCTTTGCCACCAGTGTTCTTCAAATAGTCCAACAATTCCCACGTGAAAGCCCCGTGTATCTTGCCGTCGACAATTCTTTCTGCTGCCCTGTCTTTGATCCCGCAAGCCGTCATGACCGTGAAACTCTCAGGGTTGATAGACCAAGACGTTTCTAGCTTTGCGTCACGACTGGCACGCTCCGTCGTCTCGTTGAAAGTTTCTGCTGCTTGGTCATCAACAGGTAGGTTTGGCACCAGAGACCAGTCGATTGGAGTACGAAAAGACGTGTAATCACCAGTCGATCTCCAAGAACCTCCAGAGTAGCAGCTATCGAGGGTGATGACCACCTGGACTCCTTTTTCGTTAAGCCGCCTCAACCACTGATTGAGCTGCCATCCACGGACTGCCGGTTGACCACAGCAAAAGTCCACAGTGATCAGAGAAGGGTCAAAGAGCGTGTTTCTCATGGGGGAGTTCTTTTGTCTCTCAAGTCGTGCTCCGTGTCCAGAGTAGTGGAAAAAAAAGAAGTCGCCTGCAACGGCGTGTTCATAAATGGCATCGAACTTGGCTTTTATGTTGGCAAAAGTTGGTAAGTGTTCCGGTGACTCAATCGGACGCATATTGGCGCAGTCTTCGTTGTCGTGGCTGGGAAATGACGAAGTGAGGATGGTAATATCTTGGAACTGATACTCATGTTGAAGGAACTTATTAATAGCATCTATGTCATTAACGCAGCCACGGAGATTGTGCAGTGATAGCCGCCGGTGGCTGGAAAACCCCCTTGACCCGTCATTGAGATAAAGGTCGATCCCTACTAGAAGGGCATATCTCTTGGATATCTCTGACATAGTGCTTTCGCGTCTGCGTAAGGAATGTTGATATGTGTAAAACCTGGGTATCACGTCGAGGCCGATCCAAGTACCTATTTGTGGTTGATTCAGATTTTAGGCAATATACCTTGCCGTTGGGCATCTATACATGTATACATGTATTTTTGGCATCACAATCGTTGTACAAGGTACAAAGGTATTTTTCCAGCTCCGCCTGTGCTAGTGTGCTAGTGCGTTGAGCTGTCTACATTTATGGTATCATTGGGACGAAGAAAAACATGTTTAAGCTGAGGTTAATGGTATAGTGTTATAGCTGTTTAGGAATACCAAGTTATGCTAAAATGATGAGTTGTCTAGTCGAATTTGAAATTAATGAAAAGAAGGTTGAGTCGGCCAGCAATGCTTTCCATCACACTCCGTAATGAACATATGGGATCCAAAACGGTCGTCCTAACTCTTCACAATCATCTAGTCGAGCAGGACGGCCTTCTCTTAGTTCATCCACCGCTCGACTCTCTTTTTCAGCCCATTTATCTGCCATATTGACCCATCGGTCCCGAAGCGTTCTGATAGCATCATGAAGTCCCTGACTCACCACGTCATCGTGCAAGCCTTTACTAAAAGAGCTATACGTCATGTGGGCAATCTCCACACATACCTCATCATCAACACTCCAGAGAGTCCCTATAACATGACGGAACCCAGCGAGCTGGAACGCATTAGCTAGATGGATGTTCTCGTCTATAGATTTGTCATCAAGGATCTGGCCAGTTCCACAAGCCGATAGATATGCGAGAAAGGGAGGATTTGAACTGAGATTGGTCTCTAACAGACTTCCAACTGTGAGAGGCTCATCCTGCCAGTCCCTCAGTAGCAATGAGCTTTGTAGTGGATCTGTGGGATGTGCCTCACCATGGCCAGCAAAATGGAAAATCTGACAATTTCCCATGGCTGATAAGACGTTGGCTTTATATTCTTGTGGCCGATTGTACTTCACGTCCCTTGATTTCAATACATTCACTACGGCATCGATCTCGCGACTTGCATGTACAAGTGGTGTATGTCCCTCTGTGTGTTCCATGGCGACCGCGAGAAGATCTATAGATTCTAGTGCTTTCAGACCTCCACGTCGACGTGTATGGATGATTGATTTAACAGACGCAGCATATGATGAGACAACTCTATCAAGCGTCGTCTCTCCACTGTGTCTCAGGTGATGCCCAGCTGCGTGTAGAGGAAATTTTGTCAATTTGCCTGTCGGTATCCACCATACGTGTGGCCATTTCTCATCCAATGGGCGCTCAGTGAAACCCAGAGCGTTAAGCACAGGACACACGATATCCTCCCAGAGCCAGGAAAGAGTCTCGATGGACTCAATATCTGTAGAGTGTCTATCAATCTCGGAGAGGAGGGGCGGGAGCGCTAGCTCTTCGAAGCCTGACTGTTTGACGATCAAAGCATCGCAGCGATGGCGACTCAGATTCAGAATAACAATCGGACCACCGCATGCTGCCGCGTGTAACATATCAGACTCCGATGCGGGAAGCAGGAAGCGTTGAAAGCCATTTTCTAAGCGGATTTTTTGGAGAAGATTAGAATAGTCTTGTTCAATCTCGCGACGCCTGTTCGCTTCAGCTTCAATATCCATTACAGCGCTATATGATGCGGAAAGACGGCCCATATCTGGCTTATCAAATCGATCTTTCAATACATGCAGAGTATCTGCTAGGTCGGGATTGTGCTTCTGCAGAGTAAAGATTTCATATTGCTCAAAAAGGGCCTTTCCAATCAGACCACGGCCTGTCTCAAGGCATTCGACAGCGGCAAGAGGCCCTCGATTGGCGGGAAGTGCATGAAGAGCAATAGCTGCTGCATCCGATGATACTCCAACGGCTGTGGCGAGCATATTTTGTTTATCCGAGTTTTTAAGTGAATGAGACATTAATGATGGAATTAAGTCAACTGTATATTTGGCGACATCGTATGCTTTGTGATAATTGACAATACGACGTAAGCGTAGTACCGTTACCCCAGCTCTCAAACGGTTTTGGATTCCAGCCGAGACATGGTATAGGGCATCCAAATAACATTTCTGAGCCTTTTCCATGTCTGCCATGACTTCAGCTTCGGTATGAATGTATCGATTGTCTAGAAAATTTTCAAAATCATTCAATAGCCCTGAGTTAAGCAGTACTGAGGAGAAGGCTGCAGGATCAGCCGAGAGCAAGGCTAGCAAGGATTCCATGGTCTCTGATGTGGCTTCAGCAGCATTTGATCTGAAATTGAAATACATTCCCAGAGTGATTGAGTAATTGGCTCTTTCTGGATGGTTTTGCGGAATCATGTCAATGACGCGCTGAGTCATCTGAATAGCGTCTTCCAAGTCTGACTTCATTCGAGTATTGTAGTATTTCATACCATGTGCTCTCCCAAGATCAATCACCAATTGATTCCGAATCGGATCGTCCAGTGAAACAATACTTAATGCTTCTTGTAATAAAAGTATAGCTTCCATTAGATCTGCTAATTCTTTAGATTGGTGGAACCTCTCGACTAAAATTTCCGCAAAGATGGCTAATTGGCTAGCCCGTTCACGGGAATCTGACCACGTAGCTTCGAGGGCTTCTTGACTCAGGCTAATTGCTTCATTCAAATCTTCCATCGCTTTCGTACGCCGAAATCTCTCCAGTAGAAGCTCACCAATGCCGCCTAGAAGGCGCGACCGATGGGCAAAATCTAGTGAGGGACAAGCAATAGCCTCTCGCTTCAGAAGAATGGATTCATTGATGTATGAGATTGCGCCAGTAAGTTGATATTTTTTATGCAAGCGACCCGCGAGATCATTCAGTGGTAAGAATCGCAGTCTTGTTGGGGTGAGATCAATAACGTGTCGAGATATACGAATAGCCTCTTCCAGATATATTGCAGCACGAGTGTGGTCGTACCTAAGGTAGTAACAGTCCCCAAGCCTCTGTAACGCATCTATTCGAAATAGACCGTCCGTCTGAAGAGAGTCAATGGCCTCTCGCATTAGAAGGATCGATTCCTCGACATCCGACAGTGCTCCAGTATTAGAGCATCTCTGAAGTAAACAATCTGCATAGAAACTGATTGCTATGCTCCGAAATTGATCGTCCAGCGAAGCAACGTTAAGAGCCTCTCGAATTGCATAAATTGCTTCGTCTAGATCTGCTGTCTCACGAGTATGTATGTATCTGGCTCTCAAGCATACCAAGAGGTAGCCTAGCAAAATGGCATGCATTGGCTCGTCGACTTGGAAAAAAGCCATGATGTCTCGTATCATAACAACAGCAAAGTTGGCATCTGCTAATGTTGTGGGCGTAATGCATATTATACTTAGATAACTTCCGAGGTCACGTAATGCGTGTTTCCAATTCTTAGTGCCTATGGCGCAATTTTCGATAGTCTTGAAAACCATATGAATAGCTTCGTCGAGATCTGCCTTTTCTTCCGTCATGAAGTTGAAATTTTGAAGATGGCGATAATGTCTGCGGAATAGGTATCTCCCGTTCTGTAGCCCAATTCGGACTAGATCGGCCAAAGGGGCAATGTCATGAGCGTCGCGAGCTAAAGAAATGGCTTCATTAAGATCGACTATATCTCCAGTGCTGGAATATCGATTGTCGAAATTCTCCGCTAGGCAACTTAAGCGCGTGGCCCTCTCTGGTTGGCTCAGAGGGGCATCATTGACGAGATATTGGCCAAGAGAAATAGCCTCATCTAGGTCTGGCGTTTCTCCGACACACTTGAATCTATCATTTAACAAATTCTGAAGAATCAATGCAAATTTTGGTTGATCTGCATGGTTCGGCGGAGTCGTATCAATAATGTCTCGTATGATGCTGATACCCTTATCGATATCTGCCACATCTCCAATCTTAGAGAATCTCAAACGTAGGAGGCGTTCGTAAAGCATTATGATTGTAGCATAGATCGAATCGCCTGGCGTAATGGCGTCGATACTTCTTTGAAACATGTCAATGACTCTGTCAAGGGCCTCCGGCGTTAGAGTAAGCTTGTAATTTTCAAACAAATCCGCAAGTCTACCCAGTCGCTCAAGCCTATGTTGGTCATCTTGGGGAGTTTCTTCGAAAGCCTCCGACAGTATTTCAAAAGCTCTTTTGAGATAAGATAACTCTCCTGTAGACTCATATAGATCGCATAAGTGGACTCCGAAGTCATCCAATAAGCTAGCTAAGTATGGGTCTGGAGATGTCACATTGATCTGGTTCTTGTATTCATGAATGACGCTCTCGTAATCTTCCATTGGATTGTCGCTTTAATTCTGAGAAAAAAGCAAGCTTAGGTCGATAAGAGTCCAATGCTTGAGACCTTCTCTGGCCCTATATATATTGAGCGACACCAATACTGAATCCGCTTTGTAACTTGAAGCCATAATCCCAGGCCCCTCAGCCAAGCCTTGCGCCACATTGATGAGGGGCTACTTGTACAAAGTACGCCAGCTATCGTGGTCCAATAAGGGCCGATGACTACCGTACGTATTAGTCTGAGCGCCACCATTGACGTGTCCAGCGCAGGCCTGCCGTGGCTATGCTACCAGGACAGCTCATCTAGCAGCGGGCTGCTATACATTGACTGGCTGCTCCTAATAAGATGGGGCATTGGCATTTTTCATTTGCCGCCAAGGCGGCAGTGATCCTTCCGCTGTGGATGTTAACTATCCAATTGGGCGCCCCAGGATAGAATGTTCCGGGGGACATCACCGAAACGCGATCAGAGTGGACGCTTTCGTGTCCATGTTGGAGCCTCGAACGTGTATGTTCGTGCGTTTAGGCCTCGATAGGCATTTAGAGAGGCTGATTGAAGTCACCAACCGCCTAGCGTTAGAAGATGAAACATGTAGCTGCATATGTCAACGTATAGGCTCGTGCCACTCTTCTTTTGTAGATGGGTAGGATACGAGTACATATACCCAGCAATCTACATGTAATCAGCTTAGCAAGATTGGACACGAACTGATTCTGTGTGTTCCCGCAACTTCATCTCAGAGGCTGATTTTATCTTCGTCCAAGTTACCTTTGCATCATTATCTTGTACCATCAGATGCCACCGCCCGAGATCTTGATCGACGACGGCGCCCAAGAGGGGCCATATCCGTCAGACTGGCCTCTACTCGCAGAACCAATGCCGCCATGGGCGCCTCCATTTGGTGGCGGCCTCGCAGGACTACAACCACTCAATTTCCCTCTGATTGATCCTTCGTTGGCGTTATCCATGGGAATTGGGAATAGCAATGTTTTCAATCTTGGAAGCTTGTTTCCTGGACAAGCTACCAAACAGTGTCAAATCAATCAGCAACCAGACCACAGACCAACTGCGTCATTGATACCGCTCAAGCGCAGGTTTTCCGCAGTCGCACAGGACTGGCATAACGGAAACCAAATTGGCGAAAGCCATTCTGCTAGAGAGAGTGCTGACAGCTTAAATATTGAAGGATCTGATGACCGCATATCCCAGCAACCACACAACACACTAGCCGCACCAGTGAATCCGATCAAATGTAAAGTTTCTGTAGCTGCACAGGAGTGGAACAGAAGAAAAGATCATGGTGAATCCTCTAGTGCCTTAGATGAATTGATGCAGTACCAAGGGTTAGAAGAGGTTAAGCAGCACTTTCTTGATATCAAATCCAAAGTTGATATTTACAAAAAGCAAGATCCAGATGGAGAAATGGATATCCTGAAGTTAGAAAGGTTTAATGTTGTCTTCCAAGGGAACCCGGGAACAGGTGAGCATGCTGTATTCCTTCTCGTCGTTTATTAGTGCGGCTAACATATATACTGTGTGAAAGGCAAGACGACGGTCGCTCGATTATACGCTAAATTCCTATGCGAGGTGGGAATCTTAGAATCTGGCCATGTCAAAGAGACTTCAGGGGCTCATATAGCCTTAGAAGGCGCAAAATACATGAATCAACTGATCCAAGATATTATCGAGGATGAAGAGGGTGGCGTCATCTTTATTGATGAAGCGTATCAACTTGTGGCCCCTTACGCTGGCCAAGAAGGCAAAAAAGCCCTTGATATCATTCTTACTGCCTTGGAAAAAAACATTGGCAGTTTTTGTGCTATCTTTGTGGGATATAAACATGAGATGGTGCCGTTTTTTGAGCATAACCCTGGTTTAGAAAGCCGAATTCCTTATACTATCAATTTTGCCGATTTTGAAGATGGCGAGCTTTATCAAATCTTCGCGGACAAAATTAAGAAACAATACGGGGGCTGCATGCGCATCCAAGAGGGCTTAGATGGCCTGTATGTGCGCATCGCTATTCGCCGTTTGGCTCAGGCTCGGGGAAGCCACGGATTTGGCAACGCCCGCGCCGTTGAGAACCTGCTGGCTAAAATACGACAGCGTCAGGCTCAGAGACTGACGCGAGAGAAGAATGGATTGCCGAATCAAGAACCGGACTATCTCCTGCTAACTCAAGATGACTTGATCGGACCTGATCCTTCAGTCATGGCGAGGAGTTGCCCAGCGTGGATCGAACTCCAGGGCCTCATCGGACTTGAGCAGGTTAAGCAGTCTGCGGCGCATTTAATCGAAAAGATAGAGCTGAACTATCATATGGAACTGGTTGACAAGCCTCCCCTGAAATTCTCACTGAATCAAGTCTTCGTTGGAGCACCGGGCACCGGGAAGACCACAGTAGCTAAACTGTATGGCCAAATGTTGGTTGACTTGGGCTACCTTAGTCGTGGTGATGGTAGGTGCCCTGTTTTCACTCTATAGAGAATCATACAACTGACTTACCTCTAGTCGTTTTAAAAACCCCAGCTGATTTTATCGGCGAATGCTTGGGTAGTTCAGAGGCCAAGACGAAAGCGATCCTTGAAGCAACAGCCGGCAAGGTCTTGGTTATTGACGAGGCTTACATGCTTGACGCCGGCGACTCTGACAAGGAACAAGACAAATTTAAGACGGGTATAATTGACACTATCGTATCAATGACCCAGGGAGTACCTGGTGAAGACAGGTGTATCATCCTCGTTGGCTATGAAGACAAGATCCGCGATCTGTTTCAAAATGCCAACCCTGGTCTCTCACGGCGCTTTCCCGTCAACAGTCCCTTTCATTTCCAAGATTTTACAATTGATCAGCTAGAGCAGATTTTGTTGCTTAAAATGTCAGAGGAACAGCTCATCGCCACTGATAATGCTATCACCGCGGCTAGAGAATTGCTTGCGCAAGCCCTCATGAGACCTAAATTTACCAATGCCGGTGAGGTCGGTAACATACTATCTACCGCTAAGATGAACTACGAGACTCGTATATCGCGTCTGCCTCTCCACGACAAGCTTTTGGCTGCTGCGTTGCAGGCTATTGACTTTGATCCGAAGTTTTATCAGAGGGGGAAATCAGAACCCGGCTGTGATAAAATGCTAGAAGGGCTGGTCGATAGCCGTATCATCGACAGGCTTGTGAGCTATCAACGCAGTTACTATATGGCAAGAAACCTAAATTTGGACCCGAGAACTTTTGTTGCAACAAATTTCATATTCAAGGGCCCCCCAGGTAAGTCTAAATTACATTACAAGTGATTGTCTTTCTTTCTCTCCGTTGCTCTCCAAGCAAGGCCTTGTCCAAACAATATGTTTATTTCTACACGCACACGCACACATTCTCTTTTAATGATCAAATTTATGGATTAAGAAAAAGAATGTCTATTGCTAACCTTTCATTGTTTCTTAGGTACGGGTAAAAAAACAGCAGCCCGTCATATGGGCAAGATTTTCTATGACATGGGCTTTACCTCAACCAAAGAAGTTGTTGAATGCTCAGCGACCGATCTTATCGGCCAGTATGTAGGCCAGACCGCACCAAAGACACGAAAGAAGCTCCAGAGCAGCCTGGGTCGCGTATTGGTCATTAGTGACAGTGGTCGCCTCATGAATGACTCGTTTGCGATACAAGCAGTCGAGGAGCTGCTACAATTTCTTGCAAATCCTTTCAATTCAGGAAAAACTGTCGTAATTCTCACCGGTTTGACAGCTGATATAAACAAGCTCCTAGAACAACACTCGGCACTCTCTGGCCTCTTTTCAGAAGAAATAATCTTTGAGGCAATTTCACCCGATGATTGCATTAAACTACTTTTACAGGAGTTGCAAGGCTTGGGAGTAAATGTTAACATTCCCGCTCTCTCTGATCCGAGCTCTGAAAACTACTGCAAAGTTAGACAACTCTTCCGCTCCTTGGGCGCCCTATCAGGCTGGAGCAACGCCCGCGACGTGAAGAATATGGCCAAACAGATTATCAGACAATGCTTCAACGCTTCTGATCCAGCTGCTTTGCAGCACGGACCCTCGCTTGCCCACGTCACTGACTACATGAATCAAGTAATCACCCAGAGAAGGAGTCGTGCAAGGGCATCAGCTTCAACTCGCCCTTCGCAAAGTGCCGCAAATTCAGCTTTTGAGTTTCAGCAAGAGTCTGTAGCGGCACCAAGACAGAGGTCAGATATCTACAGCACTATACGCGGTGGTATGGACACGAAGTCTGCTCCCGGCGCAAGTGCGCAGCCTCCAGCCTTGGCTACCTACAAGACTCTGTCTGAACTGAAGTCTCTCATGCCACCAAAGCCAGAAAATCCTACACTACCCAAAAATAAAGAGCAACAACTACCATCAAATAAAGTCAACGCCACCCGCGAAGAAGGAGTCTCGGATGCAGATTGGAAGACTGTTTGTGAAACAAAAAAGGGTCAAGCATTTAAAACTAAAATGCGGACGATAATGGTAGAGAAACTTGAACGGCAAATACAGTCTTTTGAAGAGACAAAAGACGAGGCAAACGCTGAATTACATCAAAATCGGCTTACAAAAGTTCAAGGAGATATTAAGGATGAGGAAAAGATACAAAATGCTCTTCAAGCTATGGGCCGGTGCGAAGCTGGGTTCTGTTGGACTAAACAGGACGGAGGTTATCGGTGCGAAGGAGGATCACATTTTGTATCAGACAAGGAGCTTTCGGAGAGACTATGATGTTTTTTTGGGCGCCGTGAAACGCGACGGAAAAGAAGGAAAGATATAAATAGAAGAACGACAAATAGCTAGAGAAAGGTTTCAAGGACTGCTCAACACTATAGTATCAACATTTATGGAGAATACACGTCGTAGGAATAATGACACCATAGATCCAGGCATCGTGGTGCTCTCAGACGAGCAAAGCCCTCGCGAAGCAGAGAAAGAACTGCAATAAGAAAGACTCATTGCCACCAGCTATATAATATTTATACAAGTTTAACATCAGACATATGCGGCAAAAGCAGCTCATCGAACTCATGTGCCTCAAACGTTCTTTTTGGTCGCACAGTTGTCATCATACCAATGCGGCGAAACTCATCTTTGCCTGGGACAGGAGCGACGCAGAGGAGAGCAAACGACAATGGACGCGACGAGCCTTGCGGCGTGAATGGGTAACTCGCGAGCAAAATCATGTGCGTCACCGTCTTCCATTCCTCTTTTTGACTTGGATCGTCAAGGGATGGGTATCCCTTTAGAAAAGGCAGTTTGGCATCTAGGGCCATATAGACAACGTCATCTCCTTGGCTGCCATCGTCGAATACGGGTACTTCTCCTGTGCAAGCAATCAAAGGAGCCCGTATCGTCATTGTTCCCTTTCCACTGCCGAATACTTCGTCAGCCGGCTGGCCTCGCTCGAGACAGATCACCTCGACCCACGACTTTGGGTCCACGCCGTACCACACCCAGCTCGTAAAGCTTACAGCCCTCCCGCTTGACGGCCATGCCCGGGATGGGAAGAGGCCTCTCTTTATATTCTCGGAAACCGGTTCCTCTCCGGAGAACAGACCAGACTAAAAGGTCCCTCAGGAAAGGTTCCCAGCACCCAAAGACATAGTCTTTTCTTGCATAAACGTCAGGCCATCGTCTGCTGAAAGCCGCAGACAAACCCTCGAGTGCTGCGACGCGGTCTGTGAACTGCGTTAGCAGACGCGCAGAGTACATTGTGACGATCTCGGTCCACAGATACGAAAAGGTCTTGTAAAGGTCCTTGTTTGAATCGGAGAACAGCCTCTTTGTAGAGACATGGCCGATGCAGGATCGATGGTTAAACACGCGGTCGCCGTCCTCAGTCTTCACAATTAGGCGACTCTTTCTACATTCACACTAGACCTCACTAGCGCATACCCACGATAGCTCGCCTTTGCCGGTATAAAGAGCTCTCTTAGCCAGGAAACGTTCTTGGAACGTCCATGCGCGGTCTTCGATGGTGTTTAGCAGATCCACGCCGTCCTGGTCGAATGTCTCGCGCGCCCAGTGGCCCGGCAGGCGTCGACAACGCTCGTGCTCCATCCGCTCTATGACTACCGTTACTTTGCCGGCTGTTGTATTCTTGGAGTCTGCTTCTATATGTTGGGGATACTCCAACTCGAACACCTTTGGCTGGATAGGCTGCAACTCAGGTGGCCCAAGTGGACAGCCTTCTAGAACATCAGCGGTGCCTGCAGCAGAGATGACCAGGAGCGCTCCCGAATAAATGTCTGCCATCAGCGGTATCTGAGCCATCTTGTCGGCTGGGTCATCCTGGATGATGCACAAGGCATCGACCCACAGATACTGCTGCCCGAGCTGCTTGCAGACAGAGACAATGTCCCTGATAGTTTGAGGAAGGGATGTCAAGGGAATGCCTTTTATATGCTGAGCCAAGTTGCTCTCGTATGTGCACAGGTTGCCGCCTCTCCGCCCCCAACAGTAACTGAGAGCGACATATGTTGCTCCGGGGGGAGGGTGTTCCATGCTGACCAGCCGTACCACATCACCCTGTGAGATATCAAGAACGCGCCTAGGCCATTCATATTCTTGATGCTCTGCATTGCAAATATCGTGCGAAGCCACGCAATCTGCAAGCCATCCCTTGGCTACGGAAATGCGTTCTGCGTCGGAGTCCTTTATTGGGCGGTAGTCTCTATGTGTAGGCGTGTAGGCAATGGGTATTCCTAGCCTAGAGTCCGACCTGGCGTACTTTTCAGAATCTAACGAGATTCAGCATTCAGTGCTTGCAAGGGTTGAGATTTCGTGACGTTACCAGCAACAATGTATATTTTATATCCTTTTGCTGTCTCAAAGCTGTCCTCTGGTGCGATGACGCCAATCTCCAACGTGTTGTCATGCCAGATACTACCAACCAGTTCCGTCCCTGGGTTCGCGGTGTCTGTTACGCACGAAAGAATTTCCCTCACTGCCCAGCATCTTGCACACTTGGACGCCACGAAGCTTGACAGCTTAACCCGCTTGTCGTATACCGGGCCGAATATCTCTTTGCAGTGAGGACACTGCTCCCAGGGCTTTGCACCGTCTTCAGCGTTCATTTTGATCTCGTTTTGAAGCATTTTCACATACTAAAACATTACGAATTAGCGGGGAGAAGTAGTACGGAATTATTAGCCGGGCGAAACTACAAGACGTTACATGTGTGCATTATGGGCACATAGCCAATGAAATCCTGCGGCAGCCTAACCTGTTGCTTAGCTACTGATTAAAAAATTAGTGTTATGATGAAGATGAAATTCTGAAATTTGTTATATTTTTCAGAAAGAAAAAAAAAACTTCGAGCTTGATCGAATTATTAATGAAATATCATTTGAGTGCCTCTTCTTGGAAAGATTTAACTATCCTTCTGATGTCAGGCCTGGGAAGTATATTTTTACAAGTACAAATATGAGTATTTAACTGAATCAGTGAAACCAAAAAACGACATATGTTTAATAGTGACTACTAGGCGGTTATAAGTGGCTGTATCTTGGTGGGTTTGCAGAATTGAAGAAAGAGGTATTTTGAAGTCTCCATTCCTCAGGCCTTGAATACTAGCCTCGACCTTTGACGTTAGTTTGGCTGAGGTTCCGCTCGATCTCAGATCCAGGTTCGGATTTCTCAAACAGTAGTCATAAGATGCGACAGTAAACTCTCGAAACAAAGACCGGAGAGTAAGGTTGCAGCTGATTTTAGTCAAGCTGCCGAGGGCCGCGACAAGGCCATTAGACAACCGTCACCGTCTTCCTCTCGCACTGCTCCCACCAGCACGGCCTCTCATACGTCTCTGCCTTGGCCAGCCCTATCCGCTGATAGCAGCCCTCCCGGTCCAAACTCTCAACGAGCACCATCATCCGACACCGTGTCGACTCGGGACACCTGGTTATATAATTCGGGCAACAATTTGGATAATTCCTGTGCGCGATCGCCCCGGGTTTGTCGCCGAGGACCAAGCACAGCACGGCGGTGCGGCCCCGATTCCAGTCTCCAGACCCACCGTCACTGACAAACTCAGCGTCAGGAATGGTGGCGCCCTCGTCGTCGAAGAGTTTCAGTGCGGTACCCTCCCCTCTATCGAGCCACAGCTTGTTTACGTGTCCGCGGATGACGAGCTCGCCGCCAGTAACTGCGCCGAAGGGATTCTGGTCCGACACGGGCGTTGTCTTGCACGACACGACCTCGGCTCGGGCATAGTCGGTGTTGCCGCCGTCGTAATGAAGCTCCCCTTTCATGGTGGCCCACGACCATGACGGGGCCCCCGACTTTGTGGCGTCGGGGTTGGAAAGCCAGTTCTCCCACATGAGGTCGTGCACGAGGAAGCGGCCCCAGAGCCCTGCGTGGTACTCGGTCTTGAAGTGGGCGGCAAAGGCCTGCGCAATGGCCGAGATGGCAGGCAGCCGGTCGCTTTCTTCGGTGAGCTGCCTCGTCGTGTACTTGTTCAAGATGAAGTGCCAGGTTGAGTAAGTTCCCCCATGGCTGTTGAAAGCCTTTCCGGTCCGCGGAGTTTCAGGGGCGGCCAGATCGTCGAGCTCCTTGAGAGGCGTAAACGAGTAGCCGCAGAGCGAGGACCAAAAGCTCCAGGGGCCATCTTCCTCGCGGCGCCTTTCGCGGGAGTCTCGGGAGGTGGCGTGGAAGTCGGGCTGGTAGCCGGTCTGGCACTTCCAGACCATGTGCATGTTGGTGAATATCAGGAGGCGAGGCGTGAGCAGGGCCTCCTGGAGGGTCCAACCACGGGTGTTGATGGGCTGCTCGTGCGCGGAGACACTCGCGAATGATGCCGAGCTCTCCGCAATCAGAACCGAGCCCATGGTGTCCTCTTCTACCCGGAGGGGGTGATGGAAGGCTCCAATGCTGGGGTCGTGGTAATCAGTCTGGAGGAATCCCGCGGTAGCGGCTGAGGCACTCGCCGCCGAGATGGTGAACTGTGTCTTCTGGTAGATGCCCATCATCTTGGCCATCTCGGCCTGCTTATCCTCGTCACTGTCCTGGATGATGCAAAACGCATCGATCCAGATGTACCTCAGGCCCATGCTCCGGGTGACCTGAAAAGCGTCTTTGATCGTCTGGGGCAGCTGGCCGTACGGGAGTTCATTTTGGTATCGGCCATACCGTTCGCGAAGCGTCTTGAGGACCTGGTCTCCTCCCCAGCAGTAACTCAAGGCGCAATAGTGACCTTTTCGCCCGCTGGTCTCGCACAGCCGCGCAGATTCGGGCTCGCCCAGGGGAGACACCTCAATGAGTCTTGTAGGCAGATCGGCGGGCAGGTGTACGGGACACTCGTCGTGGCTGGTGAGGCACTCGTCCATCCACTTGCGTGCCTCGGCAAAGCTCTCAGGCGACCCAAGGTCCTGGAGCATTGCTTGCGAATGGACGACGGAGGCCGCTGGATCGTCTGGGGAGACTTCATTAACATGAACTCGCTACAGCCAGCATCTATGCCTCAACTTACCCGGCGTGGCGTACATGGTCCATGACAGGTCGCCCCCGCTCCACTTGATCCCGCTCCAGCTCCAAATGTACAGAACGTTGTCGACCCAGTTGTAGCGGATGCTCAGCCCGAGCTCTTCGTCAAGCGATGGATACCAGGCCGGGCGCCGCTCGTCAAACAGAAGCTCCGTCTTGTCCTCCCAGTCGTCCTCGTGCTTCTGATACTTGCGGTCGCGAGAAGCAACGGCCTTGCAAAACACGCAGTCGAAGACAGCGGCACGCTCGAGCTCACGCCGAGTCCGGCAATACTCGTATCCTTCAGCCTCGTACCACATGTGATACCGGATGCTGTTGGGGTCGGATTTGGCTTCATCCCGATAGTCGGTGAAGAGCCGGGAGCAGGGATCGCAAAGCTTGAGGCGCGGGAAGTCTTGGGCGGTCTTCATTTTGGATGACTTCCAGTCGTGAGTCTATCATTAGTTAGTACTCAGGGTCATGATGCACGTGTTTCCAAATTACTCCGCTCACTGATGCAGGACAGGCACCGGAAAGAGTCAAGTCCACGGGTCCGATGGCTGTGTGTGTTGAGAAAGATTAGTATCTTGATGGTGGAAGATGTGAACCATTGCAAGTCGTTCAAGATGGCTTGAGTAGATCGAGACCGGGCGGTGCGGCACGCCCCGCGCCGTGTTTAGCGCCAAAGCGGGAGGAGCCGCAGAAAATGTTAAAGAGTAAGTGACAAGGAGACTGGTGATGTTTTTGTACAAGCTATACGAAGAATACATGAAAACAGCTGTTTTTAAGTTACTATAGACAAGGCAGGGATCACTTCTCCTCTTCTCGAACGTGTAATTAAAACACATCTCCCCTTAGTAGCTACCAAGATGCTATTACTCTACAATCTAAAGTTTAATTCAGTCTGGATGATCTAAGCTTATTACTGACACCTTGTATAACTTGTAACATTTACACTAGTAACAAAAAAAGACATAACAAGAAGGAAGACAAGGATTAAAATGAAGCTCAAGTCTTTTGACTAGTTGAGAAGCAATACTATTACTTCCTTATCATGTATTCAAAAACTGTAATTGGAAACAGTCTTTACCCTCAAATGGTATACTCTTATAGCTTACTTTTAATTGTAAGCAATTTGTCATTTGTAAGGTTGCCTCGGAAGTATCGTCTGTATATTTAGCCGTTTCCAAAAAGTCCCTTTTACTTAACAATTGAATCAAGGATGCGTTTGGTGCCACTTCCACAATGGCAAATTGCGGCCTGTCAATTGTAAATAAAGGGATCTCGAACCGCCGTTTCTCATTATTTGCAATGTCTCGAAAATAAGATCGCGTAGTAAACCGTAGCTTATTTTCCACATCTTTGATCGTTTTTGACAACTCCAACATGTGTATTGAAGTGCCAGTGCCAGTTAGTTCTTCTAGCCGGTAAAAGAACTCAATGGCGCTTAATGAGTCTAAACCAAGCTCCGACAGTGAGGATATAGAGTTGATTTCAGACATCTCTAAACGAAGTGTAGCAGCCAAGGACTCGATAATAATCTCTCTGAGTTTGTCGTTATTTAAAGGAAGAAGAAGACGCTTGTCCAAGTATAATGGATCAGATGCCGTAAAAGAACGCTTTGAGCGACTTTTGCCTTTCATAACAATCAAGTGACCCGGTTGTTGGAGGTTTGTCGCAATATGGACTATAACATAACTTGTACCATGTTGGTCATGGAGTGTAAGGTTTAGTAATGAGTCTGTAGACCTCTCCGGAGGAAACATGCCTGCGATAAAGTAACCGAGAGGCAGAGGTCCAAAATCTAGACTGCAGTCCAACCTAGGTCGAATCAAGTCTCCATGCCGGTAAACACTTGGAATATATATGGTCATCCTCTTGCTTGCAACAATCTCATTTTCGTCTACCCAATGGGGAATTCGATTACCTAGTCGATAGTACTCGTCTGGCTTGGGCTTCGGCCCATCAGCCCGTAATAAACATCGAGCGAGCGGCACAGCAAGCAGACGTGTCGTGACAACTTTTGAGCCTGTCGCTGCCATAGTGCAATTCAAGATGCAGTACAGTATGTCTCCATTGTCAAAGTCTCCAAACACTGGCAAGTCAAGTCGAAGTCCCCTCTGTGACATTGAGAAGCCATCTCCAGGGGCTGCCGCACCTCTCGATGCTATCTCTCCACAGTTGCAGAAATCCTGGGGTGATCGCGCCAGGGCCGTGGAGACACTCCACAAGGTGCTGTCTTTAAGATTGAACCCCCATGCTAAGATAGACTGATCATCAAACCTTTCCATTATTTCTTCTTGGAGGCGTTGGAAAGCCTTGGGCCCTTCACCATACAGCAACGGCATATTGACGTCAAATATTCCTAGAAGACAATATGCTATATCTTCCTCCTTAGTTGTAGTGCGGCGCGACGCCCACGACATCCTCTGTGCTATGCTGGTAAAATCCATGGCCCGGTGTATATCAATAACAGAGCCAACCAGCACCTCCTGGGAAATACCAGTTGCCTCAGAGACCTGTTCACGAAGAGAAATCTTGTCTCCAAACTCCAGCCAGGCAGAATCAAAGAAACGGACAGACGGCGGAGCAAGAAGCTCCTGAAGGGTCCAGCCTCTGGTAAACCAGCGTGACTGCGTAAATCTTTGCAGTGCTGATTGTTTCTCTTGGGGCTCTGCGCTGAGGCCAGGGTAGCTAAAATCGGGTAGGTATACGTAGCATTCGATCGACATCTCGTACCATTTGAACATGGAGTTGATTGCCTCTTGGAGCTCGACACTATTCGATTTGTCGATACAGCATGTATCGACCCACACGAAGTCGAGTGCGTCCTCAATCGCTTGTTGGCAGCATTTGATTACTTTAGCCCAGCCTTTTTTGGACTCTCGATAAGAATGCCCATTCGTAATATCTTGAAATGTAATTTCATCGGCCTCCCATGTATGAGATAGCGTTGCGTAAGGGGGGACCGTATCAGCAACAAACTCGTGGAGTGTTTGAGTTTTTGCGCACAAAAGCCGCATATTGTAGACTTTTTTGTGTTTTTCGTATCTTTGTCTTTTTGAGTTATTGTTTCCCAAGAAAGTGTGTAAAACACAGGAAGAGAAGCTTTGCCTTGAGTATTGCACAAATTTTCAAGCGTAATTATAGGACACTAGAAATAAAGTAGCAATATAGTATGGGATACATCGTTTCATGGAGTAATATCGCAGGCAGCAAGGTAGGCTATAGAATAAGGCTGTACTGCAGTAAGGCGCCAATATACCTACCTAGGTAGGTAATAAGGCGCCAACATTGATACTAGAGCAGCAATATAGGCTATAATTGTACTCATGCTAGCAAAAATGTAATACAGTAACCTTGAAAGGCATTAGTACAATAGGCAACCAACAGGCATGTACTGAGGCAGCAATATAGGCTACATACGAGGGGGTGTTTGCAAACCAGAGCGCTTAGTTTCACAGCACCCTGAAGCAGATTCACCCGCAATTGGACTTGAGGTGGCATTTACAGTTACATCATGCACTTATAGTCATATGTGTGTGCATCTCTCGTCAACTTCTCAACCGCAAAGTTCATTTGAGAAAAGCCGAAAAAGAAACATGCGCATTTTTAGATTGTTGCTCGATTCAAATTAGGATCCTCCTGCAAGGCGCACAGTACTTGTCAAAACACGGACAATGAATGCCCTGCGTCATCATGTACCCAGGCTACAACTCGCCGTGGCTTATGTCATCCCAATCGCTCTAAAGGACGCCCAAGCTTGCGCGATGGAGGCTCCCAGTCCAGCCAGAGCGAGTAAGATCCCAAACACACCGAAAATAATAACGCTCCAGAACGTGTAGTAGTTCGAACGATTACGGTTATCCCGCCATAGCTGGCGCCATGAATTCGGCTGTTGCGACTCCATATGCCGGCATAGCTGAGCTATCCTATATCGAGAGCGCGGTAACATGGAGTAGCCATATTTGCCCTTCTTGGATTTGTTATACTTGTACAACGGTTGTTTTAAGTGAATTTGAACGTCCCCCGATGCTTGGTCAAGTCCGTGTGTGAAGGCGAAATCCATGGTTCTCCGATAGGCGGCGTCTTCCACGTCGCGGAGCACATCAGTTGAAGATAAAATATCGTCCTCCAACCCAAAGTTATAGTGTTCCTTTCCTTGAAGAAGCGAAGCACAAAATCGGGAAGAGGGAGGAACCGGTAGGCCTCGTGGATTCGCCGCTCCCGTGGCCCGTGGAAGAGAAAAGACCATGTTCTGATGATCTCTTGCGCGTCCCTTAGAATATCATCTGGATCTCTATGACACAAGGCGCTAATAAAGTTAGCGGCGGAATCATGGTTGTGATGGCAGAATTTGAAGACGGGGAAATTTGGCAGATGGATTAAAGCCTACCTCGCAATATATGTGAGTTCTCTAGCGTCAAACCAATGTAGGTTTAATCTGTAAGAGACATCTGAAGTCCCCTTGGTCTCGTCGCTTACATCATCTTCTAAGCCGCCTCCGTAAAGTCGTAGATGTTCGCTCATGTCCGAGGTCCACTCGATTCTTATTCCGCCAATGCTCATAAGCCTGGCGGTATTCAAATCATTTGCATTGAAGTCATCGCCTCCGTTATTGAACCTCCTTCCTCTACGGAACATCCTTGTGGTGGTTAATGACGACGAAGATGAGCTCCTGTTAGCGAGCCTTGGAGTTTAGTTCTCATCAATAAGCGACCTAAGTGGGAGCTTCTTTACTTGGCTTATACTGTTGCAGAGTGAAGCCAAACTCGACTGTTTCGTTTCGAGGTCGCAGGGAAATTGAGTTGACCAGATATCAAAAACTGTCAGTACGTTAGCTAGGAAGCTGACGTGCCGTATAGTGACGTTGAATTGAGGCGATGTTGGCTGTTGCAAAAGATTTCTCCGATAGAGCTCATCCAATACATCGCCCGCTACAAGTTCCTTTGGAGATGTGCTCGCCTTAAGCACACGAGCAGTGGCAATGAGACACTGGCCTAATTCAATACCAGAGATTGTCTTGTCGCCCCGTATGCTCTGCATTCGTTGGTGCATGAGCGAAATGTACGCACCGCTTTGCGACAAGGGAAGTCCGAGGTAGGAGGCCAGTGTTTGCGCCGTGTCGGCAGCCACAGTAGAAGTTCCTTCTGACACTTTCCGCGTTGAATACGAGTATGGCGAACGAAATAGGCGCGTCAGTATGTTGGAGGGTGCGCGTAAAGTTGATTCATTGGTAGGGGATGAAGCCAACCACGATGAAAGCTGCCTATTGTCGACTTCTTGAATTTCCGTGATAGTTAGAACTGGTACAAGCGGCCATTCAGAACCTGTGCTGTCAAGCTCAGGGCTTAACATGTCAATCGGAGATGCTGGTGGCTGTTGCATTGAACCCTCTGATTCGTCACATTCTGTTTCAATCCGAGCCGCCTCTACAATAACTCTCTGGCGCGAGAAAACCAGACTCTCATAGTAGGCAAGTTGTATCCGTTGGCCTGCATGATTTCGCAGTGTCCAGTGAGTCATTGGAGTCCGGGTTTCATGGAAAAAACCCTCTACGACCTCTTCAAAGCTCTGTAAAAATGGTCAGTATGCGCTAATCTAGTGGGGATGAATTTGTAGGAAGACGCAGCTTGTCGGGAGTTGCAGAACTGCCAGGGAATCACATAGTCCTCCCCTTAGAAATCGATTATGATTGCCTCTGGTATTTGTACATTAACTATATTCTGGCTGGACGCCTGTTGTTTAGCTCCGCTGGATGATGCTGGGGCGAAGTGTTAACTGTGCCCTGAGCAAGACTAGAATTCTGCGTTTCAGCCAGTGTAAGTGGTGTTCGATCCGTTGGAAGTATTTCTAAATCCCTCGGTCGAAAGATTTCTGGTCCCACATCCTCATTGTGAGTAGCCATCGATCACTTGGGCTATAGAACAGCTGATGGGGATGATAGTAATAGGCAGAAGAATAGATAGATTAGCTGAATACGAAAGTTGGGTGTAAAGGAAAGGCCCAACCCCGCATACCTTTTGACGGTAGAAATATCCGGATTTGCTGCAATGGATGAGCACGAAGGTTGCATACCCGAGCACAATTGAGCCTACATTACGGTGTCACTGATAGGTCAGGAAAGAGCAGATGCGTGTAAATAAGCTGATTAGGTCACCAATTGAAATCATAACTAACCTAGCGCTTTTGGTTTAAAAAAAACTTACATATTACTATACCTACCTACCTATTCAGTATACCTTTTGCACGAAAGAAGAGGTGGCAATATACCAAGGCAGTAAGTAGTAAGCATGGCAGTGATATCGTAAAACAAACTAAACACGAAGTGGCTACCCACATACCTGTAAGCAGAGAGGACAGCAAACTGAGAACCGCAAAACAAATTAACGCACACGACGGAGGAAATACAAATATATTTCTATTTGATACCCAGACATCTTTCCTACTAATTCTGTTGTAGCTTTCAACCGGTTTTTAATTAGATTTGTATAAGTAGGTATTCATTGTCTCTAAAATAAGATTTTTTTTAGTCTTCTTTAGCACTAGATCCTGCCGGTTATTGTATAGTGAGCTTTCTATTACCATTTATGGCGCCCGCTACGTGTTTTCAATTGACGTGAGATCTGAGCTGCCTGTGGCATTTTGGAGATAGCCGATTCTTAGATTATTCTTACATCTTCTCCGTATTTGCGATGTATGGCTTCATCACAATTTTCTTCTAAGATGAAGTTTATCAGTTTGTATAACCCTCTAACCTCTATAGTTGTAGCGACAAAAGGAAGAAAGACAGAAGAGAAGAGACGGAGATAATAGACGATGTATTAGCTACAGCACGAATGCTGTTTTTGGTTCTATGTTCAACCTCATTCTTTGTAAAAGTCGGGAGAAGAATCGATTGCCAGCCCATATACCCAGTCTCGTATATTATAGGAGCGGGAAACTATAAGTCTCCAACACCCATAGACAAGACAATGCAAGGCAAAACAAGACATGCAAATGGCTTGTAGCTAATATTGACTAGCTGTTTCATTCTATTTATTTATATTTCCTCTTTCCAATGCAGCCACGTGCCTTTGCCCGACCATTGCGTTGTCAAAGCACCTCCGCAAATGATCCTAACCGTCATTTCCTCCACAACCAACACAATCTTTATTTTCTGAAATTTCTTTGTTTCTGGTTTTTCGGTAGCTACATGTACCCGGCATCTTCAATAGAATAGCCAGAGTTCCATAATGTGAGTTAGTCCGTGTAACGCCATTTGCGGAATCTATGCAAACCAGGACAGAGTTCCTAATTTTTCATGGATAAAATACCTTGTCTTCATTCAGAGAAAGGCTATTCTAGCTGTCAGCTCAGCTCTCCAAACGTCTGCCTCGCCATACCCTTATCCTTCTTTTCTTCCTTTTTTGGGTCTTTTCTTCTCTTGTCTCTCTTCCTATGCGAAAGCTAGAGAGAGGAGACCAAGGAAAATAAGGGAATAATCTGACGCACGCGTTTTCTATATTATAAAGATAGCGCAGATGTGAATAGGGCTTTTTAGCTTACTCTAGCTGCCTATCACTTAGCCCGCTGCGCGCAGTTTACCAGAGAGTGGGTTTCACAGATACCTAAGCTTTGGCATGGCGAGAGAGGGATCCAACGGCAATGACGATGCTAGTAACTGGACAGCTTGTGGTGTTGAGATACTGAGCCGCACGTTGTCACTCAAGGATCAAAGTGCAGTGACAGTCTGACACTCAGAAATCTGGGCTACAGACCCTGGGATGAAAGATTTTCCCGCCCTGGATGACCCAAACATGGTCTCAGAACGAGGTTGATGAAATATTCCGTTCGCTCGTTTGCCACCTCTCAGCTATTTGTCCACATCTTAGTACGAAAGAACAAGATGATGAGACAAGGTCATACCATTAATTCGGGCTGGATCCCGATCCCCATCACGGACGATATACCGCCCAAGAATAGCCTTCGTGACGGCTGCAGAAGTGGCTGCGGCAAAGTCTTGCCAGGTTTCATTATTATGGCTGTCTGCATAGTCACAGATACCCTTCACAACAATACACGGAACTTCATCCCAGGCTCCAGCGCCTTCCGTTTCAAAAGCAATAATGTTATGTGCGCTGGCGATTCGATCACGGTCTTCCCCGCTCTTCATGATTGTGTTTCCTGACCCTACTCGGCCGATGAAGATCTCTGAGCTGAAATTGGCCTCTTCGACAGTATGTTCTCTTACAACTAGGTTGGTTGAACTGCATCCCGCAACGGCACACGACGCCTCAGAAGCTGACTCACAGAACGCATCTGAAGTAGTACACAGGTAACACGATATCCAATGCTTGTGAGCATAGGCCGGAGGATATAGTTTATCTTCGACAGTCCCAGGATAACTATAATCTGCTCGCCGTCGCTCCAATTTAGCTGCCTTTTGCAAATGTTTCAAGTGCTCCGAAGCCTCTTTTTGTAGCCGCTTCCTCATCAACTCCGTTTCAAAAACCGCAAGAAGGCCTTGAATATCCCTGTTGGCGCTCCCAAGGCTGTCTTCGACGGTACTCTTCACTGTAAATTGTCCAGGATGTCGCCTGCCATAGTCATACTGGATGATAGTCTTGCTCACTACTACGTCGCCTAGAAATGCATCAACGTTGGCGATGCGAGGAACTCCCCCACAGACACCGACGAGGATAGCGAGCCTAAGGCTGGTGTAGCTCGATCGCAAGCTAGCAGTTGCAGCAGCTGCATTATTTGTTCCCATGCCTGGGAGGAGAGCAAGCACAACGTTGTGATCTCCGATGCGACCTGTGATATAGGTATTCACGTCTCCATCCGCTCGGCCGTAAAGATCACGCTCCTCGTCCCAGAATTGGTCGAAAAGCAGGGTGACGGCATCGGCTTCTCGAGGCAAAGCGCATATAATGGCAACATGGAAGTGTGTGCGGCTGGCAGGAGGTTGTAAGGAGATCCGGCCACCGATTTCATCATCAAAGAAGTGAGGTAGCCTATAATCACGAACGCTATTCAACGTGGTATCCAGACCCAGCGACGGATGCGAACCCACAGGATATATCTGTGCATACCGATGCCCCCACGTGGGCCTGAGCGGACGGACTCCAGTTTGGTTTGGAGTAGGTAGCATAACAGTGGATGATAGGGTCTGGGTTGGTTTGGGCACCTCCGGGGGCATCGGAGCTGCTTGGCTGTCTAGCTCCCGGCTGTTTATGACCTGGCCCCATCTCCCAAAGTCTAGATCTCTGGCATATTCGTCAACGCCGTCTAGCGGTATGTGGCTGAAGCCTTGGATCAGGTGAAGCTCTAGCAGTCGAACAACATGCTGATATATTCGCGACCTGAGCGTCTCACTGTCGAGGGCCCCGCCTTCTTCGTCCTCCCACAACTCACCATCCAAGCAGTTGTCAATGGCCATAAGAAGAGGAGAGTCTTCGGGGATCTGGGATCGCCATCCCTCCCTGCCAAGTTCCTCATCGCCATTGAAAACCTGGTCCACATCGATGAGGGTTATGCGGCCACTAGGAACCTCAATCAGTGGAACATCGTGCATTTCTGCCAATTTCTTGAATGGCTTGACGAAATGCACCTCTATGAGGACAACGGCTAGAGCAACCATTATCGGACAGCGATGCCCTAAATCCAGATCGTTCGATGTCTCATCATCGGCGTCTGCGCAATTCACGACGAGTAGAGAATTAGTTGTGCCGGCGGGACTAGCCTTGGGTAGCTGCGTTTGGATGAAAGGTCGCAACGGAGTCTTGCACGAAGTTGTCTGGAAGAACATGATGTTTGCCGACCCCCACCCTGGCTGGAGCCAGGAAGTGCCGTTTAGGTGCATAATTGTAGAGCCGATGATTAGAGAAAGAATTCGCTTCGTTTTTTCTGTGAAGAAGTCGTGCCGGTCTTCAAAACATTGCGAGAGAGACATCGGATGGGCGGTCTTGTCTATCAAAAAGTTGCTCTTCTCAAATCCCATCTCAAAAAGTTGGCCACTGGTGAGCTTCAACACAAGGCGTTGCAAAGCCTTCGTTCTCGTCTTGGTAATTGGTCTGCATAGTCTCTCCACCCTTGTGTACCTGCCCTCAGTGCTGCTTACACGAAGTGAGGCCACCTCTCCTGGAAGATTAGAGCAACCTCCTGGCTCTTTGAAGGTCTGGACGCGAACCTCGTGCCAATCCCGCTCCATGGAGAGGAAGATGTCAAAATCAAGATCCCCAGCGGCATCGTCATCGCCACGAAGATTTCGGACGCGATTTCGAATAGAATTGGCAAGCGGTTTCTTGTTCACTTTCTTGTTGGGCCTCCGGTACGTGCCCAGTTCGAGTTTTGCCCCAAACTCATGCTGGCTGGGACAGGAGCATCTCTTACAGTCTAATAATGCATCGAAGATCGATTGGGCAGCCTTGCAGATGGTATATGACGGTTCAACAACGTCTAGAGATGGGAACTTGGCTGCCGATTTTCTGTAAGCCTGATCTGGGTGTTGTTTGTCAAGAGCGTCGGCACAGCTCTCCAATGCTTTATCCACCTCGTCTCGTTGCTCCCCAGGTGTCAACCATCTGCTAACAAACTCGAGTTTCTTCTCGCCAGGTTGCTTTCGGGCCTCGCTCCAGTAAAGATTGAGCACCTCGAGACGGAATTCCAACTTCGCGGAATTAAACGGAAATTGCTGGACGCAGTTCTCTGACACGATAGAACCGAGGTGAACCAGGGCCTGCTTGACCAGTTCACCGTTTATTCGGGTCGAGGCCTGCCGTGCGCGCACTAAGAAGTCTCGTAATCTGACACAATGGGACGCTAGGTGACTGTAGAAGACCCTGGCTTCTTTGTTGGCATCGTTGGCAATGTGCGCCATCTCCATGACTGACTCGGACGATTTTAGGAGTAAGTCGGAAACCCAGCCCTTGGCCTCGGGATCAGAGAAATTGGCCATCTCGATCGCCTTCGACTACGCCACGACTGTAGTTTCTGGTGTTCGCGCCGCGAATGGCCTAGGCGTTGGTCATTATTGATGAGGAGGTTCATGTTCTCTTATAATTGAGCGCGGGGGCGGGGCATGATGCTACATAATGCTGGTGGACGCGGCTCAAACGGGGTCAGGCTTCCCTATCTGTTAATGTTGCTTTGTCGAAACGACCAATAATAAAAGACTCAAAGAGGGGCTCAGTGCATTCGTGCCTTGGCGCCTCAACGAGATATTAGCCATCAGACCTTCCTCATTTCCTAAGGCACCGTGTTCTGTCATGAATGCCTATGAGTAGTCGTATCGATCATATGCATCCCGCTTTCAATACAATTCCACCACCCTAGATTCGGCAACCTTGTCACCATGACAGACGCGGACGAGTCTCTGGACGCAAAGGGGCCGACCATTGCCATCTGTGCCACCCAGTGCTTGGCATCTTTCCAACAATGCCTCCTCCGGGCATCCTCCGTACATCCCAGGGAATTCTCAGCAGTAGAAGACCAAGTAGCGAGGCTATCTACATGGGCTGCGAGCATCGAAATCTTTGCTCCTGGGCGAGCCTCTATAGATCATCGCCTACGATACGCGCCAGAAGTGCAGAATGTTGTCATCGGTCTTCTAGAATCTCTAGACTATCGCATCCGTACTTGTAGGTCTCATTTTATCATGTCGCTCGATTCTTTTGAGTTTTTTTCAGGCCTCTACAGCCAAACTGTGAATAAGTCAAGTTAAGAACATACAGACACGGATGTCCTTGATGTGCTGGGCTTGGTGGCATCGGATACTCGAAGTTCCACGAACGAACGGCTAGAACAGTGTTTTGTAGACATCGCGACGGAGATCAGCCGTCTCTACAAAATTTCGAGTACAATCCGCAGCGCTAGCGAAGAAGACCAGGTTCTCAGGGCAAGCGACTTCCAGATCACAGACGACGATGGAAATAGTGTGGAGCCTCTCCTACTCTGTCATTTCGAAAATCACATTGGCTCTCGATTTCCCAATGTTAGCAAAATAATTCAACAGAGACTTGCTCGCGCAATGCTCCTTCGACAGAAACGAATCTTGTATAGGAGACATCAAAAAGCGAATACCGCTATCCAGCCGCAGAAAGCAATTCCCAAGGCTTCCACTACATTGTCAGCTGCTCGGCCAAGTGTACCTTCGGCGCATCGCGATCCGAAATGGAACAACCGTTCAATCACTGTCGGAGAAGCTACCACAGTCACATCCCCACATATTCAAAGTGCCACAGCTACCCCTTCCGACAACTTCAAGATAGCCTCTTCAAACCCTTCCATTATTTCAGCAAGAAAGACGGTCACCTTAAGCAGCCATGAGGCACTCATATTCCCACCTGCTCCTGGTCTCGCCACTAAACAGAAGTACGAACAACTCAAGAGTAAACGCGTAGCTGATTTTCATAATGCATTTTGGCTTGGGGAGACGATATCAGACGCGGAATCAAAGCTCAATGAGTTGCTGAAATTAGACCTCCAAGCAATAGGAGAGATCACTTGTCCCTATTGCCTATACGCGCTTCCGGCCCAAGAGGTGTTCGATGACCAAAAATGGCAGTGAGTAACCCAACGCTCAACCAGGAATCACCATACCTATACATTCTGACCGCCTGGAGATAATACTGAACAGCCTTCTAGGAATCACGTTAAAAATGACCTGAACCCTTTTGTGTGCCTCTTTGAAGATTGCAAAGAGGCAGATTTGATCTATGGCCACAGCGATGATTGGCTCAGCCATTTGCACCAGCACAGCAAGATCTGGCGCTGCTCCTCTCACCGCGGGCTGGGTCCATTTTCTACACGCGAAGACTACATCAGGCACATACGGGAAGTCCACAGTACTAACCTCAACGACACCCAGGTCCGTATTTTAGCAAATAAGAATGCTCGCAAGGCGACGAAGCTGTTTCCACTGTGCCCAATGTGTGGCGAAGATGTGGCCGAGACCGATGGTCGTTTGGAGGACCACTTAGCCGAGCACTTAATATCCCTGGCCCTCAAGTCCCTCCCAAGGTACCAAGACGAGATATCAGATGACAGCCGAGAGGAGAAAGATAGCATTGGGGCTTCAGAGCCACAAAGCAAACCTACGGTTGATCACATAATGGAGGATATAGATATGCTTGAATATGGAATGGAGCACATCGAGTGGAAGCGTCCAAACCTTCCCCTCGCTCCCTATGGAAGGCCGAAAGCCCAGTCTCCAGACCGATCGCTAAGCTCTGAGTCATTGTTGAGTAGCTTTCCAACCACTGAGGCATCCACTATATCGTCTATAAGCTCAAAGTCATCCACAAAGCACATTTTATTTGGACAAGTTCCTCTATTACCTGGGTCTCGACCACCGGTGGTGACAGATAGGGGTACGATGAATGGACGGATTTTTCCATCAAAAGCTCGCGGGAAACGCACTAGACCTTTGGAGGAGTCAGAACGGATACCGTCAACTAGAAGAAGAAACGAGGGGAACGTCTGCATCGGATGTAAAATGGCTAGAGTCATGGTAAGTCATTGAACTAAGTGAAAAGTCTCGGAGTCATTCCCAGACCATGATTTCTATTGATCTCTCTACATACCTTCCTCTCGCCTACCTGCCTACCCATTATACAGAGTGTATAACTAATACGCTCCCTTGCCAGTGTGAGGGTGGGAAAGACGGAAGGGATTGCTCGCGGTGCGCCACTAGCCATAATAACGCTCGCAAGCCGTTTATATGTGCGCCTGCAAGCTTCTTTGAATACGTTCAACAAGGTACTACAGCTTTACTTGGTAAGAGCTGTCCTATGCAAGAATACGTATCTGGTGGCTTTTGGCCTTTGCTAACGAGTTGTCCTAATGATAGCACTTCACGTCATTTATCTTGACGCCTTCACCAACTACCGCCCACCGATTGAGCTACCTTCACATATCGATGTACAACAAATTCTCAACCATATTAGCTTAATATGCAAAACTGGTTGTGGCGTTGTCCGCATATACGGAAGGAAAGGATTACTTTACGAGCTCCACCTCCACGCCTGTTATTCATATATCAGCGCCAATTTTCCTCCCTTAACTCATCTGTTTTGGCCATTTATCAATGGACTCAAGGTCTCAAGGCAACACCACTGGAAATCCTGCATCAGAGATGGCCACTTTCAACCAATAAACGACGAAAACCTATGTGATACGCTGCTTGCGTTAGATGACATGGCTCCCTGGGTCACGTATGCGCTAAGACCCATGTCTAGTGACTCTGACGGGAAGACAAGCGATCAACCCTTGACAGCCCTTTTTCCAGACCATGCATCCAGTAAGGAGATCATCATCAGTATCGCTCAGCTGTCTCGAATTATAGGACGCCAAATGGAGCTCCATTTCTACGACCACCTTAAAAAGGCCCTTGCTAGAGTCGGCATCGACCATAAAGTAGTACTCGATGTTGGTCGCACACTCATGTCTCTCCGCCGCCGCTTAACCCAGTGGACACACTACTGGGCAGGTGTGCCCTTTCATACAGAATCTGAGCATGAAGCGCTGGTTAACGACGAGGAAAAGAGCGACGACCTGTCTAATGACTCTATGAACCGCCTCAAGCAACTTTGCAAGATTCTCTATGTTTATTTCTGCTACATGAGACGACGACTGCCACTTAATGAGCAAGAAGGCATGCGGACTATGATGGTGTTTTATCCTGACAGTGAGGAAGAAGTAGAGGAGAACTTTCCGCAAGATGAAAGCATTGCTGGATTTGAGCAGTGGCTTTCTTTCAAAGATCTGCCAGCGGCGGAGACGACTATCGATAACAATCAGATGTGATAATTGCGATTGCATGGCCGAGACTACTTTCATTTGGCTTGAAGGGGGAACATATACATGAGATTGTTGGAGTCAAGGATTTGATAAGGAATACCTGAGTACCTAGTATGTGTACAAGTTAAGGTATACTTCGGCAGTGAGCTCTATATATCTCAAAGTTTATTTTAAGTCAAACTACTTGAAATACAGGCACATACGACCATAGGTAATGGAAAACTCGGAGTCCCGTCAAATTCTTTTCCCGAGTTCAATGACTTCCATTTTCGGCACCCGAGGCTTCTGTTTTCGGAGTTATGTGATTCTGTTTCTAGCAGATATTGAACCAGCGCTGGGCTATGATACGTACAGGTCATATAGGCTACTACCGTAATAATCGGGAAAATACCGTTTTGCTCGACACCGGCATACTAGAGAAAGCTAAGCTACTAAACCCACTCCCCTACCTATTACTCAGTTATTAATGATTATTAGGATGATGTGTACTCCGATAACTCTTGATTCGCCTGCTTTTCTCTCATCAGTCCCGCTGCAACTGCAGAAGCCAGTTTGTGAGTTGATTGGGGCTCGAAACACGAATTGCTGGATGCTAATGGCTTTCTAGGCTCTCAAGCTCCGTCATCATGCAGCAAAGGTTACGGCCGCTATTGGCTCGGCCCGCTGCTACCCCGCTTGATATTGCGGTCTTTCCAGACCTCTACGCTGACGCAGTATAGCCCAAGTCATGCCGTGGCTTGCGGTGCGCAGCTGAGCAGACACACTACACCGGCGCTAGGCTTTTGTCTGTGTTCGGCTTACACGGCTGATTGGCTTGTAGAGGCTCCCGGTCGGCCCTCATGCGGATATTGAGATATATTAAATCAAGGCTCAGCCCTACTTCGACAGGCCTTTCGTTCGCCATGGGTGAGACATGTACGTTTTCTTAAAATTGATCCACACTTAGGCCAATTGATGGTGTGAAAAAATACCCGACATGTTCTGCTGGTGATTTTAGTCTAAATACAGGTATTGGTGCTCTGTACTCCTTACTCTGCACACATAGCTAAAAGAATTGCTTGTAACCCCATTTCCTACCCCTTGTGGTGATCTAGTTATTCAATGGCAAGTACCGGGCTTATCGTGCGGCTAAATCTGATACGATAGCCCTTGACTATAAAGTTACAGGGGCTACGGCGTTGATTACGGACTTTCGGCGCTTGTCCTAATGTGTTATAGTCGTATGGAAAGCCTAAACGGCTGGCTACATCGACGCTATGGACGAAGGATTCTACTTATAAGCTAAGGGCTTCCTCGCTTGACCGTCTGCCACATAATGAAACCCTCCCGGAGAATGTGGCTGGCTGAGGATGCATATTGCATGGACATAATGAAACCCTCCCAGAGGATGTGGCTGGCTGAAGATGCGTGTTGCATGGATACTACGTAACGAATTTTATATGGTGTGGTTATCAAAAAGGCCCATAGGGGTTGGCTTGCCAACGAGGTCACCTGACCTCAACAGCTGGTGCCAGTGAGGCCCTTTCTATATACTGGCTATCGTCTCGTGTAAGTGTTGGCCAGACCATGTCAAGCCTCGGAATCAGTTTACTCAAACATGTCGACATACGATAAGGCATCTCGCCTGCGAACTAATCTGCACACGGCAGATGGCTGCTACGACCAGGGCCTAGCCGTTTCCCAGGCTATTATTAATTCAAGCTTTGGAAAGCTTTATGACAGGTATCCTGCTATGCAAACCCTGTCGTATGACGCCGGCATTGCCAAGATGGAGGGAGAGATGTTGCCCTCGCGTCTAATTATTCCTGAAGCTGAGATGAATCTTGCTAAAATTATTCATCAGTTGCGGTGAGTGTTTATTTAAAAAATTAAAAATTAAAATTAAGTCAACATTCGATTTTCAACGTTTTGACTTTGATGAATTTCTTTGAGTTGAATTTCTATAAGAATGTTGTGATATATTTACTTTATAAACTTTTTAATATGTTTTCGGTTAAAATCTTTTTGACATATTTTCAGATTCAAAACGGGCACCTTGACAATAGCAAACAACCCCAACCCCATCAAACTGGACAAGTTCGTCATCGGTGTGATGTGCGACCTGGACATGCAGTTTGTCAAGGAACGGCCTGATGAAACGCCTGAGGAAAAACGCCAACGCGAATTCATTGAAAAGGAGTTTAAAGTCCCTGGCGATTACCGGCTGGAGAGACTGTACTCTAAATTTACTTGTGAGTGTGACGCGTAGTTGCGCTGTAGTGGGCGGTATTGACTTTCGTTATAGCCGCACAATGGAACCACTTCGACCTATACAACTCCCAGTACTATGACGCAGATGGCAATCCCATGACCTATGAACAGTGGCAGCAAAAGGATCCCACGGCGGCTGCGGCGTTTGGTATCATGTTGAGCATGTACGGCACGGATATGGAGGCACAGGGCCTATCCACCCTGGGACTTAAAATTACCCTACCCGATCTACGTGGGTGACACAGCTGAGCTGATCTTGGAGATAACTAACTTGATTAATAGCTCCGGAAACTACGCCTACTTTCAGTATGACCTCTTCAACCCGGGCTCCAAGTCTCTGGCCGGCTTGTCTGATTCTGACCGTCACATAATAGTACCCACGGACATGATTCACCAAATCTACCCCTACCGCGACGATCAGGGCAACTCGGAATATGGCGACAGCCCCAAGGGTGACAGGAACTGCCTCCTCTATCTCGAGGTAGTCAAAAAGGCAGACGGAACCGACGGCCAGCTCCCGGATGCGAAGCAGGTCGGGTACAGCGGCAACTTCTGCTACCCGTCCCAAAACTCGACCCCCGGAGTCGACGGAACCTTTCTCCTGGGCGGCCCGCTGTTCATGGGCCGGTACCTGCTACCGCAGCTCCAGATGCTCAACGAGGCCTCGTCCATATACGTTGACAAAAACACCTACGGCGGCGGCGGCGGTGGATGGGCTTTTCCGATGACCATTGGTAGTGATCCCAGATATACCAACTACGAGAATGCCGCGTATGCCTTCAAACAGTCTAGCGATGGCCTGAAATGGGTCTACGAAAAGAACGTTGACAAATCCACACCCGTGAGTCAATGTACCGGCGGCTACGCGAGCTGGTGGTGGAGCTCTGACCACTGGAGTATGTTCCCTGAAATATGCCGAATCATTGGTTCATGTTCTATACTGACAATCGTAGGCAAGGCTACGACGACGGTAACCTGGCAACCCGGGTCCGATCTATGCGTCACAGTAAAGGGGCACTACGAGTACTATCGTGGCATTACATTTGCCAAAAACCAACAGTTGACCAACCCATCAACATATAGCAAGTGAGGCCTTCAACCCCACCTGGTCTCTCTTTGCGTGGCATGTGGAATTCTGACTTTTTTTTTTCCCCTTGCAGGGAAGACTATACGGGAGACTGGAATCTCGACATACGAATGGTCGTTGAAGACGGCGTCTTGAAGCTAAAGCTAGAATCCGCAGATGACTTGGGCTTTGTGGTGACCGGCGACGTAGAAATGTCAGATGATCTGGGAGCGTACAGAAACAATAAAGAAAAACTACGTGACGATATCAAGAAGCATATCCTTCCCAGGCTTGAGGTATTGCGCAATAGTCTCCGAGACGGCTTTCAGGGAGACCACCAGTTTGTCTTCCCCGGCACCGGCCAGCTAGAGTTCCAGGACGTCACGTTTAACAATGAGGGCGACATCATTACCACCGTGGTTTGGAAAGAGTGAGTATATACATGATTCCAGCAATTGGGCGGTCAGTAGGCTAACGAAATGGAATGAAACAGAGTGGATGGGCCGGTCATTGTCAAGCCGCCGCCTAAGACGGGCAGCGCCAACTACTCTGCCGGCTTCCAGCGTCCGACAGAGCCTCACATTTGGGAGACTACTTTTCGAAAGACGGAACGTGAAATGAAGGGAGAAGAGGAGACTTGAGGGTGACGAAAAGATGAGTTGGATGCTGGCAAGCGGATAGAATGGAAAAGACTGTTTCTGAGCGTGTGTAGGGGCATGGATCGTCCACTGAACTTGTTTCTCATGGAACTCTGTAGCAGTGAGTTTTTGCAGATACCTTGAGTGATGATGCCTGAGCCAAAATTATGCAAGACGCAATGGTAGCTGAAATCCAGGATGCGTTGGTGTCGTACCAATACTGGTGTGTGATGTGACAATGACTAGAACTTGCATAGAGCAACTCGCATCAATCCTCGCATCAATATCCTCGGAGGAATATCCTCATAAGAATACCCTCGCATCAATACCCTCGTAGTGACTGCCGATTGGCCACCGTCAAGCCGTCTGTGGCCCAACTCGAAGACGAGATGAGCTTGATGATTGCCCAACGAGGGTGTCTCGATAATGGCTCGGGAAGACGGACCACATCATGGAGACCACTTGATGTATAATGGCTCGCACGCCTAGGCGTGTCTCAAAGTAAGGGATACAAATAGCCCCCGCCCGTCCTGTCAAGGCCCTTCCGGGTTCTGAGAGCAAAGGATTCTCAGCCATCTTTCATTTTGCTCTTACGAGCACAACGCTATTGACAGTGCTTCTGTTTCAACGTAGTCATCATGGTGAGTTGACAGCTAGCCCTGTGTTCGCGTGCGTTGTCTAACCTTTGTCTCTCCATAGACTTTCCAGACTTCAGAGACTCCCATGTCTCGGTCGCAGGTCGACGCCCTGTGCGCCGACCTGTTGCCGAGGGTCGTCGTCGGTGACGCTCGGTTGCTCAACGCTATCCGGGCCAACTTGGGGGTGACGGGCTCCTCCCTCAGGGGCTCCATCGATACCGCCCTCTCCATCTCTGGGATGCAGGCCTCCAGAGACAACCAGGCACGGCTGGACCTCGTCCTGCTGCTGGACGACATCAGCGGCCAATCAGTCGACTTGATCATGTTTTGCTTCGCGGGGGAAACGTCAATCGGGTCGTGTAGGCAGCTTACCACCCGCATCTTTACCATGCCTGCCGCCTCTCCAGACGTACC